AACAATGAACAATGAACAATGAACAATGAACAATGAACAATGAACAATGAACAATGAACAATGAACAATGAACAATGAACAATGAACAATGAACATTGTGTACGACGTGAGGACTCGATGCGATAGGAGCATGATTATCAATAATTGCCCGAGTCAAAGGAAAGACCGACAGAAATGGCGTCGACATGTGAGGGGATCGCAACTGTTGCCGTTTTGGGCAAGGATGAACCAACCGTCCTGAAGTTGAGATTCGGTGTTGAGCCTAAAAACCCAAAGTTAGCCGTAATTTGGCTTCAACCTCGGACGAACACCAAAGCTTGCTTCTTCGCAATGCCGAGGCCATGTGAGTCGACTCAAGAATCGTCATAACGCTGTCTCTTCACCTTCACATTTGTCGCTTTCTCCTCACCTACGTCTATCCTCGCAATAAATCACCATGGAAGAACACTTTGATGTCCTCATCATCGGCGCCGGTATATCTGGTATCAATGCTGCCTACCGTCTGCAGTCGAAATTCCCTCATTATCGCTTTGCCATCCTCGAGGCCCGCGACCAGCTCGGAGGCACCTGGGATCTCTTCAAGTATCCTGGCATTCGCTCGGACTCGGACCTCTTCACTTTTGGCTTTGCCTGGTATCCCTGGGACCAGGACACTCCGATCGCAGAGGGTTCATCCATCCTTGAATACCTTCATCGGGCCACAGCCAGCCATGGCATAGACCAGCGCATCCGATATCAGCACCGTCTGCTGGGGGCCGACTGGTCCTCCTCGGAACAACGCTGGTCGTTGGCTGTCGAGCATGCAGGTCGCTCCCAGTCGATGTCGGCGCGGTTCATCATCTTTGGCACTGGCTACTATGACTACCAGCAACCTCTGCAGGCGGACATTCCCAGCCTGGCCCAGTTCAACGGCCAGATCATCCACCCGCAGTTCTGGCCTGAGGACCTGGATTACAGTGACAAGCGCGTCGTCATCATCGGCAGCGGTGCCACGGCCATCACGCTGCTTCCCAAGATGGCAGAAAAGGCGGCACGCGTGACTATGCTGCAGCGCAGTCCAACCTACATCCTGTCCCTACCAAATCGTCAAAGCTCGCCTCTGCGTTATTTCCTGCCGACATCATGGTTTCGTCAACTGCAGCGTATCCTTTGGCTGTTCACAGCGCGATTTTTCTTTCTCTTCTGCCAGGCTTGCCCGGCCGTAGCGCGTGCCATCCTCCGTCTGCACGTCAGCCAACAGCTACCGAAAACGGTGTCTTTTGCACCACATTTTCTTCCGCGGTACAACCCCTGGGATCAAAGGTTGTGTGTCTGTCCCGACGGAGACTTCTTCAAAGCGTTGAATCACGGTGTGGCCGATGTCCGGACCGACACCATCAAGACCGTCACCGCAACAGGAATCCAACTCGATTCAGGAGATACCCTCGACGCGGACATTATAGTCACCGCCACGGGACTGCGTCTGCAGGTAGCGGGCGGGGCTTCTATCACGGTCGATGGTAACCCGCAGCACCTGTCCCAGAAGTTCCTCTGGCGCGGTATCATGATGCAGGATCTTCCCAATGCGGCGTTTGTCCTAGGCTACACAAACGCCTCCTGGACACTAGGCGCCGATGCAACTGCCCGGTTCTTGTGTCGCTTCCTGCGCGAATTGGATAATCGTGGACAGGCCGCCGCTGTGCCACGGTTGAGCCCCAAAGAGGCCCAGAAATTGCAGAAAAAGCCGCTGATGAACCTTAATTCGACGTATGTGGTGCGCGCGGCAGAAACCCTCCCCAAGACCGCAGATCAGGGGCCGTGGGCGCCGCGGGACAATTATTTGCAGGACCTATGCTTCGCCAAATTTGGAAGCCTCGAAGGGTTGGAGTTCATTGGGGAGGCCAAGAAAGCGCAATAAAGTGGATCTAAACCGTTCATTGTACATCATCCTATATTCGATATTTTCTGCGATTGTTCATTTTACATTAATCAATTGATCTTCAATTTTGTCGAGACAACAGAATTTGTCAGGGAAATCGCTCTGCCAGGTAACCTAGACTTAGCGACGGAGGACTCACATGTTCGTTTGAACGGTGATTTCTGCGAGTTATGCTGCAATTCCGAGCCGCTAGCCGAGCCAACCAATTCTTCTCGATTGGGTGAACACATTTTCCGGATTTCCTAATCCCCAATCATGAGCATTTGCATTCATCTGTGATGTTATATCCTTATCACTAATCTCCTCATAATTGCGCAAGAATGTAAGTATGCAGATGCAAGTCACAAATCAAACAATTTATTTCGATACCATTCCGATATTGGTGACTCCTATTTTCTCAAGTGAACGTTGAGACAGGGCCACTTACAAAATCAACCTTTAAGCTTCACCACACCAAGAAGCCATTGTAGGATACACTTTGTTGCTTGTTGCGGATATTACATCTTGGCGGTTGTGGGGAAACTGCATCAGACCGGCGATAAGGTGGACATGCTAGAGCGTGCGCGCGCGAGAATGGACGAGATTTCGCAGGGGTTCAGATGGCGCCGATCGCCAATCGTATTCGGGCGCACCACGGGCGCGCTTGAGAAGCACCCACTAAAGACGATATGCTTGCGATGGTCAAAGGGCGGGAAAGCGCCGTCTACCTGGGAGAAAAGAATTGTTCTTCTTCACCCTTGTCTGAAAGTGTAGATCATCCGCTGGATGTAGGCCAACGAACGGTGTCATGCCCCTGTGAAGCAGTACTCAGCGCGAAAAGCCAGCACAATCCCTCAGTGCCCATCAAAACTGCGGATATCACGATCCGGATCAATTCGCGTATGGAACGCGTCGTTACCGACCCTGCAGCGCGTGTGTACGGTTGTAGGCGTGAGGGCTGAGTAGATACAGATGCCGTGACTGTCGCGAATAGTACCAGGTCCGATTTGCGACTCGAGGAGGCGTGATGCGCCCTGAACCACATCTGTCAGTTTACAGGGGACGCGGCGTCTCAGCTATCATTCCATGCGATAAGGCGGAAGACAACGAACGATCGTTAAGTGCACTGGAAAAACGCGTTGGGTACGCGTCGGTGTCTGGCCTAGCAAATAAAGAATTGTACCAAACAAGCATAATAAAAGATATTATGGAATGCGTTCATCAAAAGAAAGCGGATTGAACGGGAATATTTATTGAGAAAGACGAAAGCGTTCGAACCATGCGCACTGGGACGAAGAGTTGCGAAATCCTTTGATAGAGGACATTGAGCGGCCATATTCCGTTACGGCACAGGATTCAATGCTGATAGGCACCGCATGCCATCCCATGTTGTTGTCTGTGGCGCAAGGCGTGGCGTAGGCAATCGAGTACGCCTGCTTTTGACAGTCGCGCTGCAACTAGGCGATGATGGTTTACAATGGCGCATTGGCCGTGTACAACGGACTGAGCGAATGAGCTGAACAACAAAAAAACGGGGGATAGTATTGCTGTCGGGCACGCGCAAAGCACTTCACCGACCTGATGGTCCAGACTCCAGAGCACCGAAAGTGCGCGCGATGCGCTGGCTCTGAAGCCTGGAGAGATCGGGCCATAACCCCAATCCCCAGAGCAACCGTGATTGGCAGGCAGGATTCCCTGTGGGGTTAGGGTGCTTTCCCCTCATCCAGTTTGTGCCGACGGGATGCTTCCTAAGTTTCCTCCATCGTTTCCCCCCCTCTTCTGCTCAAAAATGTTGCATTTCAGGTGTTGTGCCCGTGGAGTAGCAAGATGTTTGGCTGATAAGATGAAATTTTCCAGACTTGGATCTTATGAAAGGACTGTTGAAGTTTGGGACGACTTGTTGGCTAGAAGTAATGTCCTAGATCCCTCCGCATGCGCTGTATGCGATTACCTATGAGACGACATACTATCTTCAAGTTGATCAGTTTTCACCAATTCGTATTTCGCGTCCGACTGAACAATGGCTGGCTGGGGGATGGTGATGGTGTGGTGGTGGTGGTGGTGGTGGAAAAGGTAGCGCGAGGGAGAGGGACCACCGACTTGAGTCCAGCCCGGCCTCCGTGCACTCCAAACCCTCCAACACTCCGTCCGTAAGGCATCGCCCCGACCATATATGCCGCCCTTGCGGTTCTTCTAGACCCTCTACTCCCTACCAAATTATCTCGCTTATTTTACCTCAATCATTCTCGCATCGCTCTTGCTTAGTGAGGCCCTTCCTTCTTTAAAGATAGAGGTAGTGCGAACTTACCGCATCTAGAGTATCCTGGGGAGCTGAGGGCCTTGGCCCCTGTCTATCCTAGACCGTCTAGAATAAACCCCCGACATGCATTAGCAACAACTAGCCAGCCGGTCAGCCAGCAAGAGCCAGCCAGCCAATTTTCTCTATTTTTGAGTCGACCCTTCTTTCCCCTGGAACATCCAAGCAGTCCAACGGCCTCCCCCGAGATGTGACAGAAGCCACAAATCTTCTCCAATTACTACCTGCCATTGTAGGATAGAGCGACTCGCCCGATGATTTGCTCGAACATATCGGTTAGGAAACAGATTATCAGACGTGGATATGTCTCATCTCGATTTAGGACATTTTGCGAACGGCTCTGTACACTCCTTGTTGTCATTGAAGCAGACGGCCTGGCTTGCATATATCCACCGCTGACAGTCATTAAGCTATACTCAGTCGGAGCGGAAACCAGTGAAGAGTACTGGTCCGATCATCAAGTAATCAATCGGAATAGTTATCCTCAAGTCGATCGGAGTCTCCGCGCATCACAAATACCAAGAGCAATGGTAATCTATTCTGGGTTGACAGTCCCAAGGGGACACCGGAACCATCGGAGGAACCGTCGCCGCAGCTGTCACGAAGATCTTTCATCCACTCGTACATCCGTCGGGGTACCCGCTAAGGGCATTCCTCTTGAAATGGCTGCGTGCAAATTATTGTCGGACGAACTAGCGTCAACTACGAAGGTACTTCTGCTTCCCCATTCCCATGTCGTGCTACTGCTAGGGATTGAAGGTAAATGTAGCCGCTGAAAGTGCCTTGTGCATGGCTAGCGTTGGGGAGGGGTACTATGGGCATACTTTGTGCTATTGACAAGACCACTGCATTGCGGACATGGCCGGGGGATATCACGAGATTCGGTCAGCCGTCGGGGAGCACGCAAAAGTGACAAAAAAAGGTCGACTGGGATCACCTGTGAATAGCAGAAATGCTTTCAAATCTATTCCGCCCATTGAATTATTCGCATTGACCTATACTTCACAACATACAGCGGGACGAACTTGGTGCCTGCAATTGTCACTGATAAATTTATTCTCCTCCAGCTGCACGCATTATCAGCTATTCTTTGGGTCAGTTCTACTCCATGTTGCTGCTACTGCAACACCCGAGTAGCACGGCACCTTGTGATGGGGAAGTGATTGGTGCGGTGTGAAAATCTAGCCCGTGCCGGAACAAGAATGGACGAGAGAATTCGCTTACCTGTCGCAGTCGTTGCGACAACACGGGACGCGACGGGGTGGCCGAGCGATCTCGACGCATTTGAATTAGTGCTGGCGGCTGGAATTGACAGCAATGTGGTGATAAGCGGACCAAACTGCGCGCAAAAGAGTCAAGCCGTACAATGAACAAGAAGGACCTTTACATCCAGTTTGGCGAGCAATATCATCATATCTACCTCATTATCAACCGCCTCGATAATGTAGATCGATCGCGAATTGCCAGTCAAGGCAGGTTGGAGCCGATGCCCTGGAGCAGCAGCCCGGGCGCTAGTCTCTATTAAACAAGACCATGATTCATTCATGATTTTGGTTGATCTCTTCCTCATTTGAAATAGATTTGAAATAGAGCCCAGCGGGTCGGTTCCACGGACGAGCTGCGAACCTCCTGGCGATATGACTGGGTCTGTCAGTATCTAGTAGTGCTTCTAGCGGCCCATTTGCTTCGACGCAGCATCATTTCGTTCATGGCCAAGTGGGTTTTCCATGGTCATATCCAGCCAAGCTTTGTGGTTCATGATGAGTTCGTCTAATATTGATCGCGAGGTCCACCGCAAGTGGCACCATCCAAGGCTCATTATAAGGGCGCAAGATCATACGAAAGATCAATATGCATACACACATGATTCTTTTATGCATTTCATAAAAGATTTCTCGAGAAAGGACGTATCATATAAGCAACACGTGCAAGGCATCCGTCTCCGTAGACGGGCTATGAATGACGAGGAGCTGTCGACTACGATCAAGCAGCTGGAACTTATTTGCACTCAATCCATTACACTAATGTACCTCCCTCAATCGAGCCCGATGTCAAGAGAAAGACGACCATTTTTGCAAATTTCTGGTTTCATCGTCCTGTATCGGGGCCTACGCGGCCAAGGGACAGGTGAGAAGTGATCCAATACAGGCTGAGGGAGTGGATCTGCCTGATTCAGCTGAGCTAGACTAGTTAACTGACTAGTCACTTGAAGAGATGGTGGTCTAATCATCGCTTCTGCGGAGGTGCCGGGGCATGACTTGTGTCGTGCGAACCCACCGCGCTAAGCGGCCCGGCACGGGTTCTTCACACGGGAGTCTGTGTCCTTTTCCTGTTCCCCCCTCGACTGTCCTACGGGTGGGTGCCTGTGTGCCTGCCTGCTCTCAGTTCGCAGATCTCGAGTTACACTGCCTGTGGTTTTGGCGCTGAACAAGACTCATTGTATTACATCAAACACAAGTATATACATACACTACAGTATGGCCTCTTCTACGCTCAATGTGTGTGTGTGTGCGTGTGTGTGGAGATTGCTGCGAACGAGAGTGGATAATAACTTGCAGCAATCTAGTCCTGGCTAGGCAAATCGTCCCCCGCTGTGACCTTCTGGCATAGCCGAAATCTTACTCCCCCACCTTCAATTGTCCATGATCTGGACAATCTGGTTCTCTGAGCCGACCATCCGCCAGCCAATCCTACAGCCTTTCTCTCGATCGACAGTTCGTCTGGTTGATCCATGATGCGAGCTCCCATCAACCTGACAGGTGCAAGACGGCGTTATTGGTCCGTGATACGAAATGGTTGGGCCCATCCAGCCCCCTCCCTCATTCCCTCGTCCCCGAAAAACACCAAGAGATGACCACACTCGGTCTCTCTGCTTGCTCAGGCAGCCACCAACTGACGGAGTACCTTAGCAGGGACCATAGCTCTTCAATCAAGCTTGCAGGAACTAGCTACGAAGGTCGAATCCTGACTTGTCTACTCGACCGCTCACTCCGAGTGGATGGTTATTTCCAATGCCCTCAGCCGGGCATCTTGTTCATACCAGTGAGGAGTCAGTAACAGCGCAATGAGGGTGGGTCAATGTGGGTTTTGATACCCCGACCCCTCTATATCGTGCGTGGAGTAAATGCCATTTCGCAGGGTGCAATCGGTCAAAGCGAGCAAAAAGAAAAAGGAGGGAAAGAAAAAGCAACGAAATGGTTCCGAGGCACTGGTGCTCCGGAGTGATGGCCGTCTGAACTTGCTCAGCGCTACAGTATCCTTCATGCGCGGTCCACTTTCGCATCCCGTCAAGCTGGTTACAGCATCATGACGGCCGAGGATCATGTCTAGGTAGAGTTAGACACAGTTGAGAGCAAGTTGTCTCATGCATCACAGTCTTTTCACCTGCTTCGAATGCCCGGCTTCAGCAACAGCGTCCCCAGTGCCAATAGGTAGGTGCCAATGAAGACCAAACTCTGATCTACAGAGGGGGTGGACCATGCAATCCCCGTGCTCTAAAAATGCTAATTCGCAGGCTACCAATACCCATCACATCATATGCAAAGTTCAATTTGGAATTTTTTGCCGTTCTGATGGTGCTGGGGGGCGCTGCGGAGGGGCTGGGATCTATCGGAATGGGACCCTTCTAGCCATACCCTATCCTGCAGAAGGTATGATTGGGACTTGAGAGCTCTATTTTGCCACGGTTGTCGCTCAGCTGTGAATGCTAAACCTCAAGCTATCATTTTAGTGGGACCATTGCATCAAGCCTGGTCATTGTCTCCGCGCATCGACTTGTTCCTGCAATAGCTTATATAGAGAATGTACGCCCCTACACGAAGGGAACTTTCCTCTCGAGTTCAATTTACAAACACACCAGTCCAAGGATATCCTCCTAATTTCTATCTTCTCTTATGTGTTAAAGTTGCCGGTTTGCGTCGCTTTTTTCGCTTTCTTGTGAGTTGTCGCCACTGCTCCTCAGGAGAAACCACAGCAGAGCCTGACCTTCCACCCCGGCCTACAGTTTCCCCATCCAGGTATACCAAGCAGTCGCCTCAACTCACACCCATTCCAAGTCCAGCTATCTCGAGTCCACTTAAGAAGAGTTCAGTAACTCAAGCGAACCCAACTCAGACGACACCAAGACGAACAAAATCAGTTGAGATAAGACCAGCTGTGATCAAGCCAGCTGAGACAGTATCGATTGATAAAGAGCCTGCTCAGACAACACTAGCTGAGACAGTATCGATTGAGAAAGAACCTGCTCAGGCAATACCAGCTGAGACCGTATCGATTGAGAAAGAACCTGCTCAGGCAATACCAGCTGAGACGGTATCGATTGAGAAAGAACCTGCTCAGGCAATACCAGCTGAGACAGTATCGACTGAGAAAGAACCTGCTCAGACAATACCAGCTCACATAATACAAAATTCGACAATACTATCTCTGCCAAATCAAAACGTGGCGATGGCCCCCTCTATTTTATCCCCTGCCCCGACGACCAACGTCACCTCCCCCCTTTCTCCTAGCATTCTGTCTAAGTCTCGACGGACTTCGGGCTTCCTTGACAGCGATAGCATTTCCAACCATGGCATGTCTCGTTCAGTCACTTCTCGACGGGTATCTTCCCGCAAGTTCCAGTCTTTCGAGACCTCCAATATATCAAATGTTGTGTATTCCCTGAAGCGTCGCAGTGGGGATGAGCTAGGCGCTACGGCGTCCTCCAAGCTCTTGAACGCGACTCATGCCTCGCTGATAGATTGGATTCGAACTCAGCGCATGAGTTTGCTACCTCCTGAGGGTAGCAGCTATGATAAAGTGTTGGCGTGGGCACAGCTATTTGTTGAGAGACTACACTCCTTTGACTTGGCCATCGAAGAGTTCGCTGGCGACAGCTACCTCGCCGCTCAGCTCGCCTACGGCTACTGCGCTTTGCTCCTTGAGGTATGCTACTCTACATACGCTTGCACGATCCGGTTGCTGACACTTCCGTTTGTGTAGCTTGGCAAGGATAATGATAGTGCTTTGATGATCTCATTTGGATTCTTCTACAGCACCTCCATGGTGCTGGTGAATTTACTTGAGCGCATCGAGCTATTTACTGTTACTCAAGAAATTCGCGAACAGCTCGTTCTGGCTCTGGCAGACCTTGTGACACTGGTCGCCAGCGTTGCCACTTACTTCCACCAGGCTATCCGTGGGATGACTGGGAACTCAGCTACCGTCAACATTTATGCCAAGTTCCCTGGCCAGATCCAAGCCTTCCGCAGTCGTTGCGAGAAGATTTCTGAGTCCATGTGGAGACATCAGCTTCTGAAGGAAAACCTTGATGGAGCGAGAGGTAAGAAACATCATGGTTTTTGCGCCATACGAGCTTACATTTTATAGTTTCTGAGGTCAAGACCATCCGCGCCTGGCTCGCGCCGGAAGATTCTGTTCTTGCCAATGTCGCCGAGACCACCTCTCATCTTGCTCACGACCGCGAGGAAATGACCTGTGTTTGGGTCGGTCCTCATCTCACCCGCTTCTTGAGAAATCATCAGCAAAGGACTTTCGCCATCACAGGGAAGCCTGGCTCTGGCAAGACTGTTCTGTCTTCCGTCATCGTTGACCACCTTCAACACCCCATCGGTGGTGTCATGCACAAGACGTTGTACATCCCCATCAGTAAGTTCTCCATCCTAGATGATGCCTTTTACATTTCTAATCGACTCCAACTAGATGGTCGCCTCCCTGCTGAGACAAGGCCCCGTGCTATTGTTAAGACTATTCTCTTCCAGCTGTTCGAGAAGCGGATCGGAAATATTCAGCTCTTCCAAATTCTCTTCGACGTTCATGAGCGCAGCAAGAAGGCCTCCAATGATAATGACTATGACAACATTCTCTGGAATGCCTTGGAACGTGCGCTGGCTGCTGCCTTGAAGGGTGCCAAGGAGCTTGTTATCGTCATTGACGGTGTTGATGAGGCTTCTTGCGATGAGGCTGTCCTCCTGCAGAAACTGACCAGCGCCATCTCCAAGGCTTCAAATGTGAAGCTGATCACCCTTGGTGCTCAGGATCCTCCTAGTCTTCCCGGCCTGCGTCACTACCGCATCACTGATGATGGTATCTATGAGGATATCTGCGCCGTTGTGAGGGGTCAGTTTGAGAGATTTGATGCCTACAATAGCCTTGACGAAATGGAGCAATCCATCATCGTTAGCCGCCTCACTAGTGCTTCAAAGGGATCCTTTCTCTGGGCTAAACTTGCGAGTAAGCGAGTTCGCGATGTGGAGAATGCGGAGAATCTTCGCAAGGCCGTTGATACTCTTGCGAACGCGAAGCCAACCATCACCGATTTGGTCTTGCAGATCTTGAACGATTTGCCCCAGTCCCAAACCCGGGAAGATGCTAAATTGATGTTGTTGTGGCTTGCCACAGCCGACCGACCCCTCTTGGTAAAGGAACTGAAGGCCCTGGCTTCTATCCAGCCAGAGAAGCAGACTGTTACCGAATACACCGAGGAACCTCTGAGAGTTTTGCATCCAGTGAACTCCCTGGTGTTTCTTCAGGAGGGTCAGGTCTTTCTCCGCCACAGCCTCATTCGCACCGCTATCTTGGATATCTTTTCCAAGGGCAAATTGGTACCTGCTGTTAAGGACCGCCATGCCGATCTTGTCACCAGACTCTTGGTCTATATCAAGACTACTGTTACCCAGCCGCATGAGCCTTCTATTACACCTCTTGACTGGCATGACGTCAATCCCCTCATTAACAAGCATCCATTGCTTGATTTCGCCGTTCGCTACTGGATCACGCATTTCAGACAGACGAGCGTATTTGTCAACAACGGTGAGGCCCCTGCTGCCAAGGAGTTCGCTAAGCTTTTTCCTTCTTCGATTACCGTTTTCCTCCTACAAAACACTCTCTGGGAGAATAGACCGACTCCAGAGTTGTTGATCTTCACCACCACCGTCACCAACGTCTGCCGCCAGATTTTGACCAGCAATCATGTGGTGACCCTCCAGCTGATCATTACTCTGGCATTCCTGTATCGCCAGCTCGATTATATTCCGGAGGCTGTCCCCCTTTTTCATGAGGCGACTATCATCAGTCGCACACTGCTCACAACTCGCCATCTGGTTACCATGAAAATGGCTACCACCTTCCTTGAGGTCACAACGCAGAGAGTCACTAGCACTAAGACCGAAATCATGACCAAGAGAGAGGAGATACTTCTTGTACTGGTTGAGTGCTACAAGCACCACTATGGAAACACCCATGAGAATGTGATCAACACCTTGAAGCAGCTGGTGGAGCACTACCGCCTCATCAAGGAAGAGAAAAAGGCCGAGGAGATTACGGTCACCATTCAGCAAATCAGCGGGGAATATAGCCAGGGTCGGAATATCCATGGCGATGTCAGTGTGCACCTAAAGGGCAGTAACGGGGTCGCCGTTCCAGGCGGTCCCACTCTACTGCTAGACATTGAGGAACATGACCAGTTGATCGAGGTTGAGGCTTGGAACTTTGAAAGTTTGATCAAGCGGGCCGAGGAATACTTTGCGGAGGGTAAGTTTGAGGTGGCTGAACGCACCTATGTCGAGATATGGCAACGTTTGAGTCGGGAGTCCCGCCTTCAGCATTCCACCCAGGCCGAAGAGCGTAAGATCCAATCGGTTCTTGCCTACGCCAAATTTTTGAAGATACAGAAGAGGGAACATGAGGCCTCTTCCATTCTCTCCAGCGTCTGGCAAGAGTACCAGCAGACAAGTATGGCCTTGTCCGAGACCTCAGTGTTCCAACTCCAGGAATTTGCCAAAGTCATGAAGACTGTTGGTCTGACTACGTTGGCTTTGACTGTGTTCAAACACTGCTCGCACTATTATCAGAGTACCAACCGCACCCAGTCTTCGACCTACCAAGAAATCCAGCAGAGTATTCAGACCACCTCTAAGGAAGTTATGCAGTCTTTTAGCTCTTCTTCCACAACGGTGACCTCTGAAACCACCCTGGAGGAGATGGTTTACGAAGCATCCACCTCAATCGCCACTGTCGACCAGACATCCTTCAGTGCCACACAGACTCTGATCAGCTTGTATGTTGAGCAGCGCCGCTGGCAGGATGCGACTCGCGTCATCAAGAAGGTCTTGCACGGTGTCTGGCCTTCACTCTTTGCCCCCTCCCTGCAGGATGTCAACCTCCCTACGAAGCACGTGGAGAGTTGCATTGAGCTGGCTGAGCGACTCAGTCACTGCTATCATTCTCGACGTCGCTTCACTAAGGAAGAAGATATCCACGTTCGCCTCTATCGCGCTGTTCGCTCGGGTCGCAAGGTTGATGACAAGCTGCGGGAGCGCATCACCAACGAGCTTCTACGGCTCTTTCAGCGCACTGCACAGACTGACAAGATCATCAACCTTCGCCAGGAGACTTTGAATGACTATACCAAGCACTATGGTCCTGAGAATCCACTGGTTGTCAAGATTCTCTGGACCTTGGCTGAGCTTACTCGCCCTCGACCGGTCTTCGTCGATTACTATCTGCAGATCATTCGTATCTTGAATAAAGACTCCCCTGTCTCCCATCCCGAAGCCCTTGAGCCCCTCGTTATTGTTTCCACTGAGCTCTGGAAACAGGGCCGCTACTCGGATGCTCTTCACCATTACCAGATCATTTTCACCACGTTTTTGAATGAGCCAAAGCTCAATGCCAAGTTCCAGGACCAGACCTTTGTGCATGAATTCTTTGAGCGCTACACTCACTGCCTGCGCAGTGTTCGTACCGAGTTTACTGTACTCCACCAGGTGACCGTTGATTACCAGACCAAATGCAAGGCCGTGTTCAGTGCCACAGCTTCCATCACTCTCAAGGCTACTCTGACGCTTGCCAAGTTGTGCCAGGAGTCGAAGCGCTATGAGCTCGAGGCTATCGCGTTATATGAGGAGCTGCTCAAGACCAAGTCTGAGGAACTTGACCTGCTGGAGATCTCTTCTACCTTAGATGCTATTGTTGAGGAGCAGGCCGCCATTGTCAACTCGAGTAAGACTGAGTCTCTCTCGTCAGCTCAGGTCGAGCGTGCCGTCAAGGTGTGGAGAAAACGGATTACCACTGTCCGGGAGACTCACGGCTGGGCCCACGAAGAATCCCTCACCAAGATGGAGGAAATCATTAAGTTCCATGCCCAGCGCAATGAGACTCAGACCGTGGTGCAGGAGCTCAAGGAAGCGACTGTGCAGATACTGTCCACCGAGACCTCGGCGACGCGCCTGATCGCAGCTGCTACGACCATCGCATCTAGCTACATTGCGACGAACCAGATCCAGAAGGCCACAGAGCTGACTCAGGAGATCTATCGTCAGATCGTGATGAAGGACACTAGTAACTCCAAGTCTGTTCAGTTTGATCTTTCCTCCAAAGAGCGCCAGAGCTTGACTTTCTTGGCTCAGCTCGAGTACAGCCTGCGCCGTAGCTCATCGACCACGATCACCGAGATTTTGGCCGCACTGACTACCGAGTATGTCTACTTTGAAGAATTCCGAAAGGAGATCAAGTCCAAGAGCAGCTTCCATAGTATCTCTGTTACCACCGCTCGCCTCTACCAGTTCCTTGTTGCACGCGAGCGCCACACTGCCGCCGCTCGCGTGTTCGATGATTTCGTTGCTTACTTTATTGATACTGAGGGCAAACGCGTGCAGTTGACCGAGGTCTCCCAGGTCAAGATCTTTGTGCTGTCTATCCTGGATCACTTCAGCACTCATCAGTCGGATAACTTCATCCGGTCGGTGGGTATCACTAGCAACGACCATGTCATCGAACTGCTGAAGAACCAGAGGTGGGAGACTGCCAGTGACCTTGCCCTAGCCGCCTACAAGTATATCATCGCTCACGATAGCTACCACACCCCTGAAATTGTCAAATTTGTTTTCACCCTCGGTTTGAACATTGCTGGTCGTGATCTCGCGACTCGTCCCGATGAAGCCACCCGCAAGAAGCTGCTTGGAGTTTCTGGTATGATAATTAAGGATGCTCTCCGCGTGATCACTAGCTTGAAGCTCAACTTGGCTGGTGTCAGCCTTGTTCATCTGAACAAGTTAATTGGTCTGCTTGGCGAGCAGCAGGACTACCACACTCTGGCCTGGCTGCTAACCATTCTTTGGAACAGCCGCGAGGCGCAACGCAGCTGGCCTACTTCCATCACTCTTGCTCTGGGACGTCGCTTCATCATGGCCCGTTACTTAGTTGGTGACTATTCCGCTGCTCTTCGGCTGGCGGAGGATATCGTTTATAACTGCCGTCGTGTACACGGACCTCGTCACGTCAGCACACTCGAGATGTCAATACTTTTGTCACAGCTGTATACCGGTAACGCTCAGCGCTACCAGGCAGAGAAGAACGGTCAGGAAATTGCCAACCGATTCTACAAGAAGAGCGCCGCCGTGCACGAAAACATCCTCCGTGTGTTCAGTGATCCTGACTATGCCGAGCTGGAAGGTATCGATAGCAGTGGAAGCTTTGACGGTTCCACCTACGACGAGATGGATGGCGCCGAGGAGCACAATGGCGCTGTGGCTGGTGGCGAGCATGTTCGCCAGCACCTACATCTCCTCAAGCTCTCCGTTGAGCGCCTCGGCGACTGGCCTAAAGACTACAATGAGTACGAGAAGCTGAACGCAGACATATTCAGAGAGTATGGCGAGCACTTGACAGGAGTGGAGGGCGTTGAGAAGTGGAGCCTGAAGAACTTTGGTGCTGGCAAGGCCGAGGGTAACGAGGATACGTTGGATTTGAAGTTCAAGACTTGGGAGCTTGTGGATACTCAGCAGCATGTCTATTGATTTGTTTGATTGTTGTTATATACCTTGTTTAGTCGTTTGTGATTATTTGTACCGGTATCCTGGACTGTGAATCAATCTACTCGCTTAATGAACCGCTGAACTGCTATTTCGAACTCTGTCCTCGGTGTAGACACTTTGCCGGCCTCTCCCCCACATGTATAGCCCTCTGCGCTACTAACGTAGGTTAACAGAGGGTTAATTGCGTAGCGGCATACCATCGTAGGAGGGCTTACTGCAACGATCTCGGACTAGACTGATATTGTCTACATCGGAAGGGGTGTGCCAAGTGAATTTGTTGTTCTCTACATTTCTCTCCGGTCGGACACCTCTTAATGTCTGGGCAGGAATAGTCTCTGAATAAGGCTAGTATGGTGGAAGGGCAGGAAGCAAAGAGCCCAAAAGTAAAAAGATAAAAAAGTAATGTGTGCATCATCCGTGAATCGAACACGGGCCTCATCGATGGCAACGATGAATTCTACCACTAGACCAATGATGCTGTTTGATGTAATATATGTTCTTTTTCAAAACCTCATACCGCTATATCACTGCGCCACAAAACCTGGGCGAGAAAGCAAACGTGGTGATCTTTCTTTCTACTGTGAATTCTTGAAAATAAATACTAAGCATCTGGCGTGCCTTGGCTTAGATCTCACTTCAAAATCCGCCTTCGCTGAGCCATAAAGTATCACAAGACGAATATAATCCCCAACTCCCCAATGGCCACTCATACCTGGACAGCGATGGTGGCATAGCTCCATGTTATGCGACCGTAGGCCTACATAGCATTTCTCATGCCCTTCCTTTCGCATAAGTCGGCAATTGTCACCGTCACCTGGGACCAAACCAAGCCTTCCACCTCTTTTACCCCTCATCTCGGAGATCTCGGCGAGCTCGGAACTCGGGCACGCTCAGGGCACTCTTCACTCCCACTTGTTGTCGGCACGAGGGGATGAGGGATGTCGATCGCTTCAGGTCGGTCGGCAAGCAGTAGTATAAATAAAGAGATGAGTATTGTGCAAAGTGTTTCTGTAGCCCCTCAGCTACAACTTCAACTCGAGGATATTCTGAACTGGCTTCTCTTCCATTCGAACCACTCTGCCCAAGATGTACTACGAGCCCGGCGTGACGGAGCATAACCTGCCGCATGACCCGTTCAAGGTACTTGCCACTATTTGTATCTACACACATACACACACACACACACACACCACATAACTTGTCCCTTATCCAGTCCCCAATACCCAACACACCCCTCCCCAGCTCTCCTCTCTCCTTGTTATGGCATTAAGGCCAAACTAACAGCTCAAACCCAGGCATGTGTAATCCCGCGCCCAATCGGCTGGATCTCGACCCAGTCCGCAGACGGACGCTCGGCAAACCTAGCACCATACTCGCAATTCACGAACCTCACCTTCGACCCGCCGTACGTGATGTTCTCATCGAACCAGACAGCCACCGGCGAAAGAAAGGACACGGTGATCAACGCCGAGAGCACGGGGAGCTTCGTGTGGAACCTTGCAACCTACGAGCTGCGCGAGGCGGTCAACATCTCGGCGGAGCAATTTCCCTACGGGGTGGACGAGTTCGAGCGGGCGGGCGTCAGCAAAGAGGCGGCGCGGCTCGTCGACGTGCCCATGGTCGCGGAGAGTCCTGTCAAGTTCGAGTGTCGGTATCATTCCACTGTGCGGTTACCGGGGAACCCGCCTATGGGTACCGTGGATGTCATCATCGGTCGCGTGGTCGCTGTGCATATCAAGGATGAGGTGCTGACGGATGGGAGGCTTGATGTGCGTAAGACTCGGCCCATTGCTCGGTGTGGATACTATCAGTATACCGTTGTTGAGAATACTTTTGATATGGTTATTCCCGGGATGTCGGAGGATGTGTTGTATGGGTTGGAGGGGAATGCCAGGCGGAATCGGTTGCGGGATCGGGAGAATGGGGAGAGGGAAGAAGGGAAGAAGGAGTAGATTTTTGATGTACTGTATTGTACATACGTACTTAGATTGGTGGGCTGTAGATATGGGATATTGTTTGGGTTCAGGCCAGTAGTCTCGCACCACCGTACGATATGCACACTCACACCTTGGCGGTCCAGCGCCACTTCCACTCCAGCAACGCCCACCGCGAACACACCACATTCACCAGCCCGAAAACCAACACCGCCGCGTAGAACCCGACCAACAGCTGCGGCGTCGTGGCCGCCAACATCTCGCCCCCGACAGGGACCGTCAACAACGTCCCGAAGGCCGCGACACTGTACACGGTCCCGTAGAACCGACCATACTCCTCCGTGCGACACAGCTGGCCGGCACACACGGGGGCCAGCGAGATCCAGCCGCCGGATCCAAACCCGAACACCGCGACGACCGCATACAACGTTGCTTCGTTCCGCTGCCCAAACGGCACCCATACTCCCGCCATAATGACCAGTGTGAGCAACATCATGGCCAACAGCACATTAAATCTACCGATGATGTCTGCCGCCAACCCCGGGAGTACCCGACCCAGCAGACTCATACTGTTCAACACCGTCAGTGTGTAGAACTGCTCGTGCGACGAGAAGCCCGCGTAGCGTGCATAAGTGGGGAGCAGCGCCGCACAGCCGAAGATGATGAACTCGAAGCTGAAGACTGCGAGCGCCAGGAAGCACAGACGCGGGGACTTGAAGGCGCGGAAGTTGATGGTGGCGCGGCTGGGGGGACCGTTGCCGGTGGTGGGGAGCTGACGGCCCTTGACGAGGAAGATTGCGAGGACATAGCAGGCAAGAGCAATGAAAGCGACAACGCGCAGCGACCAGGCCCAGCCGTATTGCTCGAAGGTAGTGCGGAGCACGATCGGGAGGATGGCGCCCCCGGCCGAGGACCCGGCCATGCAGATGCCTGTGACGAGGGCGCGGCGGCGCTCGAACCAGTGACTCAGCACGCTGATGGCGACGGTGGTGACGATGGCTGAGGAAATGCCGCCCAGTACGCTGAGCGTCAGCATAAAGTGCCAGTATTTCGCGCATTGGGCCAGGAGGAGGTAGGAGGCGACGCTGCCGATGGAGCCTGCGGCGAGGAGAAGGCGGGGGCCGTAGCGGTCGAAGACTGGGCCGACTTGTACGCCGAGAAAGAGAGTGAGAAAGACCAGGAGCGCGCTGATCCAGCCGATGTCTTCGACGCTGTAGCCGGATAGCTGGTGGATGGTGATGTAGTCCTGTACCGTGCCAACTAGGGGTTCCGTAAGTTTGATCGTTGATGTTGAGACTAGCTAGGAGGGACATACCAGCAGTTTGGAAGCCGAAGGAGGGAAACATAATCAAGGCCGAGCCGACCAAACAGCACCATGCATCACGGCCGCCTTCGGGGTAGGCCAGACTGACAGCTCCAGTGGCGGCATCGTCGGAGGCAGCGGATTCGCAGCTGACGTCACAGACCTCGTCTTCGCAAGACGCGCTGTCTCGATTCATCATGTTAGCTAGCAGAGATGGAGTTCAAATTGCTGTCCTGAGGAAAACATGTTGAGATTGCAGTCAAGAGACATAGCACAGGCCTGGTTTGAGCAGTTATTTGCAGAGCATGTTAAGGTAATCATTTCACCACGGGGGCGAAAGGAAATCAGTGAAGCATGATGATACTGATTCATAAATATGTCAATATACCTCCGGAATCAAGATCGAGTTAACGTCTGTTCCTTGATTCTAATGGGCTGTATTCTTAACTGGGTAGGGAAAAGACTGTGGTTTCTCTCCGGCTCGTATACCCGTTAATCATCGAACGTGGGCGCAACCGGTTTAGGGGTGATCCAGCATGTCTGGAGCTCATAACCTGCTGGCATGACCACTCAGCCGAACATTCCGAGTGTGGTTCTGGGGAAAGTTTGAGCTTGATTCAAGATATCAACAAACAAGGCGGGGGCGAATCCTGATAAGTAAGCCGAGGCTCTTGACAGGAATGAGCTGACATCGCTGGATAAGGATGGTCCGGATGAGATTTATAGGTAGAAGCAGGCGAGAAGTATACTATTATTGGTTTACTCCAGGGCGTCAGATCAAGCGAGAATTTGCTCCCACCATCGGCTTACTCTCAGGTCTTCTGCGCTTCACATTACTACCCATCACTTGTCCAAGCTCTCACATTCGGGCCAAAGTAAAATAATTGTTCTCGCTCTGAAGAAATTATGAAGGCTTCCACTCCAAGCCTATGATAGATGTTTCAAGGCTATGATTGACAACTATGCACAAAAGAGCACATGCAACCAGGTTATGGCTTGACAGATGGCAGTGCTTCGAACTCATCATTTGTCCCGTGTGAGCCCGTTGCGTACGTTATGGCTCTCGGCGAGCCTTTCCAGTATAGTTCTCATGCCCGTCCACGGGTAAAGATTGGCGGCTGTCCAAGAGACGCTTGTATATAGACACAGGATCCTTCAGAGTCATTGCGTTAAAAAGCTGATGAGCAGCCAAACGAGCAGCGCGAGCGTCATGGCCGCACTGTACAGAGCCCATAGGACTCTTAAGATACTAGTCATCATGGCCGGTTGGTCGAACACATCCGAGAAAATAAGCACGAAGATGGAGCTGAGGAAGCTGAAAACGAATGCGGCAATGACAAACAAGTTGGCTGCCTTATCCACGAATGGACGGATGATGCATGTCGCGAGGAACATTGCCGCCTCGAGGACCAGAAGTCCGATAGCCTGGGCGGTCGGCGCGGACTGTGTGAATCCTGTGCTCGCGCCTTTGCAAACAGTATACACCTGTCGTGGCATGGCGAAGTAGAAGGCTTTCGGTGCGGTAGTCGACGTACAAGAAGCCCCATTTGGTCAAATACATTGGACTCAGATAAAGTTCGTCTTGAAAAGCGCGTGCTTGCTGGAAGACCTTGAATACCGCAAAGGGATAACCCTGCAGTCATCGCAAGCCCACATGGTGATTGCCAAAACAATTTCGGCCGCAGAATCTTCCGCGACCAGCTCCCAAGCACAGACAACGCACACCGATGGGTACCCCAGAGCGATGAGCTGATACAAGCTTCATCTGACAAAGGTCTTCCATCCGGCTTCCGGGCTAGCGGCGCGGTTCAGCTTCGCCTTCTTGGCGAGAAGAGGCAGGGCTAGTCGAAGTATAACCATGATGACTATAATGAGAAGGGAGACAAAGGAGAGCAACAAGTACCCAGTCATGAATATGTTCGTCCTTTCAATGTTGACTCGGTAGCCCACGCGTTCGATACCGCGAACTGTTTGCTCGGTGCCTTTATTTGTTGTGTCGGCCGACCGCTTCGTAAGAAACCTCAGCCCAGCTAGTGCCCGTTTCGCCATGTAGACAGATTCGTTGGGTACATTGACGAGACCCGAAGGGTACTACCGGTGGGGCGTTGATACCATGTGCAGATCGTCTGCAATGGGCCGTGGTGAACAATGCCCACAGTCCATTGAAAACGCAAAGTCCAGGACTAGACAATCGGAGGGAAACTTATCGAGCTCATACCAGCAATAGCCTGGGATTGCATGAAGCTCAGGAGGAGCCGAGCGCGAAACGAGACATGGGTGGCAATACCGGGTTGCCCGAGAATTGCAATGACAGCACTGGCCAGGAGACCGAAACCGGTGGCAACGGCCAGTACCCAGCCCACACCTGCCTGATCAACCGTCTTGCCATTGTCCACATCGGTTTTGACACAGCTGATTTGGGACCCGTTCAATGTCATCAGTTTGACACGGACAGTGGCATCCAGATCGGGTGCAGTATACGCGATACCTAAGGCACAGCAAGAGCGACAATCAGCAATAAAGTAGGGTAGTCTTCGAGAGCACTCACCTGGAATCACCGAAAATCCCGAGATTGTTAGCGGAGTATCCTTAATCTCCAGGGAGTCGATTGTTAAGGACAAAGGTTTCCCACCCCTAAATCGCACGGGTTGATACTCTCGGCGAGTGCTTTGTATCCGTACATCCAAACTTCCAGACCCAGAGTAATATAGTCATTTTAGAAAATAGATCCATCGAAGCTGATAGCGCAGTGTCGTTTCCAGGCGTATAAACAGCTTTGAAGAGGTCGATTGAAATAAGACCGTCGTCCGAGCAGGGAATGAACGAGGAGGCTCTGAGAAGCTTCTCAGCATTAACAGACAAGATGAGAAGGAGAGACCTCACGAGACATCGAGTAAGCCATAGCATCAACTTCATCATAAATAGAACGGCACTTGCGGAGGATATTTTGGGGATATCGACAGAGAAGAAAAAGTGAGAAGTCGTCGTCGTGCCCAACCGAAGTGGAAGAACGGGCGATATCGTACCGGCTTAGCTCTTTCCATCCATGGGTAAGCAACCACCATGACTGCGAGGCTATGTGTTGGCGGGCGTCACAAAATCGTCTAAATGGGTCTTGAGATGACTATAAAAGCCCGCTGTTAATGGCTTCATATAAATTCGGGCTAAGCTATGGGGTATGGAATGACTATTAAATTCATCACTATAATCCACTACTAATAAGAATATTAGGTTTCATTTTGTGCTCTCTCACTGACGCAGAAGAGCGCTACTTGCCAACACCTGGTATTTGGGGACCAAACGATCTGCCTATCGAGTCCGTCTGGCCTCGCCTCGAGGCGTAGGCCGGATTTGGGTGGGTCACTATATCCCACGACCCTGGTGCTCCAGTTGTGGCTCTCTGCTTCGCGTCCGTCTTACCTATATAAGCGAAGTTGTGAAGAGAAGATATAAATAGATAGGGTCGGCGATCTGGGCCAGATTCGTGGTCAAAAAGGTTTGAGTGCCAACCGGACCGGTTACTATCAGGCAAAACAGATACATGTCGACGAATGATCATGCCGTCACGCAAAGTGATTGGTAATCCACGCTGTTGAAAAATGCCACAAGATAGAGGTCGCTGCGAATGTGGGTGAAAGGCAAGAGACGTAGGGACCTTCGTGGCGTTGGTGACAGTATCATTCCAAACCGAGGGAAATGTTCGGCAGCAGCTAGGCTAAGGGATGCGTACAATTCAGTGGTCAAGAAGTAATTAAACCCCAGTATCAATCTAGGGGCACACATAGGCATCAAAATATGGAAAAAGCGCGCTGGCAGAGAGATTGGAGCTGGGGTGGAGCTCTAACCGGGATATCTCAATCGACACGACCTCACAAAAGATGACGCTCTCATGATGAACGGCTTGCCCAGAAGTTTAAGGGGGTATTAAATCCTCGGTAACACGATAGCAGGTAGTATTAATAGCTGAATGCGCAGGCTGGGTGGCTGAGCAGGTCCACACAATTCCGAGGAGGCATGTTGAAGCTGTGGAGATAACCTGCGATGTCGGAAATACGTGGGTCGGCGTCCTATTCTTGTGCAGGACACAACATTGAATGTCGAGAAGTGTCTAGGCAGACAATCCAATAACTACAAATGCTTGTCAGTGTTATGGAAGACAGTAGAATGATCTCTGGTACTCAGCTACATCGTTTAGTCGCTCCTTTTGCTTAATTTTTGGCCACTTCATATACCAGTCCCTTCTATAATCACTGGTTCGACTGATTCAATCATGCCGGCCATCAAGTATATGGGGATTACGACTATGAGCCGTCTTTCGCAGCAGCTGTTTAATTTTCTGTCCTCTCCAGTCTGACCACAATGGCACTTACAGCTCAACTGTGCCAAGCCAGGACTTGGTTCTTCATCTCCTTTTTCACTAGGGGTGTATGTAAGTGATTGCGGATACAGCAGAATTGGCTCTTTTACTGACGAGGCATAGTGGAAGTAATTGGATATATCACAGCAAGTTAGATCGGTCTACCTGATATCCACTTGATTTATACTCATCCACCATTCTACCCAGCGCTCAATTTCAGCTAATCAAGCACCGAACTACGCCATGACGCCTGGGATCGTGCAAACTCTCTTTATCCTGGTGGCGCCTTCTCTTTTCGCAGCAAGTGTATACATGGAATGTGGTCGGAGCATAGTGTGGACCGAAGGCGAAAAATACGCTATCGTCCGGCCCAACTGGATTACCAAGGTCTTCCTAATTGGTGACATCGCAGCGTTTGTGGCTCAGGGTCCCGGTCATTAAGCTTCGAGATCTTTCGGGCGACGTCGAATAATCGTTGACCATGTCCACTTAGGCGCTGCATCTCTCTCAAGCAGTTTCGAGAGCGGCGAAAGACTCATCAAGACCGGCATAATTGTCCAGGTAGTCTTCTTTGGGCTGTTCGTCATCAATGCCGGTGTGTCCCATGTCCGAATTCGAAGGGATATCGCCAGCTGTGTGGCCCCATGCGCAACCCCGTGGGAGTTGCATCTTCGGGTGTTGTACGTGGGGAGCTCTCTGATATTGCCGCGGTCTGTCTTTCGTCTGGTGGAATACGTAGGTGGCGAAGGAAACGTTCTGTCGCAACATGAGTACTACGCATTGATCTTTGATGCCATGCTGATGCTCCTAGCGATGCTCCTATTGAATGTGTGCTATCCGTCGGCTGTCCAGAATAAGGATCTATCCCCCAGGGGTATATTGCTGAGGGACCTGGCTCGCGGGTGCCCGGGATTAAGTTGAACCAAGTGAGATTGCATAGGAGTTTTCGCCACTGGGGCGGGTTTTGAATAGAATTGAACGTCCTCTGATAATTTTATATGAACAATTCAAATTGGCCGCAGCGCTCCACGTTGGTAAAAAGAAGCTTTTCCCCCACATCGACCCAAACGAGCAAGCTCTTGTGTACAACTGCAACCCATTCTCATTTTTTTGAACGTTGATGATCTCCGTGTTCTCTGCCACTCACTGCATGCCCTCACGAGTCTCATTTCTTGATACTACTACGAACGACCCTTTTCGTCATCCAAGAGACTTGCGTGCCAAAATTGAGGCGCCGTATTCCTCGTACTCGTGCTTGCGTATAAACAGCTTTCGAGTTTGCGGGAGCGATGCGAGCATGGAGGCCCCAACAAAGACTGAGTTCCTCGCATTCTGAGGGGAATACACATTGACTTTGTGATCAGTGAGTTTGGATATTTCGGCCGCGAACCGCCCCGGCAAGTTTCGAATCATCGCTGTACCGCCAGACTACATGAGAGCATCCATATATTAGTTAATCGCCCAGTGCTATCTCAATCTCAATCGGACGGCAAAAAGGTAAGGGTTATCGCACCAAAACTATATTCCCAAAAAGCTGGGGCTGAATCTCAGGCTCGCATTTCATGATCGAGTCGAACACGTAGTTGTGAATTCCATCATCCAGACCGGAGCGATAGGGATCAAAGATCGTCTCTGTGGCCTTGAACCGTTGTTCACCGACGAGGACATTCCGTCTGTTGGGAAGCGTATAAGATACGAGTCGTCTTCCAAGCTTGCGGATCTCCCTGTTGAAGTTGATCGCTACAAAGCACAGATCCTCTTTGACCATCCGAGCGTCGTTGGTCCCCATGGAATCGTAGCCCAACTGCACGAATAACCTAAGGAGGTAGTCGGTAATATCGCGACCACCAAAATCAAGGCGCCAGACAGCCGGGTCTATGGTATCTCACCCGTACATGGGGACTATGTTCGTGGTGGCGTAACCTATATCGAGCGACAGACCGGTACTGCGGCCTCCCGAGAAGAGAGATAAGAAGGGCTGGGAGGCAAAGTGACACGCAGCTACCCCGAACGATTCGAACAGGGTTTGGGCTTTGTAGCGTCGTTCAGCCAGGGTAGTGAGCGGCGCTTGCGTTATCATGACATTTCGGTCCTGCGGCGTCGTATGCAGACCATCAAAGATTGTATAATCCCAGAGCCTCTCGAGATCATCCCAGTCGGTTACGAGGCCATGCTGGATTGGTTTGGTGAGACAGAGGTTGTTGCATCTCATGGCCTCGCCGCCGACGCAATAGCCGTTCACCCCGACGTCATGAGGATGGCCAACGACAGATGCTGTAGAGTATGAATACCAGATCCCAAGAAATTGGGTTCTTTGCAGAGTGCACTTACGAATGACAGCTCTTGGTTTCTCGTCGCCTGCAAAGCCTGCTTTGATGTAGCCTGAGCTACACCACTCAGTGTCTGGCGTTGAGAAGGGTAAGACATAGCTTACCCATTGTCGATGACAATAGCCGGCAAGGGACTGATTCCCTTCATGTTGATTGAACATTGGATGTTTTTCTGTGCGCACAGATGTGTAATGAAAATCATAGGTTGGTCGGATAACATAGGGTCATTGATATAGTTCAATCGAGGACAAGAAAATGATAGGCTGACTAAGTCAGTCTTTTGCGCATCATAGCCTTGTAACTTATTCTTCCTTCCTTGTTCTTGTTTTTGTGAAAGTAATCAATAGATCTCTACAAATCAGAGTGGAGGGCAAGTGATGTAGCGTTCGAATAAGCCTTTGATGACCAGAGGATTTTGTCGGGTGTGGCGGGTTCCGAGAGCTCTTTCAAGGTTTCTTTCTTTCTCGGGCCACAATGGCCACACTAGGTGAATGACAGTTACATTACCCAATTAGCCACCTGTTGCCCTTGCAATAAGTTTGTTCTATATAGTACCTGTGATGAAAATAGAGCATTGGTATGCTACAACGCGGCCATTGATGTTAGATGAGGACAAACACCCGGGCAGAATAAGCGGACTACTTATCTAGGCTACACTGGTGCCAAGGCGTCTGACGGAACAGATAACAAAGCTTGTCTTGGCAAAGCGGGGATAGTCAAGATCTGTATAACTACTGTTTCGAACAATGAATTCTCCCAGTGGCATTTTCATTGTGCACCAAACCCAGAGAAGACAATGTGAGATACCGACAGGTGTATCTACATCTTTCTTCAGGCTGTATAATCCTATTATTCCCTGTTCTCCATTGTCACCTGACTCTAAGGCTCGAGAAAATGAATGAGTGTCTGTCCTTTTCGGGAGAGCTAATGACTCAACAGCTTATAAAAGGAGTCGAGAATCCTACAAGAAGTCCACGTATCTTTGTCCAACTTGTCCTTATCTATCCTTATCTAGACTCGATCTGTTGGTTTATATCATCAATAGACGAAGAACGACACGATCTTCACTATCACTAGCAGCGATGAATTTCCAAGGCAGCTTCGGTGATGCACGTGACGTACGGCTCATGAGTAAGGAGGAAGCGCTGGAAAAGATGTACCCTCCTGGACAAGATCCAAAGACGTACAAAATGACGCGTCCCGCGCGGGGAGATTCGATTGTTTAAGGACTTTTTGCTGGTGCCCGAGCATGTTTGCCGCTGCTATGTCGTAATACAGAAAGTCTTTCCTGCCCAAGAAGGCTTCAGGGTGGCTTGTTACATAGCTCGCGATCCTGACCTTTTCTATGGGTTTAGGGTTTATAGCAAACTCGAAGCATGGAAAGAAGTTCTTATCCAGTCAGTCGTCCCAAACGCCGAGCGTCTGTACTATGGCATCAATAGTAGTGACTTCTACTTTAAGACAAAAGGCGAGGAGAATTCTATGGGACAGACAAGGTGCGGAGCGGTCTTGAGCCAGAAGGGCATCCGGCTCTACTTCGTTAAAGACCCCCTGGAATAATTCAGATCGAAGGAATGTTATTGCCGGACACCCGCTTGTGATCTGGTCACAGACCACGAGGCATTTGTGCAGCAACTGCGGCCCCTACGGCGGTTCTGGCGTAAGCATGTTGAGCTGTCCGCCGCGTGTTACGAGGCGCCTCACGTTCATGATGAAGAGATACGCGTGGAGCCCTATGATGACGCTTGTTCGGAGCTTATGGAATCGGAATATTGGCAGAAAACAGGCCGATCAACCCTGAGAGCGGCGATGGAGGCCCCTTACTGCCGGGTCGCACCTCTCGCGGCCCAATCCACGACCCTGCTCGCATGGCTTGCTTGTCTCCAGTCAGTCTTTTGCGCCGAGGACGGCTTCGCCGCCACTGCCGACCACTGCAGCGACGACAATGAGGACTAGGAATGTATCAGAATTCATCATCGGCGCTCAGACGGCAGCGTGCTCCCCGTCATGGTGGTCATTGTGCTGCCCAAGGACTTTCGCCTTGCTGGTAGCAGCCGCTCCAACCGCGCGGCTCGAAAGCTGTGGTGCAATCAGGCCGAAGCACTTGCGAATCTTGACACCCCGGTTTATCTCGCCACGGTCGAACCCGGGAAAGACGGATTGTTTGTCTACAAGACTTCTCCGTCCTGACCCCAGCCGATTTCCTTTCCACCGGATCAGAAATCGCTGACAGTTCTCAACACTACCTACGATTCCGCACGGGACAAGGGTTGCGTGTTTCTCGAGGGTGTTCGTGATCGATTTGTTGAACGCAACGCCTGTGAGTCAATCAGGAGACGTTGTTCCGCAAGCATGAGGAAACTCCGCAATATCTTCTGACTCTTTCCCTGGATGGTACGTGGATATCCAACGATGAATATACTTCTCATTGGATAGAGAGCCAATACGTGTGCGTGATTCATCATTGGTCATTAGATGCATATCTATATCGCCAATAGCTAATCAATTGTGAAGAGGGAGCGTCCGCTGCCTTCACGAGAAGCAGAGCCTTGATAATTGTAGGGAGAGTACATCTGCTGTGCAATTCGAAGGTCTGCTTGCTTATCTTAGTTAACCGAGTGCTATTTCCAGAAGATGAACTTCTGGCATGTAACTCTTGTTTCGACTGTGCTGATTACCTCATTCGTTTACAATGGGGACTAGACTAATACCTCGTAGTGTGACTATCTTTTCGTCTGGCAGGAGCTGACGCAATCATTAATAAAGCCCATTGTGCTATCAATAATTATTGCAAGGATGTCTACGATAACCCAGTCTGTAATTGTGCAGATATCCAAGCGGGGTTTTGATCGGCATTGACCACAGAAGAGGGGAAAGCCATATATATTAATCCCGACACATCCTGAGAATCGCTCGTCGCTCGTAAAACTTGTCGTCATCGCTCCAGCAGCCAAAATTACCTCAATATGGAATCAATACTTAGCGAAGCTCTGAGCCGGACTGGCCTGCTGTATCTGGCTGGGCTCTGGCTCCTCTCTCGCCTCGTTCGCGCAATGTATAATATCTCGCCCTTTCATCCGTTGAGCCATATTCCAGGCCCGAGGCTCGCTGCACTCACCTTTCTCTATGAGGCATGGTTCGACCTCATTCTTGGCGGACGTTACACACGGGAGATCCAACGAATGCATGAGGTATACGGTAAGCCTTCCATCCAGAATTCGCATCTCTAGCACCACTAACCACGACTGACAGGGCCCGTCGTACGTATCAATCCCGAGGAACTTCACTTCAACGACATAAACTTTGTCGACGAGATCTACGCCACTGGCAAGCGCAAGCGCAACAAGCAAGTTCACTTCTTGAACTTCCTCGCAGGGCCGGTGGCCGAGGCCATGGTTGGGGCCGCCGACCACGACCACCATCGGCTGCGCCGTAGCGCCGCGAACAAGTTCTTCTCGCGGGCGCAGATTTCCAAGCTGGAGTCCGGAATCAAGGAGTTGGCCGAGCAGCTGTGCACCAAGCTCATCCGTCTCGGTAGGGTGCAATGCATTCTCGGTCCAGTGACAGGCTGACCCAGGTATAGGTACAAAAGACGGGAAACCGCTCGATGTCATCACCGCGTACAGCTGCTTCACTTCGGATGTCATCTCGGGATACTGCTTTGGCGAGCCTTTCGGTTTCGTGCAGCAAGAAGGCTGGGAGCCTAACTTCAGACACGCGCTCAACGCCCTTCTGGGCCCGATCTTTGTCTTTCGCTTTTTCCCACCCCTGAGGCTGGTTGTGGATGCCATGCCGTTTCTTGCTAAGTGGCTCAGAGAGGACGTGAGGGATTTGCTAATCGAGTCGAATGAGAAAATGCCCGACCAAATCCGCAAAGCTAGACGGGAGCATGAGATGGGAATCACCCCGAGTCGACCGGCTATCTTCCACACACTGGTGGCGTCGAACTTGCCCGAGCACGAGAAGACGGACCGTCGCCTGGGCGGAGAAAGCTTCGCGTTTATGACAGCTGGGACGGAGACTACAGCCGTGAGTGATTGGCCCCGCTGCTTTAGTCGTCTTTTTCCTATTCGGTGTGTCCAGAGAAACTGAAAAGAAACAGTGGACCTTAACTGTCACGACTTTCCACCTCCTTAACAAACCAGAGCTCCTCTCCCGTCTCGCCCAAGAACTTGACGAGAATAACGCCATCAATCTCTCCTGGGTCGAGCTCGAAAAGCTGCCCTACCTCCGCGCAGTCATTGCCGAAGGTCTGCGCCTCTCCTATGGCGTCACTCCACGTCTAGCGCGCATCGCTCCAGACGAGCGTCTCATCTACTGCGGTCGCTTTCAGGGCCGAGACCTCACCTACGCTATCCCTCCCGGCACGCCGATGGGCATGTCCACCGTGATCAATCACCACAACGAAGACGTATTTCCGGATTCGCACACCTTCCAACCCGAGCGATGGCTACAAGCAGATGAGGCCCGGCGACGCCGGATGGATGCTAGTTTTACCCCTTTCTCTCGTGGCAGTCGGCAATGTTTGGGGATGAAGTGAGTTCTCCGTTTATTAGTCTTGCCAAACCACCTGCCAGTCGTTCTAATTTAAACGGTTGGTGCTGACTGACTTTATCTCTAGCCTGGCGTATTGTAATTTATATGTCGCGCTGACGGCGCTGACGGTGCGTGTACTCCCGCGGATGAAGCTGTACGACACAAGTGTGGAGGACGTGACCTACGATCACGATCTGTTTGTGCCTATGCCAAGACGGGGCTCCAACGGCGTCAAAGTCGTGATTTCATAGGGCTTGAAGCAGGATCTGTCGAGGTTGCTGGACCAAGAAAATGAGCTTGGACGCCTTCAGTATATGCTGGATCAAACTATTCTGGTAGACTGTCATGAAAACACTTCGAATGAAGAGATATCCTAAGGAGAGGACTGGTCAATTCGCCGCAAACTGGTTATACCTTGAAGTAGCGACAAAGATCACAACCCGCTGTACCAAAGCCAGAAAGTTTAACTCCGAAATGGCCCCAAAGCCCGCTCAAAGAACCATACGCCTCTTCATCACCGAGCTCCACCCGAGTATCAATTACACCTACCTCAAAGTAGTGGAATGGTTCAATGTCACTATCTCAACTGAGAAATGCACATCTTGGGGGTGCGGTACAGCTCGGGAGGATATCTTCGACATGCATCGCGGAAAACACCGGAATTGGCTCCATGGGATGCGTTTATCATAAAAGATATTGACGTGAGTCTCAAGTACAAAGTTAGCGAAAAGGATGAGGAGGGATACAGTGAGAAATGAAATTAGCTGTTTGGGTGATGGACATTCGGGCCCTGGATGCGTGCGTTCCGGCTGCGGCTGTGTGGTTTCGGTACGGTAGCGAGGAAACGTGTGAGCTGGAGGAGTCAATGGACTGGGAGTTTTCCCCCATGTGGAGCGGAAGGGAGAGTCGGTCGAGGCACGGTGGTTGGTTTGGAAGGGGAGGTGCAGATGTTTTTATTGTGTAGCAGCTTGGAGGACGAGGAGAATTCTGCAGAGAATGGTGAGTCTGTTGAGCAAGGACGAAGAAAGCTAGCAAGAGCTCGGTTGAAAAACTGCGGGGAAGTTTGAGGACGGCGATAGGGACGCTTAGAGCCGCGAACTGGTGTGTGGAGGGCGGCCTACTCGAAGTAAGCACTACTCAAGCACCTTGGATTCGTGGCACGTGAGATCAGCACTAGGGAATGACTGCATGAATTGTCAACTTACTTGTTATTCATTGCGCAAACAGTAGCCCCTATGTCATAGGTAACATGCCTGGTGAGCTTCAGTAGTTGTATCTCATACCTGACATAATAGTCAAGACCGATCCGGACATTTAGTCTGCACTATGACGATCATATGGTGCTGCCGCCAAGTGATATACACCACAGCCGACCGGACCGGACACTCATCTTGTTGGGTACGCATACACAGAAAGATTACCTCTCCTGTCTCTCCTGTGAAACACAGTTTCAATGATTAGAGGTAAGGCCTCAATGCCTCATCTGTCCAGTCCCATAATCGCTTTGCTAAGTCCTCGTCTCTGGCCGTGGCTTTCAGCTTGGTCGACAAAATGCCAACGGGCTCATGAAACTGGCCATTCTGCAAATCGGGCCGGGCGGTAGTCGCAGCCCACAACTGATTATAAGCCCCTTCCTCAGGCCTCAAAACCCGACCCAAACTCATTACCCATATAAATGCACGACCAAAACAGCCCAAATTGTCGAGCAGACCGGTATTGACAGCCCCTGGAGTGACCGAGATGCTTGTCAGCGTGGGATACCGGCGTGCCAGCTCGCGGGCATACAGCATATTCGCCAGCTTGCTCTGCCCGTAGCGGACCCAACCTCCGAGAGCCGAATACTCCTGCGTTGTGCTCAGATGTTCGAAGACAACCCCGCCTCGAGGATACATTCTGTACGCCAAAGATGTCAGAAGGAAAATACGGACATCCTTGCCTTCGCCGGCAGTGGCTTGAAGCCGAGGGAGCAACTTTTGAATGAGCAGGGCGTGGCCGAGGTGGTTCGTCCCGAATTGGACCTCGTAGCCGTCTGCTGTGAGGCCTAGCGGGGTAGCCATGATCCCCGCGTTACACATGAGCACATCCAGTCGGGACTCCCGCGCGAGGAAGAGGTCGGCCATTTTTTGTACCAAGCGCAGGTCGGCGAGGTCACACTGCAGAAACGTGACGAGGGTGTTGCCGCTTTGTCGAATCTGTTCGATCACTATGTCGGCGCTGGATGCCTTGCGCCCGCTGATGTAGATGTGTGCGGGCGCATGTTTGGCTAGTTGGCGCGCCGTCTCAGCTCCTAGTCCTGCTGTTCCTGAGATGAAGTTGGCTGTATTCAACGAAGCAAATATATGATGGCTTACCTCCGGTGATCAGGATGACTTTGCCGGACAGGCTGGGGATATCTCGATCTGGGTTGAAGGTGATTCCCGGCATGGCTAGAATGGATCAACTCTCACAGCTCGCATGTTGAAAGGAGAAGGAGAGCAAATGGAAGAAGAAGGATTTATCTAGTCAGGCAGGGAACACAGCGAGGTCTGGAGGTACAGTAGTGTCACCATCCTTCACGCAATTCAAGGGGGTGTAATAGGATAGGATGCCCATGCATCTCGCCGCAAAGTGAGGTAGTATCCTTCAAGACGAGTGAAAGAAAGAACTTGACGAGATCCAAATGCCCATCTCGATTTACATGCTTGACGCTCGGAAAGATTCGAGAAAATCGGTCCCATAGCCGAACAGTATGTAGAGTAGTAACTACAGGCCGACCGGTGGCCCGCGCTCATAACTTTCTCTGCACTAGTTATGTAGCTTAGTCACTCAAATGTGCATATTTCAGCAGTTTGCGTGTGATCCTACACAGGCCACAGCAAGAACAGCAAAGGTGGACTGCTATAATACCATGGATATAGATCAGATATAGAGATCCGATCGTCTAGCAAACGTTCTTTGAGTGAGCGGAGCCTGCTGCGCATGAATCCAAGCAAGAGACCAAAGAAGAATAATGTCCGCTGAAATCCGATCAATTCGTGAAGTCAATGCACTCTCCCCTTTGAAGGTCGTGTACCTACCTGAATTACTATACAAATCAACGAATTACTATCAACTGGCGCCAATGATGATTTCATAAGGTGTCATGAATGATGTAGGTTGGGGTTTTCCTAGAGTCTTGTACGTAACATCTATCCAGGGAGCTGTGCGTCGAGTTCATCAAGTCACAACGGTGAGTTCCGAACTACTCCATAGAGGCAATATGCCGCTGTTTCCAAGAACCTTTCAGTTGGCGTTCTGAGGCCATCCTGTCGCAGCAGGGATATTCGGGAATCGATACCATGAAGAGTCGATGGGAAATGCGGGGAAATCTGCTGTGGGGTGCAGCAAGTGAGCAGGTACGGTGCTTGTGACTCTATATCGGCTCTATGCGACGGTATCTCAAGTCTAGATCCGGATAGGCAGGTCGATTTTTGGGGGCAGGCGAGGTTCTTTCTGTCAGGTGCAACTGATCGCTCGAGTCCTGTGGCAATCCCCCAGAACTCTGAACGGATGGAACCGAGACATGGTCAAGTGGGCCACTGATAACTGAACATGTTACGAAATAGATATTAGAGAGTGATCAACTAATATCTTCTGAGGCAAGGGATTGGGAACTCCCCTCATACAGCGCGCCGGAATTGCCCCACTTAGACCGGCGGAAGTCCATTCATTATCGTCGAATATACTACTGCACTCCGCAGACAGTTCATACCACGAGTCAATGCCGGTGTCCATGCTCTTATGAACGACTTGCTCTATAATTTCAATTCCCCATGTCGACGCATGTGCAAATCAGACGAGCCTTCTACGCTCGAATCCTGCCCAGACCTGGTATCCTCGGATGCTGACACCACTAAACTCACCACTCGCTGCAAATGCTTGTCCCGATCGCAACCGCCGCGAGCTAGAAGGATAATAGATTAAAATGCCATCAGGATGCACAGCGTGGCAAACCGTGTATCACTGGGTCGGATAACATGCGAAGAACATTCTAAAGGATGGGGGTCTGGCAGTCTGGCTGGTTTGGTTCCAAGTAGTTGGTTGTAGATAGCACCTGCCTATTGCGACCGACGGATCTCTCACAATCTTCCATTTCCCCCCAGACTCTCCGAGACTTTCTGGTCGCGTGCATGAAGTGGCTCAATGTAACCCACCCCTGCAGGTCAAACCTTCCGAGTGAATGTCATTGGATGACACCCCCGCCACCCAAGGCCTGGGGTTGCACTGAAGGCCCCCAGCCAAGACTGCCAAGGTGTCCGTTCCGCTGGTCAACTGGCCTGTTTGGGGTTTCGGTCCTGGACAGCCAAGTCTCACCAGAGCTGTCTCTACTTATCTGTCGTGCTCCTTATCGGCTATTCCCCAACCTTGACTGGAAGCGGCTTCTGCCGATTCCAAGCGAGTGCGATAATTGGGATGAAGTCTTGTTGTGGCCCCGAGAAGGGAAGCATCGCCGAGCTTGGCACTCTTGGACCCTGCAGATGCTGATAGCTATTGGAGATGGTGCAATAGCAGCGCCAGAAATCACCATGGGTGCTGATAATGGTGAATGAGCCATGCCTGTTTGTGTGTGTCAGTGGAAGGCAATTCCTTCCCTGGTGGCCTTGCCCAGTCTGGTTCGTTGTGGTACTATCATTTCTGCCCGGTTGTGCCACCCCGTTCCAGCCCAATTTAAACCTCTTCCTCTGCCACCACTTCTTCCCCTCTCCGGATTCCCCAGTCATCTCTTTTTCCTTTCCACCCTTGCTGCTTGTTTCTTGATTGTCTCCGACATGAACAGCTCTGATCCGGTGGAGGTGACGGAGGTCGCCAAATCGGCTGCCTACGCTCATGATGCGCACTTGGACGAGAAGCACGTACACATCGACTCCAAGGGGCAACCGGAAATTTCCTCCGATGTCGACGTGATCCAAGCTACTTCGGAGAAGATCGCTGTCGGCTCATCGGGTGTTGCATACGATGAGGATGCCTCGCTGCAGAAGGATTTTCCCAATCCAGAGGAGATGCAGACACTGCGTCGAGTCGCCGGCAAGATTCCCTGGACAGCCTATACTGTGGCCTTTGTTGAGCTGTGCGAGCGATTCTCGTACTATGGTACCACTGCTGTGTGTGAGTGTGATCACCCCCCTAATTTAGATAGTTCTAACAGTCATAGTCGTCAACTTCATTCAGCGCCCCCTGCCCGAGGTGTCCAGCACAGGTGCGACCCATGGAATTGGAAACCTGGTGCCAGGCGCCCTGGGAATGGGTCAGCAAGCATCTACAGGATTGACTTTGTGTAAGCTAAAACAGTCCATCTTAGTGGTACAACAAAGCTGACCAGCAGTCAACGCGTTTTGGTCCTATGTCATGCCGTTGTTCGGTGCGTTCATGGCGGATCAATACTGGGGTCGATTCCGTACAATCATGTTCTCCATTGCTGCTGCATTGGTGGGGCACACCATCCTCATTGTCTCCGCTATTCCTCCTGTCGTCAAGAACCCAGATGGAGCTATTGCTTGCTTTTCCATTGGTTTGATCGTCATGGGTATTGGCACGGGTGGTTTCAAGTAAGTCAAGCGCCATCAGCCTGCTCTGCAATCATGTCTAACAGCCACAGATCCAACATTTCTCCCTTGATCGCAGAGCAATATCGACAGGAAAACCCTTACATTAAGACCCTGCCCTCCGGGGAACGCGTTATTGTTGACCCCTCTGCGACGGTGTCCCGCATCTACCTGTACTTCTACTTGATGATCAATATCGGCTCGATTTTGGGCCAGGTCAGCATGGTCTATGCGGAGCGATATGTCGGGTTCTGGCTGTCGTACCTCTTGCCCACGATCATGTTCACATTCTGCCCGGCCGTGCTGTTCTTCTGTCGCAATAAGTACTATCTAGTCAAGCCAACTGGCTCGGTTTACCTCCAGGCCTTCCGCACCTGGAAATTGGCTATGAAGGGACGCTGGTCTCTCAACCCAGCCCGCATGTAAGTTGCGAACTCGACGTCGCATGGAAATATGTTAATATCTTGCAGGTTCCAGAAGAACCCGAAGCCGTTCTGGGATTCGGTTAAGCCAAGTGCGCTCGGCGTGAACAAGCCCGAGTGGATGACCTTTGATGATGAGTGGGTGGACGAGGTTGCCCGTGGCTTGAAGGCTTGCAAGGTGTTTCTGTGGTATCCGCTATACTGTAAGTGTCTCGAAACCATGAAAGAGATTTTGTCTAACTAAGATAGGGCTTGCGTACAACCAAATGTTGAACAATCTGACTTCGCAGGCGGCCACCATGGAGCTTGGAGGCGTCCCCAATGACATTATCAACAATCTGAACCCCCTAGCTCTGATCATCTTCATTCCTATTATGGACCAGATTATCTACCCGGGTCTTCGTCGCGTCGGAATCAAGTTCACCCCGTTGAAGCGCATCACGGCTGGTTTCTTCGCGGCCGGTCTGTCAATGATTGCTGCCACAGTTACTCAGTACTACATTTACAAGCTGGGCGCGTGTGGTAAGCAGGCCAATAAGTGTCTGGATGAGAATGATTCGCATTCTCCGATTTCAGTCTGGGTGCAGGCTCTGCCGTATGTTCTGGGTGGTATTTCTGAGATCTTCGCTTCGGTGACGTCGCTCGAGTATGCATTCACCAAGGCGCCGCGAAACATGCGGTCGCTGGTCCAGGCTGTGGCGTTGTTCATGAATGCGTTCTCGTCGGCTATCGGACAGGCTTTGGTCAGTTTGTCGGAAGATCCGCTCCTGGTGTGGAACTACACCGTCGTTGCCATTCTGGCGTTCGTTGGCTGCATTGGATTTTGGTTGACAAACTACAAATTGGATGGCCAGGAGGATGAGCTGAACAATCTGCCTCAGAGCCATTATGAGGGGCGCGGAGAGGGGGATGTGGAGCAATGAGAAGAGACAAGGCATTAGCAATGGGGGTAGGATAGTAGCTAAGTAGTTTAACATTAATGACATGACACAGTGTTTAGTTGGTCTTTTGCTTCTTCTTGTCAGGTGCTTCGCCGGTCTCGCCTTCAGCTTCAGCATCGTCGCCTACCACTTCTTCCACTTCCTCCTCATCCTCCTCATTCTCATCCTCGCCCTCTTCGTCCTGGTATTCTTCGTCGTCCTCGCCTAGTTCCTCATCTTCATTCTCCTCCTTATCCTCTTCCCCCTTTTCGTCTTTCTTTCCGCCCTCTGTCTTGGTATTCTTCTTCGCGCCGTTTTGACTCTTCTTTGCGCCCTTTGCTTTTGCCTTAGCTGTCCCCTTATTCTCCTTATCATTATTCTCCTCGTCCTCCTCATCTTCCTCGCGCTCTCCACCGTCTTCCTCCTTATCTCCCTCCCTCTCCTCCTCGGTTCTCTTCGAGACCTCTCCTCTCTTCCTCTTCGCCCCCTCCGTATTCCCTACAAACTGCTTCCCCGCCTTCTTCCCTTCCTCCAGCTTCTTCTTGTCAGTAGCCTCTTTCTCGCCCTCACTCATCTCCTCCCACGCCTTCCGAGGCAAATACCGCTTCCGCGCCCCGCCGTCCTCAGCTTTATCATCCGTCTTAGCCTTTCCAGACCCTTCCTTCGTCACCCAATCCTCGTCGCCCCATTTGGAGAGGTTCTTCTGAGACTCCGATTGCTCGTCCTTCGAGGTAGTGTAGTCACCGCCGCGGGATTTGTATTCTTGGGCGGTGAGTTGGGCCTATCTCGTTAGTTTTTTGATTGATCAATTTTCGTGACCGAGAGTCAATTTTGGTAGATCAAGAACGGGGTTCGGGGAAAAGGAGATGGCTGGGCCCAGCTTCTGCAGGAGACACGGACGCCCGCATCAATCGGACATACCTTCCGCGCAGACCACTGCCCTGGCTTCCCGCCCTTATCACTCTGCTGGACCTCCTCCTTAACCTCCTGACGGAGTTCAGGGTCTGTGTAATTGTTGTTGTTGCTTTTAGAGGGCATTTTGAGAGCTTCTTTTCAACGGGAGCGGTGCCTTTAAGTGGGTATACAGAACGTAAAAATTGCTTGGAGCTGGGGAAATCGTTCAATTAATGGAGATTGAGATTATTGAGACGGACAAAAAAGCTGCTGAAGAGTTGAATATAAAGGCCGCAATGACATCATGGCCATGATCTCATCTCATCTCATCTCATTTCAAATACATCATCCGGAGAAGAGAAAGAATGGATCCCTCCCGAGATCGGTTGCATGCGGCAACCCGCCCGATCCTGGCCATCGGGTCTGGATCGCCAGGGAAGGGAAACTTTATTTCTCGGCTTCCATTGCGGATTCGGGAATGCAGGGGATAGATAATACCAGGGGGGCGCATGGATTTCGTCTTTTCTTGGCTGAGTAAGCTTGAATTCTTTTGAGATAGTATGTTTGGGTGGATTAGATGATTGTTTATTCAGGTGCCATATTCTAGGCAATGAATTCGGTGCGGATGTAAGTGATTCGTCATCTTTCTCATCTCTTTCGTAGTTTAACCGGTGCTAGCAATTTCCTACGCGTCTATTTTCCATGCGCTATCTCTCCTAGTGAGATCTATGCCGTTGGGTGGGGGCTTCAAGGGTCGAAAGCCTGGAAAGGGATATATTATCTTAGAGTCAGGTGATATGCAAGACCTTAGGGAGCAGTATTACTTCCTTCCAGACGGTTTTAGCCACAATTTTATCTTGATACCGTTTCCGGGTGGCTTGATTCATATATGGATAGCTTCCGGTACTTCAAATGTGCTGCTCACTGGGATAAGTAGTTCAGTGGCTATTATGAAGACCTGATGAACAGATTCATATGCTCACAACATACAGGATCCAGAAATTAGACAGGGCACAAGGTCCAGTAGTCCACCACAGACACTAAGTTGTCTTCGCTTTTCATCATCAATGCGGAACATACCCCCGTATCCTAGCCCAACGCAAATCATTTAACACATGGAAGAACAAATGGTCTAATAGAAAAGTGCCTTGACCACCGCGTCTTCTAATACCCCTGGGTTAATATCATCAACCCCCAACAAAAATGTAGCATAAGAACGCATTGGGCACATCAACTGAATCATGCAAGACATCATCCGGACAAGAGCTTAACAACAATTTTTTTTGCTGGCCAGGGCGTGCGTCCATCTCCACCACTCTCACTCCAGCAACATCATCTCCGATCTCCTCAAGAAATCAAGCATCTCAGACGACAGTGAACTCCTAAAACCCAAAGATCATCAACATAGAAAAATCCAGCTCAGACAGTCAACAACTCTCAAGCCTATCGATACAAAATCCCACTCCTTCTTCTCCCGACCATCTATCCTGTATCCTTTCGTCTCATACGTCTCCTCAGCTCTACTTTTCTCGCACTAATTTGATTCTGGTACTCGCGACAGTTTTTCTTTCGGTTGGTGTGTAGGATGAAAAGTAAACCTCAATCTCAAAGAGGTCTAGCAAGGTAAAGGAAGACGCGAAACCGCGCCCTCAAAGAGGGTTGGCAGAGATGAAGATAGGAAACTGTACAGTACCTTCGAAGAGAGCTCGCTAGAAGAGTGATTAGCTCAGGACTTTCATTGCGTGGAGGTCTTGTCAACTTATCAGAAGTATAGTAGAGTGGGGAAAGATATGAAGCGTCGTCTCGAAGGATGGCTGAATATATTTACATAAATCTCAGCCTGATCACTTGGTTAGATAGGTTACAGAGTAGGCTTACCACGAAGGACGAGAGGAAGGAGCGTCGAGGCAGGAACGTCATATCGAGAAACTTGGATTGACTTCTTGAGTGAACGTCTTCAAGAGTGTAAGGGTAGTTGAGACTAGCGAGCCATGGATGCGGGGGGTTACTCGGACGTCAGGGTCAGAACAAAGCAAAAGGAGACAAATGGACGGGTTGAGAACGGGCGAAAACACAGTGAGAAGGAGAAGATGTGATGTGTTATGAGTGAACACACGAGACGCGATGCATGTTCCTTTTTGCGGATTGAGGTCAGCTGATTTGGGAGAGGCTCTGTCAGTCGGGCTCCAGTTCCGCTCAGTGAGCTCTGGCAGGCACAGTCCTCTCCTTCCCCAACCAGTCACTCCCAAACAAGGAAATAACCTCTCAACTTCCTTCTGGCCTCATGTCTGCAGAACAAGAGCTGCGTGGGATTAACTCCCTTCCGATGGAACTTTGTGACGAAGTGATCTTGCAATCCGGATCCGTCGCTGTGATAAACTGACCACTGATGCAGATCGTCCTGTTAGTCGCAACAGAATCACTCAGTCTATGCTCTTGCGATGTTGATGGCCATGATTACTACTCCTTCAAGGAACGAAACAAGAGGCTGAGACGTCCTCGGCTCGTCAACAAGCTATTCCATCAAAGTGCTACTCGTATCTTATTTAAGGATACCATCATGTGCTATGAGGGACCCCTACGCGACGATATAAATCAGACTGAGACGAAACTTCAAGGCATTATCGCGTCTGGCTTAACCCGCTATATTCAAAACCTACATGTCGACCCGAAGCTGCTCTGTCGGAGCTTTCATCTCCTCTTCCAAAATCTCCACTGCCTACAAGGTTTCTTCTGCAACGTTTCCACTCCTCGGGATGACGAACGCGACTTCATATTCACAGCTCTTCAGCATGCACACCCTCCAAGTTTACGCACGCTGCGCCTTAGAGGTTACGGCCTGGGCCATCATCCGAGCTTCGAACGCATGCTTGTCATTTTTCTGCCACAGCTTCAAGATCTTTCGGTCGAATTGAGAGGTAAGACAAAAGAACCTAAGGATACTATCTTCTGTCTGGGAGAGCAGATATTTCGACATGCCCAGAGGTTGCGCAGTCTCGTGATTAAATGGTATGATTTCGAAGTGCCGGGGTATCATTCATTCCTCCCTCTTGATGCACCTTTGGAGCGGCTACACCTGACTCGTGTGGTGATCTCATATGAGTTGCTTTCAGCAGTCTTGTCATATAGAGAGACGCTATTTTATCTGCGCTTCCGTGGTGTCACCTTGCGGACGGGAAGTTGGGCCCAGTTCCTGACCTCATTAAGGCGTTTCCCAAAATTGGTCGACCTTATGGTGTTGGGGTGTCGGTATGAGCCCAGCGCTGCGCACAATGATTTCGAAGAAATTTCCCGTTTTTCAACGCTAAGACCTGATGACATCTCTGCATACGAAGCGTGCTTGGCAGAAGTAAAAGCACGCCAGAAAGAAACGGGCTATAAAGAACCCTGGACAACTTCATGGTCAGATCTGGACCCAGGACGCCACTGGACACGGCTTGCTATACGGCTTGATTCGCAAAATACTGGATTGAGTGAATGAAGATCTGTAGATAAACTGGAGACTTGCTATTGCTTGCCCGCTTCAGCTGTTGTACCTGCAAACGGCAACTGCTGAATGCTGGATTAGTTTACATTGCTTTGCAGAATTCGCAAGTTGAGTCAAACTTGGAATACAACGGGTTCGAAATTCATTGTGCACCAAATACAGAATTTTTGTATTAGGAAATTCAGACACAAGTTCATGCACAATCACCCAAGTCTGTGACCAAGCGGATCAAGATTAGTACCATGTGCTGCGGCTCTTAGATCCCACATGCTATTTTTATCTTGCTTCCCTCAAGAATATGCATCTTTGAACAAGCCACTCATTATCCAGGCTAGTACTCTGAACATGTCGTTTCTGACAAGTACAGATAACAAAACTACCTTTCCAAAGCTCTCAACCCCGCATCTAGAGAATGCTAAGAGATCCTAATCATCAATCTTAACAGTACTCTATCAAATCATAACACATTTGAACCATCATCGAAATAAACACCCAGGCAAACAATCAAGCCAGTTCTTTGCCTGTCGCCCGTTTCTGCTTGAAAGCGTACCACAGAATCAACCCTAACGTCTGCACCCAAGAGACAGCCGCCAAGGCCGTGATAGCCGTCAACCCGTGCCGGTAGAGCGGCTTGTCTGATGTGCGGAAGATCTGCGAGCCTGAGATACCGGCGCAGTTGGCGGCCATGACGATCAGTCTGTTGTCTGGGTTAGTGATTGTAGTTTATAGGAGTTAGATAAAAAGGAGGAGAAGCATACGCCATGGAGATGCTCCGCTCTTGGGGCGTCTTGCAGTGGAAACCGAGCCAAGCGATGTTTAAGACACTTCGTCGCGAGTTAGTGGTTGATTTTGCGATAGAACGTCTGGACTCAAAGGGCTACTTACTGCATACTGGCGTAGACAACATTCGCGATCGTGATGACTGCGTACTTATGCCAGCGAGAAGAATCCGCAGGTGTGGTGCGCAGACAGGCATAGGAAACGACGTTCCAGGTGATGCATAGCAGGACGAAGGGGCCGCGTTTGCCGGTCTTGTCACTGTGGCTTGTTAATGCCACCCCGTAAGAGTGGAGTGATGGGAACGTACGAGAACCAAGCGAGGATCGTCAGCCAGACAATGCTCACGTAGACCGGGACACTGGCTAGAGCGTTGGCGCGGACGGCACTAAACCCGAACGACTTGATCATGCTGGGCGTGTATTGATTTAGGCCCTGGAGGGCGGACATCGACACGAGGCTGATCATGAAGTGCTGAATGACGGTGGGCTTGCGCATGGTGTCCCAGATATCGCGGCCGGTAATCTTGATGTGGTCGCGGGCTTTGAGCGGGTCGTCGAGCAGGACGCGGTCGCGGATGATTTGTTTCTCGCGCGGGGTGAAGTAGCTCCAGCGGCCCATGCTGGCGAGGGGGCTCCCGTCGCCGGCTTTTTTGGGGATGAAGAGGATGAACAGAATGGCGGCGAAGATGGTGATGAGACCCTCGACTGTTTGACGTTCGGTATGAGTATTGCACAACGTACTGCGATGTTCTGGTCAAGGAACTTACTCAGGAAGATCCATTGCCATCCTGCGAGTCCGCACCTTCCGGCTAGTTTCAGCAAGCCAGCGGAGATGAGACTGGAGGTCGCACCGGCGAACATCTGCCCATAGAAAAAAAGGGTTGTGCGGAAACTGATCTCGGGGCGTTTGTACCACTGAGAGAGATAGTAGAGAGCACCTGTGAGACACACGTATCAGCCGGTTGTATTATACCAACCCATCAAGACCTCAACGTACCAGGAATAAAGCCACCCTCAAGCAAGCCAAGCAGCAACCTCGTGACCAGAAAAGCAGGATATGACTTCACAAAGGCCTGGAAAACCCCCACCAATCCCCAAGCAACAAGCTGGGCCGATAACCAGACTTGAGGTCCCACGCGCTGAAGAATGATATTCGACGGAATCTCACTGACGACGATTCCCGCAGACAGCAGCTGGGTGCCGACATTGATCTGGTTGGTGTTGATATGTAGGTCCTCGGTGATGGTTGAGGTTAATGCAGCGCTGATATTGCCACGGTCGACCTGGAGACCGAAGAAGGCGAGTCCGAGAACGGGGAGAAGGATAAAGTCAATCCTATGGAAAGTATATATGTAAGTCAAACAGGATTTTCCGCAACATGGCCTGGATAGGTAGGATGGACCTACTTCCGACGAACTCGTGCTTCTTCCTTGTCATCCCAATTCTTGATTATCTCGACCCCTTCGTCGTTGTCGTGGCTGACCTCGTGGCTCAGGACCTTGTCGATGACTTTTTCTTCAGAGAAGTCCTGCTCGGGGTAGGAGTGAGTGGCCATGGCTGCGGAGACGTTATGCGCGGCCTCGAAGCTTCAACCGAGAAAATTAACGTGAGGAAGCCAGAGGGAAAGGCGGCTAGATCACACAGAGAACTTGAGCTGGCTGGACCACATAACTGTATGGAGAGGTGGGATACTTATACGGCGGTGAAGTGAAGGCAAGGTGAGTTGTGATGGGCAACTCGGGCTCGCTAAGATTGACCCGCAGTGGAGGAGCAGCCGGATAGAGTGAGAGACGGGCTGGATGGCGCAATCACTGCTGCTGCTGATGTCAATTCCGATGGGCTTTCTCAGGTCTTTTCATGCATGGCTCGATCAGGCTTATCTGATAGAAGGCTGATTATGTATGATTATCTTTCAAAGTCAGAGGTCTCTCAATGCCTCCCCTAAGCGAGGTCCTCATGTGTGCTGAGGTTGAATCTGGATGGTCATTCAGTCAGGGTTACGCACTTGGCGGACACCCTCCCGCAATCGCATCATTATCAAGCCGATGAGAGAAGCAGGAATTCTATGAGATGCTGCTTTTTCCCCAATTCTAGAAACGCCCAATGGAACCTGGAAACTCACTCTGTTCCTCGCAATCCACTTTGTTCTTTTGTCTACTTCTTAAAGAGGAGCCATGAATTGAGTTGAGCTATATTCCTGTCCATGTGCTACGCGTGGAAGGTTGCATTGTTAAAAGTCGTGCCGCAGTTTGGGTTTACATATTCATTACTCGCCGTCATATCACCACATGAATATCATAATTATGGACTCGCCTCAAGTCCACGCTTCCCAGCTCAATCCATCCCGATACTGGTATCCCGTCTGCGGGCCTTCAGCATCAATGAGGTAGCCGTCCTCGCACACCGAGTACAGCACCTTGGGTTGGGCCTTGTAGAATCCATCGTACTGGGCGTCCAGCGCCTCTTTGAGACTACGCACATCACCTGAAGGATGGAGAACTTTCCAGGGCTCGATACAAGTTCGTCCTTGACAGGATTTGAGCACGAGAAGGAGTGCATCGATCCGGTCAAGCACTGCTGCCAAAGGACGACCGAGCAAACGAACCTTGCTGCGGGAGTAAAGGTTGTTCATCTGGTATGGGTCCGTCTGTGCATTTGTTAGGCACAGTAGGTTGGCATATGCTGCGTTACACATACCGAAAGGTCGTACAACTCGTGGTCGTTGTTACACCAGACCGAGTAGTACAGATTATACTCGTTCGACAGGATCCGAGCGGACTTGTATGTATTGTTGGGCATGGTGGGAGATCCATGAGGACCTAAAGCCAGTTGATATCAGCAGTCTGTTTCTCATCGGCGACAGAAAAACCATACCAAGTCGTGAAAACTCTCCTTCAAGAACGGCCCTTCCCCAATATTCCACCGTCACATGTTCATGCAAAATGGATTTGGTTTCCCGCGCCAAGGGCATTGGAGTGCCATCAAAATCTCCCCTCAGCGGGATACCAGCAAGCTCAAACAACGTGGGTGCGATGTCAATGTGGGTAGTGACACGATCAACGCTGACACCGCGTGGGAGTCCAGGCCCACGTATGTAGAACGGAACGCGGATGTCCTCCTCGTATCCAGTCGTCTTTCCGGGTGGCAGACGATGCTGGCCAATGTGGTAGCCGTTATCTGCACTGTATATAATAAAGGTGTTTTGAAGTTCGCCGCTAGCTGCCAGGCGAGTCAACAGACGGTCAACAAGCTCGTCAACCCCTTGCAATGCACGCAAACGTTGTCGGTAAAGATGGTCTTCATAATCAATGACGGTTTGGTTTTTGAGCTCGAGGTTACGAATCCAACTCACTCCGGAGAGCTATTACACATTCAGCTTTTTTTTTTCCTTTCATGGCAAGCTGGCACGGAAGCATACCTGTGCAGGATTGAAGTGTGGTGTTCGTGGTACTTTCGCGTCTGGGAAGAGATGCGCATGGCGCGGCGCGGGAAGTGGTTCCGTCATGACTGGGTTTCCTCTTTCCTGCTCCAGCTCCACATTGGTGTGGGGTGCAATTGGTGCCACTGTGAGAAAGAAGGGCGAGTCACTCTGCAAAGCATCCTCGAGAAATCCCAATGCTTTGTCGGTAATCACATCTGTCGTGTGGTGACCCTCGTAGCTGCGCGGTGGATCATGGTTGCGCTGGTAAGTGGCGTTCCAGTAAGAGTAGGTGAAGGGATCAAGGAGAAAGTCGGAGCCATTAAAGCCGTTGACGAAAGGGGCGTTGTACGTGTGGATACTATGTGCGTTGAAGAGTTTGCCGGTGTAAAATGTATTGTAGCCCGCAGATTGCAACCAGACGGGCAGGAAGTTATCATTGAAGCCTTGAGACACAAATTTCGGATAGCCGCCTATCAAGGTTAACGCTTGGTCACATTCAATTTCAGACGTCGAAATTACCATAAGGTGGATGTACATCCGTGACATTTGTGTTGTGCGCTTGTCGGCCGGTCCAGAGACTGACTCGCGAGGGACAGCATAGGGCGGTAGTGACAAAGTGATTCTGAAATTCAATGCCTTGTTCCTTGATCCAGGCGAGCGTGTGTGGCATATACGCTGGGGAATTCAGCTGAAGATCCTGGTCATCGGTCAGGATGAAAAGAAAGTTGGGCGGTTTGGCCGATGTCGGTTGCTCCTGCTGCAAGGGCTGCTGCTGCTGGCCTGGAATGGCCTTAGAGCCAGCGATGAGCAGCGCGAGTACCAGGAGCAAGCGCCTCATGATTTTGGCCTCAATTGCTGGTATTGGTGGGAAGCAGCAGCTGACGCAGTTATACCATATCCGAGCATTCATTGCGCCCGGATGGCGAGAAGATATCGCGGGATGACACCATAGCGGGTGCTTGACGTTGCCGACCGAGGATTAACTTCTGGTTCGGCTAGCGAGAATATGATGATGGCACGCAGTGATGCTCTTTTTAGTGGCAGATTGCACCATGGATGGCCAATAAACCATAGTCCCTTGCAGTGCTTGGCTCAGACAAAGCCCAGACCCGCACGATAGGATCCACTCATGGTCTGGGGAAATCATTCTCGTTTGAACGGATATGCAGTTGGGAGGGACACACTCGAAGGAATCCAGTCCACCAGCAACCAGCGCGCCCTTGAATTGTGGAGCTCGGCTAGAGCTGATGGCGTGCTCTCCTTTATGATGAGCTCATGGCAGACCTTGATCGGCTTGGTGAGTTCTAAACAGTGTAAACCGCGGAAGGCTATTGCATGACGTGCATATCCTTGAGATTAATCAGATTAATCATTAGGTGGAATTGAAATTGGCTACGCGAATGTGTGGCTAATTAAGAGAGACAGTTCTCTATATCCTCCAATTCCTTTCTATACCGCCTGGCCGACCGCTCGACTGCAAGTGCAGAATAGAAACGAAGTCGCTCTTACGTGAGTACATTGGCTGCTTAACATTCAATCTACGCTTCTATGGAGTGACGTAGAGTGTATAGGTGTGAAAGTCCGATATACCATAAGCATTAAAGATAACAGTGTAGGGTACTTCAGCTAGTATGCAACGCCTGGTTATCTTCAGAATGGTGTTGCGCTGAAAATATATGCTACTCTCCAGCATAAGTACTGGATACCTCAACCTCCTCGTTCGGTTCACAAAGTCCGGGCTTATCCATCCTGAGATAACATTATTGAGGGAAGTCTATGGCATAAGAGAACATACGAGCATATTATAAGTATGGGATCTAGTTCCAATCCAGCACGATCTCGTCTTGAATTTAAAGATCTGATAGGATTGGATCATTCCGCCACTAAAATGGCGGTAAGCCTTTCAACAGTTTCGACCGTCGAGTTTCGCCCACTGTTTGGAAATTCTGCCAGGTCGAAGCGGTCAGGGCACAAACAGTTTTCTGACCGAGGTTTTCCCGATTGTTGGGCGGGATTCTGCCAGACAGTCGCCTAGGCGGTCAAAGAACGAACAGTCGTGACCGCCGAGTTTCGCCCGCTGGGTGGGAAATCCAGCTGTTCCAAGGCGGTCAGCAAACGAACAGTTTCCACCCTCCGAGTTGTGACCGTAGTGCGCGACGCGCGATAAGAACAGGATAACTGGGTGCTCTGGACACGAGTCCCTTTGACCACGGCCGATGAATATACACTTCTTTTCCGTAGCACACAATAGCTTGCAGCAAGCTTTTTCTTCAGCATTCCCCTCCAATCTAGCGGCAATCATATTGTTTATAATCATTGCCTCCAGATTCTCCATTCTCTCTCAGTTATCGGGGCGATTAGCGGCTTGACGACATTCATACAAGGCAGCCACAAGATGTGCATTGGCAGTTACTCATATCCTCGTGCCTTTTGAGCTCGTATCTGCGCAGAGAGAGGCTTTAAAAGCTAAACATTTCAACTCTTAAGTCATCAAATCTTGACGATACACTATAAACCTGATATCTCTAAATGACCACACGCGCAATCATCAAGGCTCTGCGCCGAACAGCTCCTTGAACGCATCTTCCCAGATACTGCCCCCCCGCCAGAACCTTTGAACAATTGGCTTCCTTCCTGGCCGACCTGCACGAGGCAACTCGTTCACCCATCCCCACCGGACCTTCCTCTTCCATCCTTTCCTCTTCCACTCGTTCAGGTCCGCTTCAGGGGACTTATTCAAAGTGGGAAGATGCCGCACCAGCTCAGGGTCATGCGCAATGCAGATAAACACATTTGGTAAAGCATCAATTCGTCGCAGCTGATCCACGGATTGCTGTGCAATCCCAGGGTCATCAAACACGCTGGCTTCCAAGGCAGATATGTCGTAGAAGGGAGTTTTCTCACGGTCTATTTGAGTAATCGGATGATGATCGGTGAAGATACTGCATGGACATGGGACAGGGAAGAATGGATCGCTATCCAAGGTTTCAAGGGGGAAATGGGCTGGGAATGGAACTTCTGGGGTGGGTCGAATTACGCCAGCGAAATGGCAGATGTCGCCGCCGAGAAGAATGAAAGTGTGTTTTGTTGTACGAGCGAGGCCGCAGATGTGGCCTACACAGTGACCGGGGGTGTCTAATGGGAGGTGAGGCTCTGCCTTTGATCGAAGAGATTAACTGACATACCTAGAAGATAGAAAGACCCATCCCCGAAGAAGTCCATGGCGCGATAGCCTGCGACTCTCAGGGGGAAGTCAGGCTCAACTACCTCACGGTCGTGGAATGCATCTGCCGGGACGGGAGAATTTGGGTTTTCAGGGTAGCCTGGAAATAGAGCTGGGTCTTTCAAAAAGCCAGGACCAACAATCAATTCTGTTGAAGGTGGAAACTTGGCAACGTCTCCAATGTGATCCCAGTGATAATGCGACCAGATGATGGATGCTACCACGCAGTATCAGGCTTGAGATTATAATTGAGCGCTTGAACGAGCTCTTGGACATACTGATCTCTTCCAATGAGACTCCACTCTCTTTCAAGATTTCTCCCACATCCTTCTCCACCTTTAGAGCGGACAGGATCTTACTGATCCCCCGTTTCGCAACGGTAGGAAGATTCCAATAGTCCTTCCGTGAGCCTAGGTCAAACATGATTTTCTTGTTGAGCGCATCGTTTTCGATCAGAAATGCGACGTCTGTCAGATTAAGGAACTCATGGCCTAACTGTAGAGGCTGGATGAGAGTCTCTGTTCGGAGGCTCATTAGAGTAGTGGTATCAACCATCCTTACTCGGACCGTGTGGTCGGATTGCGGGACGTCTAGCAAACCTGTCATGGTAGCGGGATTCGTAGATGACGGTGATCACTAATGTCTCTGATAAAACTGCTCAAATACCCAAGCTTATATTCTAGTCCAAACCACAGCTTGCTACGATACTTCAACCTCCGTCATCCAGCGCTTCAAGCACCCCCGCTACCCCGTTCTTTGCCGTCTTCAGCTTAGTGGCTAACGGGACCCACCGTTATCGCAACGGGCCGACTGCGTTCCGGGCCTTCCCCTCACTTCCCCTCAACAAAGGACGGCATGCATCCCTGCCAGCATCTACAAAGATACTGTATGTACCTCAGTCCAAAATGTGAAGCTCCCAATCGCTGAAACCGAAGCGACCGGGATAGTTGGAGCAAGCTGAGTCACTTGAATTACTCATAAAAGCCTGCAGCAATCAGCTGAAGAAACGGAACAATGCTACTTACTGTTGTCCATGCATCCCGTCTGGGGTCTTATAAACCCCCCACTCGCGCATGTTGCATTTCCTGGATTTGACACTTTCATCGGTTTTGAAAGTCAAGTCTTGCTTCAGTTTCGACTAATAATTGTCCCAGTGAACGGCTTCATTCAGAATGGGCTCCATCGACCCGCTGCCCAATCTTATCTTCGAAAAATACGGCGTACCGGCCTCGGTTCTCCACTTAGGGAGCAACAGCGCCGGACCCCACCCCTCTTCGGCCACTCGCCCCGTTCACCATCCCGAGTGGGATATTCCCTCCGACCGCGGATATATTGTCTCTAACCACTTGATCAACGAACCTCCGCCGGACCACAAAACCTTCAAGATAATTGTCCTTGGTGCTGGAGCGGCGGGGATCGATTTCCTGCACCACGCTCCCCCCGCCCTTGAAGGACTGGGCGTCGAGATTGTCTGCTATGAAAAGAACAATGATGTTGGAGGTACATGGTATGAGAACCGTTATCCTGGGTGTGCGTGTGATATTCCCAGCGTGGCCTATACGTTTCCCTGGAGGAGTAACCCCAGTTGGACGCGTTACTACTCCGGTGCGAGGGAAATATGGGAGTACATGAAACGGATAGTGGAGGAAGAGGGCATGATGCGGTATATCCGCTTGAGGACGGCAGTGATCTCAGCAGTGTGGGATGAAGGGAGGAGCAAGTGGGTGGTAAAGCTGAGGCGGACGGACGATCACGGACACGCGAGCGAGTGGGAGGAGGAGGGCGATGTGTTCATCAATGGCTCCGGATTCCTGAAGTATGTTCATGACCATACAGATATGTAGAAGAGAGCTGACGAACATAGTGCGTGGAAGTGGCCGGATACACCTGGGCTGCATTCATTCCAAGGCAAGCTTTTTCATACAGCTGCCTACCCCGAGGGATTTAGTCTGAAGGATAAGAGGGTGGCTGTCATTGGTTCGGGCAGCTCAGGAGTTCAGGTCATTGCCAGCATTCACGATGAAGTATCTCATCTGTACACATGGGTGCGAAGCCCCGTATGGATCACGGCGGCGTTCGGACAGAGCTTTGCTGGGAAGGACGGTCGGAATTTTGATTGTAAGCCCGGGTATATGGTTCTTGAGAGGCTTGGATCTAACAGAGCTTAGATTCCTCTGAGCAGAAGAAAGACTTCAGTTCCGATCCAGGGAAGTATCATCGATACAAGAAGGCCATCGAGAACGAGTTGAACCAGCGCATTAAGCTCACTTTGCGTGATACGGCAGAATCCGATGACGCCAATGCTGTAAGTATCGATATTCATACTGATGCCTGGTTTCTAACTGACTCTCTATAGTACGCGTACAGCGAAATGTATACCAAACTTCAATCCAAGCCTCACGTACGCGATGCTATCATTCCCTCTAACTTCAATGTTGCATGCCGTCGCCCCACACCAGGCAACGGCTTTCTCGAAGCATTAGCTTCCGATAAAACGACTGTCTTCACTTCACCCATCAGACAAATCACACCCACAGGGGTGATTGACTCCGCTACAGGAGTTGAGCACGCGGTAGACGTGATCATCTGCGCAACCGGCTTCGACACCTCCTACCGGCCGCGCTTCCCGATCATTGGTCTCAACGGTATAAGCCTAGCAGACAAGTGGTCTGACACACCGACAAGCTACCTGGCTATCGCCGTCGACGGATTCCCGAACTATTTCACCTACTCCGGCCCTTTTGGTCCAGTCGGCCACGGCTCCATTCTCCCAATAATCTCACATCTATCAAGCTACTTCATCCAGGTCATACAACGCATGCGAATACAACATATCCGTCGTCTCAGCCCTAAGCCCGCCGCGGTGGAGGACTTTGTCGAGCATGTTCGGACTTATCTACCACGAACCTGCTGGGCGGATCCGTGCTCGAGCTGGTTCAAGCAAGGGAGGAAGGACGGGCTAGCGGTCGTGTGGCCTGGGTCACGGTTGGCGTACTTCGAAGCGTTGCGGACGCCGACGCTGAGTGATTACGAAGTTGTTTACTGGAGTGGGAATCGGTTCGGGTACTTGGGGTCCGGCTTTGTGGATGTGGAGTTTCCGACTGGCGTGCGGGATCTGACATGGTATCTGGACTGGTACTTGGGTAATAAAGACTGGAAGCAGATGAAGATGGAAGTTGACAGGGAAGAAGCAGAAATGTTCAAGAGATTGAGCGAGGGGGCATGGTAAGAAGAAAGGGGTCATGCGTACGCATGCGCATGTGCATGATTGTGCAAATAGGTCTTTGATGTGCTAGATGACGACCACATTGATATGAGAAGAGATTACATTGCTGTCCACCGGTCCTATCGCGAACTATCCATCGCTAGATACAAGAAGGAACCAAGAAGTGTGGGCCAGAAAGCAGAAGAACAAAAAGTTAGGTAGAGAGATACATGGACCGTGGTAAGTGCAAGAGCCCAAACCGACTTCGTATCTTTAAAGGAAAAAAATGAACCACAAAAACAGAAGCCACCCACCCACCCACTAGACAACACAACCGCAGATGCAGCCCAACCAAGCATGCGCCGATCACGATCACCCACTCGATCTCGCTTTTTTCTCACGCAAATCCTCATCGTCCTCTTCCAGCACAGCCTTCAGCGCTTGCTCGGCCGCACCCAACCGACGCCGTAGCCTCATCACCTCATCCATGGCCACAAACGCGAGATCCCGTCCGAGACACGGCACGTGCTCCAACAGCTGCGGCGTGAGACCCTTGCCCTTGAGCCCCGGCCCAGCTCGATAGATTGCCTGATTGTGCAAGAGCTCCGAGACAATCCGCTGATGTAGGCGCACGTAGTTCCACGAGCGGCGGTCGTACAGCTCCGCCATGGCGGCCGCGAACCCGTCCTCGTCCTGCCGGAGCGCCCACAGCGCGGTGGAAAAGCGGTGGGCCGCGAGGGTCTGCAGGCCTTCAATCAAGAAGTACTCAGCTTGGGCGTACATCTTGGCATGGAAACACGCGACGTAGCGGTGGGCGAGAGCGTCTTTTCCGGCGGCGGTGGGCGGGTTAGTGTCGGGTGTGGGAACCACGGCCGAGTTGTCGCGGAGCAGGCCCTTGTCGATGGCTGTCAGGATCGTGCTCGTGGTGAATGTGTAGTCACCTTTGTAGAGGTACTCGAGGACTTTGGTCAGGAGGTACGGAGCTGTGTGGCGGAGGTAGATTGGTTTGGTGGCGCCCTCCTTGTGGAAGGTTTGGGTGTTAGTGCGGGCTTCGAGGGTTGTTCTAGACCGGACGATGATGGGATCGGATGCTTACCATGGGGTAGGGTGTGTGTTTCTGATTCGCGGCGCGAGAGAGGAATCTGGACTGGCGACACACGATGAAACGGTGCGCGGGGAAGCCCTGGACATCGGTGACGAGGGCGAGATCGCTGGATTGCGGGTTGAGATAGTAGCTGGTTGGTGGTGTTGTTAGTGTTTGTCTCTGTTACTGGCCGGAGATGGGGCTATTTGGGTAGAGTGGGTGTAGCTTTACTCACCTGGCGCGTTCTGACAGCTCTGGGAGCCCATCGTCGTTCATCTTGGTTTGCTTGGTTGATGGGGCGAGTTGTGGTTCACGTTGGCGCGCTGAGTCGTCACGCTTACTCGTTGCTGACTCGTCGACGGGGCAGTGGGGATGTGGAGGAGATTGTGTGTGAAGAGTCTCATAGCAAGTGTTACAAAAGCCATTTCATTTGGTTGTGGTCGCGTGATCTACAGTTGGGGGGAGTGAAGCAGTGAATAGTCCATCTTAACACACGCGAGATTTCCGTAATATTAAGATTGATATCTGCTTTGCACGCACAGCAGCCTGTTTCGATGGGACATAATCTTCTTCTCTAAATGCTTTCCTTCTCGCTCCATGAAGAGAAACTTGATCTCTCTCTCTTAAAGGCCTCCAGACTCATCGCCCTACATAAAGAAGTTCAGATGAAGTTGAATCAGAATTCGGTTCAGCTCTGAGAGAAGCGCTCGAGCATCAGCCTGCTTGAAAGGTTTACTTGATTACTTCATGGAAGCGGATTTACACATTGATTCTGGTAAGAGTATTGCGAGGCTTTAGGGAGATCTAGGTACAGTATTCATCCAGCCCTGAGGCAGCTTACCACTAGCATTGAATCTAAAGCTGTGTCGACGGTTAGTGGAGCGAAGGTGATTGAAGTATTGCATAACCAAGACAAGATTAGTCACTTATGCAAGCCAGTCATTACTATGCATCGATTAGTTTCCACTTGACTGCAGCTGTCTCACGACCGAGACTCCGAGGCCGGCGCCCGAGCCCCGAGAAAGAAAAAGAGTTGTTCCCTCATCGTGGAGCACCAATTGACAGCATGGAAGTCAGTTTCAAAGTTGGAGTGAATATACTGCAGCTTGACATCGAACTTCATGAGAGCTGCATGTTGTGTAGGTAGCTACTCTGACTTAACTGGCTTATGGCGGTGACTGCACCTCACAGACACACCACAACTCGGCCTAATATATCTAGAGTTCAACATTGGCTTGGTAGGATCGACAATTGCCGTGCCACGAGCAGTCCTAGCTTGCTGCTCTATTAATCTACCCTTATCCAAATTCTTTCCCTTTACATTCTTCAGAATATCGCACCAAATTAGATTCTTGTGTAACTTCTTGGTTGTAATTGATATCGATTCGCTAGCTCTGCATGATCAGCTGACTCAGCCGGATCCGAAGATCCGGGGATTGCACGGCTGGTCGGGGAGGACAGCCGAATCTCAACCACTCTCATCCTCCAAGTCAGCGACCATAGTTACCCATCCATAATCATTTGCCAAGACATGCTATCATACAGTTCTGACATTGTGAAGTAAACATGTCAGCGCCAATCGATCGCCAAGAGATCGACCGCGTTCTGCAGTTGAAACGCACTCAACGCGAGGCTCGAGCGTGTTATCCGTGTCGTCAACGCAAGGTGAAGTGTGACAACTCTCAGCCATGCCGGACGTGTCGAAGACGCGGCCATCCCGAGATCTGTGTCTATGATCCGAGCCCACCGAAGCAAGCCCGCGCTCGTAGGGCAAGCCGACAACCTCCTTCGTCTACAGCCTCTCGCCAGCCAACTCCTCTCCCCGCAATACAGACAGCGCCGAATTTGGGTTTCCCGATACAACCGCCCGCCCAAAGCTACCCCGTTCTCCCCCCATTCTCACAATTACAGCAGAACGAACTGAGTCGGACTCTTCCAGCTTATGGCCCTGAGGGGGATTTTGTATATTCCGGTGACAATTCAGTCGTTTCCATCCTACGTCATCGCACACATGATGCAAATGGTTCAATGGCCCGCGAGGTGGGCTCGGTCCTCGGATTGCAAAATACCTATCATAGTTATCCGTTCATGGAGTTCAGAACTCCTGGGGATCGATGGAGGGAACTTCTTCGCATCCTTCCCCAGCGCGCAGAGGTCTTGAAGTAAGCACTTCAGGGTCTCGTCTTCGACGCTTCTAACCGAATACAGGTTCTTTCACTTCTATCGCCTCTCAGCTTATCCATTCAACCCTATTCTTGTAGATATTGAACGTTTCGAGCTGGATCTTTGTTCATATCTGAATGCACTGGCTGGCGGAGAATTACAAGACCCCTCTCGCATTTCCGATCGCTGGGCCAGTGAGAAATCAGTCGCTCATATCAGCCTGCTACTTGCTACTCTGGCTGCTGGAGCACACTATTCCGATCTGGAACATATACAGCGCTCAGAACTCTGTCTGGACTTTGGTATGTGCCATTCCAACTCCCCACAGTGTTGCATGCTCACTTCGTGAAGCCAGACGCTCCTTTCAAGCTTTACGGCTAGCAAACTTTCTGTTCCGACCTACGTTCGATATTATTCAATCTCTCCTCATCCTCGGGAACACCCTGCAAAACACTGGACAATCCGATTCAGCCTGGGCATTACTTGGCAGCACAGTCCGATTAGCTCAGACAATTGGGCTGCACACTGAGAAGAGCGTAGCAAACCTGCCCGATCACGTGAAGTCCAAAGCAAGGAGATTATGGTGCGCACTTTCTGAATGCCCTTGCGGCAGGTGCTAACTCATTGCAGGTTTACCGTTGTGTGGCAAGACAGCCTCTTATGTCTCTGTTACGATCGACCTCCTATCGTCACGGTCAACGGCTGGTCGCTCGATAACTCAGTTTTCACGGGCCAAGAATTGAATTATATGGACATGATGCACTTTCTTTGTCGGATTGCACTGGATATACTGACAGCTAACGAGGCAGAGATGCAACAAGCTTCTCGCTTGCTTGACATATTGGCTACTGTGGACAGAGTCTACCAACGGGCGCAACCTCACCTACGTTCTCTGCAGGAATGCAAAACTCTGCATCACAACCTGGAGCATCTTGCACTGAAGATGCACCTTGCTTTTGCTGTCTCCGTTGTCACTCGGCCTGCACTCAAGCGATCCGAGATTCGCGATTCAGCCCAAGACATGTTGCGGATGCGCGCCAAGTGCAGTCTAATTGACGCATCCAACACTTTCCTTGAGTTTCAGGCGCTCAGTGTGGTACCCTTACGAACCTGGTCTATGGTACACACAGTGATCAGCTCGACGCTGCTGCTTTGTATATGGGAGGAGACGCGTAACGATGCCGAATGTCGTGATTTGCAGCAGAAGGTGATTGAGGTGTTTTCTGCAGCCGGCTCGGTAGGCTCAGTGGAGAGGTCAGGCTCGGAGAACGGGCAATGGTTGTCGGAGAGACATATTCGGGCGTTGATTACATTGCGAAACGCAGTGCGGACAGCCTTGGAGCGAGAGAAGGAAGAGGGCGACGTCGGGCCACAGAATCCGGAGCAGGCCGAGACCTTCATGCCTGCATTTGGGTAGGCGATCTACTGCATCGTATCCACTTGTGGAGCTTACGGGATGCTAACAACGTGCAGAATTCCCAACGGCTTTCCTGATGTATTGGGCCAGGACTTTTCGCCCATGTCCTATCTGGATTCAATTATGAACGGTACGACTGACTGCTGCTTGAAAGCGCGCAAAGCTAATAGCATTAGTACCCATGTTTGACCTATCCCAAGAGAACGATTTCTCGTGAACCATCTTTCAGTATGTTATGACGCAGCCGAAACGTTTCAGTTTTCGGATTCGCTCGGAAAACTCGGAGGTCTCGGGGCCTCGGTCTCTCTTATGGAGGTTCCCTCGTGTGTCCCTCTTGTGCCATAATCCGGGTCAAGGCAGAGAAACATGCGAGGAGAAACAGCAAACTTCCTCACAAAAATCCAGACCGATTGCCACGAGACACGTATATAAAAACCCAGAAATGCCTCAGCAGTGATAGCTACTACTACTCAAGTACTCACATCTTCTACACACGTTCAGATACACTATACCTGAGACCGCACCTATGTTCAGCGCAATCCTCCCCGGTACTGCTACGCCTAATCCCGGCCGTTCTGCCTCTCCTCACAACATGACCTCTGAACAGAGCCGTCCGGCGCAGCCCGCGCCCACACCCCGTCGACGTCGCATTGTGGTTGCAATGACGGGCGCCACAGGAGCAATGCTCGGTATCAAAGTGCTGATTGCTCTACGTCGACTGAATGTCGAGACTCACTTGGTCCTGAGTAGATGGGCCGAAGCTACAACCAAATACGAGACGGACTACCACCCATCGAACGTCAAGGCTCTTGCCGACCACGTGCACAATATCAACGACATGGCGGCACCGATATCGAGCGGGTCGTTCCGCGCGGACGGGATGATCGTGGTACCCTGCAGCATGAAGACTTTGGCAGCCATTCACTCAGGATTCTGTGACGATCTTATCTCTCGCACGGCGGACGTCATGCTAAAGGAACGACGGCGGCTGGTCCTGGTGGCGCGTGAGACGCCGCTAAGCGAGATTCACCTGCGAAACATGCTTGAAGTGACACGCGCCGGTGCAGTCATCTTCCCCCCCGTACCGGCATTCTATATCAGAGCGGCCGGTGTCGATGAGTTGATCGATCAGAGTGTCGGACGCATGTTGGACCTATTTGACCTGGATACTGGAGACTTCGAGCGATGGAACGGCTGGGAAAAATGAAAGGGGGAGTATCTTCGGTCGCATTTTGATCTTTATGGGGCGCATATACCTCGTTTTTTGAATTCAAATGGGTTTGATTTCAGGGGCGTGATCTGCTTTTCTGATTAGACTTTGGTTGAACGATAGACTTATTTTTGGGACCGGATGGTCTTTGGTAATGGACGAACCGCGGGTGAATTCCCCTTTCATGAACCTTGATTTTCATGTGTTTCTACTCTTTTTGGATGGATCGCTCGGACCCAAACAGCCGTTCTTCACAACATCCCCACTCCACTGGAGTTAGGAATCTGGACCAGGAACAGCAGCCAAACAACCAAACGGCACTGCAACCCCGATATGCAAGCAAACACTCTTACGATAAATTGACCAATGACTGGCGGCCAGCCAGCAAGCCGAAGGAACAGCGCTTTGACAATATGCGTCGGAGGAGCTCCTTGCCCCACATGGAAATGATCACCGGCACAGTACATACAATCGCGGGGAAAAAGGGCGCATTGTCCCGCTTGCTCGTCCTGACATTCGGCAATTCAGCCCTAATAACAGCAACTATTACTTCCTTCCAGGGCATTTCTCCTGGCTCAAACCTCGGTTCATGTGTGAGGTCTCAAACGGCCGGTTCTTCAAGATACTCCGCTTTTCGACAGCTCCACTTCTTATCGGCTTAGGTTGCTCCTGGCGCGGTCTCCTGACCAGCAGATGTACTTGGCCAACTCGACTGGTTTCTTGGATACAACTACAAAGAGGGGCATCCAAGGGTTTCAGCCGAGGAAACACATGGGACAGGTAATTCACCATGGCAAATTGGCATTCCAAGCGGACAGATCGGATGTTGTAGACACGGAGCGCATACCAAAAATGGGATCATGAAAGAGAAATGGAAGTCTATATAATTGCCCAAATGGTTGGCCTACCAAGCTATCATGCGGAACGTTGAGGCGCGACTCTCAAGCGATCATGAAGACCTCCTCTCTCCTTTGGCTTGCTCTTTCGTGGGTGGCTCATGCGGTGCCTGCCCCGCGCGCCGCAGCGCCTACTGTGACCATCGCCAGCCCAGCTGCCACAGTTATTGGGAAAGCTGGCGATGTCGAAGTCTTCAATAACATTCCCTTTGCGCAGGCGCCCACCGGCTCGCTGCGTCTGAAGCCGCCGCAGCCGATTCAGACGTCGCTCGGAACGATCAAAGCCACCGGAAATTCCCAGTCATGCCCGCAATTCTACTTCTCCACCAGCGATTTTCCAGCCTCAGTGCTGGGAATCCTGGCTAATAACCCACTGGTGCAAGTTGCCACCAACGCCGGTGAAGACTGCCTCAATATCGATATCCGTCGTCCGGCAGGCACAACAGCTGACTCGAAGCTGCCGGTGCTCGTTTGGATTTTTGGCGGTGGATTCGAGCTGGGATCGAAATCGATGTATGACGGCACGTCGTTGGTGTCCTCTTCCATTGATCTGAACTTGCCCGTCATCTTCGTTGCGATGAACTACCGTGTGGGTGGATTCGGGTTCCTGCCTGGCAAGGAGATCAAGGAAGATGGGTCTTCTAACCTTGGGCTGCTGGACCAACGGTTGGCTTTGGAATGGGTGGCGGATAACATTGCCGCCTTTGGAGGCGATCCTGAAAAGGTGACCATTTGGGGTGAATCGGCGGGAGCGATCTCTGTTTTCGATCAGATGGTGCTCTATGACGGCGACAACACCTACAAGGGCAAACCCCTGTTCCGAGGCGGTATCATGGATTCGGGGAGTGTCGTGCCTGCCGATCCGGTCGACGGGGTCAAGGGCCAGGCTGTCTATGATACCGTCGTCTCCAACGCCAAATGTTCTTCCTCCAAGGACACGTTGGCCTGTCTCCGGGACTTGCCGTACGAGACGTTCCTCAACGCCGTCAACTCCGTCCCTGGTATCCTGAGCTACAGCTCCATCGCCCTATCATACGTCCCACGACCAGACGGGAAGGTACTCAGCGCGTCCCCGGACATTCTCGGTAAGGCCGGCAAATTCGCGCAGGTGCCCTTCATCGTGGGCGACCAAGAAGACGAGGGTACGCTGTTCGCCCTCTTCCAGGGCAACATCACCACCACCGACGAGCTAATCAAGTACCTGGGTGACTACTTCTTCTACGACGCCAGCCAGGCGCAACTCGAAGAGCTTGTCGCTCTCTACCCGGACACCACGACCTACGGCTCCCCGTTCCGCACAGGCAGCGGCAACAACCTGTATCCGCAGTTCAAGCGGCTCGCTGCCATCCTCGGCGACTTAACTTTCACCATCACGCGCCGGGCCTTCCTGGCCTACGCCGAGCAGGTTGCGCCCACGGTGAAAACCTGGTCCTACCTGTCCAGCTACGACTACGGCACCCCGATCCTGGGGACTTTCCACGGCAGCGACCTGCTGCAGGTGTTTTACGGGCTGTGGCCTAACTACGCGGCCAAGTCCACCCACACATACTACTTCAGCTTCGTGCACGATCTCGACCCGAATGCCCACCGCGGCAGCTATCCCGAGTGGCCTGAGTGGAAGGAGAACCAGCAGCTGATGAATTTCCAGGCAAATTCGGCGGCACTGCTCGCGGATGACTTCCGCAATGGAACGTACGAGTTCATCGTGAATAACGTGGACGCTTTCCATATCTAGGAGTGTTGCGGAAAGTGATATATGTATCGCATTTCGGAGATATAGCATGTAATTCGCAGTTGGAATAAGATGTCTTGATGATGAGAAGCTGATATTGAGAAATATATCCCTGGTCGAAAGAACGTATGCACTTGAATTAGCCCACGATCCATGCAGCGTAAGCCTGACCCGCGCATCCGCGAAGTCGATGCAATCTAAGAGCAATATTCCAGGCCCTTGCACGCTTCAATAGAAAAATTGTCTCTCTCGATGATCACCCCCTACGCGGGCAAAAAGTATACCTCGCAATAGCGCAGAGAGACATACGTGATACAGTTGCAGCGATTGTCCGGAGCGAAGGAGCGGGAAGATGCATTGCATCTGTCGGCGAGGCTGTCTGTATTGGTGTTCGAAGACAGGGTGATCGGGATCGACTCGATGAGCTTTCGTTCGTCGGAGTCAAATGAGTCGTATGCGCGCTGCCACAGGTTGGAGACTTTCTAATCGACTGGTACTTCGGGGGTCTGCGAGCTTTTCATCTTCGTCTTGTGCGGGTTTGTTCTCCGCTGCAGTGGAGCTGATGTACTTTCATTTTGGTCTGGTTTGGTTTTCTCTTGTGCGATAGATATCGTCTCTTGTGGCCTGGTTCGTTGCTGTATGGCGGGATTGGCATGCTCCCTTGCCATTTTATTCTCCCGTGTTGGTTCCTCGTCTTGTGTACTGATGGGGTATCACTCGTATGGTCGTTAAGCTCAATGCAAAAGAGGGTTCAGAATGATAAGTGCTGCGTAAGGTGGATCCTGAGCTGCTGTGTGATCAGTAGGTAGTCAGCGAAGCTGTCACCCTTGTCGTAAGGCTTATGTCTAAACGTGAATTACCATAGCCTTTAGTGTATTGAAAATCTACTGTGCTTGCCTCAAGACTGCAGCAATCAAAGGACAAATTAATTAGATTCTCCAGGCTAAAAACAACATAGATCGGGTGGCATCCACAGATTCCCAAAGCATCCCAGCAAGATTCTCCACACATCGTAATTGCACATCTGCGCTACTTCGATCATCCCCGTCATTCACTTTATCCATCCCTAGGGCAATTAGTGCAAACGACGCGGTACTTCACCCCACCTCGGATAGAGATCTGCTCAACACAATTACATCGACCACAAGTGAGAGAACAGAAAGCAGAGAAACTCGGGAGAGTATCCAGGCTAATCGTGTACTCCGAGACGTTCTCCCGAATCTGGGTTCTGAGCCGGTCATTCTCATACATCAACTGGACTATCTGGCCGTTCTTCCATTGAAGGAGGTCGCGAGAAAATGCATCAGGGAACAGTTTCTGAATGAAGTCTTCGTCCAGAGAGTCAAAGTCGACATGCAGATGGTCCATGATACTGCTGCAAATGACAGCATCACCGGTGATTGTGTGGGCCGCACGTAATAGGAAGGCCATTTCCGCGTTGGAACATTCCGACTCTATCAGTTCGATCACTTTCTCTCGCGCGAGATGCTGGAGTCGCGGCAGAATGAAGTAGTCGGCGAGTTTGATGATTTCGGCGTGGGCACGAAGGGCCTTCGTGATAATCTCCATGTTCTTGTCCATAGTCCCTGCGCTAGTTAGGATACTTTCGACATGGCCTTCTGACCCGGGGAGCAAACTAACTCTTATCGTCCCCCTCATAACCAGGGAGGCTCATGTTGTAGTCGCCCATGTAGAGGTATTCCACCAGATAACCGACACTTGACGGCTCGAACCCTTCAATACGATACACGCGGCTGCGGCCCTCCTGCTCCAACCAAGTCAACTTCACGCTGAGACTCACACGTCGGCTCAAACATACCTGGAACCCCCCTTCGCATGCGGCCGCAAAAGCTGGCACTTGGGTGCACACAACGAGTTGGTGGACTGGAAACGTTCGGTCGCCACATACCAGGGAGAAGTCGGTGCGCTTCCCTGACTTTGCCCAGTCGTACATGACCTGGTTGTGTGGAGATTGGGATGCACTCATTTTGGGTTTCTGTCGTAGGTATTGCCGTGTGGGGGCAGGGATTAAGGGTATCAAGAACTGGACGGCGATGGGTGTATGTTTGCTTTGAGCTTTGTCACTCGTCGGTAAGAGATGCTGACGAAGTGAGAACAATGATCACAGGTGCTGAGATTATAAGAGGTCGAGAAGAGAAGTCTGAGAAGGTGAGGGAGGTTGAGGAAAATAGGTCGAAAGGGAAAGATTAGAAGGAATAAATCAGGAGGTTGAGAAGAAGAGATTGAAAGAACTTTGTGCGTGTGTGTGGGCAAGTGAATGATGAAGTCAGCCTTCCACGTATAAGGGTGCTTGATTGTGGGATGATCGCTTAGCAGGAATCCATGTTCAACAGCAGTCTTAGCTTATGGCCGCAAGTGAATAAGTGCAGTGATAAAATCTACCATGTCCTATGGCCTCTCTCCGCGTCAGTGGCTTGAGAAAGACTTAAGATGAAGACCAACGTTCTGGTAAGGTACTGGAGACAGATTTAGCGGTGATGTTTCTTAAGTAGAGGTCGGCTCAAGAGACTTCACACACAATTTCTCTCCCTTGTCACCAAGGGAATGCGATAATTGAGACTTTGCGGACCTGCGGCAAGCAAAGAAATCACTGATATTCGTAACTATTCACGGCATCTTCGCTTCTGATACATATGAACAAATGTCAATTCCCTCCAATCAAGCCAAGCAACCGTCCTACCCCCACAGAATTGATGAAACATATCAGTGACTTTACGACCAGCGTCGTGACGAGAGTCCTGCCAGCTGAAGGATACCGGGTGCGAGAGAAAGAGACTTGGATACAACTAGGCTACTTGGGCACCGGAGGTGCATACGCATTGAAGCCCCTGCGAGCAGGAGGTCGAGTAGCCATTTCTAATTCACGCACCTGATTCTCCAAGCGCGTTATCTTGTCGCACGCCAAGCGCAGGACTCGCGAAAAGACTGGCTCGTCCGGATAAGGGCTCTCAGTTTGAAAACAGAGTTGTAAAGCATTCCCCAAGCAAGAGGCGATCTTATCCTGGATAACCATGTCCGTGGTCAAGTCGTAAGCCTTCCGTAGTATATCACCAGAGCTCCCCAAAGGGGTCCGCAGCGTCTCGTCAATTTTTCGATACACGATGGCTCGGAGCGCTGGCAAGTCAAAGTGGTCTGCAACCTTGCCGACGTCGATGTGTGGGATCAGAGGGTCTTTTACATTGGTGAAACTTGTTAGCTCGATTCCCTGTGGCTTTTTGGGTAGGAGAAAACGTACTCTCGACACTCTCTGAGGTGTAGTCTCCAGTGTAAACAAACTCCACCATATGATCAACAATGAACGATGTGAATCCTTCACAGCGATAGGATCCCTTCTGTCCGTTCTGTCGAGAATCAGTCCGCGTCAATATAGCCAGCGACTTAGAGGGATTACTACTGTTCCTTCATCGCACTCGGCGGCAATGATTGGTACTTGGGAAAATACGATTCCTTGGTGTACCAAAATAGATTTATCGTCACAAACCAGGCGAAAATCGCAATTCTTGCCCAGTTTGGTCATCTCGTACAGTGTTGTTCCTAACAGTGGAGTGCGAAACGACATGGCTGGAGTTGATGCTTGTCGGGCGACGAGATTGACGCGTCACTCTGACAAGGAGAACGAAGGAAGGGAAATACACTGATGAAGTAAGGTGGGGGAGGTGCGTGCTTCATGTCGTCAAGTGAATGAATGTTGTCTATGGCAGTGTCGTGCCTAAGGCTACCACTTGTGCCGAACCTCTATCTCGTATAATCGTCCTCTCTTTTTACCTTTAAACTAACACTCCCCAGACAGAATATGCAGCAACCCATAAATACAAGCGCCAAGAATATATCAAATCTAAGTTTTGCTCTGCTCGATACACGCCAGAACCATTCGCTCGACACGATCCGCAAGACCCCAGCTCAACTTGAACCCGCTCGGACCAGCCCCGTAGCAATGAACGACAGGAACAGACTTCTCTTCATTCGTCATACCATTCTCCGCTGTATCTTGAAAGACAAGACGATCTGTCTCCAACCGGAGTCCGCCACGCCGCATCGGACGTCGAGCGACATACACCTCTCGAACGTCGAATCCCAGAGCCGGGCTGCTGGTGTCTGCCTCTCCTCCAAGAAGTTCAGGACAGAGTGCGGCGGCCCTCATCAAGATAGACAGCGTTGCGTTCTCGGAAATAGAATGCGACCTAAACTATCAGTATTGACAACGAGAGTGAATCGGCATACGCACCAGTTCTTCGGCTCCTTTGTGCCGCCTATAATCGTGCCTCCACCAAGGGGCCTAGGAATAATGACTGTAGTCGACCCATCAGACCAATGATGGCTCACAGTCTTCTCACACCGGTTAGACACCGCAATGAACTGTCCACGCGAGGGGAAAGAATGCGGATCATTGAAACCACGACCACTGGCATTAACGATCGCAAGGATATTCCGGTCTGGTTCGTGTTCCCGAGACACGAAGACCGCCTCTTCAAGAGCAGCCAATTCTCGGTGTATGAATTTCACGCCAAGCTTCTTCGCTTCCTGCTCAAGCCATCTCAAATACACCGGCGAGTTCAGCACCCAAGCAGTATACGTTACCCCGAGCTTGACCGTGTCATGTCCCTCAGGAAAATCTTGAGGATCGAGGACGCGGAATCCGGGCCACGAAGCGTAGCTATTTTCCTGCGTGAGACGCGGGTCGAAGTAGGCCGGGTCCGCCACGTCGAAGAATTCCACGCCAGGAACGAACTGGACGCTAGCCTCGGGATGCTTCTCCGACAGTCTTTGGAGTTCGGTATAGGTTTCTCGCATCAAACCCTGCTCGAGACGGTCCGCTGGCTTGGTGATGGGGACCGGTCGGAAATGTGCCCCAGCCCATGGAGAAGCATAGTCGATGTGGAAGTCGCCGGGGGATTCTCTGGATATGACAGTGACGGGGTGGCCACGCTGGCCGAGGCGTATGGCGCAAGTCAGTCCGATGACTCCTGCCCTGAGGTATATCTTAGTGTTGGCATTCCGTGGAGCAAATGCATCCAAGCGAAACTCACCCGACAACGATGATTGAGCTTTGATCCATGCTGAGATGGGTGATGAGAATAATTGAAGAGTTGTGCGAATGCAAGTACAAAAGGTGTGGCATGTTTTCGGTGTCTCAATCTAGTAGCCCCGTGACCTGCATGACTCACCATCGTGTTTATTCACCTCCAACATCCATCGCAGAAGCTGAACGCAGAACCTTTGCAAAAAGTCAGAACTACGGATTACAGTTCTCTGCATGGTGCGATACTTTCTTATGCTCCATTGAGTTACTGTAGGGCAATATCGTGTGAGTCCATGAAATTGAACTAAAGAGTTGGTCAAAGGACATAAAACCATAAATGTTGCTTGAAAACATGAGTAGGCCTTAATTCACAGAAGGTTACTGTCGCCAAAAGAACAAATGCAAATAAAATTGTAGCAAAGCTATCTGAATGCCTCGCATCCTCGTACCGTTTAAGAGTGGCGCCGGCTGGGCGTCCAATGATGATCGGACAGTAAACAGTCACAGTTCCAGGAGCTGACTATATACACTGCGCAAGAAATCAAGAGGCACCGGTGACAACCTAGCCATCCTTTTAAACCCAAAATTTATAACGCATCACCGTCACAATGAAAGTACAACCCTTCTCCCCACCCAAGCTATACCCATTGTCCCTCCGTTCTTTTAAGACCAGCCTTACCAATTCATATCACCGAGCAGAACTCCATACAATGCACCTTCAAGCATCAACAAACGTAGTCGAGTTCCAATCCGACGCCATCTAAACCCCAATCAGCACATCACTCACAATCAACCCACACCCCCCCCAACCAAATAAAGCCGAAGACAGGAGAACTCACATTCCAAGCATCAATCCTCAAAATCGACGTCCCATTTACATCCGCAGCATGCGTCAACACCCCGACCGCTAAACAAATCCATCAGCAACCAATCCACAACCCTAATCCCGCTCAACCCCCCCCTTTTTCATCGCTTGATAAAAACCCATAGAGAGAAGTACATACCCACAACATTATTCAACCAATAATACTCACGACTACCGGTCTCAAACACCAAGCGCAAATGCAACTGCCCGCTCGGCGCCTTCGGCCCAGAGGTCTGGATGAAGATGTCGGCGCCGTCGTCGGTGCGGAGGTTGTAGCGGGTGTCGGCGGAGAAGATGCCTGTGGCGGGATCGACGAGGCCCCAGTCTGCGCCTACGTCGAGGATTTTGCCTGTTTTTTATTATGTCAGAGGTTGAGGTGGGAGGAGAGCATGGTTGGTTTGCTGTGGTGGGGGTGGTACCTGATAAGCGCGGCCCGGTGAAATTACCACCGACGATGGGGATGGCTTTGCGGGTGCCGTGCGGTCCCGGTGAGAGCATGAGCGTTTCCGTGCATTCCACGTAGGCGGTGTAGAGGAAGGAGAGGGCCGGGGCTGGGGGTTGCACCGTGGGTTGGACTTTGGCGGCTGCGGATTGGGTGAGGGTGAGGGTGAGGGCGGTTGTGAGCCAGGTTGCTAGGGTTGGGAGGTGCATTTTGCGGTGAATTGAGGATTTGTTGATTCTATCAATGGAATAGGAAGTAGGGTAGTGTTCAATTGACCTTCATTGGGGGTATGTGAATATTTAACAATCTTGATACTGGTGCTCGATCTATAGATACCTCGGGCTGTAAGAGTTGTGGTATCGCTGTATATCATTACATGTCGTTTACAATGCCCCTCAGTTGCAGGCAAGTGCCGTCCATGTAGCCGATTTGCAGACAGAATGAAATCATTTTCTTCACAGGGGCGATCGGTGCTCGATACGGGGTTCCCCGCGTTTCTAACCGAGAAGCATTTACCCCGCATTTACTCCGCACTGTCTAAGCGATACGCATCAATGGTGGTGATAACCTTGGGGTTGAGCATGAATCTGCAAGCTGCTTTGGTCAGATTCATCTTTGAAAGCGAGCACAGGCAGACAATAAAACACCAAGAGCAGCACCACCAAGCTTCTCCCTGCGATGGAGCGTCGAACGAAACACTCCCCCTTCCGAAGAACGAACAAGCATCCTGATCCGACACGAAAATTCCCTTGCACGCCCCGAGACCACCTTCGGAATCAAGCCGACTCAAGTTTCTGTCGTCAGAATCTTATTGAAAAGAATGTATCGGCTTGTCACCGCTGTCGTGTGGCCACGGTCCATGCTGTGGCATGGTTGATAGCTGCAAGCGTGGTGAGGATGGAAGGCAGTGTGTCTTCTATGATGGGTGGTGGCGGATTTGATTGTTGGAAGATGAACGAGTGCTTACTGCTCTTCATAGCTGATTCCGCGTAGATTTTAGTCTTGGATTGAAGAGAAAGTTTCAGTGGAACCATTCGTCAGCCCTATAAGGCTGACAGTCGCACAGTACCACCTTGCTTGTCCGTCCTCTATACCGCGACACAAGACTGAGACAAGCCAATCAGTGAGAGCTGTCTTACCTGCACGGACTTTGCGCCATAGTTATAAGGACCTTGGGATTGGGAACCTAAGTAATTCAAAGCGATAAGACAAGTCAACCTCAACCTCTCCCTCTAAGCCTCCTGGCGAAATAACCCTTCAGGATAGCTTTTCCGCATTCACCCGAAGGCAGCGCCTACAGCGACAACCCCAAATATAGCAGCAAAACCCAGCAAGCCAACCAGAAGGGAGACCAGATTGGGTGACAAACACGAATTCTCCAAGTCACGACAGTGGAAGCCAGCAACAGTTTGTATCTAAATCCGGCTTGACAATGAGTCATCTCAGTCCTCGTCACCTTGGATCCAAGCCGATGAACCGTTCGCATCAGGGAGTATATCGACGACGAACCATGAAAACCGCGTGGTATACGGGCGGGAACCATAATCTAATCAGCATGGGATCTAGGCCCCACCCCAGTGAGCTTCGTATCCGTGGGGTCTTCAGTACTAGAGAAATTACTTGGTATTCAACTCCGGCTTGAGCTTAGATCGATTAATCTGAACAGAAATCTTGAAACCACTCGATTTTATACTAAATAACGATAGTATAGAACATCAGGTGTGTACCAACACCAAAGTATCCATCACCGGTCTGTCTCGCCACATCAGAAAGCTTTAGTATAAGATCAGTATTAATGCAACCAACACCCATGCCCAAAATGAAATCAAGAAAGAAAAAAGAAACGAGAGAAAGAGAGAGAGAGAGCCGTCAGTCAACTCCCAACCGCACAGCCAGCCATCCAGCCCCGGACTCTCAACCCCATCCACGCAACCTCAGCACTTCGGCAATTTCTTGCTCGCTTAATATCCCATCCTAATCAGCCACTTTTCCAAACTAAAGGACCAGCAAAGGAGCCAGAAAAGGAACGACTTACAAAATCCCGCGCACGGAACAACTCCCTGATCCAGCCGCCGCACAAAAGAAGAGCCCGAGGGTCCAGTCCTCAACCATGTTCTAGGGGTAGATGTTAAGCATTATTACGAGATATGGATAAAGGAAGGGTGATGGAGACGGGAGGCAAGCGTACTCATCGGTGAAGACCTGACAGGTAAAAGTCACCTTACTACCCTTGTTGAACGAGCCGGTGACGGGTGCACAACCCGCGGGTACATTCTTGCTGTTCACTTTCGCGAACAGGTTGCATGAGACGGAGCCGACGGTGCTCTGCCGGCTTTCGAGATCAGCCTCGGGTTCCGGATCGGCTTCGGGGGTTGGGGTTGCGAGGATTGCAGCTGGCAGGAGACTGGCGAGGAGGAAGGATGTCAGCTTCATTATTTCGGTTCTTTATGTTGGTAGAGTTATATTTATGGCGAAGTGGAATTATAAACAAGCTGATGATTGAGTGTCCGAATTGTAGAGGATTTTTGGGGTTCTTATACTTGATGGTGGTGAGAGTGAGAGTGGAAGTGCCTTCCGATCTGGGTAAGTCTTTTTTTTGGTGAGGGTAGACTGGGCTATGCTCGTACTGCCTCGCATGATCTACTTGACCAAGACTGTGATCCAGGGTAGCCCTACCGTCAGCGTGATCCAGGACCCCAGCTCAAGCGCGGTTCAGTAGCTCTTCCTCGAGTATCCGGTGTCGACCCAGGGCTCGAAGTCTTGGCGCTATCCATCTGACTAGTTGTACACGAAGCACCATAGGGGACCCATAGACCTTCATGGTGAAAAAACGTATTCGGCTGCAAATGGTATGTTAATCAATTTAGAGCATGTTGGATGTGGCTTGTCACTCTTGGCGTGGTCTGGACATTTCGACTGGAAGTTATCATGCGCTCTACGGAATACGAAGTGCGTATCTTGTATTTGATCAGGCCTCGATTGACCACCCAAACGCCGGTATGTGGGTGTACTTTATCTTTGGTGAAGAGCATGGATATCCATAGATTTTATAGGCTGACTTCTATCGGGGATTCCCAGTGTCTGTGATTTTGGGGTGGATGACATGGAATAAAATTGCCGATGGGCGTATGCGACAGCAATGCTGCTTGCACATGCATGCGACCTGACTCAAATGTCTTAGACGGGCTTCTGCAACATTATCCTAGGTACTTATCAAAGCTTGGGTTCTCCGCTAACAGCCCGGCCTCTACATCATCACTGCCGACCAATCAGCGACCGCAGAACCAGATTTAGTCCTCAACCCCCACCTAGTACCATCCCGAGCGTCACCAGCAGCTCACCAGCGCGGATCATACCTTCTCACCTATGTCCTGCGGTAAATTCGGATCGAAAGATGAAATCGCTCAAACCTTGACCTGTCAACAATTCCTCGAGGTCCTCCACACCGGCAGCGGCTCCAACAGCGGTCGCGAAAGAGAGCACCACAAAAACGGAACGGCCACCAGGCCCTTAGGTCCTGGTAGGAAGCTGTCCAAACTTTAGTTCGCGAATGTCCTCGATTAACTGAATTATCTTCTCAAGTTTCGCCTTCATGTTCTCGTTGTGCTGTCGTTGCAGGAGCAAGAGAGCCTTGGTGGCGCGCAGCTGGTCTTGCTTCAGCTCGACCAAGGTCTCGAGGGTAGCGACAGAACGTTCGGTCGCCGTCGGTAAAGATCCGTCTGATGTGAGTTGTCTGAGAATGTAACGCAGTAGGTCCTCGAATTCATGGCGGAACACGGCAATCCAAGTCCCTAGCGTTGTCAAGACTGCGATGGCGGTTGCCATGAAGGTTATGATGTGAAGCAGTGATTCATGTGTTAGGATTTCCAGATTGGAAAGCTGTCACTCTTCGTGTGGGCTGTGTGAGAGGAGTTGAAATTGGAGAAGGATCCGATATCTGATGCTCATCCTTATGCTGCAAGTTGATCGATGTGAAGGGCGTGAGATGCGAAGGCATGGGGTTAAAAAGTGAGTTGAGGGTTGGTTGCAGAACGTCATCAATTTGCTTTAGACGGAACACACACCCGTAGCTAAATCGGTCCGTATTGCTTGTGATCTTTACCTATACCTGTTCCGACTCCTCGTCATCTTGTCCTATGCGTATCAAGTACCCCTTCTGCCGCGCTTCGGCTACCTTGCCTGGTAAAAAGGCCAGGAAGCAAAAACATACAACAGAAGGGATTCGCTGGTGGTCACCCACCCAACTACTAACCTCCCGGCGTGTGGCTTAAGTACGGCTGAGCGGACGGGAAGCCCTGTTTTCCACACCCTGTGGTCGTATGTGACTTATTGAAGGCAAGCCCTCTCTATATAGGATTCATCAATACATATTAAAGCAATAGGGGCAATTGGCGCCTTCCCTTAAGTCTAAGGTCGGAAGGCAGTTTGGTTTCCCATCGCTTATGGAAAACATCTTCTCTCACTACCTCTCTTCTCTACACTCACCTTCGTTGACAACATTAGCAAAGTTATTTCTGTTGTGTATACAATACATTCAATAGCTTATTTATTCTTTCCTTATTTTGTTTATGTTTCTTTTAATACCCATCTGGGTGAGGCTGCTAAAGTGTCGCGTGACCAGAGTGAGCTAGCGAGTCTACTTTGGTGTTGATGCTTATTCCCACGATAGCCTCGTTGTTGTGTCCAGCCATGTGACGAGCGAGAAGATTGATTTAAGGGCGGCTTGCTTCCCGGGACGCAGTTGCCTGTAGCTCTGCAGCTGATGCGCGACAAGCTACCAGCGGTCTCTCGCAGACGTCGACGATCGACTTTATCGGATGCCGTCCGTAAGATCAGACTGATTGGCAAGAAAATAGCCGCAATGATATACCTTGGAACTGTTCGTCGCAGAGAGGCGGTCGCTTGGGTAACGGAGTCATGGAAATCTGGTGTCGGGGGGAGGAAGAGCGCGTGCGAACCATGATCACTGCCGGCCGGCTTCAGGAAAGCCACCAACTGCGCACCGCCATCCACCATCACATCACCCAGATAACCTCGACCGACGGTGTGCCCTTGGATCAGCAGTTCGCCAACTGAGCCGATGGGCATCAAGCGGTCGACGTCCGAGGGACCGACAACCCACCCAACACAGCCCGTGGTCCAGCCGATGTCGCGCGGATCGCTCTCCAGGGTGATTTGGTTCTGCACCGTTGACAGCACGCAGCATTCAGCCGGGCCATAAACATTCAGCAGCCGGACGTGCGGACCCCATGTATCGATCTCGCTTTGCGACATGAGCTCACCACCCCCAATGACCGTACGGAGGGAGGGAAAGCTCGCCGGCTTGAACTGCCGGGGCAGCAAGACTTAGTCTAGTTGACCCACCACACGTGGTGATGAAACAATAATCTACCGATGCAAGACAAGGCTATCAGATCGGAGATCTCAGTGGAGTGAGATCTACCATCTAGGCCAAATCTGCTCAAATTCTCCGAGAAGAATCGTCCCACTCATCCATCCTCTGCTGTCATAAATAGTTGCAGTCTAGCGCTGCAGATCGCGCGTCATCCACAATAATGGAGTCATCGGTCAGAATCTCGCCAGAAGGAGTCCTTGAAAGCGACGCCTCTGTCTGCCTCTGTTTACTTCATTATAGTGAATATATGATTGAAGAGTGTCAGGAAGCTGAAAGAAAGGGGGGTCCGGGGGTTCCTCCCCGGGATACAACTCTGGTATGTATTAGGCTGAAGTGTACATGTATATCTGGTATAGACTCCCACTGACAACCTAGTACTACTTTGACATGGCCGCCCCAGACTCCACTGCTAAATAAACAAAACTCATCTCGTCCAGCTCCGTATCGCACCAAGTGCCCACGTCGACCTCCGTCCGCTGCGTCGAATTGCTCTTCATCTCCGCCTGCAACCGCAGCGTGGCATTGCTGCGGGCCGAGAAGGAAGAGATAGCCGTGAAGAACGAGGGCGCGCCGGCACTGCTCCACGCATTCTCCGGCCAGGGAATACTCAACACTCCGGAACCACCCTGCTTCCAGTCGCGCTGGCCCGAACGCACCTTCTTGTCGTCGAACTCGGCGTCCCAGGCACACCAGCCGACCTGCGCGGAGCGGAATTGGGCCCAATCCCAGGTCTCGACGACAACGACCAGCCCCGTCGGCGTGACATTCTTGACATACGTGCGGACCTTCCACTTGTCCTGTTGCTTCTCCGTATTCGGCGGACCGAGGTCGAATCCCGTAAACCACGCAATGGCCTGAGGGCGAGACTTGTACGCTTGAGGGAACTGGATGTAGAAACTGCTGAGGTTGCCGGCGTTGTCGGTCATCACGCGGGTGTCGCACGTTCCGTGGTGGAAGTTGACCTCGTTGTCCGGCAGCGTGAGCCAGGATGAGCGTACGCTGAAGACATCGCCCTTTTGGTCGCCGGCCACGTTGATCTCGAAACCAGTCTTCTGGACGTTGGCGACATTAGTTCGCCCGCGAGCCCAATGAGGATCGCTGATCAGATCGACCAGACATAGGCCGTGGAGCAGCCGGGGGATATTCTCGAATGGGATGTCGAACTTCACGGTCTCGCCCTTCGAAAGTTCGCCGGGGATGTGCTTACTGTTCCAGACCCCAGACCGCGACACTCCGAAGGCCGCAGACTCGGAATCGTCTTCCTGTGCACGAGGCTGATCTTTCTCTAAGTCGCCCCAGACAATGCCCAGGCGCCAGACTGCACCGTGTGTGTCGTCACTGCGGCCGATGAAGCCCTTGACAGTGCCCTTCTCGAAGGGGGCGTCGAAATAGATGGTTGCGAGATTCTCGTACTCCACCTGATCGCGCATCGCCGAGGTCTGCCCTTTGGGGCGATTCTGCGACGCCACGCCCTCCAGGTGCCGCCCGCGGTTGGTGTAGAGATAGAGCGCCACCACGCGGGTATCGCCTGCACCGCTGTTGGGCCTGTTGCCTGTCTCGATGGCTGCAGAGGTCACCCGCTCCCCGCGCGCGAAATTGGTGAGTTCGATGAACGGTTCCCTCTCGTGGGCCTTGCCGCGGGTGAGAATCAGTCCATTGGCGTAGTGTACGATGACGGCTCCCAGAGCGCCCTCAGCTATCTGCACGCGCACGGAGGTCACCAACCAATCGGATTGGAGGAAGTCAATGTTATTGAAGAAGGTGCCCTTGGTTTCCGAACCAACGGGCTTCGTGACCTGAAGATGCTCTCCAATGAATTGGCGGTTTCCGTGTAGCGCCACCAACGACTGCTTCTCTTCCTCATTGAACTGGGTCTCATCTGCAAATAGCTGCCGGGCTCGCTTGGCCATCTCCGCTTGTGCAGCCTTCGCCTTTTTTTGCGCTTCGGTCAAGACGACGGCTACGCTCCCATCCAGGGGCGCCTTGTTGTCGGGATTTGCCTCCTCAGTCCATTCAATGACAGGCACACGGGTCTCAAACACCAGTGGACTCTGGAACGGCTCCACGTGATCTTCGTCGGTCGCGACCTTGGGATCTTTCTCGATCAGGTCGACTTCATTTACAATGCGGGCCATCTGCCGCAGAATGTGCTTGCGACACTCCTCCAGTCCCGCAAGATTGGCGGTAAAAGGTGCTTTGTCACCCAGGACTTCCTTCGAGGTCACCTTATCCTTCGGCCAGGGAACGACTAGCTTTGTCTTGTTCTGAATGGCGAAGATATCTGCGCCGATCTGCTTGTGCATTGCCTTGTAAGTCATATACGCCTCCATCAAAGAGTTCGTGTACAACTGAGCATTCTCATACTGGAGCGGCGTGTAGCTTGCCGGCTTAAGGCGCACGAAGCTGCGCAGCGTGTCATACTTGGTCAAAATCGCGTAGATACGCTGGGGGCATTCGGCCACCAGGTCAGGAAATCGGGCGGCAGCCTGCATGAGACTTTTGATATCCCATTGCTGCTCCATGGGTTTGATATGGCCGCCACCGGACCAATTAACCTGGATGGTGGTCTCGGTGTTTGTTTCAATATTCGCGCGTGCCATGTTGACTTCCGCCTCGGCCTTGATATCCATTGGGCCTGTAGTGAACGCGACTTTTGCCGAGGCGGCGATATCGGTTTTCTTAGCCTTGTTGAGGATCTTGATACTGACAATTGCGTTGAACTCGCCACCTTCCAGAAATCCGGAGATGAAACTATCCCCATACACCTCGCGGAAGATATTGGCGTCGACAGAGCGCAGTGGATTGAACACCAGCGCATCCTTGAAATTGATGGTTTGGTTGATGACCTTGACGTTGAGGTAGTAGTTCAGATCGCTAGACTTGAACTTATCCGAGTCAATGAACGCTCCGGATCCAGAGCCACCAATCTTGCCGGCCTTGATAGACAGACTTCCGGAGATGGCCATGTTGTCGGTCACATCGCTAAGGCGATCAACGAAGCGACTGGTGTAGGTCACGGTTTGGCTGGGGCCGCGTGCAGCCGTAGGATCGAAGATGTAATCCTGCTCGTTCTCCAACATTCCACTAAACCGCTCGACAAACTGATTGGAAGCGAGCATCTTCTGCACCTCTTCCTTAGAGTACTTCTCGGTCTGTACGGCCCACTCGACATTCTTTCTCTGTTCCTCGCGCCTTGCCTTTTCCTCTTGTCGCTTCTCGGCACGGCGTTGCTTTTCTTCCTCGCGGGCCTCCCGCTGCAGTTGCTTCTGATATTCGCGGTGCTCTTTCAGCCGTTCCCGCTCCTCTTTCCGCTCTTCTTCCCGCTCACGAGCTTCGGCCTCCACCTCAGCAGGTGTCAAAGCAGAGCCCGGATTTCTCGTTACCAACGGGCCATATTGTGATGCCTTGCGAGGTTTCGTGAGAGTGAGCTCTTTGCCTGAGGACGTTACGGGGGCGGGCCCACCAGCTGAGGACGATCGAGCGCGAGTCGCTGTTTGAACTTTGCTGCTGCTACTTCTAGGCTTAGTGGCATCACCCGTCTCGACAGCTGTCTGATAAGCATCAGCAGAGCCGGTTTGAGCATACAGCTCAGCTTGAGTTAGTTCGATTGTCGTTGGTTCATTTGTGGCTGCAGTCGTATCGTTTGTTATTTCCGGGGTCTTTGCTGGGGGTTCAGATGTCCCGGAGGGAGCCGATGCAGTTTCAGGTGTCTTATCCTCCGCCTCTGTCAAGTCGTCTGTTTCCGGGGCCTCTTTTGACTCTTGATGCTCGCCAATGGCATTGCTTTGCGGCTCAGCATCCTTCTCTTCCAACAGCTTCGTGGTGTCTTCCGGGGCATCTTTCCCCTCCGGAAAAGGTGCACTGTCTGGCTTCTGCTGAGGCCTCTGCTTTGGAGCTTCCAACATCTTCTGTTCCTCCGCCACAGGAGTATCGTCAGAACACTCCGAGTTAGAGGTAATGGTCATGGCCGTTCCATCTTTACTCTTTGAGGTGCTGCTCTCCACTACCTTCACGTTCTCATGCACAATCTCCCTCTGGCGAGACCAAGCACTAGGCTTGCCCATCGATTGGACCAGGATCCGCATTGTGGTTCCATCTGTATCAACACCGATCAGGTCTGCCTTGAAAATAAGACAAGAGCACATGACAAACCATTTGTTACAACATTCTCCGCCCGGTCGGGATCAACCAGGACCGCATCATCAACGCAGATTTGCTGTGTATAGGAGTTGAATCCTACGAAAGCCAATTGTCAATCTAACATACTGCCAGTAACTTCGCTTAGAGCCGAGAAGTTTACCTTGACCAATGCGCATAGCATTGTTGTAAGGGGCGAGAAGTAGCGCCATGGTTGGACAATGGTATTAGAGCCTTCTTGCCTCAAGCCGCCAAAGCAAGAATGCAGACTGGAGATCTAGACCAGTCCTCGGATCATCAGCTTCACTTTATATGTTTGTATGTATCTCTTACGCGTGACCGTTTTCGATGGCGATTTGCGCTCGGACGTGATCTTGCCACGGCGACGGGAGGAAATTCGTGGCGAGCTGAAACCACGAACTTCATTATCGAGAGCAAATAGCCGACGAACGCATATTTTCTCTTCTGTCGCTTGATATTTCTCGTATTGAAGGCGTGCAAAGGAGCTGCGAGCACCGCCACCGCCTCTGCCGAGGCTTTCTCGCATTTTCAGCTCGGATCGGTGAGAGCGATGGTGGCTGACGAAGAAATAATTGTGATTTGTCTCCTCGTAGGACACAGAACCAAAATCACCTCCACTAACTTTGCGACCTTCAACATCCATAAACCCCAGCACCAGACACTCAATGGCTGAAGCTCCCAGCGCCTCGGAGTTGAGAACAGACGAGGGTCCTCTCCCGCGCCTCTTAGCCCAACAAATCCAATGTCGACAACCACTGATCCTCCCCTGGCACCGCTATAAGACCGTTCGCTTGGGCACGCTCTTTCACACCTCACGACACAATACTCCGGACCCATGGGCCAACAGCAACACCGAGGACTCACCCTTCGATCTGCTAGATCTGGCGCGCGTGCCGAAACGCGTGGATCGGGAGATCGGGGGCCGGGCCTCGTACCAATCCCACCACACGGCCACCACAGCCGAGACACGCGACCATCTCGCCTTGGGGTTCACAGCCGGAGTGGGGCTGCCTTTTCTGGCTGAGGTCAGTGTCAAGGGGACGTATGACTCCGATGTGCAGAACAATGAGGATGTCCGTATCCAATACCTTTCCCTAAATAGACCAATGCACATACTAAATGGCACACAGGCTGACAAAACGTCTCTCCATTCCTCCATCCGAGCCGGAACAGTGATGCTCGCCCGCCAGCCCAACCTCACGATGGAGGCAGCAATGACTCTAAAGTACGGCGGTGGACTGCATCGCTTTAAGGAGCGATACGGCGACTACTATCTGGCCGCGTATCGGTTTGGCGGCGATACCGCATTGCTGATCAGCGGGTCGACCAGCCAGACGGCGGAGAAAGAGAATGTCGGCATCACGGTCACGGTGGACGTGTTGCTGGTGGAAACCAGCGAGACGTGGAACTCTGCCATGCAGAAATTCTCGAATTGTAGCTCTCTCCGATTGATTGGTTATGACACGCTGGACGCCCGGAGTTGGAACTGCGCGACAGCGAACAGGGAAGGCCCCGGCGGCGACGCGTTTCAGGCGCAGGCGGAGGAGCTGATTACTCGGGCGCAGGCGTTGGCAGATCGGGTTGAGGAGCGGTTGGATGAGCTCGATGTGTTGGATGGCGATGAGTTGGACTTTGCCAAGTGTGACGAGTTGACGGCGGCGAGCTTGGTGGTAGAGCTCATCCTGTTGCCTGTGGGGAATCTCCGCGAGGTGATGCGCTGGAAGCTGAATGACGATGCTTTGTGAGAGGACAATGAATGATGATGGATGCTTCGAATGCGCTTGGAAGTTCAGCGTAGAAGACAGAATGACGCCAGATGAGCTCGTGTCGAGTTACCTGGTTCTGCTTTCTCAGCGGCCAATGGGAAATAAATGGTGAATTTAGGACTCGTCCTTGATCCATGATGCTCGGATAGATTGCCGTTTTGGGTGAACAAGTTCTGCGGGGGTCTTCCGGTTGGCTCGTTGCCGCGCACTCCCCACTAATGCATGCATCATTTTCACTCCACGTGGCCCCACGATGCTTGGCAGAAACTGTAATTAGAGTTTTACGTGGTTCGGATGTTCCCCGGGCCACAATTTAATCCCCCTTCTTGCAGTGCAAAGTGTTTTACCCCAGAACTTTTCGCCCCAATCCCCCACGCTCTCCAGATCGCAATTTAAACAATTTCAATCACGTATCAGAATCTTCCACAATTCACGACCTGATGTAACTCCCTAGCAATGACAATGCAGACCTACTCATTCAGAAACATACCAAGTAAAGACCTCATTTGTGCAATCCAGCATTACTCAATGTCCTCACTCATTCATTAGACAACACTCACCAGAACTGGTACAAGGACCCGAGTCTTAAAGTGAATATTGCACATTGGTGAGTACCATTTGATCTGCAAATTGCCCACACCACATGGCACCGCTCTGACCCATTCTTCCTACCAGTCTCGGACTGTGCCTGGTCATCTTCTACCTTGTAAGTATCATGCCTCCTGAGAGCGTCTTCAGAATAATGCACTAAGATGCGAGCAGGGATGTGAGTCAACCACATGAATACATACAGGTCATACACCATTCGCAAATGCTGACGCTGGCAAGACGATGCGGGCCTCCTCAACGGATTGCAGGCAGTCTACGCCTGGAGCGTCTTCCTCAACCATCCTCAAGGCGCCATTCTAGGACTGTACGCCGCCACTCTCTATCTCCCGTCCATGGTCACCGCGTACATTGGCGATTTCCTCTCCCAGCGTTACGGCCGGCGCGTTGCCTTGGCCCTCGGGTCCTCGATTGTCTGTATTGGTGGGTTGGTCAACGCCTTTGCAGTCAACCCCGCGATGTGGGTAGTCGGTAAGTTCTCCACATAAGCTTCATGTTTCAAAGCATTCTAAAGCGTTATGCAGGCCGCGTGGTTATAGGTGCAGGGGGTGGAGTCGCCAAGGTGGCTGCTCCGGCGCTGATCCAGGAGATTGCGCACCCGCGATTACGGCCGATGTTGGCTGCCTGCTATTATCCGTTCTTCTACTTCGGCACGCTCCTATCAGCACTTCTTTGTTGTAAGTCAATCCCTGAGAATTCATGGGTGCAAGCGGCTCCGGTATTGACCTCGCTGGATTGTAGTCGCCGCTCTATACATCCCAGGAAACTGGTCATGGCGCATGCCTTCCATTGTCCAGGTCTTCGGCCCTCTACTCGTACTGGGGACATTACTGAGCTGTCCCGAATCTCCCAGGGTGCGTGATCTGTCTTCCTCTATGTCCTACTGGCGGCGCCTGACTCATCTCTGACAAATGCTCTTATAGTGGCTTGTCTCCAAAGGCCGCAACTCCGAAGCTCTGGCTGTATTAGGCAAATACCATGCCAACGGGCTCGTCAGCGATGCCCTGGTTCAGCAGGAGCTGGCTGAGATCGAAGCGGCGCTCGAAAGCGAAGATAGCCGGCACCATAAGACCTACCTCGATTTTTTCCAGTCGTCTGGAAACCGCAGACGGCTATACGTTCTCTTGTCCCTGTCTATTGGGCAAAACTGGGTCGGCAATGGGGTCATCTCCTAGTAAGTTCTCTAGCCGGTCAGTATCTCCCAGCACAATCTGAAGTGACTGACTGTGTTCTTCGCTAGCTATCTAACTCCTGTACTGCGCTCGGTCGGAATCGAGTCCTCGGTACAGATAACCCTTCTCACATCTGGGCTTGGTGAGCGACCTATTACCACTCTCTACCGAGATTTATCCAAGAAAGCGTCTAGCAACTAACACCAGGGTGACAGCAATCTGGAACCTTATACTAGCGTTCAGCGCAGCGCTGAACGTGGAACGCTTCGGCCGCCGCACCCTGTTCTTCGTCTCCACGGCCGGCATGCTGGTCTCGTACATCCTGGTGATGGGCCTCTCGGCGGGATTCGCCACGACGCAGAATTTCTCGATAGGAATCGCGGTTGTTCCCTGCTTGTTTTTGTGAGTCGCACACTGTCCCTCCAGACCTCCAGACCGATATGAGCTGACCTGTCTGGCATTTGTCAAGATACTACGGATTCTACGACCTCGCCTGGACGCCGCTCCCCGTGCCCTACACAGCGGAGATCCTACCCTTCGGATTACGCACCAAGGGCCTCGCCATCTTCACCTCGGTAGGAACAATGGCAAACTCGTTCAACCAGTTCGTCAATCCAATTGCCTTGCAGGCGTTGGCGTGGAAGTAGTAAGTTCTGCCGATAGTGTCCATTGCGGTTCAAACTCCGTTGTACCATAATAGGGTGTTTGTTTGCTGATCCGAGGGTGAAAAAAAACAGTTATGCCGTCTACGTCGTGATCCTCGTATTCTATCTCGTTTTCGCGTACTTCATGTACCCGGAAACGAAGAATCATACGTTCGAGGAGGTTTCGGCGATTTTCGATTGCCGCGATGCGAAAGACGACGGGGAGCTGCATGAGTCTGTAGCGACCGCCGGCGGCGGGTCGGTGCCACTAAAGGGCGTGGAGGGTCCTTCCTTTGTGGGCAGTAGCTCGCACCGAGAGAATGTGTAAGCTGAGGGGCGTGTGTAGTTGTAATTCTGGTATGGGGATGGGGGGAGAAGCCCGGGGGGGGGGAGGGGACCGGTGGATATGTCTGATGTCTATCTTTATGCGCATGCAAAGACGGGCTGATTGCACCACATCCCCGCAGATGGATGTGCTATGTTTCTACCAAATAGACAGCCACGTTCATGGCTAATCCCTGTGTGCGGTTAATATAGAAATGAAATTGGCCCTGTATCATGGGGTTGAAATACCGTGGTCTACCTCACAATCTCCAATTGTGACTATCCTACATATATCATGTCATGGGAGAATAAGAACAGGTTAGTTTGCGTGAAATCATGAAATCATTATCCTCTTTTTAGTGGGAACTGACAACGGAAGTTGTTGTAACTATCAAAAATCGTGTCCCACAACCGCTCTGCGGCCCCCTGTCCATCCCCGAACTATATATACAACCACAGCCCCAGTGGTACCACATAAACGCCCGCCCCCTCCCCGTCCACACTATCACTACGCAAAAGACAACCAGAATTCAATCCACTGTCCCCCTCGCCGCCGGCCCAGCGGGAAAATAAGACGACTGCGCGAAATCGAAATAATCCCCGAGATTGATCCCCGGCTCCCCGGAAAGAATATTCTGGCCCATGGACAACGATATATCGAAGTCCCATTCCAGCTGTGGTGCACAATTTGGGTCTGGTAGCGTGGGGCTATTGATGTTCGATTTGGGTCAGCGAGCAACTTCAGGGGCGAAAACTGGCGGACATATCAAACATACTTTGCATCGGTCGTCTCCCTCTCTCCGTTCAGGGCTACGCCGGCATGGCGGGCCAAGGCGCGGACCAGCTGTGCCATCCAGCCACAGACGCCGGTCGTGGAGAAGTCGTTTGTTTCGAATAACGCCATGGCGATTCGGAGGTAGTGCTCCAGTACGAGACGGTCCACGGGTAGTGGTTGATCGAGGCGAGCGACAAGGGCTCGAATGAGGAATATTGCCGCTTGACCGAGAATGAGTACCAGGTACTACATGGTTATAACCTGTTAGTGATCGAAAGGCGTACAGTAATTGGGGAGGGGGGTGGTAGTGGGAGGCAATATACAAAGAAGAGGGCAGAAAGAAAAAAAGAGAAGAAAAAAAAAATAATGTAAGACGAAAGAGAGAGGAGAGATAAAAGGAAATAGAGAGGGCAACTGACATCTCCACCGTATCGAATGATAGCCTCCCCGTTACCTGTCTGATCGTACAATTGCACCAAAGTCATGGCGGACTCGCAAGCTTTCGCTAGACTGGACAGCATCATGGGATTTGCTAGTGGCCTCGGGGTCCCAGTGCCCGCGAGCAGATTCAGCGAGAGCGAGTTCAGGCATAATCGCGTGTGTTCACTGTAGATCTTGGATAACGTGATGTACTTGCCCATGGAGATTGCGTCGTAAGAACCTTTGAAACAAGAAAGAGAAGGATGTTAGGGATATATGTCCTTGAACCGAGGAATCACGTATAACACACCATTCCACGTCCAGCGACGTTGCCATTCATCTAATCGTGGATTGAGTTCCGATAGAAGAGTCGAAATCCTCGACCATCCGATCGCTGCGTGAGAAGCTTGATCTTGGCCCGCCATTGGCGGTAACCGCGCGAGACGGAGACCGGAAATTAGCTCAGTTGAGATCTGTAGTGTCAGCATCATCCGTCAAGAGCACGATCAGAGCCGGCTTACTGTACAAAGCTCCGCCAGGCTGACCACATAGGTCGCAGCTGCGAGATCAACGGCGGATGATGAACCCAGCTTGCGCACTATGTTGAGATAGTCCCGAGTGTGGATGATCGCGGCTGGAACGTGCGGACGACCGAAGCCAAGGCTAAGAGACGTGTCATATCTTTGTGTCCATGTGTTAGTCCACAATAGCGAGAAGAGTAAAGCATGAGATGTGAATTACTGGTATATAATCAGCCAAGTATGCCACTGGCGCAGCAGGTCATTCACTTCGTGGACATCGCTGTCGCCAAAATCATCTGTGCCAAGGAAAGTTGCGATCGCCGGTCGGCTGAAGGTATCAGGGATTCCAATGCGATGCGCCAGGCGAGTACAGATGCCTGTGACCATCCACTGGTCTGCGGACTGACCGTACCCGCGTGGGATCCAGACAGATAGCAACAAGGTAGCTTGCACGTCGGATAGCTGGTGTTGTTTTCGGAAGATGACGAACCCGAGATGTGCACACGCAAGTTCAGCAAGAGCTTCCAGGGCCTCGGGGGTAATATTCGGCATTGACGAAGCCGGCTGCGTCTCTCGATGTTTCGGGTAGTACCGGCCAGCTATCGATAGAATGACTGTAAAGAGAAAAGGTGATGACGATCGCATACGGTCAAAGTTGTCATCCGGGCCTCCGGTTGAGCCAAGGATGGGGAATGATGAGTGACATTTCTGAAAGAATCTAGAGGAACAATGAGCCTATTGAAACCCCCCCGGCCAGAGAATGACTCTCGAAGACTTACAGGGCGAAGAGCAACCTCGCCACAGGCTCGCAAACAATGCCGCTCGCAACAGGCTCGCTATGTAAGTCTACTTTGGCTGTATACGAAGTCATCCCCAGAGCGGGTTGAGTCGCCGCGTCTCCATCGGTCCTGTCCTTCACCGACTCGCCTGACCAGACAGTAGGATGGGACATCAATGGGGGAAATGGCGCGGGATTCTGCTGTAGCGCTGCCCAACGCGATTCGAGTCCCTCGGGCCCTGCCCCAGGAGGAGAGCGGCGCATCCGGTCGGCCGTCGCCGCAGGCTCGTGAGGATAATCCAGCGGGGAGACATGAGAGGGCGTTTCGTGCGAGTCGACCGGGCCTGTGACCGTATGTGCGAGAGAGGATGGGGTGTGCATGCAAGGCCTGGGCTCGCCTGGGTCCGACGAAGCGAGACCATGGTGGGCATTCGACGACGCCGGTATGCTGCCTGACAGTTGCTGCCCTGAGGACAGGAGAAATGTTGACGGCAAACAGTGCGAAGGTGGTTGAATGGGTGCTGCACCCGGTGAACGTGGGGGAGGCCGAGGGCCTGCGGCAGTGGCGGCGAGCAAGGCCGTGACAGTTGTCTCTAATTGTGCAAGTCGTTGGTTTGTGATGGAGAGATTCAGATTAGAGTCATGTCGATCTCCAAAATCACAGTCAATCCCCGCGCGATGGCATGCGCTGCATGGGTGTCCACCTGTGCATCGGAGCTTTTTAATCCGGCACCGCTCGCAGGCCCACGTGGCGCGCTGCGATCGCTGCCTTCGATTTCGTCGCTCGCTGCTAGCCCGATTCATTCGCTCGAGTCAGAATGGGGTGTCAGCTTAGACGTGAAGAGGAACTGATCTGTATAAAGACAAGGTCAGTCTATCACAGAGGGGGGAAGTGGCGGGCAAAGTCAAGCCTGTGTGGAGTGAGTGGGTGAGGGAAGGGTGGGTGGGTTGATTCTCACCGCAAATTGTGGATAGTGTCGATGCCTGAGGCTTAAGGCCGTTATTTTGCCACACGGGGTAACGTGGGGTAACGTGCATGAACTACGGAGTACGGAGAACTCTACGAGCAAAAGCCCGGCTATCTTGCTATTTTGCCTCCCGGCCCCACCCGGCTACTGTTCGGGGAACCTCCGAGAGGGCGGGGGAAATCAAAGCATGCATGGTCCAATCGCCCCCCGGCACTTCCCCGAAAACCACTGGGGAATGCTATCGATGTATGGCCAGGACTGCTGAGATCATTTAGTTTTGATCAGGTCGTGTGAAAGACCTGGACAATTGAAATACAAGAGATCCAGTCGCCCAAGGTCTCAAGGTCCGGCTGCAATCACATTCAATCTCACACTCTCTCACCATGTCTGCAACCCCCAAATGGACCGATGTCGCCAGTAAGTCTTTCGTGCTCAAAGCACCGCTGCTACACACATCCGGGGTGTACCTGCACTTCATATGCTGATCGTCGCGTCTTTACTTGTTGCAACCAGACAACACCAATCCTATTTGGTATAAAGATGCGTCCTTGCGTCGGAACGTGGCCCTTGGCCTGGGCCTCTGTCTCGTGCTTGCCACCAATGTTAGCTCCCCTCTTTGCTCTTGACAGACTCCTCATGATTGGAAACTAAGAATCTCTGCAGGGATGTCAGTCGTGCCCGTTGCACTCGCGTGCTGGTGTATTGCTAGTGTATAACTGACTTTCTTCGATGTGTAGACCAATTAGGTCTTTTGAGCGGATTCCAGGCGATGCCTTCCTGGCAAAAGTATGTATGCCATGCTGCCAGATCAAACGCCGCCTAACCGTGGTCCAGGTACTTCAACAACCCTAAAGGCGCGCTACTGGGTATCTATGCAGCATCGTTCTTCATTCCATCGATTTTTACCGCATTTGTTGGCGACATGATTTCTACAAAGCTGGGCCGTCGCTGGTGTATTCTGATCGCCAACGCCATCCTTCTGGTCGGCGCCCTTGTCAACACTTTCGCAGTGTCCGTGGGCATGTGGTGCGGTGGTGAGTCGTCCCTTCTTTCTGCGAGTGATGTTCCGAATTGGTGACCAATTTGGCCAGGTCGTGCAATCATGGGCACTGGGGTCGGCATAGTCAAAGTTGCAACTCCGGTCTTGATCCAGGAGATTGCTCATCCCCGGCTTCGACCTATCCTGGGCTCCTGTTACCAAACTTTCGCCTACATGGGCATTGCCTTTGCTGCTTTCATGACATGTGAGATCCCCTACGCCAGCAGACTAGGCATTGCGCTAAGACTCTCCGATAGTCGCTGGACTTTATGTGCCTGGTGACTGGGGATGGCGATTCCCTTCCATCCTCCAGGTAGTCGGTCCCATCGCAGTCATAACCGTTGTGCTAAACTGTCCCGAATCCCCACGTGTAAGTATGCATTAGGTGCTGGAGACATATCGTACGACGCTTATACAATCATGCAGTGGCTCATCAAGAACGGACGAGCTGAGGAAGCGCACAACATCCTCGCCGCTCTTCACGCCAACGGCGACAGGGACGACCCATTGGTTCTCCTTGAGGTGAAGGAGATTACGCAAGCCATCGAACGTGAAAGTCATATGCAGAAAGCGTCATTCTTGGACTTCCTGCGTACCCCAGGGAACAGAAGACGCTTGGTCGCTCTCATAGCAATGGCCTGTTCCCTCAACTGGATGGGCAATGGTATTATCACATAGTAAGCATTGTCTTTGCAACCCTTGCCTCCATCCTGAGCTTATCTGATGATATCTAGTTTCCTGTCACCCATCCTCAAGTCTATTGGCATCACCGCACCGATTCAGATTACTCTAATCAACGCCGGTCTTGGTAGGTCCAATTCACCTGCGCCTTCTTCGTGTTGCACGACCAATACTTGAAGCGCAATGACTGACCAACTTTCCAGCTATTTGGAACCTGATTCTGGCCGGAATCACTGCAGTGTTCTGTGATAAAGTAGGCCGTCGGCCATTGTTCCTCATGTCCATCGTCGGGATGTTGTGCTCCTATATTGTGGTCATGGGCTTGTCCGCAGGTTTTGCCAACACCAAGAATCATTCGATGGGAGTTGCAGTAATCCCTTTCTTGTTTATGTGAGTCTTCCAATGGATATGAATAAAAGTGACTGAGAACTAACTATGCGATCACAGTTACTTCGGATTCTACGACATGGCATTCACTCCTCTTCCGGTCGCGTACACTGTCGAGATCTTACCCTTCAGTATCCGATCCACGGGCATGGCTCTCTTCACCAGCTTTGCCACCCTCGGAAACTCTTTCAACCAATTCGTCAATCCCATTGCGCTCGGTGCCATTGGCTGGAAATAGTGCGTCATTTCTTTCAATTACGCTCCAGCCCCTTGACCCAACCACTGACCCTATTCTAGCTACGCCGTCTACGTCGCTATTCTCTTCTTCTACCTCGGTCTGGTCTATTTCATGTTCCCAGAGACCAAGCGACTCTCTGCTGAGGACGCGTCCCGAGTCTTCGACTACGACCGCAAAGGCCGTCTTCTGGGTAAGGTGAATGATGATCATCCTGAGAATGGTGTGAACCAGCCGGAAGATGAGGGGAAATGTGCGGTGTCAGCGATTGAGAACCGGGAAAAACCTTAAGTCTATGTGGTTACTGCAGTAACAGAGGGGGGCAGGTAACGTTAGTTGGTCTGATAACAAAAATATTCGTCGGCTCAATAGACAACAGGTTGTTTGTAACAATAGTCAAATATTAAAGAGAACATAAAAAATAACTATGAATAACTACAGGTAAAAACGCTAGAATAGAATGCAGACCAAGAGATCTTCTCACCTTTCCAACTAGCTGTCTAGCAACACTCTCCGCAAGATCTTCCCGCCGGCATTCCGTGGTATCTCCTTGACAAAGACCACACCACCCCTCAATTTCTTGTATCCACTAACCCGCTTCGCGACAAAATCTGCAATCTCATCCTGCAGCTCCTTCTCCAGTCCCCCTAAGTCTATACACTGATCCTTCAACACCACATACGCTCGCGGCACCTCGGACCCATCACCCGCCCCCGTGTCCACTCCCACAACCGCGGCGTCTGCTACCGCTTCATGCTGCAGAACAACACCCTCGAGCTCCGCCGGCGCAAGCTGGAATCCGCTGTACTTGATCAAATCCTTGGCACGACCGGTCAGGACCATATGGCCTGTGACGGGGTCCTGGTAGCCAATGTCACCAGTTGGGTAGAAATTATCCTGGGTCAAGGGACTGTCGGCACTAGACGCGTGGCTATGGGAGGGAGGATTCCAATAGCCCATGAAGACATTGGGGCCGCTGACATAAATTTCCCCTTCCTCCGCCTGAGCGTCAGGCACGGGACTGGTATCTTCCAGGTCCTTCTCTGACGAGTTGGACTGGTTCGTTTTGCTGGAGATTGGCACGATCCTGCAGCGCATATTCGGGACCAGACGACCAACGGTGCCGACGTGGGTTCTGGCTTCCTCGCGGGTCTATATGTAGATTGTTAGGTTGATGTTAAAATTTCCCTGGATGCGAGCACTCGGTGGAATACGCGTGGACTATGCGATAAACACGCATTGAGGGGCTACTTACCTGAAGATACAGGAGGGGCGAACATTCAGTCATCCCATAGCCCTGCCGCACGGGAATGCCAAATTTCGCATCAAAAGCCTGAAGGAGCTCCTTGCTGACCGGAGCGGCTCCAGACGTAAGAAGACGCACGGATTGGAGTTTCGCACGCGTCGCGTACGAGCTTTGGAGTAGACGCTTCAAAATCGGTGGAACTATATAGACGGAGGTAATCCTCTCCCGTTCGACCAGGTCGCAGAACGCCTCAACTTGGAAGCGGGGCAGAAGATAGGTCGGCCATGATTGGAATAGGGTGTAGTTAATGAGGAAGGTTATACCTGCATATGAAGAGGTGAGGTTAGGAGAACATAGTGTGAAGATTAAAGGACAGAAGGTAGTAACGTACCGTATATGTGAAAAAACGGAAGCAATGACACAGTCCGATCGGGTCCATCAGGCCCGTTGACAGCATCCACTGCAGCAGTCTGTAGTAGATTCGCAATCACATTTCGATGACTGAGCATCACGCCTTTGGGTAGACCTGTGGTTCCGGACGAATGCATGAGAAAGGCCAAATCTCCGCTGTGTGGCAACGATGCCTGCCGTTTTGCTAGCAGATCTTGCAGCCGGTCAGGCCTATCAGAGCATAGGATCTCTTCGGAAGCCAACATCCAGTGCTGCGTCGACTGCGTGTCATCGAGAACCATGATTCGATCTAAAGGTATGCCGGCTGCCTTAGCCGTTGCCGCCACCGTTGGGTAGAAGGCGGCCTGGGTGATGATGCCCTTTGCTGCGGTTCGGCGCAGCAGCGGCGTGAGCTCTCCCTCTTTGTACTCAGGATTCAGAGGACAAGCGACGCCCCCAAGAAATAAAGTGCCCCAGAGACAGCATGGAATATCGATGGTGTTGCCGGCTACAATGGCTAGCACATCACCTTTGCACCACCCCCAGTGCCGGTACAGAAAGTCCGCAAACGCTAGAGACAACCGTCGCGAGTCTTCCCAGCTGTAACGACGGCCAGTAACTTCTTCGACAAAAATGGCTGAGGTGATTGTTAGTACTTTCAATGGCTCGTGTGGAAAATTCTTCCCAAAACTTACCTTGCTCTCTATCGGACTGACCTCCTGGCCTTTCAAACAAGAAACTCCACAGATCCTCGTCAGGAATGACAATATCGTCCATGACTGAGTGGAAGCTCATCTTCACAGTCATGCTATGGGAATGCTGGTCAGGCTATAAATCTTATTATACAGAATCAAAAAGAGGATTGATTAATGACGGTGAAAGGATCTCTTGGAGCTGTCGACATTGTAACCTCTCCAGCAAGCAGAGGCTTTTATAGGCGGAGGGTGCGAACCCACGGCGGTACTGCTTGGTTTCCGGATATTATCGCCCTGGGTAAGGTGATACAAACTGGGATCGTGCTTCTTTGTCAGGTGGATGCCCAAGTTATGCTGGTTCTGAATCTGGCGCTTCGCTGATGTAAGTAGTGTAACATGTCGTCACATCTTCCACGATGCGGCAGTCAAACCGGGCTCACACCCGCATTCCGCACGTCTCTACCCTGCAAATAAGAAATGCCAGGGTCAACGCTCGGAGTTTCAGAACATGCCACTCCGGACATGGGGTTTCTGCACACAACGACTTGGAAGCAAGGGAGCCTAACCGCCTTCAGGGTTTGACAAGGTCAAATTAATGCTGGCATATTGACCCGCTGCGTTCACGTGGGCCTGCCAGCCACCTTCACCGAGGTCAAGTCCGCCAGGTGTGCGGCTATACTGATCTGATCTCCTCTGTTTGCAAGTTCGGCTGGTTGATCCATCGATGTAATGTTGTCTGACTTCAGTTAGGTATGGACCATTCACCTCGCAAGAGCCTAGCCCTGTCATCGGGACTCGAGTGCGGAGATTGTTTGGTCCCATGTCACCCAACCAACATGTGCACAGCATCCCAGTCTGCATCCTGTACTATCAGCGCGAAACACCGATCTGGTTCTCTGCTCCTCTGCCGGTGCGATAGGATCCAGATGACTTTGACCAACACCCCGGAATGCTGTGAAAACCCTCCGAGACACTGAAGCGCTATCCATGACGTTGGGAAAGAAAGGCGGGGACAGGGGAAGACAAGTTTGCGCAGACCGGCAGTGTTCCATTAGCAGAACGGACTGCTAATCTCACTCATTGCACAAGTCCCAGTAGCGGCTGGTGGTGGGTTCGAGATAAAGATTCTGCTGGCTGCTTGTCTCGTAACAAATTGGCCTCGGCGCCTGAGGCCGGGTCGGCCGGGGACAAGGAGTGCTTTCCCCTTTGGGAAGGGGGGCGACGATCTGGTCTCTTGTTGCCTGAGGCTCTCTCTCTCCCGAGATCTCATCCTTACCAATGTTCCTCAATCTCGGATGTAGGCTTTGTTCATCGACCATCCCGATTGTTCTTCTCTCATTTTAATGCATATTCCTCTAGACGTGTCTTTACAGCCGAAATATCCGAACCACCAATTTGATTTTCCATTAGGCGTGAAGATGCCACCTCCTGATGGCATGATGATATTCATCACCACAACGGCAACCGAGTGGTTCGGTGGACTCGCTCAATAGAAGCTATCACACTAAACCACGCATGCAAGATCCGGAGCAGTCCTGCTGGGTCCCAAAAGTTAAACAGCATGCGGCAGGCCACGCAATTTACCGGGGGCTATACTGTCATTGGCAGCAGCAGCGCTGCAGCATCTATAATAGTTCGAATGGGTTGCTACTCTATCGCTCCATTTCATGGGTTCCAGTTTATACAATTAGTCAACTCCAATCACTTACCAATACCAATCCTTTCCCCGAACCCCATTTCATCATCATGAGTGACAACCAAACCAAGTTCGAAGAACTCCTGGTCGCCCTCAAGGCTCTGGGTGAGCCTGACTATGATGGCTGGGCCCGTCTTGTGCATGAAAAAGCCCGGCGCCGTCACGAACTCTCCAATCTGGCTGATCTGATCGTTGACGTCGACCCCTATCCTAAAAAAGAGGACCAAAAGTCTTCCCTCGCCAACTTTGACTGCACTTCGGATCTAACCTGGGCACAGTACAAGTGGATGAGTAGCTAGATCCAGACAAGGCGATGGTGAACAATCTCATGGCTTTGGTTGGGCAGTGTGCCACAGTGCTGTGGCTTCCCTCCCGGATCCTCAATTGACTTCGCTAGCTATGATGGGATTTTTCAAGTCTGTAGTGGACAACACCGACAATGAGAACTACAAGTTCTTGTGAAATTGCAATATGACTGATTGTCATGGGTGGACGTCTATATCTTGTAATTGTTCGCCAGTGTATACGGAATCATTCATATTTGGGATAAGATGTCAGATGCCCAGAAAGCTCGGGCCATTGGTGAGGTACTCGAGATGATTTTGAATGGCGTCGCCGATGCTAAAAACCTTGGGACGTATATCACAAGCGGGCAAGTGCGGAAAGTTTCGAGGATTACGACCAAACATCCGACCTGGATCGTGGGACATACAAAGCATTTACTGAGGACGCGAAGGCATTGCTGATGTGTGCGAGGCCATTAACCCAGATGTTACATCTTATGAGAGTATTTGGGGATCATCTGATCCCGGAGGAACAAGCAACTACTCAAATGACGCAGCACATTGGAGCGAGTTTCCTGATGATCCCCCTGCGGGTCTATTATTCGAAGGGGAGGGAGTAGCTTCAAAATGGAGTTTAGCTGGGAAAGGACTCACGATATTTAATGTGTGCCTTGGGGTCGTGCTTGTGGGCGAAGTAATATCCAGGTTAGTTGTTGTGCTTCCCATCCTTGCTTCTTGTGATGGATTATTCTGCTGTACGGGCAGTGTAAAGGCTGACTGCCTCGGATAAACGAAAAGTCTCATTACCCACTGGAATAATTTGTTCACGGGCGAAAAGATCCTTGATAACCTTTCTAATCACACGCAGGCGCTGCAAATGGTTCTCTGGACTTCGTCATGGCGACAGGTCTCTACGCCACGGCCCTGCCGGTGCTGGGGGCTGTGTTGACCATCATCGGGGTCGTTCTAATGGTTGTCAATTTCTTTCTCAGTCTTTTCTCTGCGCTGCCGCCTGACCCCGTTGAGACCTTCTTGAACAGCCAAGGCAAACCACTGCTTGACAGCCTAGATGAAGCCCCGACCCCGCGGCTCGAGTACACCCTCCTCTCCGCCGGTTCCGTCCCCGGGAAGCAGGTCACCACTGTCGCCATCCAGGCCGCCAACCACACCGGTCAACCAGTCACATTGTCGAACGTGCATGCCTCTCTGACGTCGACCATTTCGACCTGGTCGCCGCGGAGAGAACGAGCACCTCTACGTGTCCCTGGCCGCGACAGCCGATGCAGCAATAACCACGAGTGATTTCAAATCCAGTTCCGACCCCGTGGCACAGTACAACGAATACGACCTGGAGGTGGCGGGATGCAGGACAGACGGCAGCACAGAGAGTAGTCTGCCGCCGTTGGTGTTGGAACCAGAGGAGTCGTTCATCGTGCGGTGGACGGCAGAGGCGAATAAGAAGGGAAATAGCTTTGTGGACGTGGTAGAGAAACTGCCACTGGATAAATGCCATGTGCAGATGCCAGTGGTGAGGGTTTGAGTTTTGTGTGCTGTGGGTTTGGGTCTATTCGTGATAATGAATATCCAGGTATACCCGTGCACTGGGTATGCAGCGACGTTTGAACCTTCCAGTCGCCCCCTGTTGTACTTTGTGATTCTACTCTGCTTATATGAGACGGAGTAACGATATCTTGTCTCTTCAGTAAACGTTCAGAACGCGGTAGACGGGTGCATTCAAGGGGTTTCAGAATACGTATGCCAGCCGCGCTGACAGAATAGTCTCAGTGTCATGAACCATCCACATGAGTATAGGTTTTATCCATGGGACTTCAAGCGATGGGTATACATGGCATGGTGTGTCTTCCATCGTTTCAAGTATCAAACGACGTGTATGGTATTTGTGCACAAAACACTAGTCGTCGGCAACGGTGTCCTCTTAGCGCGAGCTCCGCCTTTAGGCATTGCAATCGCGTCCGTTGTGATTCTTCCTATAACATAATACAGGGTAAGTGAGAGTTCAGCCTTCGTGGGGTTCGTGTATCCATTCCACCACATCCACCCATCAGAATTGCTCGTAAAAGCCCGCCCGGTATACTGCTCGCGTCCCACGAACCCGCCCATCACCTCTCCCAACCAGCAACCACAGGGGACCGGGCCCGCGGATACGGTGTTGGGGTAGTGCAGGACGGTGGCTGTTGTGGCCGGCCGAACGAGCGTCAAACCGGCAAGATGAGATGTAGAGGAATGCATGATGGGAATGGCTGATTGATAGTGGAAGACGGTCTATTCTGCTGCTGCTGTTGTGTTTGATGGTATATCAGCCCGCTGCGTATGCGCTGAGAACCTCGTTCTAGGACAAAATTCCTTATCGGTGCGCCAGAAGGGCGCAGAAACAGAGCAGTAGACAAAACGCCATTGTATAACATCAATGATCTAATAGACACTATTTGAGTACGGAATCCGTGCTTTCGAAGAGAATAGGTCATTTTTAAAGAAACCAGATGGTCGGGATGGGCTTGCGATACGAAGCCAGAAGGCCCGTGACTTCTAGCAAGAGTGGCGGACGTTTAAAGGGGCGTGAAAACAAGCTTTCTTGGCTATCTCAGCCTCGGCTTCTGCGGCTGCAGATTGCATTGTGCAACATTTGCCCCCTTTGAAGCAACCCATATTAGTGGGGCGTATAATCACCTGGCAATGTTGTTGATATCTTTAACCTAATGTCATTTGTTATGTAATCAAGAGAAGGATAACCAACGACTTGGCATTCTAGTTACGAAAGATGAGAGAGCGAAATATTCATCCTCTAGCTGGGTAAGGAGTTGAGGAAGGGCCCAACGAGCTCAAGGAATAGTTCAACTTGAGTGATGATTGCAGCGGGAGGAGCAATTTGATGCCGTCGAGGCACGAAGGATTGAGCCGGTCAGCTAACCATCTCGCGCATATGGGCTTCGTTTCCGCAATGCTGGTCCATAGTACCGTAGCAGAATGGGTGCCGGAATTCCAATACAGATTGCAATCAATGCTAGCAAAGTGTTTCCCAAACCGAAACCGAGATTACCATACCTGGTCACGATGAACGGATGAAATCAGAGATGAACACAGAAGACCCAGGGGAACTCACAGACTTGGGGCAGCCAACGGCAACACAAATGACAAGATACTTCGTAGGCAGATGATCGCCGCCATTGCACTAGCTGCGTACTTTTGGTACGTGTCGATGATGTATCCCATCACGCAGAGAATCTCGAGCACTGTGCCGGCGCCGTAAATTGCTGCTCCGATGTTTCTGTGTTTGAGGTCAGGAAAGGGGGTTGTGACGAGGAGATTTCAGTACAATGGCACTCACGGCATGATCCAATGGATACTGGATCGTGCACTCCACCCATACCAAAACAGACCGACCGGGACAATGCACGCGCCAATGACCAAGACCGGGAGTCGGAACTCTGGCATACTGCGACCGTCGTTCTGTGCACACAGTCTCCGATAATACCAGTCGGCGAGACGGGTCCCGCCTTGTGAGGCAAGACCCATGCCGACAAAGAAAGAAATGTAATTGAGAGACCCGATGGACACGGACTCCCCATAAATGTCTGTCCAGACATTGGGAAATGTCGCAATGAGGAGATACAAGGTACCGTAGAGATATGCGCAGTATAGACTCCAGACTTGGATAACAGGTTGAGTTGCCAGTAGCTTAAATGGACGAACGATGCTAGTGCGGAGCAACTGCAGAAGAGAGGCATTGTCGTGCACGGTGTAGAGGTTAGAAGTCTGTATGCTTTTGCGCAGACGTTTGCATCGACGCTGCAGGAGAACCGGCGCGTAGGTCTCGCGGAAGAAGGGGAGACCGAGGATTTGGATGACTCCTCCGATGATGGAGACGACGTAGAAACACCACCGCCATGAGGTAAATTGGACAAGGAAGCCACCAGCGATGGGACCGACAACCACGCCAATCAGAGGTGCGAGGGTGTAAACGGCGATGGCTCGGCCGCGTTCGTGAGGGCGGAACAAGTCCGCGTTGATACCGCTTCCGATCTGCCAGAAACAGTTATCAGTATAGAGTACAGAAACACATCAAGTACTAGAGTGAATGAGACCCTACTGCGAAGGGGCCGGCACCGCCTAACCCCGCAAAGAATCGAAATACAATCAGCTGGTTCGGCGTCTTCGCAGCACCGCATAAGGTATTAAACACGATGTAGAATAAGTTGGCCGACTGCAAAACTATAGACCTTCCAAAGACTTCGGATAACGGGGCAGTCAACATGGGAATGAAGGCAGTGCCCAGCAAGAAAACAGACAGGGACAGCACAGCCATCATGTTGGACGGGAACTGAAGATCCGTCTGGATGGCGTCCAACGCGGGAGCCATGGTAGCTGAACTCATGGAGGAAAGAAAGTTGAAGAGAGACATGGGTAGGATCGTTGTCCATTTCTTAATCTGTGGCCAGTTCTTGGGATCATCGGGATCGTCGGGGCCATCCCAGGTTACCTGCTGTCATATGAGGTGGTCGTATCCCCCTAACTGGGGAAGGTGAAGGTGAAACGCACCAAGTTGGGATCATTGAAAGCCCTATTGATTGCAGCGGCTTGTAAAGTATCATTTGGAGTAGAGCTGCTGACAGTCACTTTCTCAGCCATGGTTAGACCTCAAGCTCAAGACAAAAGAAATTTAAAGAGAGGTTGGCTGATGTTGATGCTGACGAGCAGTGGACGCAGTAAGCAGAGATAAGAACTAATACTAACTAAGCGGAGATAAGCCTTAGTCACAGAACGGCAGGCACGGGTGGCCTACGCCTGGAAAAACGTTCTGCCACCAGCGCTATTGTGTAGCTTAGGCTAGTTAGCTAGCTAGTCAGAACACGCCTGGTCTAATCAGCCACTTGCCAGGTGCAGTGGCTCGACCAATTGCTCCAAATAAGGATTCTCCAATAAACTTCTTTGACTGCAATGAGCCATGTCGTTCTATCCATCAACAAGCAGACGACTCGTGTCTCCCTATGCAATACACCGGTATCAATTTCAAGGATCGAGTTGCTTTGTCTTTCTCTGTGTTGCCTTCTCCGAGACTTGCGGGTGACAATGGCTCCTAGTATCGGCAATGGGCTTGGGGTTAGCGTCCGACCGGAAGTCATTCAAAGGCTCGCCGCAATACCACCATGCTAGATTTTGAGTAATGTTTTTCGGATGCTGATCGTCAATGGGGTCAGAATGAGATGGCCTAGGGTGAGTTTAGAGCCAGGGGCTGATTCGAGGTTTCTGGAGGCCGTGGGGAGATATGGCTACTTATGCCCCATAGAGCCACCGCATTGGGTATTCTTTCTGAAAGGTGATGAAAATTCAAGTGCTGCTGGCTCGAATGCTGATGCCTCCGTAACTTTGCTCACCGTGTGAACTGGGTAGAATGGCAAACGAGGATAGAGAAGGAAAAAGAGGGAAAGGGGATACACATATGCCGGCCACCGAGATGAACTGGAAGGGGTGGCCATGGTGTTAGAGAACTTGTCGTAATCGCTGCAAAAATCGGCAAATGCAGCCCGTGGGCGAGCTTAGTACCGCATTTGAAGCACCACGATAGACCGAAAATGCGATATGACAGCTTTAGGAACACATAGCGAATAGCTCTAATTTACACAACACCGTCCCGTGTCTGTATTCCGAGTCAAGATAAGCGTTTGTTGTTCTCCAGCGAACACCGCTACGCACTCCTGGCTCTCCAGGGCTTCAATGTCCATCCTTTGGCAATCGGCAGCGAACTCTTCTTCCGTCTCATTTTCCTCCATGTCGATGATACCATGGGGTGTGCACAAACCAAACTGTCTCAGCCCAATACCCAATTGGCCTTAAAGGCCATTACCAACAGACCACAAAGAGGCATCGACTGCAAGAGCCACAACATGATTACCACCGGCGGCTGCATGCTTGATCTTCAGAGCCGTTGTCTCGTCCGGGTTACCACCGGTAATTCTGGCCTCCTCGAGCGTAGCGCTATTGCGATCATTACAATCTTCAATCTCGGGCCATTTGGAGCTCTTGTAGCCCCATATAAACAGCTGGCCAGACTTGGATACCGCCACACTGCGACGGCCTCCTGTAGACAACTCCTTGATTGGAGGGGGTGGTCTTTTCCGTGGCTCATAGTCCAGTGATTCCGGAAGCCTGGTCGGCCATCTTTTGACAGGCTCGTTGAAAGCCACCCATCGGAACCACTCCTTATCGAACTCTCCGTCATCGTCGGAGGGAGTGGGGGGCTGTTGCGGGAGCTTGTCGCCCCACTGGAAAACCTCGCCTTCCTCTTTGAAAATGGCGAAATCGTCGGTCAATTTGACGATGGGGGGGGGGGGGGGATGCGAAGGTAACTTTGTGGGTAGGAGTGTGGCCGTCTGCCGCCTGTTCCAAGTTATAGCACGTGGGTTGCCATGAGTCGAAAGACAGCACAGTGCTTGGATCGTTCGCAAGGACGAGGGCTACTGCGCCGGAAATCAGGTTTGGGTTCCAGTGATCGACTCGTTTCGTAGCAATAGCTTTGATGCCTTTGCCCTGAATACGTTATTCCGGACTCTCTGGTTGTCAGGGATCTCCATTATTGAATAAAAACGCAAAGCCATCTGCGAGTCGAGCGACCTGGATCACGTTCTCTGCGCCCGCCTTCTTGACTTCGGCGCGATGGGTATCCGCAAGAGGCCCGAAGCCAAGATGCCTGAGGTCTCCATCCACGTCAACAAAGGTTGAGAAATTATTACAGCTGATAAGACAGACTTTTTGTCCTCGAAGGACTTTCCTTGGCTTGATAACCCAGAGAGGACAGTACGGAGTGTCTTTCATGTCGTTGTTGTGTTGACAGTAAATTTCGAGAAGCAGAAGGGTTCGCGTCTGGGCAGCGTGTAAATATATCATGTTGGCTGTCGATCAACGTCAACATTAGTATCCACAGCCTTTTTGATCTTTGGACAAGAATCAGCCACTTCATAAACAGATTCGTACTACGAACCTTCCACATTATCACGCCTAGAGCCTCAAATTTGCACTTGTTCCCACCGTAGGGCCCTCATGCGTCGGTGGTGGCCTACAAATGTGCGGCCGCTTTTACATCGTTTCTGCCACCGCCTAATTTCAACAGTTTTCAGGTCCGAGTTTCGCCCGCTGTTTGCTTTATCTCCGCTTAAATCCGTGGTTTTCGCTGGGAGGTTGCGAGCGTTCTGCCGGCCATGGCGGTGAAGGAAGCGGTCAGGCTTGCATCCGTCCACTGCCATGCTGTGGATCGGTCTACCTTGGAAACGACTCAAGCTCCTTTGTCTGATAGGGATCGACATTCTGAGTCCATTTAGCAGATGGCTTGCCTCCTTCATATAGTCTTTCTATTCTGCAAAGCTAGTTCCAAGCAATGATCTCGGTATGATGAGAGCTTGGGGTCGTGCGTATAAACTCACGGAGAGTGTATTCCTACATGATTCTTGATCATTCTAGACTAATCGCTTGGCTAGGTATGTAGACGGGGTTTGATATCTCATCTTAAGACGCTCTAAAATGATACCAGCCATATGTCGATTCTCTTGTCCCGCAAAGGTCTCCAGTTCATGTTCACGTTGAGAGAGCGAGTCTGATGTCCTCCGACGGTATCCACAATTCCGGCCAAGCTTCGGAAAGGTGGGTCTGTGTGGGTCAGGGCGAGGATCCTGTTTATATGGACCGTCCCATGTCCAGACCCGGGATAGATTGACTTCGACCAGTCTAGTGATTTAGGCGGCTTCGATTGATTCCCTGGCAGAACCGACAACTGAATTGAGTGCTGTCACGGTCGGCCCGAGTAGGCGATAGATAGGATTGTTTGTCAAAGGTGAAGAGTATGCTCGCGCGGTCTTGTTCCGGCCATTTGCTAAAGCAGAATGTACCCAAGGGAGGCGCGATCTCTCAAAGAGCTAGTCACGGGAAAGACGCAGATTGAGGACTCATCGATGGGATATCCGGCGCATGCGAGAGGTGTAGGAGGGTGGTGCTCGACCATTTGAAGAGAGGAATCATGCTACTAGAAAACATCGTGGGTCCAGTCGAGGTTGTTACGGACGATCGTGTGTGTCGTCAGCTGCTTTCGCTTCTGGCTGAATTGGAGCAGAATCTCTGGGTTGATTAGGTAAATGGAAGGATTTGCGCAGGTGCTCTGGACCATCTGCCAGTGGCTTTGGGGAAGCAAGGATGTTGATATGCTTCGTCCGATTTTCGTGATACACAGATAGAATTTGCTTGCCCAGAACCTGCATTGCTCGAGTGATTCCAAGGACTGGTCGTCGACCTCGCGGCCGCCCGTTCAGTATTACCCCGTACGGAAGCTGCGTGCCTTGAAAGAGAAGACAGGACCTGACGGATCTCATTCATGGGAGACTTCAGATAATATAGAGCATGAACAAGCTTTCTAAGTGCACAGTCCACCATGGAGACCATGCCACCTCATATAATTGCGCGCCATAAACCCCTGACGTTCAGCTTAAGGTGCATATAGTACTCTAGCCTCGATCGTAGAGAACGCCTGCGCCATGTTGGCGATTCTCAAACTGCCACTACGTCCCACTTCTTCAGTCCCTTTTCACCCAGCCGGTCCCTACGTCCTCCATCATACTCGTGATGACCCTCATTCTTTTCTGTCTTGTATATCTGTACCGTATGGTCACAATTACTGTTGACAGACGGCAAGAGCGAGGCTTGCCGCAGATCTTCCTATGTTCTTCCATACCAAGCCGAGTCACAGTCGATTCGTCTGCACTGGAGATGTGCTCGACGCGCGGAAGGACGGTCATAGTAGATATCTGACCCATGATGCATCTTGATATAAACATGGGCCGCTCACTCTTCATCCTCTTGTAGTCCAACCAACCATGACAGCGCAGCCAGAGACTTGCCTAGTAGTGATGTATATGACTCCGTCTGGCAGGAGCATGGAGCAACACCTTCCTTCGTTGATCCTCCAGCGCACCTCCTTCCCTTCTATCACAGTCAACTGCGCCTTCCCATTCACACTTTGAACAGCAAGTATATAATTCGTAAATTTTGGCCGCCGCCCCCCTTCGCTTTCTTTTCCTTTTCTTCTCTTCTCCTTTTCCCTCCCCACCTCGCGGTGTTTTGATGCCTGTTTTTCGTAACAATATCATCTCATCGTCTGTTCTCTGCTCTCGTCTCCCTGCCCTCTGTTCTTCTCTTCTCCGTCCTTCCCTTCTCCTCTGCCCGTTTTCTTTGGAGTGAATTCCAGATGGCCCGTCTGTGTGTTCCTTCGTTTCCCTCTCCCCCCTCCTCTCTTCGTTCCGCCCTGCTCTCCTCCTCTTCTTCCTTCAAGAAGGATCTGGTACGTCCTTCTTGTCGGTCCGTTCCCTCGTCCTCCTCCTTCTCCTCCGTCGGCCTTCGCCATCACATTCCTTTGACAGCCAGCCGAGGCGTCCGTTCGGTTGTGGGTATGCAGTCAGCCCCGCTGCAGCCTACTGTGCCCAAGGTGAGCACGTCCATTCCTTCTGCTGTTTTGGAGAAGCCTGCCCCCAGGTATCTGCGGCGCCATGTGCCCAGAGAGCCCCACGTTCCTTCTTCTGCGCCCACTCAGGGTGCGTCCTCTCGTTCTTCTGTGTCCTCTAAGGGCACGTCCACTCGTTCCTCTGTCTCCTCTTCTTCTTCTTCTTCTTCTTCTTCGTCGTCGTCGTCGTCTGCTTCCTCTGCTGCACCCTCTCAGGGTACGTCCTCTCGTTCTTCTGTGTCCTCCAAGGACACGTCTACTCGTTCTTCCTCCCGTCCCTATGTGAGAACCACTTCATGTGGTTTGGTCGTTCGTTCTTCTGTGCCCTTTAAGGACACGTCCTCTCGTTCTTCTGTGCCCTCTCAGGGCACGTCCTCTCGCTCTTTTGTGCCCTCTCAGGGCACGTCCTCTCGTTCTTCCTCCCGTCCTTATGTTAAGACCACTGCAAGTGGTTTGGTCATTCGTTCTTCTGTGCCCTTTAAGGACACGTCCTCTCGTTCTTCTGTGCCGTCTGAGGGCACGTCCACTCCTTCTGTGAGCCCTCGGGCCACGTTCACTCGTTCACGGTCAAGTGAGGTTCTGAATCGCCTTCGGGAGAAGCGAGCCAACTTCCGGGCCAGAGCTCAGCAGCCTCGGGCTCCTGTGGAGGCCACCCTTGCATCAAACGCAGTTAAGTCTGCGGTTCGTAAGGGCAAATCCAAGGAGAGGAAGAGTGTCTCCTTCAAGGAGACCACGTCAGTCGTTACTGTCGACCGGTGGATTATCCCCGGAATAGATGTGTGGACACACATCTGATCAGGCTTCTCAATGCACTCCTTTGTTTTTCTTTTCTAGTCACTCATTTGGGGCATTTTGTTTTCTGTTTCTTCTTTTGCTGACCTTCTGGGTCGTCCATTCGTTTCTGTTTTCTTTCCTGGCTTGGTTGTACCAGAACCAAGCTGGGGCTCTATTACTGCTGATCAGGTCACAGGTCGGGCACAGGGACGACATCGTACACGACCATTCCCATCGATTCGCTTACGGTTCAACGAGTGTCTAGCGGCTTTTCACCACCGACGAACGACAGAGATAAACGACCGGTTTCGATTCGATTTGTTTACGGTTCACCGAGTGTCTAGCGACCAGCGCCACCGAAGGACGACAGAGGTGAACGACCTGGGAACGCGTTTGGGGTTGTTGCGGTCGATTGCCTGTTGGGCAGCAGGCATGAGACGGGCAGCCACGTGGTTTCGGGCAACGGTCATCGGCGGTTCGAGGGGTGTTCGGCTTGCGACAACATTTCGACGAATGACAGCAGCAAACGACGATCTCGGCAACGATTTATCGGCGGTTCTAGGGGTGTTCGGTTTGCGACAACATCTCCGCGATACGACAGTAGTGAACGAGAGGAGGATTTGGGGTGTCAGCGCCAGCGACTGCCAACGGGGCACGGCTCGTTGCATGTCAACAGTTGCTGGTGCGGGTGTCGGAGGATTGTGGTGGGGGAGGGGGGAGGGGACGTGTGGGATGGCTTTCCATTGACATTGTTTCCTTTGTTTGGGATGGGATGGGATGGAGTCTTTGCTTCAATTGGTCGAAGGAGGACATGTATCACCAGCCGTCGGGGCGTGAATATTTGTAGGTCTCGTTGGTCATTTCCTTGTTTCCTTTGTCTTTCTTTTGGTATCGGCTGATACCTTGGTTGGGAGGACATGTGGACCAGCCCCAGCGGGGTGTGGGTATTTGTAGGTCTCTTTGGTCATTTCCTTGTCTTTTATTACTCGGTCCAAATGGACTTGTATTGGCGACTCCGGCGTGGGATTTGGGCCTGACTGTCATTAGCTAGTCTGGGATTTGGGGCTGTGTTTCGTCAATGGCACGTGTCTTCCTCTTCCCACTTTGGTTCCTGCGTAGTGTGTAGAAAGCTTAGATTCAACCCAGCGTAGACTGTAGACGTAGACTGTAGGAAGATTCTAAATTATCTGGCATCAGGGGTAGGATGGTTGCTCTGTAACTACGAGGACCACGGTAGCCGTATTGCGCATATTTCCAGCCTCCGACTCATCTGAAACGCCTTTGTCTTTCTATGCGGTTTCGTAGCCATCAAACTTCAGGCTAATGACGGGCTTTAGTGGCTTGACTAGCTTTATGCTCCAGCTCCGAGTAGAAGATACTAAAGATAACTCAAGCGAACCATTCAATGTTCTGCCGACGTTCTGGAAATTCCGACCCGAACAAAGACAAGTGCCCGTGAATGGTGCGCCATACTGAATACAGTTAGTTGTCCCGCCTCCCGACAAAGTTCTAAGTTCGGTGGAGCTACTCCGCATTGGGGAAGAAAAAAACTCGACTCACTCACTCGGCGGGCGAGACTCACCAGCTTATGAAAGCTTTCATTCACTCACCTTTCACTTGACATTGATTCTCTCCTCGGGTCAATTGCCTAAATACCTCATCGCCCTCCCTTCCCGCTACTTTCACCATGAGCGGCAATCGTCTCTTAACCCGAATTGCATCTCTCAAGATCACCACTCCATCATCAAGAATCGCTACACGCCTGTTGAACTCTTCCCGCTTCGCCACTACCACTACCTCTACCACCACTACCACCAACTCCCGCTTCTCCCAGATGCCCCCGCGCCCTCCTACCCGTTCCTTCACCACTAGCCGCGCGATGCAGTCGGTTGTCAACTCCGCTGATGATAGCGGGGCCACGTACGCGTCGCTGGCGGGCAAGCTGGATGCCTCTCTCCTGAAAGCAGTGGAGGTGATGGGATTCGAGAACATGACTGCTGTGCAGCACGAGGTGTTGCAGGCGTTGCAGCCGGATTGGCGCAATGACTGCCTGGTGCAGGCCAAGACAGGCACGGGCAAGACGGTGGCGTTCCTGTTGCCGGCGCTCCACAACCTCCTCCGCGGCGAAGTCCAGGTGCCCAAGGGTGATGTTGCGGTCTTGATCATCACGCCGACGCGTGAGCTGGCGCAGCAAATTGCCCAGTCGTGTAACGCGCTCACCTCCCAGCTGACCGGAGGTAACAAGATCGAGTGCCACACCGCCGTGGGCGGGACGGCTAAGGAGGCGACGCTGAACAAGTTCATGAAGGGCGATCCGAAGGTGTTGGTCGCCACGCCGGGCCGGTTGGAAGATTACCTCAGTGATGGAGCTGTCGCGAAGAGACTACAGAACGTGAGAACCATTGTCCTGGATGAGGCGGACACGATGCTCGAAGTCGGATTCCTCGGTGCCGTCAAGAATATTCTGGCGAAGCTGCCGTCGAAGGCGCAGGCCGGGTGGCAGGGCATGTGCTTCAGTGCCACGCTGCCGGAAAAGGTCAAGGAGGTGGTCAACGTGGTTCTGAAGGACGGATACCACCATATCTCGACCGTCGACCCCAACGAGACCCCTACCCATGAACGGGTGCCGCAGTTTTCACTCACCGTGCGCGGGGTGGAGGATACGTTTACCGGGTTGCTAGCCTTGTTGAGCGAGGAGATCGCTGACTCGACGGGTTCTAAGAAGATCATTGTGTTCGGCGCGACGGCCCACTTGGTGGGATTGATGTCGGACACGGTGGGCCAGGCTCTGAAGGGGGTTCCCGTGTCTCGCATCCACTCGCGACTGTCCCAGGCCGCCCGGACGCGGACGGTCCAGGAGTTCCGGGAGGCTAAGCAGGGCGTGCTGTTCGCGTCGGATGTCGTGGGTCGCGGCCTGGATTTCCCTAACGTCGATCTCGTCATCCAGGTCGGCGCGCCGCCAGCGGCCGCGCAGTACGTGCACCGCGTGGGTCGCACCGGCCGTGCCGGCAATGACGGCCGCGCCGTGATCCTGCTGCACTCGCTCGAGGCCGGCTGGCCAGGTGCCAACCCGGAGTTCCGCATCCAGCCGCACCCGCGGTCCAAGGAGATCCTCGCCCGCGCCGCGGACCCCTCGACGCAGGACCAGATGCGCGTGACCATGCGGTCGGCGTCCCAGGAACTCGTGGGGCGCGCCTATCAATCGTATATCGGATACCTGTTTGGCTTGCCCAAGTTGTTGAAGATGATGGGCACGAACAGGCCCGGCGTCGTGCAGCTGGCCAACGCCATGGCCATCAAGGGCATGTACCTGGAACAACAGCCCGCGCTGACCATGAACCTAGTCTCCAAGCTGGACCTGAAGGGCGTCCCCGGCGTGATCGTGACCGCGAATCGCCCGAGACCCGTCAAGGGCCCCAAGGGCCCCAAGGAGCCCAAGACTGCTCCCCCTGCCCCGAAGCCCGCCGCAGCCAAGAAGCCCAAGTCTAAGAAGGTGATCCAGAAGGGTCCCACCAAAGTCTTGAAGCCGGAATGGGGCCTGATCTAAGTCTTGTTTCTTTTTGTGTATCTTACCTCCTCCTTTGGCTAAAGCTCCCTCTCATGTCAACCCGGCCACGTTGATTTGTTTATTTCCTTTTCGGTTGTTCCCGGATTTCCTTTTCTTGTTCTATGATAAACCACAGATTTTCGTGTCATTATACCAGCTACAATGTAATAGACTTTCTTGTGATTGAAGAGATAAATCTACCCTTTCTATGATTGAAGAAAAGACGTTTTGTGATGGATGTAAAATCTGATCATCTTTGAAGATCTGGTTCAGGTACTGTCGCCGATACCATGGACGAAATAAGCTGCTTTATTCGCTTGGATACATTCTATCCGGTGGTTGCACGTCCGCGGAACCTTGTGCCTGCGCCAGGCTTGACAACAGAGTCTGGAACTGTTGGGCTCATGGCTCAATGGGTGAGTGGTTTCCACGTACACAGTTTCTCTGCTAATGCCAATGTTGAGCAAGTTACGAGAATGCAAGGTCTTAGTCAGACCTAGGAGAGTCTACTTATGAATGCTGTAGAGGATGTGTTGAGTTATGCAAGATTTTATTTTTGATTGAGGTTTCATTAATCCCGGTGCTCTGGTCCCCAAGACTGCTGCTGTCACAGTTCAGTGGGTCATCGTCGGCTAGTGTGGAGAAGCAGGCCGTGTGGCTTCCGAGTGGGAAAGCCATAGGTGCCGCCCTTAAAACACGGAGGGATGCGATGAGGCCGCTGCGAATAGTCCAACCAATCTCAAGAAACCGATATAGAGTCTCCCACGTACTCGGCTTCAACCAACATGCCCCTCAAAGTCGTCATCTTCGGTGCCGGTCTTGCTGGTCTCGGTGCTGCCATTGCTCTCACTCGTGCCGGTCATGATGTCGAGGTGTGCTACAATTTACTCTTTGTATCCTATATATGCTGACTATTCTAGGTTCTTGAGTAATCTAGCTTCCTGAATGAGGTCGGCGCTGCCATCCACGTGGCGCCTAACGCAACCCGGATCTTGCGCGACTGGGGCTGCGATGCTGAAGGCTTGCAAGCCGTCGAGTGCAAGCGTTTGCAGGTCTTGAATTCGGATGCAGAGCTCGTTTATACTCCGATTGTGTGTTGCTCAATCCCATGATCGATTGCTCACTTACTCATCGGATGCCGCTCGTGTAGTTGACCGAGGATTGCCAGAAGGCATTGGGCATAACCGATAGCTGGGTCTTGACGCGTCGGGTGGACCTCCACAGTACTCTGCGAGCGACAGAGGCGAAACATATCAAGGGCAGGAAGCCGAACATTCGACTGTGCTCGCGTATCGCTTCTGTTGTATGTTCTATCTGGTGAAGTATCTTCACTTTCTTGAGCAGAAGCTGACACCACCCTATTCAGGATGCCGAGGCTGGTGTCTTCATACTCGGGAATGGGAAGACTGTTACTGGAAATTTGATTATCGGTGCAGATGGCATTCACGTAAACGCTAAACACCCCAGCGACCCGACCCGATCACTAACCCTGTTGGCAGTCCCGAACAGTCAAAGCTGTTACCGGAGAAAAACCACGGAAAGTAAGCACCGGCCAGTACTGCTTCCGGTTTCTAGTGCCCGTCTCCAAGATGCTAGCTGACCCTGAGACGGCCTCGCTGGTCCGGAAGATTGGGCTCGACGGCGTCCACGCCATTGCATCCGAGGATCGAAGGCTAGTCGTCTATCCCAGTCGAGGCGACGACCTGCTCAAAGTGGCAAGAATCTACCCCGTCGAGCCCGGGTCCACCGTAAAGGAATTGTCCTGGCTGGACGGCGGCAGCATGGAGGCGCTACTCAAGGCGTTCGAGTCGTTCAGCTCGGAGTTGCAAGTGATGTGTCGCAAGGCGGAGGATCTCAAACTACGGAGCCTGGCGTCGCGCACGCCGCCGGAAACCTTCATCAAAGGTAAGCTCGCCCTCATTGGCGACGCAGCGCATCCTACTCTTCCGCGTATGTGTCGTCCCACGTTGTGACTTGCAGTATGCACTTCTTGCTGACACAGTCTTCAGACCAAGAACAAGGCGGTGCACAGTCCTTCGAGAATGGTGTCGCTCTGGGTGCGTTGTTTACACCCGACACCACTCCCGAGCAGGTATCGCAAGGACTCGAGCTCTACGACCGTCTCCGTTACGATCGCGCGATCACAGTCCTGTTCATGTCCAAGCTCAATGTTGAGAGGCGGGGTGAGATGTTGGACGAGTTACGCCAATTTGTTCCCGACGCTCAAGTCCCAAAGAGCATGTTCGATTACACTTGGAGCTCGTACCCGGCTCGGGATGCGCAGCGGCTGCTGGGGGAGAGTGGAGTTGCTGCCTATATCAAGGGTCTATGAATTCCAGGATCTATATCATGAGCGACTGCAACTCTGTACCAAGAAGCGATTTAGCGTTTAAATTGACGGACATCCTGTATTCAGGCCAAGAGCAAGGCATAGACACTAATATACCTGTGTGGAGAATCAGACTGACTTGGTTCACCGGCAAGGAAGAGACGACTCTCCACAATTGTGGTACCCGAGAACAATCGACGGGTTCAAGGTGAAGATCAGGCATTGATCGACACAACAGGGTGTGATTTGCAGAACTTGAAGCTTGCTAAAACAGGGGATAGTATCCTTATAAGACTCCCATATAATCCAGTCATTGCATCAATCGAATATGTTCCGAGGGTGATGTGTAGATAGAGTAGTGGTGGATGCGCCAAGACCAAGTCGGAAGGAGCCGGCAGAACTGATGGCCAGCGGGATCCTTCCCCGTCTTCCCCTGTCGATCCTCCCCTTAGTTAATTAATTAGTGCTTTCCTCATTTTATTCCACGGCACATGCGGAATGGAAATTCCCTTCCCTTGCGTGTTTATCTGCACAGATGAATGTCTCACACTCATGCCCACGGGGCGCTGCCTGTCATTGCTGATACTTCTGCGAGATGCAAGTCGCGCGTCTGCAATGCGACACATGCAACGCGACCTTCCAGCGACGGGAGCACTATCAGCGCCACATCCGCACCCATACCGTGGAGCGTCCTTTCTCGTGTACTGAATGTGGGCGGACCTTGGTCGCGTGTAGGTGTTGTTTTCCGCTGTTATATTCGGACCTCGAGGTCCAATAGATTACCAGTGACTCTCTTTCCCGCCACGTCGGTACTATCCATAAAAAGGGAATCGACTGGATTCCTAAAATGACGAGGGCCGACGACGGGTTGCGCGAGCGTGCAAGCCCTGCAATCAATCCAAGGTCTATTGTGATGGGCAATTCCCCTGTCAGTCCTGCCAGGGCCATGACGCTCGGTGTCACTATGAGACTCCTCAGAAGCGAAGGCTAACGGACGCTGGTGTGTCGACCACCGACCGGTCCACGAAACGCTCTCTAGTGGATGTTGAAGTCTAGAGCCCTCAACCGGTGGCGAACGCAGTTGGCGTGGACGACTTGCCGTACATCATGCCGCGCGCTTGTTTGAGACTGTTCGATCACACTGGTGCTCACACTTCTCGACACCGGTCCTGCTCCTCAAATCCACTTTGTTATTATGGACATACTCGACCCTTCACGTCTCATCCGGAAATATCACAGCTGATGAGCTCGCTATTGTTCTTGCGGCATTAGACACTAAAGACGCCTTGTGCAGTCGATGGGTCGAGGAGCACGGCTCGAGCCGAGATAAGATCTCTGGAGTGGGCAGTATCACGACGGATCAGGGTCGAACTAGACCCCTGGACGAGTCTATTTCCGCTATGAAGTCATTGAAGGCATGGGTGGTAAGCAAGATGTATGGTCAGGTTCTGACACGATTGCGAATCAATTGAGCTCTGAATCTCGGGAGAAGATTCCAGCAATTGTCCGGTTCCAAACGAACATTCACCTATCCAAATGTATCTGCACTTCGCTAAGACTCGCACCTTGCATGATGAACAAGCTAGGCTCTGATCGATCTGGAATTGATCTGCAAATTAACTGGGCTTATTTACATGAACAGGTCCAGATGCTCAACGAATCACGGATTTCGGCTTGCTTGGGCGGGACGAATCCCCGAAAGCGGCTCACCACGTCTAACCGAGATTACCTGTTGTCTTCAAATTATCAAGGCCGGCTCCACAAGAAGCACGCCTCCTTCCTTTGGCGTCTGCTGCGCCAATCTTCCGCTAGATCAGCGGTGCTATGTGCTGGGATGAAGCATGCTTTCTCTGATTGTAGTGTGCAATTATCCCCCCTTGCATCAGTCGTTGCCGATTCTGTTCGCATGGTGAATTGTCGGGCTAGTTTGCTTCGTGATGGGGATGCGGACGAGGGTGAGAGTATTGGTTGGGGTTGCAACGCAGAGAACGCCTGATTCTCCAGGTATGTTGAAGATTTAGTCTGTTAGGCCTGCTGCTGCTGCTTTACGCTAGAGTTCACTGGCAGTCCATGGTCATAGTACCGATTTATTTTCATTCATCCTGGGCAATACATAGTCAAAAGTCAGGTGACGGCCGCCTCAACCACCAAAACTTGACACAATTCAACTACCAAGCACGCAACCAATACTTACTATATCCAACCAATTCCTGGTGGTGTGGTTATATAGCCCTAGTTCTGTGTATAATGGCCTTTTGCCTGTCGAACAGCCTTAATCCGCCTTGCCATTGATAAATGAAGGTTATCCCAAGGATATTCAAGTAGACAAATTCAGAAATCAACCAAAACCATCTCAAAGGCATCTTTATCCTTATCTTTGCGGCCATCCAACCACACCAGACCTGACTCAAAAACCAGTGGATCCTCTTAGGAGTATCCAGGCGTGTCCAGAGTCCAATCGGGAGTCAATCCGGAGAACGAGGCAACCAATCGCATATCTAGCGATGTGATATGTTGTGCAGATGCACGAAGCATCCCCCTGTCTCGAGGGCTGTCGCAAATGTTTACCTTCCCCACTCGCGCATTGACGGGACGGACGGATGGATGGTTGAGGAACACCAAAAGGGGCGGGAAAAAAAGAAATCAGAAAAAATAATATATCTCCGATGCGGGGAATCGAACCCCGAGCTGCTGTGTGAGAGACAGCGATGTTAGCCATTACACCACATCGGATGTTGTTGAAAGATGGACTGAATTATGGCTTTATAATCTTGTAACGATATCATTGATGCCATATCTGCACTTTTCATGGTCTGATGTTTGATGTGGTGGAATGGCTAAGCTGGTCGTTCATTGAGAATTTACAAGAGCTGTGAAAAGGGCCGTATATGCCGGGTAGATAACGAGATGAGCGGACTTTTCTTATTACTGGTTTTATAGGTTTCGGCTCTTAAGTTTTGATGGAAGACAAAGCGGGTATTTACTACATGTTTTCATGCCTGAGGGCGAAATAAGCCAGGGGATTACACCAATTTCTTTCTGGAATCGAGCTCGCCACAGCTCAACTTGGGCCTGGCATTTCTTGTTTCTCTTCCTTTCCTTTTTATGTCTTCTTGGTCATGTTTTGAAAGACGGGTTTCAGCGAAAGCTGTCGAGTAGAAATCTTTTTACCGGCGGGATAAGAGGTCTATTGTGGTGGACGATGGCGAGAAGATACTCAATTCCTGCGGTTGCATCTACAACTCAGGGAGTGTGAGTTGATGAAGTAATACGTTAGTTTGGAAAGGTCGATTGAATAAGAACCGGTCTTGATTCTACCTGCTATTATGAATTTTATTGCCTGGAGGATGGTCGTCCAAGTTAATACTGATTTATTCGGTCATACAGAGCAGATGGCTTCCCATTGAACCTACGAAACGGGAATATGAACTCATGCTACAGCAGCCGTGTTTAAACTGCGATGCGAGGTTGAGATTCATGCATAGAACGTGCTTTAGAGAGTCGATGACCCTGGTCGGATAGTTGAAAGTAGCTCGAAGCTGTCCCATAAGTGGAAAGGGCGCTTTTCCTGGACTGGCGGTAATCCTACGTACGCATTCTCGAGGCTATATAGAGGTTCAAGCTGGAGGGACTATGCATCTTTATTGATGGTTCCTTTCTTGTACTGTATAATGGCGTAACAAATTAATTAACCCTCGCCGTCCCACGGCGCCCTAGTTTCCTAACTTCATACTCGATCCACATCCTCCGTGGTGGTCAGTGGTTCATCCCGAAACAACAAAATATCACGTGGTGGTACATGATTCTGGCTGCTGCTTCGACGAGGACCCCCTTCTCGCCGCGGTAGTCTTAGGGCCAGGACCCGAACCCGGAGACGCTCGTCGTCGTTTGCGCTTCCCCGTCTCGGGTTTAGGCCCATCCGTGCCCGGCACCCGCGCCAGCAGCATCTTGGCATATGCTGCCGCCGTGGCAGCGGCATAGTTCTGCCAAAGCTTGTTCTGGTGCGAGTCTGCGTAGTTGCAAATCCCGCGGATGACCAGGCACGGGAAGCTGTCCAGGATGCCGGGGCCTTCCACGCTGAAGCACAGGATGTTGTGGCCTTGGGCCAGTCGGTCCCGGGTCTCGGCGGAGCGTATGACTTGGTTGCCTGAGGCGATGAGGCCGTAGTGGATGCGCGGTTCTACGAACGAGCGAGGGGGTCGTCGGACCTCCTGGCCGGGATCGCAGTGGTCGCATGCGGCTTGATCGTCGGCTGCTTGGTGCGGGTAACTTGCTGGGAAGAGCCGGTCGTTTACGAGATCGGGGCGCTGGTATTGGATCTTCTTTATCTCGAGCTGGCGGAGGTGTTCTGCCAGTGGGGTGGCGGAGAGGCTGGGGTCGGCTTCAAGCTGGCTGATCACGCTCTTGAGATCGGTGGGCGGCGGGGGGAGATGGCCGCTGAGCTGCAAGGCTCCGGACTCCATGCTTTTGGTCATGTCGTACGGCACCACCCCGGGGTGCTCGCCGCGGGGAGTGCCGATGACCACGTCCCCAAGACGGATGTCGTTCTGGGCGGACGGCACACCGGCGCCAATGTCGAGGAGGAGGCAAAATTTTAGCTTACGGAAGCTGCGCTTCAGTTTTGACAAACACTCCGCGGCGGAGCTGGTGCCGTAGGACCCGTGCGGTAGGCAGGCGCCGACCACGTTGTGCTCTGCAATGCGGCCCAAGGCGTAGTGATTCGGGTCTCCGTAAACCAGGGGCACCATCTCGAAGAACTCGTCAAACAAGGCCCGGACAGCCATCAGCTCGAGGTTCAGAGCACAGATGATCCCGACTGAGTAGTGCTTGGCGAGAAGTGAGCGTTTCCACACCGGGACCGGCGGTGGGCGAGCCCCTTCTGGGAGCTGAGGAGGTACTGGTATAACGTTACGCCATCCAAGCCAGTCCAGAAACGCACGCTCAACTTCACGTTCCCTTAATCTACTCCTTTCGCTGGACGGATGCAATGGGCCGATGTGTTTTGTATCGCTATCGTCAAGAAGGGGATGGGATAGCTCGACGCCTAGCTGAACAGTTGATTCGGAACTCGGATCTCTGGTCGGATTTCCGTAATCACCCCAGTACCATGGGTTGTTCGAGCTGAATCCAAAGACTATAGCCCCCACCTTCCAGTTGATTGTTCCGGTCGACCTTCGAGGCTCAGTCTGCATTGAGATGGGTAGGAGACCAACGATATACTCCAGAGGCTGGGGGTCTTGTTCGCCATCAGTGGGCGAGTTGTCAGCTTCTAGCGGACACAAACAAAGATTGTGAGTTAGCTTCACAGGATTAGAATAAGGGCCACCGTAGGCCTCGGCGATGTTACTAAGGTCTGGGGCGGTTGCCGCCAGATACCATCTGCCGGTTGGGAGGGTTTTCCATGCTGCGCAGCCCCCCTCGGCAGGCAGCAAAATGTCACCAAAGCCCCGGCCAAATAACGTGACCGCATGAATTGACCGAGTCAGATCCACCCACAATCGGCCTTCGTGGGCCAAGACCGTCTGACGCGAGTGAATACGATCCTTTTCTAGAATGAGGTCCCGGAAATCCCATCCATCCAGCAATGATCTTGGTTGTTTGGTAGCTGCATCTTCGCGACTGGTGGCGCGAAGCTGATAGTCTATTGCCTGTTCTAGTAGAGTAAAATATTCCTCGACTCGGTCCTGAAAGTATATCGGATTATTGTCCTGAGGATTGATCTTGAACTTGCGGTTTATCGGATGCAACAACATTTCGCACGCCGAGTCCCATTGGTAAGGTCGCATGGCATCGTGTGACTGTTTCTCACTCGCAAGACAAACGGATTTAAATATTCTGTCGGCGCGGTCTTCTGTGATTGATGCGCGGACCAGGTGCAGCAACGCGCTGGCTCCATTTACAAGCCATCCTCGTCTTTCGCTTACATCCCAAAGAACAACGTATTTCTCAAAAATCCACTCTATATTTCTGACGAAGGATGTTCGCTGTGCGCGGGTCCTGTGATCCAGAATCGGGCCTGTGCCATCGGCAATGATTCGCCCTGTGGAGAGTGTGACATTATTAAGAAGTCCATTGCCCCTGATACTAAGTGGTAGCCCGGTATTCTTGATGTTGTAGCTTGCGTCGTATTCTCCTAAGAATAAAAGTAAGTGTTAGCCGTCAAACCAACCAATAGTGAAATGGAGCACAGACCCGCAAATAGCTTCATCTCCGGACACCAGCCTACTATATGCCGAGCTGCCTTTAGATCATCAACTGATAGAGAGAGACCGGCCCACTCTTCACTGCGCAGATGAGAAATGTGACCATCGTTCTCGTCGACAAAGTGCCATATGACCGTGTTTTGGGTATAGCGGGTCACAATCGCCATCGCGGAATATCCTTTCAGGAGAGTCTTTCCGTCAAACGTGGACACTCTAGTCGTGTCTACTAGTTTGGCTAACATGTCCAGTGGTATATCGAGGCCTTCGGGCACATGTTCTGGCCTTCGACGGGTTGGAAAGCCCTCCACTATCACTGGGCTTGTCGTCAGCCTGTGCCAACATTGGCCGTTGACGACCTCCGTACTCTGCGGTCTTCCATGCATGTCCACTAGCACTTCAAAAAAATACTGCGTTGATGGTCTCTGATAGTCGTACGGCCGGGGAATATCAATCAGACGGATTCTTGGTTTACTGTAGTTGATAGTTCCTTCTTTCGAACAGGTCTGTAACGCAGAGGCCATCCATGACACCTGTTCACCGATCTCGGCAACCACAGGTCCTGTTCCGTCAACCTCGAAGTACATTTGGTGCAACGTCTGATCGCCAGAGAATGACCGCCGCGAGCAACAGATGTGAGTGCCGTCCACCAAATTGACTATCAAGAGACATATCAGCTTCCGAGTTATGATTACCTTTGGAATAATCGAATTTACCATACAGAGCGCCTCTCCCACAAACCAGAGCCTTGACCAGATTCAGAATCTGCATGCCAGTAGAGGGCCATGTCTGCTGCATGTAGTCTTGAATAGTCAATGCTTGCACTGTCGAATTGCAGCCAGTGAGAGTAATGATTCTTCCAAATGCCTCACCACTAGTCTCCTCATACCCCTGTTCTTCGAGAAACCCCACGGGATCCCAATATACCTTGAACAGTACGTCGAACGTGGCGGTGGGATATTTTCTATTCATTCGCGAAGACTGTGGTAAGGCTTCTTGGACATAGTCACGGATATGGCATTTGAGCTGCCGTTCGGGTGCTGCCAGAACGCATTCACGTCGGATGCTGTCCAACAGCCACGGATATGTGGGACTTTTATGGATGAGCGCGAGGTACGATTGAACTTGGGGAAAGCCACTCGGAGGCCCCATTTCATCTCCCAGCTCTGTACGGCATTTGACAGATGCGGAGCTTTGGCTGTGCTCTGAGCATTCATAATGTCTATCTGGGCTGTCAGGCGCATCTAGGTTTTGGACACGTGCATTCCTGCAATGCCGCGCGGTATTCTGTGAAGCTTGGTTGGTGCCATTTTTCTGGCCCGAAAGCCGTATTACCTCATCCAGAGACTTTGCACCACCTGTTTGGCGACTAGGGTGCCCAGCACCTTGTCCAATCAGAAGCTGTTTAAGTGCAGTTGCAATCTCCCTGAACATGCGAGTTGAATAAAGGTCAGTTGCGAACGTCTGGGCCGTCTCTAATGGTCATAATGTTGAGGACTAACCATCGATATTGGTGTATGTAAGCCATGACATCGCGTTGCGTCTGGGTTGAGGAAGCCTGCCCTAGGCTCAATGAAAACGTCCTCAGCGCTTCGGGAAGAGCTTTCACGACTTCTTTTATGACTTTGTCGTCGAGGCTAAATTCGTCCACAACTTTGGAAAGGTCGGCAGCCAGTTCATTCACAAAAGCTTCTTTTACGCTCTTGACGCTCGAATTGTTCAGGTGTATGCTTTCTATGTCGCTTTTAGCACCGAGATTTGTCAGCTCCAGGCTTCCCTGCTTGTGGCTGGAGCTTGTCATTTCTTTTTGATGCTTCCCGTATGAAGCTGAAGCATAGCCAGAGTCTGTGCGGCCTTGGTCGAATGATTGGGAATAGGTAGTTTGCCGTAATTTTCTATCTTCTTTTGCTAGCGTAGCACTATCCGTAAAGAGTGTGGTATTCGTTGCTCCGCTGTCGACACATTCCCGCTCACTATCTAGTGGACGATGAGCAGATAGTGCATGAGCAGGGCTGGAAGTGACGGGATCTATGCTTAATCCACGCTCCCCGGGGAAGATCTTTGAGTAGTTGCGTTGAATGACAGGTTCGAAGCAGACGTGTGGGAGCCGATGAATGCCTGCAAGATTGGGAGTTGGGAAGCATTTCGGCGGATCAACTCTTGTTGCACTGAAAAGGCCTTTGCGACACCCAGAATCAGTTTCGTCGAACCTCCAAAGCAAGACTGCCACTATCACCTGTTCTTTGTCCATACTGAAGCTAAATGCTGAGTTCCCTGCTTTATTCTGTTTGCCAACGATAAGATGAATCTCTTGAACCATAGTGGTCTTCCGAAGGAAGTCTCCCATTCCTCGGCCATGATTTAGGTTATCATCCCACCAATTTGTATCGAAGGGGAGCGCCAATCGATCTGAGAGGGGATCGAAAGAGAAACTCGCTGACCCGTCTTTGACCAAATTCCCCTCCTGGTATATATAGTCATACCGCACCCAGTTCAGCGGGTAGATGTCTTGCCCTCTCATCATCTCATAACGGAGTTCGAAGAAAATGGCCAACTTCGAATTGAGAGTCATCCAGGGGTCCGGCCTGCTGAGAATAGCATGGAGTTCTATTATCGCAAACCGACATGGCTCGGCTAGAGAGGTGAGGAGGGTTTCTGCGCGAGGAAACCACTTTTTCCGGTTGGGAATATCACTCCAGTTCACCGATCCAATCACCTTATGATCATCGTCTGTACGCACGTAGGTCCCCTCATACTTTAGCCCCATAAGTCGCCGCTCAGTTGACTGCATGAAAAATTGGACGTGGGTGATTGAGATATAGGGAGTATGTTGAATGGCCGGCAAGACATATCTCTTGTCGACTTCATCTTTTGTCGTCGAGGCAAGATCATCCTTCTTGTAGTCAGATATGCTCGGAATCCGTTTCCCTAGCTCTGAGGCATCCCAGCCTACTCTTTGGGCGCCAATAGGGTATTGGATCTGTGAAGTTTTGAGGTCCGCTGATGTGTGTAAGGTGTGCCACTGGTGGGGAGGCGGATGCTGGTTCGGCTCCGGAGGTACCTGAGTTATGGAAACGTGCTTTCCAGGAAATTCACCCATTCTTCTTGATGACATTTGATGATGCTTTACCAGACGCCTGGACCGGCGCGTGGAAGAAGATGAGGGATAGAAAGAGGAGAAAAGACATGTTTGCGGATTTTCGCGACCGGAGCTGAAAGTGGACAAGGCTCAGTGCGGAGTCCAGTGAGTTTGTACTTTTGTACCTGCAGGTGCTAGTCCACTTTTAGATGAATCAGATGACCACGTCAGTAGAGCTGCATATGCACGTACACTGTCACTGACACAAGTCACTGCGTTGCTCGGTTGACGAGCTTTTCCCTTTCCTGGAAACTGGAAACTCGGACCGTTCGGAGATATGGTATGAACATGGGTATTAGAGATATCAAGTCACTAACAAAACGAAACAGCGACACTCAGCTATGGAGAAAGCTTCAAAATTTGATAATAAACTGTGAATAACATCCAGTCGACCATCTCAACGCTTTCTGAACCCACTCTCCGTCTCCACCCATGTGCCAAAGTCTTTCAGCACTGGACTGATCTTTCTCAACGCCTCGATATCTGCCCCATAGCCCTGTTCATAGAACCATTTGAACATGACTCCCAGCTCTTTCACGGCCATCATCATCAACCGCACGGGGAGTCTGTAAGTGGTCGGGACGTCTTTCCCTGTCTTTTGCTTGAAGATAGTCGCCATTTGATCGTACGTTAGCTCGTCTCCCGCCAGCGAGAAAAACTTCCCTCGAGACTCTTCCGGGTGCAAGAACGCATGCGCAGCGAAGAAGCCGATATCGCTGGTAGCGATCAGCTGGAGCGGCTTTCCCTTCAGCGCCATGTGCCAGGCAGTCGCGAAGACACGCCCGAAGTAATCCGGGGTCAGGTTCTCGAAAAATGCCGTGGGTCGCAGCACGGCCCACTCCATCCCCGTTCCCTTGGATGCGGCGATGAGGTGCTTCTCAATCTCGTGCTTATAGATGAAATGCGGGACTTCGGTGGGATTGTCAATGGACGCTTCCCCACCGCGGTCGACCGAGCTGTAGACGAAAAATTTGACGTCTTGTTTGATGGATTCGTCGACCAGAGCTAGACCCTGTCGGCGCTCGGAGTCGTTGCGCGGATCGGCAGCCTGTTTCTCTTTGTTAGCCGCTTGAGTTATTTGGAATAGTTTGTCTCTTTACCTGGACACTGAACACGCCCCAGATTGGCGTGGAGATCGCGCTCTTGGCAGCGCGGAATAGAGCCTCCGGATTGTCGAGGTTACCCTCTAGCAACTTGATCTTGGGTGATTGCTGCGCCAGCTTCTGGGCTGACGAGGACTGTGCATTACGAGTGACTGCGAGGATGTCGAAGGGAGCATTTTGAGCCAGAAGATTCCGGACTACCGATCCGCCCTGTTTGCCGGTGGCGCCGGTGACCAGGATGGCAGTCATGTTCGTGACTTTCTTCACTTGTCAAGCTTGCCGAAGAAGAAAGATATCGCAATTAGTAACTTCAGGGGGTCTTGAATCCAACTTATAGCTTCGTTACATGTGAGGCGAAAGTAAAATCTTCGTGTTCGCGAGTCGATGCGTAATCGACTTCCTGTTTGCATTTCTCGGTCTTAGTATCAATCCCGAGCTGACAAAACACGATAATTCATCATTATTGGGACTGTTGATCGGTCTCGTAGTTATTTCAAATTTAGCAATAGCGAGCCGAACCCAGGACGAGTAGGTTTCTGAACAACACTATGTTGCTAAGAAACAGTCTTTTGATTTCAATCATGACCTTATCAGCCAAGTCCTTCAGCACTGGGACGATGTTATATTACCTGCCGCTACATTGTTACGCTGAATTCATTATCCTGGCAATGCATGACTGGACTCGGAGTTTTGACATTCGCTCTTGCCCGCCACACTCCTTATGCTATATACCCGCCTTCTTCTCCGTACGAGGATGCTCTAGTTGGCGCTTATTGATAGTTAAATGAGTCATTTTGGCGCTTGGGGAGTAAAGTGGCGGAATAAAAAATGAGGGAGGGATGACTGTAGTTGAGGACCTATATCTTTCCGGGAACCCTGGAGGCACGCCTTTTCCTCCTTGATCTGAGGTTCATCATAGCCTAGACCGAGCTTTGACACTGTCTCAGTTCTTCCTGTCAATTTTTGCAGTCTTTTTGTAGCCATTTTGGCCTGTCCACCGTACTGGCATTGCGCAGAATTTATGTTGGAGAATCGGAGGCAGTTCTTAAGAAAAGGTCGGAGTGCAGACTGGGCAGAACGCTACAAGAGCAAGAGAGCTCTAATTAATCAAAGCTATATTAATAGAAAGACTGCCAGTAGGGAGAGCTCCGTGAATTATGGTGACGCAGCCTGAGGTGTCAACTCATAAATAACTCTTTCCCTTCTGCGCCTTCCTCCCCGTTTTACACTCCGAGTCCTTCGAGTGAGAAATAGCATCCACATACTCTATCATAGTCTCTCGAAAGACCTGCTAAGCTTCCCATCCTATCCCATCTCACTTCCTGCATGATCTACTTGTCCCCTGACCCCGTCGACGCAGCACCGGCCTGCTCAACCGACTCCTGCCTCAACCGCGCGTCCGCCGGCGTTAACCACCACGACACAACCGCAAAAACTGTGACAATTGCCATGATAATCGGCGCATCTAATCAACCACTCATATCAGCACCAGCAACAGAACCCGAATCCCGATCTTCCATTCCCAGTTAACCCCACCACTACCGCACGGGAAAGACTTACAGTTCAACGACCAACGAGTCCTCCACTTGCCCAGCGACCACTTCGCATCCAGCTTATGATGACGGGTCAGTGTCAAGCGCCCCAGACTGATGAGTCCATACGCCGCGGCGGAGGGGACACCAGCCGCGAAGACGAGCACGCCGTCGCGGGCGACAGCGAAGACGAGGCGTGAGGCCGCCGTGGTGGCGATGGAGGTGTTGAGCCATAGAGCAATGATAGAGAGGAGGTTCATGACGAGGTGGCCGCCACAGCCCGGGAGGGCGGCGTACAGTGAACGAAGGGCTGGGGGCGGTCATAGGCGGGGAATATGTCGATTGGCGGCTGAATTTTCCCTGGTTAGTTTGGTGCTGTGGCCGATTGCCGTGATGCTAACATACAGAGGTGAACAGGAACAGGATCACCGCCGTGAAGCCTAGTACGCCGCTGATCACGGTGCTCCAGAAGGTCCCCTTCGCTGCATTGAGGGATGTGTTCTTCGTCTCTTCGGCAACGTGGCCGGACGCGTCGAATCCGATCAAGATACCTGCCGTCACCAGGTACGAGAGACACCAGTTCCAGCCGGCAAGGGCGCCGGTACCGTTATAAGTTGTCATGAAGACTTTATTCGCGGTGCACAGCACGTAGGTTTTATGCACGCCGACTAGGAGCCATATAACATTAAGGATAAAGTTTGAAAAGACAGCACTTATTAAGAGCTAGAACATATATCAGAATACCCGAGCTGGAAGTCATTAGCTGAAATACTTTGGACAGGCAATAGGTCATATACATAAGGAAAGGTTGATCCACGCTACTATGCCAGCATCACTTCAGTGCAGATCTATTACAAGGCTCAAAACTTGATATTCCTTGTATCAGTTAGGAAGTCGACTTCAAATACCGTCAATTCCTAAAGATTATAAGTTTTGCATCACTGGAACCTGATTATTTAGAATATGTCAGACATACTGATAATATATAATTAACTATGGACTGAGTATTTCCTACTTCGTGTTAGTATCACTCGTCTAAAACGATAATAACACAAACTGGCACAGAAAATTATCCAGGCGGTGGTACTCTACCAGGCAACGATAAATCTAAATAAACGCCCAAACCGGTGTCCACCAGTCTCTGCAGCCTAGAGATAAATCGTGCCCGCTGTTGAAGCCGCGGAGCAGACCTCTGTAACCACTACAGCGCTGATAAATATAAATATACAGAATACAATATAACTTATCCTCAAATTGTGTTACCAGATGCTGCTACTAGGATCGTTACTTCTTTACCAGTATACTAAAAGACCCCCGGCTGTAATTCCAGTAGAAAACGTAACACAGACACCTCCGACAAAATAAAGAGCTGCTTTAAGATATCAGGCAGATATTCCGCAAAAGTAAACGAACAGATATACCGAACAGGATAAAGAAGTTCTTAAAGAGCGTGTAACTCCAATAAAGGATCTATACATATCAGGACAAACCTTATCAGTGCAAACCGCAAAGAATCTATTGAAATCCGAGATGCTTCTAGCATTTATCCTACTAAACTGTGACCTCAGTAATCCAAAAGAATATACTCAGTATCAGCGCCAGATAGGTACCCTATTCAATCGCAGCAAGGTCTCCGCGTTAACCGACATGATAATAGGAACCATTAATAGATAGGTCAAAGTATTAGCTTCTGTCAATATAAAAGGGCCTGTTAATCTTAGATTAACCTGTCATACCGTAGAATCGGATATTATCTATGAGTACTATCCCTACCACCTGCTCCAACTTTTTAACAGCACTACGTAACAATATTTACATTTGGAACTGCGATTAGGGGTATAGATACTTTTAAGGCGGGGAATAAGCTTGCTGTCATCAAGCAGAATGATCACAAGTCTTTAAAAAATGCCGGTGGTGTGTGCATTCTTATCTCACTCGGTCAAGCCACTAAGATTTAACCTTGTAGTATACGAACTTTCTAGTATTGGTTGGTTTCTGGCACGCTTCGGCAGACTGGATTTATCGACTCTCTGGCTGGGAGGTATCTTCGGTCATCACCTTGAAGCGACTCCACCAGGTAGGACACGCTTGTATAGTTGATTGTGTACTATATCCCTGCACCCCTGACAGTCTCACAGTGGGCCGATGCGCAACTTGTCGCCATGAAAGACAGCGAAAAAGCACCCAGCATCTCCTTCCTCAGAATCATGGCCGGAGGAAGAATGTCAGAGCAATCAGCACTATCCGAAGCCAAGGAAATGCTTGGGCCGGGTACCGATACGAACTCTGCTACGCTAGCTCATATCCTCTACGCCTTATCCTTCAATGAAGCCTTGCAAGCAGATCTAGTCCGAGACTTGGAGGCAGCCGGGTGGCCGACTGATACGTCCGCGCTAGAGGCTATACCGAGACTAGTGGCCGCCGTCAAGGAGGGTATAAGATGGACTGGGGCGACAGCTGCTATGCTTCCACGGATCTTTCCGCGAGGTGGCTATCGACTTGCAGGGAATCGACTTGCAGGGAATCGCCTTCCCGGTGGGGTACGTTGACTGACAACCACTTGTTTTTTGACCTGAGAAGTCTTACTGGTTGTACGTAGATCATGATCGCCAGCTCCCCGATCAGGTACCTCCGCAACGAGGTAGCAGTCCCAGATCCCGAGCGCTACAGATCCGAACGGTGGCTTACCCATGAGAAGAACGATGCTACCTTGCTGCGCGATGACTACTATATCCCTTTTTGCAAGGGGGCTCCCACATGTATCGGCAACCAGTATGTTTTCCTGAGGGCTCATGAGGAGACGAAACAAGACTGACTTGGCGATGGCAGTTTTGCGTATCTGGAGCTTTTCCTGTCGGTGTCGCAAGTGCTGAAGCGGTATTCCCTCCACCCCCGGGAGCCATCGACAGTTACTGTGCGAGATCATGAAGCTGTTCTTCCCGCTCGGGAGGAGTGGGTCGCTGCTGTTCCTGTTCGTCGGCTGGAGGTTGTCTCAGGCGAGCGACGATAGGAGATTCTTCGACCTTTCCTATGACGGTTGCGGAGCTTGGTTGCTTGGATCAGTTGCCGCGAAAGACCAGGCCACTGGTCGCACACTGCGCCTTCGATTATCCATGGGCTACTCTTTCTGCCTTTTGCGAATATATACCTGCTCTTTTTTGTATCAAGCACATACGACCACAGGGTGTGGAAAACAGGGCTTCCCGTCCGCTCAGCCGTACTTAAGCCACACGCCGGGAGGTTAGTAGTTGGGTGGGTGACCACCAGCGAATCCCTTCTGTTGTATGTTTTTTGTATTCTTTATTTCCTAGCAGGAAGGAAGAACTTATAGCTTCGAGTCAAAAAATATGTTATTGGCTTGCACTAAAGAGTGAGCAATCACTTTCCTTTCCTTTAACAAAGACCACATAAGGAACAATAAGACATACAGCATACATCAAATAACAGCAATAAAAAGAACAACAAAACAACTGCAACTGCACTAGCAGTAGCAGCAACGCCAACAGCAGACAATATGACTATAAACTGCCGGGGTTCGGATGCGAGGGCGATCAGGCCAACCTCGGGGCCACGCCCAACCTTTGCAGAGATCGTTGACCTGATCAACCACTCATATCCGAACCCCCGGGCGACTTATTCTCGGCACAGGCGACCATCCAATTCAGGATGTCCCAGATTCCCTGTCGATCCTGTTCATTTGAGTCCCAGCACATCACAATGCGGGAATACTATAATACATCAGGAACCAATATAGATCAACAAGCGCGAAGCAAAAGATCGCTTACCGTGTTGTTCTTATGCAGAATAAAAAAGTGGAATTGAAGTCCATCAGTGAGGACGCCTCAAACACCGAGGCTTTTCCCCTCGTAACCCCTGGCGATCTGGGTTACCCCTACACGACTTTTAGATGCTTGAATACTCAGTACGGCAACTGCAGACATACCCATATAGCCCAGTACTTGGGGGAGACCGGCGCTCAAGGTCTCCGCTCGCTTGGCCTCGACTACGATCAGTTGGCCTGCTGGATCAGCTTGGTCATGATACCAGATGGTGTAATTGGAGACACCCCGAACAGCAATTCTTTCCGATGGAACTTGCTCGTCATGGTGATCTCGAACCCCAACCGCTCCTTCGTGCCCCGATGGGCCTAAGGGGCAGCCTTTCCCGGAGGACGGCACGAAGAACAATGTCGAGCCTTGGCCACCAGAACGGCTCGTTCTGCTCGCTGCCTTCAGTTACCAAAGCCTGGTATTCTAGTTCCTCCACTACGAGAATCATCAGTTCCATATTTTGAATTTTACGACAGGGATATCTTACACAACGAATGTGGAATAGGTATATTCCACTCTGGCCAGATTATGGACACTGACATCCTTGGAATCCCGAAGTAATCCTCGACTTGCTACATTGTGAGCTCGGAGAACTGGATGGTCTTCCATCCGTCCTTGGTGACGAGTCTCTCTGCCAGTTCCTCGATGAGCTTGACGGTGCTGTTCCACCTTTCCAAAGGTATTCCTTGCGGCTCTTTGGACTTTGAGGTGAAAATGTCTTTGATCTTCTTGGCGCCGTCGGCGAGCTTTTGTGAAAGGGCTGTGAGCAGGCATGATGCGATGGGTTAGAGACCTTCGAAATGAAACTTTTCTCGAAAATGGCGCATTCGGTAGAATCGAAATCTCGATGACTGCTGGACGAAGTTTGATCACGAATTCGTGCGTCTGGAAAGAGCAGGTGCGACGGGGGCATCCCGCGCCTGCCTGCTTTGTTCGAACAGCCGCCAAGACAAACGTCTTGACTCGCTGCTACACGTATGAGTCTTGTACTCGCAACGAACACAGTGGGCGTGGATGCAAGAGACAAGTATGCAGGAATGTGTGTCTTGAAGTATGTCGAAGTACGAAGTACACGTCGGCAAGGGATGATTCAATGGATTCCTTAATAGAAGTAAGTCCCACAAAGCAACCCCGCTTCACTGCAACCCAAGATCTTGATACAAAGCCATACTATTCACCAATACCACTTTCTGTATGGCTGCTCTTAACTCTTGTAGGGAGAGAGAAAGCAATGTGTGAATTTGATCGTATGGATGTGGAGGGTCTGGGCGTTGAATTTGACGCGGATCCATTCAAGCAGAAACAATGAAACCGCGTGTTTTCTATATAGAAATTGATTCATAGGTCACGGGTTGCGACACTTTCTCCGGATGTTGTCATCGTGATTAAAATGAGTTCAGTCTTCCAGGGCAATGCGGGTAAACAATGTGATACCGCCCAAGCATCGCCAGAGTTGCCTGTTATGTAGATAGTTCCATAAAATTCATACTTAGATCACTTGATTAACTACAGCTTAACACTATATCCAAAGTGAATAATGTATTAATAAGTGATACCCTCGGCCCTATGAGCCTCAAGGATTCTAATATGCTGTATTGTAGCTATTATCAGGGGCTGGCAACGTTCGAAATTCTTATAGTGGGTCTGCGAAAGTATAGATTTACCTAGTGTCTATGCACTGGGTGTCTTTAAAGATTCCTTGATCTTTACTCCCACGGGCACTGTACACCTCCGAAGCTTTATTCTTGCACCACGCTCCAAGATTGCATTGCTTTCCGATATAGGGGTCAGTGGGACCACCCGCTATAACTGCCCAGCCCTCGCGATACTCAGTATTGATAGTGAGATCATACCTAGTCAGATATCGTTTAAGGAGGATCTCTAGCCAGCGCTTGCTTGTATCTCTTACCCAATCTCAGGGCACTTTAGTTACCCCAGCACAAAGAAGAGAGAAGTCCTGGTGTAAATATATTATAGGCCACTTCGTGTGCCACATTTTTCAGGCAAATATACTCTCGGTTTAGTATACAGTAAACATAGATATCTGCCTTGTGCACCCACCGAGCACGGGGCCGATAGGAACTCTCCGGGTTCCAAAACCCTACCATCGAAGTGTGAGGCTGCTGGAGAAGCATATTTCTCCAACTCGCCTCGGGGCGTAGGTGTGCTGCTTCTTGCTTCGCCGAGGCTATATGGGGGATTCCGCAACGTCCACCGCAGAGTTCGGCGCTTTTCCGGAACCGCGAGTCCAGGCTGATTCGCATAAAACCAGACCAGGTCTTATCCACCACGAGCGGGTTCTTTTGACTCGGTTGCCCGACTGATTCTTTCGTGTTTGGTTCGATGGGGATGTAAAAGAGTATTTGCTGAATCTTGGGAGAGGATTTGATGGACTCAGTTTCTAGCAAGATTAACCCGCCGTGGATGGCGGTTTCTGCCCCGGGCCTGCGATCCGCCTTGAAGAGGAACCACGACAATTATGGATGTAAGCTATCTCAACCTCAGACCCGATCCATTAATCTGACGGCAAACTAGAACCCTGGAGACCATCTGCAGCAGGCCACTCCTTAAGGCATTGCAGGGGACGATGTGGCCAAACTGCGGTACCAGGTCATCACTACTACACGGTTTTACCAGCGAATTCTTAGGGGACGTAGGCGGTAGCGTCACCGGGCCATGATAAATAACTTTGAGCGTTTACCCGTGATGAAGCAATTTCTAGACTTTTGAAATCTATTCTCGTTTCCTGATTTACTCATCGGAGTATTGACCAATGTGATCAATCCGTAGTTCACCAGCTGGCTCACTATCCAAGAGAAATACGCCCATGATGCGTGGAACAACAAGCATTCAATACTTTACTCTGTGAATCTGACAAGCGTAGTCAAAACAGTTTCTGGACACCGGAGCTCATTGACTTGACTCGGCGATTTAAGCCTTATACCAGTATACAATTCTCTCTCTCTCTGCAAGGCTTTTTCTGGAGCATAAAAGCAGGCCAATCGATTGACTCGAATGCTCTAAATACAGAGAACTTAGCTGGATTTTTCTGCTTCCCTTGTTGTTCCAAAGCCTTGGCTATGTTGAAGTTAGCGAAACTCAGAATGTGGTAGCTTGGTCTCAATCGCATGAAACGGCGAACTCTTATCTTGTATTATTCATTATGAAGCTCTTTGACATGGCCAGTTTTCCACTCCCGTCAAGGTTTTCTGCGACCTCTGAGCTATCCTATGAAGATCTTCTCCCAAGAACTTTCGTCGCGGGCCCCTCCGTGATTATTGGGGGGTACACTTAGGACGGAAGAATTGAGGTTGACAAAATAAGAGAGATGACGAAGAGAAAGTGGCAAGCCCAGTGAAAGAAGCAGGAGACAGACAAGCACACCTGAAAAACAAACACAATATACTACATCTCATATATGTGGCATTTTCCTGGTGATTCACTGAAACCTGATATCTTGACGTGCTACCAGGCAACACGATCTTCTCTACCAAACACAACCGTTCCGGTTCCCCCGATCTAATTTCCCCGGATATTACCGACTCTACGACTCAACTACCTCAATCAACACGCTCAAAATAAAAATGTCCATCCTCCCCGCTCTCATAATCGCGATCATAATAGCCGCTATCATAGCCATGTCTTACTTTGGCCCGGAAACCGACCAAGAATTCCAGCCTACCGAAGAGAATTCGTTTTTCGACCGCTTGATTCGCGCTTGCGAGCGTGCCACCTATACATGCTATCAAGTGACCATTCTCCTCCGGGCCATAGCCGACATACTGGTTATTCTACAAGAGATTGCCGAGATGTTGCGGATGATGCACACTGATCGCGATGCTGGACGTCCTGTTGCCCCTTCGCAGGTAGCTGTTAGTACCTATTTTATACTTCCTGGCTATCACGGTTATGGATTAACTGTCTTCTAGTGCCGTGTTGATGCAGATGGGCTTGAGTCTTGTAGTGTTGAGAGGATGGATGTGGTAAGGGAGGAGGTTATATTATGTTGTCTATGCGATGGGGGTGTTGAGGGTGGTGACCGTGACGACCGTGATGACTGCCATGACACCCATAACAGCCCCGACCACAGTAACCACAGAAATCACAGCAAAAGCATCAACACCAGCAACCACAGCGTTGGTCCTCCATCCATTATAACCACTTCAGGCGAGTTTGCACACATGTAATGACATGGCGCAACATATCATCCGGCGGCTTACTAGCTTGTTCTCGAGTATCAATTTGACCCGAACCATCTTCTCCCAGCATATATCACCTGTGAAATCTCAACGCAAGCCTTGTCTGCATTTTCATGTCTACATGTCACCAATAACCAATCTGGACCTGTAACCATCAGGATACCCATTACTAGGCGGTATTGATGTAAGGAACATATACGAGGATGAACAGCACCGTCTCGTGATCGGGCCCCACTAACCCACAAATGGTGCCTTGTAGTGCTCGACCCTTGATTGGCTGATGATATAGTGCGACATGCTCGAAGTAAATGGTATAGGATTCTTCTACTGAATACTCAAGCCGACAGTACAAGACAAGATTATGTTATCTTCCCAATCATCTGCATCGCTTGTCAACTGATAGGGTGACCATCGCCGAGGTACGCTCCTCTCGATACTTCCTTCGAGGATGAATCTGAGCTGGTGGAGAGGATAGCCAAGCTCCGCCTCGATATGGGCTCGGCACTCCTCCCACATCAGGGTTCGGAATCTTCCTTCCACTTCCGCGACTTCGACCGAAGCCTCGTAAGCCATGCATCGGTGTGACCCCAGCGACTACCGTGCATCTTTGTTGCTCTTCATTGCGCATCATACTTCTCGATAGCTCTCATTGCTTCTCATCTTCAAGCCTACATTTGAGGAAGCCTCGCTTTAGCTCCCGGGCTTTGCGCTCCAACACCTTCTCAGCAGCCTCTCACTCGAAACTCCCTAGGCTTCCTTCGTCGTTCCTCAATTTCTTGCCCATTCCGCTCTGTATCTTGGCTTCCCAGCTCTTCCAATCGACGCACAGGAGAGGGATGGGTGGTTGGGGAGGAGAAGCAAACAAAAGTCACGTGAATGTGATAGGTCCTGCATGCATGATGTTTGCTCTATGGCATGCATGCATACATGCAATAAAGCGAACATCGACAGACCAGTCATCACAGTAATCAGCCATCTAGACACGGATGCTTGTGATATCCTTCTCTGAGCCGGCATCCTCTCCCGTCCAGTTGTGGTCACTCGCAGACGGCTGTGATAGTCCGCCCCAGGCTTCCGGTGACCGGATCGTGTAGAGGTACTTGCCGACAAGATATATCACAATGTTCCCAACTGAAAGACTGGCACAATCACCAGTAAAAGTGGAAAGCGGGAGAGAATATCTCCGGTGGTTCTGGCGGTTTTCGGAAGGTCCCTGTGCTCTGATGATGAGTCTATCTAACCTCAATTGTGTTATGGAAATCCAGTCTCGGAGGTCCGGGTTGGCTTTGGTCGACTGCTCGCAGGAAATTTGACAGCCCAAAGCAGTAACTGTATATATTTCAGTGTTTTTATCTATCAAGCACATACGACCACAGGGTGTGGAGAACAGGGCTTCCCGTCCGCTCAGCCGTACTTAAGCCACACGCCGGGAGGTTAGTAGTTGGGTGGGTGACCACCAGCGAATCCCTTCTGTTGTATGTTTTTGCTTTTTTGATTTGTGGACAATTCCATTGATTCTTATCTTCATGCGACCTTGAACCAAAACTGTGCTGTATACCATGCAAATGGCTGGTTGTTGTTGAGTAGTCCCCGTGTGCGGCAATCGCAGCTGCCGAGAGTATGTCCAGCGCACTGCAAATATGACTGGCTTTTGGTTCTAGCGTAGAGCTGTCAGTGCTTTGGGGTTATCATCTTTCTCAGATGAGTCCGTGTGGACCGCAATCAAGAATACTAGAATCACAATGGGTGCTGCGAGAGAGGCTTCTGTATCCTGTAGCAGACAAAGATCAGGATCATTATTGTAAGAAGACTTCCTCGAGGGACCTGGTCTTGGGATATGAACGAGAGACCTAGCCAGACGCTCAGTCAAAGCACAACAAGATATAATAAGGTTAAAATGTTATTCGATGATACACCACTACCTTACACTAGCCTTTCTCGCGTCACCCACGAAGCTTGATATCTTCGCTGTCCTTGTAGGTGTGTTTGTAGGTACCTCCATCCCGATCAGACATCTGGCTAGCCCTGCCGTTGATCAACTCGATGCCTTGTACAGTACCTTAAGTAATCATGCCAAGCAGGCGCAGATGAGGCACGAACACGCATCAACTGTATCTCAGCAGTCCAGGCAGAGGAAGAGAGACTGCAGCAGAAGCAGACGGGGTCCGCGGCCCTGGCTTCACCGATGGGGCCTGCAAGTTTGCGAAGTGCAATGTCTCCAATGGCTCAGTCTCTAACAGGTTCTCGATGTTGTCGTGGAGCGTAGAACGAATGCAGGATTCTGTCTAGAGGAAGTCATAAATCTGTTTGAGGAAGCGTGCAATGCAGTCATTAGGGAAAGATCTTGTGGCTAGCATACTTTGCACAGTCCAAGAAGCTAGCTAGGTAGGCTCATTCATCTAGTCCTAACATAGATCGGGACCTCGGGCCCGTTCCAACTGAGCATTCAGATGCGTGCATAAATATGCCCATCCCACACAGAAAGTGACAGTCAGAATTCAAAGCTTGACCCCCCCCTCGCTACTCAACCTTGATCACCACCTTCCCAAAATGCTTCTGATCCCACAGGTATTGATACGCCTCACGCGCCTGGTCGAACTCAAACACTCGCTGATCCACCACAGGCTTGATATCGCTCGCCTCAATCGCTTGCACCATCTCTAGCATCTGCTCTTTGCTTCCGATCTGGATTCCGCGCACGATCGCAGCAGCTGTCAAGGTATCCAAGATCTGCGGAGGCCGCTCGTCCCCGTTGGTGATACCGCCCACGTAGCCGATCACACTGATGACTCCCTCCATCTTAACGCACTTGAGGCTCTGCTGCACGGTGTTAGGGCCTCCCACCTCAATGACATGGTCTACTCCGTGGCGTGTGAGTTTCCGGGCCGTCTCGCCCCAGTTGGGATCCTCGCGGTAGTTGATGACGTGGTCTGCTCCCAATTCCTTAAGGCGTTGCGCCTTGGCGGGCGAGGAGGTGGTGGCAATGACAGTGGCGCCGGCTGCTTTTGCGAACTTTGCGAACGGAGCATGTGAGCTTCGTACAATCTTTACAAGATAGGGAAAATGGATCAGCGTACCTGAAGCGCAAAGATCGATACGCCCCCCGTCCCCTGGACCAGGACCGTCTGGCCCGGTCGGAGCGGCTTCAGCCCGTACAGCCCGTTCCAGGCCGTCAGTGCCGCGCAGGGCAGGGTGCTGGCCTCGATGGGGGTCAGATTGCGGGGTGCGTGCACCAGGCTCAGCTCATTGAAGACGCGGTACTGCTGCAGGCAGCCGTCCAGGAACCCGCCCAGCCCCGTCTTCTGGGCATCCGCGTTCAGGTCACCGAAGAGGTGGTCCGCCAAGAACAAGGAGGCGACTTGGTCGCCGGAGCGGAAGTGTTTGACCTTTGGTCCCGTTTGCACGACGACTCCGGCGCCGTCGGAGCAGGGGATGAGGTCGCTCTTCGAGGGGAATGGGTACATGTTCTGTTGACTGTTAGTTCGATCTCACGAGTAGATGCTGGGAGAAGGGCGGGGTTATGCACCATAGGAATGCTCGCATCTCGGAAGTTAAGTGAAACGGCCTGGATCTTGACTAAGACCTCGTTCTCTCCCACTGGTGGTAACGGAGCCTCGTGCGTCTCCAGGCAGTCGAACGTGTTGTCGAAGCTGCGGATGACCCATTGCTTGTTTGTTTCGGCAGGCATAGCGATCGATTTGTCTAGGGCGTTTCTTGAGAATATTTATTCTGAGATGACGGAGGGACAATCGACGTCCTTTGGCAGATCCAGGGTATAAATCCCAGAAATCTGGGATACCGATCGCTTGGAAATGAAAAGTCGTTTACGTAGTATGAGCTGACAAATATGACTGGATTCGGTGTCTGAAAGTGTGGGGTTGTGGGGTCGGTTCCAAATGTTCCAACTGGGATACCGATACCAATCCATCGGTTCCATGGAACCTCGCCGACCTCGGGATCCTCGGGCGAAGAACTCAATGCAATCGCGATCTAGTCGAATATCCTTGCCCTGGCTGCAGGCTAAAAGAGCCTCCTATTCCCACTGGTGTCAGCACGCATGCTGGTGGAAAAGTGCATCCATCTTCCATATAAATTCTCAGCCAAGCTTTCGAGACGGGCACATGCGCGAATAGTGTTATAAGCGTCGAACCTATATGTGCGACAGGATGATCGATTTGTCGCTTTAGTTACTCGAGTCTCGCGATCGCTCATCTTCCGTATTGTGTTCGAGGCATTCTCGGAATTGAGAATGGTGTACGCAATCAATTCCAAGGTGAGCTCCGGGACATCTTGGCCGAACTTAGCTCATGGTGACTTCGCAAGACCTTCTTCAATGTTTTCTCTTCATTCCCAGCTTCAAGGTGTTAGAGACTTCATGATCGGGGAAGTGGAGTCGAAAGTGGAGCTGGCCCCGTCTTTTCTCACTTGGCAAATGGGCGGCGCGCACTGCCAGGGGATAATCCTGGGAAAGGAGCTGTTATCATGATCCCCCTTTGCCTTGTCCACCGACGATGTGCGCGATACAGGTATAATGGTCAGGACTTTTGCATAGCGTGTTACTGCGGCATTGAGGAAGGTTTCGACGACTGGGGTGTTGAACCTGCTGCTTGCCAGCATGCACGCTTTCCCAGCACCTAAAAAAGAGACTCGGCCTGACACACTGGAGTCCTCATGCGTGGGTGTGATGAAGTCTCTCATGACGATGAGTTGATTGTTGTAGGGAGATGGATCAAACTGCAAGGCTACAGGGACTAAAATGACCAGGGTAGAAGTCACCTGACGGTGAGGCTAAGAAGCGCCAACCCCTCTTTCAGCTCTCAGCTTTCTTTCCACTCTCTTCATCTTCTCTTCAAAACCCATTGCGAGGTATGCTGTGTTCATCATGGCATCTGTAGCGTTTTCGGGGCCCAATCAGGCATTCAACGTCGGAGACAATTCCGGCAAAACCTCCGCGGAGTTTAATCCTCCTCCAGGTGAGCCAGATCAAATACCTCCCGTCTGTCGAGATAAACATAGCTGACGAGAACTTTACGTAGAGCAATCGGGAACTCCCATGGAGCCTATCTTTACCGTGCCATTGGCACGCAACAATGACTATGTCCCCTGTGGCTCATTGCTTGATGACCTCGAAGAGAAGAGTGCGAGGCCTGCCTCCAAAACAGCGCTTGTGGGCCCGGGCGGTGTCGGGTAGGTCCGCCAATTGTTTCTGCCTCAGGCTCTCAACCTGACATCTTGAAGCAAATCCCAGTTAGCGATCGAATTCGCTCATCGTCTGCGGGAAAGGTCACCGCAGACGTGGATTTTCTGGATCCATGCGAACAACGCAACGCGTCTTGAATCGAGCTACCAAGAAATTGTCGACCGGCTAGGGCTCTCTGGGCCATTGAAGCTTACGGACAATGTTTTTCAGCTCGTAAACAGTTGGCTCCATGATGCAGAGCACGGACGCTGGGTGTTGATATTTGATGGCCTAGACAATGAGGAGCTGCTTCACGAGTCATTTTTCTATGGTCAGTCGAATGATGTAGGCAGTCAAACAAGCACGACGCAGAAGCCGCCCCCGGGATTGTTCCCTCAATGCCCTCACGGAGCAATTGTTCTGACCACGCGAGACGAGGACGTAGCTCTCGAAGCTATGGGCGAGCGTGACATCATTCCTGTCAACCCCATGGATGAATCATCCGGGCTGGCCCTTCTCCGCAAAAAGCTTACCGTCGACACCGCAGAAGAGCAAGACGCCAGGGAGCTTCTCGGAGCACTCGACTTTATGCCACTGGCAATCATTCAAGCGACTGCTTTCATGCAGCAGCAAGCTCCGCGGTACTCCCTAAGCCAATACCTTAAAAAGTTCCAAGAGAGCAGTTATCTTCACGGCCATGAGGCTGGACATCCTCTGCGCGATCACGAAGCCAACAATTCTACCTTGACTACGTGGCAAATCTCCTTCGACTATATCCGTCAGGCTCGACCGTCTGCGGCAGATCTTCTTTCGCTAATGAGCTTCTTCGATCGGCAAGGTATACCGGATATCCTACTCCGAAAGCCAGCACCAGGGGAGAAGAGCCATGCCGGGATCGGTCAGGTATTTCCAGCAAGCAAGCCAACAGAAATCGAATCGCACGGCAGTACGCTGCTTGAGACATCCAACAGCGACATTGAAGAGGACATCCGAACGCTCAACAGATTCTCATTCATATCCACCACCCGCGACCCCAAGGTCTTTGAATTGCATAGTCTAGTGCAGCTTGCTATAAATGGCTGGCTCGGTAAAGAGAAACGGAGGTCGCATTTTCATGCAGCGGCCATGGGCCATCTTGACCGCGTATTTCCTTCAACATATGAAGACCAGGAGAGATGCCAGTCCCTGTTCCCTCACCTCAAATTGGTGACGAGCAAGAAACCCAAATTGGGAAAATCCACGCTGACATGGATGTCACTGATTTACAAAGGAGCAATTTTTGCCGGTCTCTATGCGGACTTTGCAGACCTAGTGCAGATGGGATCTACGCTGGGAGCAGCCACACAGGGGATACTCGAGCCGGACCATCCGGTGGTATTTTGGGCGACCGAGATGGCAACATTTGGCCTCAAGTGCATCAGCAGGATGCAGCAGATTGAAATGCAAAAACTGAAACTAGTCGAAGAAAGTCAACGGGAATGGGGAGAGGACGATTCTTTGACGGTAACCGCGATGATCAGCCTTGTGGAGACATACATCATCCAAGGCCAGAAGCGGAAGGCCTACGAGCTAGCTTCGCGTGTATACCGGGCGGCCCAAGAGATAGCGGACGAGCCATTATGTTGCGACGACTATTTCCGGACGCTGGCCCGCATCGAGAAGCTGGGGCGAATATACATGAATCAAGGTCGGTGGCATGATGCCGAACGGTTATTGACGAGCATCGTTCAGACCCGAGAGCAGCTGTGTGGGAGGCTGGATCCCGCCACATGGAAAGCGATGATCCAACTCGCAGAAGTGTATCAAGCACAAGGCCGATGGGCAAACGCGAGCGAGCTCCGCAAACGAGTGCTTGATTTGCAGGAGCAGGAGCAGGAGCAAGAGCTTGGAGAAGACGATCCTGAGAGCATCAAGATCTAGGACCTCCTGCACCAGCACGGGCCATTGGTTGATGACGAGGTCTCCTTGAGACCTTGACGCGGGCATCTGCTGAGACATTCGGAGAGCCACCCCCAAGAAGTGAAATCAAAGTTGCACCAGGAGATTCGCAGCTTGGGACGTGGCGGCAGAGCTTATGGATACGACAAAGTCCAGGTAGGTCGGGCAAAGATTGAGCAGCTATTTCGGTCGGCATCTATCTCTTTCATTTTATTTTCGGGTCTCTCTTGCAATTTACCTTGGACTTGTAATCTCAGATGTTCTCTACAGGGGGTGGTCCGTCTGATAGGATTCTCGCCAACTGACACGGTCAGAATCCTATCTGCTGCTTCAACCTTCTGGATATACCCCCCCTCACACTGGGGATGGATCTAATGTCTCGGGCTTATGTTATATACTCTCTGTCCGATTTAAGTTATCTGCACACGAAATACAAATTATCTTGCTGCTCGTCAATTCCATCCAGCTACAGTAGATGATATGCTGCATAGACCTCGTACTAGCAGCGCTACACACAACCAGAAATCACCTTCCGGACATGATCCAGATACATCTAATCCTTAATATACAGTTATTCCAGCACTACCCCCCTAACTCCCTTCTCTATGGTACACCCCCCTCGCACCCAGTTTATACATTACTAAACCCCCCTACTCCACGCGACCTATCTTGCCCACCTGACCGAGAGAACCCGCCCAGTTCCCAGCATCAAGCCCTAGGTAGTCCACCTTGAGGTGCATACATATCCTTCCCGGACACACACACACACACACACACACACACAAACAATCATTTGCAGCAGTAGGTAGGGAAGGCAACCATCTAATGCAAAGCTCCACCGAACCGGAGTCTCGCTCCTGAGAGCTGAGTGGGCGCACAACCACTAGGCGGTGTGACCAACGCGGATCGACGGCATTAGCGGCAATGGGATACATAAAGCCACAGAAGATAGCGGGAGTGGAAGCGGAGGCGGTCGAAGGAGCCCCTGGAGAGAGGGGGAGGGAGAGGTACTCTCCCCGCCCCAAGGCCAGGGTCGACTCGGAGCTACCCGGAGCTGACAAACAATCCATAACTGATCCCACGGTGGATGGTCATTGGCACGCAATCATTCTAATTCTGGCCCCCAAGCTCCACCCACCACCGGACATCCGCATCCTCATCCTCATCCGTCTTCCCCGTAGCGGGGCTGTTAGACGGTACTTTAGCATTCCCTTTGCTCTCCCATCATTTTAAGTCTACTGATACTGGTAGCGCAGTGCACCCCCCCCCCCCCCCCCCCTCCGCGCCGGCGTCCCTTTCTGTCTTCTACTGTACTGTGCAGTACCCGACAGATATAATAACAGGTCCTGGAGAAAGAAAGGCGTTGATCAATTGAGTAAAAAAAAAAAGGCTTCGCTGAAGGCTAAGGTTAATATGGTATGCTGTACAGAAGATCGATCACGGCTAAACCCTACGTCTAGAGTCTAGAACTGCTCATCCATCAAACCCCACGCCTTCACGCACGACCAATCCTTCGCGGTCTCGATCGCTGCTAGTTCCGCAATCAAGCTCTCGTTCCGCTCGAGGACAAGACACTGTTGCTTCTCGAACGCACCCACCCAGTATAACACCCGCGCCGTCACGCGACCGCCGTGCGCCACAAATGTAACCCCGCGGGGCCAAGGGGCTCCACTGTCATACAGCCATCGCAGTTCCTTCTTCATCCCTTCTTCCATGATATCCGCGCTGAGCACGGCGCTCAGGAACCCTTCCTCTGACTGCCAGGATCGGATGGCCTCGATCCCGCGACAGCGGATTCCGTAGTCCGGGCACCGGAAGATACTGAGCACCAATGCCGGCATGATGCCCGTCTCCGCCGTGACCGCCGGATACTGGCCGCCGAATTTGCTCATCGCCGCTTCCGACGCCGCGATGAGGCTCTCACACTCGAGACACAGACTGGCGGGCCACGGATCGCTTTTATTGTAGAGAGCCACCTTCGCGGCCATGATGCCCTGGCGGCACGCCAGCTTGATCAGTTCTGCTTCGCGCTCTTCCTTCCGGAGCACTCCATCGGTCGGAGTGGATGTGTATTCCTGGGCGCAGAAGCGTTCGAACTGCCACAGAAATTTGTGGAAGTAGGAAAGCAACAGTACTTGTTGGTGTTGTAGGGATGCATAATACTTCTGGAGATCGCTATCGGAGGCCTTGAGATACACCGCGGTGAAGATGCAATTGGCTTGCGTCAGCGGCTTCAATACCTGCTTCGCATGCTCCAGGCTGTGGAAAGGGAGCAGATAGTTATCGTACGGTTGGTTGAACACAAACTGACTGTCAAAGTCTAAGGGATCATCGGTTCCAAAGTAAACCGACGATTCCTGGAATTTCAGGAACGTCTCCACCACGCAATCCTCCACTGCAACCGGGGCGCCCGAAGGGCCATCTACGATCGCGGCGGGACACAATTGCAGTCCCGAGGACTGCCGCCGCAGCTTCATCATCTGCAGGATTCGCAGGCCCCCTTTAAGATGAAAGTCAGCTCGGTTGCGGTTGCCATGCAGCAATTCACAGATGATAAAGAGCAGACAGCATACAAGGATAGTCTCCTGCAGCTGAGGATCCTGTGACATGCGTCGCTTGTTCAGCAGCGCGACGGAGCGACCGGACTGCTCGAGGGCAAATCGATACCAAGTATTCTGCAGATGCGTGGTGCTCTGTCCCGGCCGCGGGATGCAGCCCGTGAGCTCGTTGGCTTGGTTAACAGCCCCCAGCGCGACTACCGCGTGGTACACCGCAGGTTCCTTACAGCACAGCCGGAAGATGACCTGCTGCCAAAGAAAGGAATCATAGAGCCCCACCAAGTGTTGTACGGATCGGTGTTGAAAGAACGAAAGACACCGGCGCTCGTCTGAGGTCACGTTCCACTGCAGTTTGCGGGCCAGGTTGGCAGGAATGGTGAAAATGGGTGTAGTATCTCCGGTTTTGCGGCGACCCCCGGCCGGGGCCAGTCTGTGCCTATCGTATCCATCGCATGTGCGGCCCGAGCCGGTGCACTTCAGACACGCAACAGGAGTTTCGTCGCACTTTACGCGTCGCGCGCTGCGGGATATTAGTCATGGACGTCGCGATGCGCAGATTACGAGCCAGAAGCATGATGTCTTACCGACAAGTGCGGCAGCCCGTGCGAGAGCGTTTGGAGAATGTCTTCTTGCGTTGGGTCAACATGATGGGTTGCGTCTTCCTGGGTTGCGGGAATGCTTGTCTTGCCTCTAAAATTCGCGGGAATTAGGGAATTGGGGGCTTTTGTATTTCGGACCCAACTTTTGTCCGGCGAGGGGATTATCAAGCGTGCAACATGGGTATGTCTGTTAGACGCCAATCATCGTCTCAATACGCGATGGCTTCACTAAATGATGATGCCTCGGGTTCTATTTGTTGATCGGCACAGCGCCGTTGCTGGCCTAATGCAGGAGCGGCTAATCATATTTGATCGAAGTTAGAGTCTTCAGAGTTGTGCAACACACTGACTGAGTTGAAGAAGATGTAGAATATTCAACCCTGTTGGATTTTGTTAGATTGTTTCTAGAAGTGTGTCTCATTCGTCGCTCCATGATTGATCGTTCGTGGAAACGTCTGGGAAAGGGCTGGACGGCCCGGGGCCGGAGGCAAGCGGAAGTTCAATCCAAGGGCGGGATGATCGTGGATCCATGATGGGGCCACAACACTCTGACTCCAGCAACAGCCAATTAGAGCCCACGGTGCCCCCGATGGTGTAGCTTCAAGACTGTCCCGCGGGCATACAATAGCCTAGATTTCGACTTCACGCTGACATTTCAGACCTCCGACGAGTCAGGGATCGGCGGACGTCAGTGCTGTTGCAGCCTGATGTTTCCTTCACTTGACTCAACAAATTGCACTGACAGCAACGCAGTTGCTTATTTCGACGTGGCCGATGCTGGTTTACCAAGTATCCTGTTCCGCCCGGGAGACCGCGTAGATCTACGCGCGCAGCTTCAACTACTAAGGGGTTTGATTTTACGAGTAAGCTGAAGTTTCCGCTTCGTCCGGTGGGTTGAATCCACTCTTTGCAGAGTGATTTTTTTTTCTATTATCGGGAGTGCAGACAACGCTAATCGGCCGAATCACAGGCTTCGAGCGTGAATGAAAGATGGAGCGACACGAGAATACCACGGGCAGTCTCTGCTCGGTCGTTTATGGTTTGCGAGATTGCTCGAGGGGAAAACGTGTGATCGCGACCGTCAGACGGGCTGACGAACAATCTGTGCGACTATCATGTCTGATCATTACATTCAGCTGGGAATTCATCACGGGTGTATGCAGTAAGAAGAACCACTCAATGTCGAGCAATGCTTACTCGACTTGAGCTGCGGTACCAAGTCCATTCGGCTAAGCGATTGCCTGCTCGACGTCATGCTACCGCGGCTGGCACGTCTCTTATATCTTCATCGGGAACATTAAGTCAGCAACTGCAGAAAACCGAGCAAGATTCTGCTTCATGCAGCAGTCTGGCCCTTGAGGATATGAATATGGCGCGCTTTCGATTCATTGGCGAGGATTCGAGGTGTTGGTCCATGAAAGCGACGAAAAAGGCAGCTGCGATGTCGGGTCACGTGACCGACTCGTGCTAGACATCTTTCTGATGGAACTCTTCTCTTGACAAAACTCCCTAGGATACACCTTTCCAGTCAATCTCAATGCCTTTCATCTGATGGAATGCTTTTGCAAGGTTTGCAGCCTGTGGGACATCTATCACAAGGCCTCTCATGCCCCAACTGCTTGGACAGAATGATTCAATTGAGCAGTCGAGGGCCGCCATCGTGGGAGCGCGAAGGAGCCCAAGGGGTTGGTATACTTCCTCTCTATATCCGTGCACTATCATGTGATTGCATACCGACTGTCGATCCAGACGCGCTGACAAGGGTTGTCCTTGTTTTCACGGAAATCTTCATTAGTGCCTGACGGTCAGAGCGCTAGCTGAGTCTGTATTCATGACATTTGACTTTGGCCAGCTGCCTCATTCGCTAGTCCTTACGCAGTTAACTTTGAGTGATATGGCTAGATATAGTTTCTAGACACGCACAACAAATCATTGCGAGCTGTTGGTAGCCATGGCTGGTCCAGGCTTCGCATCTTGTTGACTCGTCGTCTGTGGCAAACGAGCGCGGCTGGTCTTCTTTGTTCTCTTGCGGTTCGTGCAATTTATACTTCCAGGTCTGTTCCGCCTTGACCACATACTACTTCCTTTGTTGACAAAGGTCCCATCTGGAAACCACTCAAACAATAAAACCAAACCATGGTTCTGCGTCGTCTCAACTTTGGTGCAGCCATTCAACGCGCCGTCACCACCTCACAATGGCCGTCTCCTCACGCCCTATAACGTCCATTGTGCTGTTGACTCTTTTTGGCGGACTGGGCGCGCTCATCATGGTGCTGCGACTCTTTCTGCGCAAGTATCGGCGACAGCGGTTCGAAGCAGGCGACTACTGCACTTTCTTTTGTCTTGTGACTCTTCTCTCTTGCGTCGGGTTGCTTACTGCGGTAAGCAGCATCACCTTGGGTCGGGACGCCGTTTTGGAAGCTCAACATCTCACCGATGAACTATTCAACGACCAACTGCTCAAGAATAAGATGCTGGTGGCGCATCAAGCGATCTTTCGTGCCTAGTATGGCTTCCTGGCCTGTCATTTGTGGCTATTGCTGACCGGTCTAGCCTTTGGGGTCAGAAAGCTATTGTCCTCCTGTTCATCTCTCGCGTCCTACAGGGTCTGCCATGGCCCTTCATCTTCGTTCGCATTTCTTGGGCAATCTTGATACTGAGCTTTGGCGCCGTGGAGCTTGAAATGTTTATGGTTTGTGAATACCGCAAGAAGAGTACGAGTCCCCTGCAAAATTCGGGATGTCGAAAACTGATCATGCTTCTAGAGCCTTGTCTTGATCGCGTCCAGCAACTTGTGACATATATCCTTCTCAACGGCCTGACTGACCTGATGCTCATCGCGCTTCCGCTTCCATGGCTGGTTCGCGTGAAAAGGCCCTGGTATCGGTAAGTGATACGCGCTCCACCAAAACCAGGCTTCTAAGCCCCATACCGGATTAATTTAATGAGCCCAGACGCATTCAGCTCATCGCGCTCTTCTCAGTCGGCTTCCTCTGCATCATCGCCACGATCCTTCGAGCCCCGATTCACGGTGACACCCAAGACCTTGTTGGCCAGGGCTACTGGACAGCTGTCGAGTTCCTTTCATCGGCCATCGTCGCCAACTTCCCCACGCTGTACAGCCTGCGCCGCGCCAGGAAGGATGAGACCCCGGTGTACCCTGAGAGCCCATACCCGATGCGGGCTGGGGGTTCGAAATCTCGGTCGGCAACGAGCATCGAGCTTCAGGAAGCGTTGGACATGGATCGTGTGAATAGCAACGCGCGGAGTGCAAATATCACCAGCCAGGCAAGCATCGAGCCGCTGTTCCTGAGCGACCCAGAGAGGGATAGTACTCGGGCTGAGGGGGTACGATCTAGAGTATGAGTCGGGCTTGGTGCTGGGTTTGCTCTTTGGGGAATGTGAGCACAATTGGAATTCGATGTCGTAAGGACTAGATGGTGACAGATATGTTTCTGACTTGATAAGATATATGACATCGGCACAGTCCTAATTTTCACAATTCAAGAGATTACTCTCCATATAATAGTTTTTAATAGAACACATGAAATTATCTGCTGCAGTACAAGTAAGCTTATGTCCATACGGAGCAGCAGCGAGAACTCTTCCTTCTTCAAGGGGCACCTTATTCCTGAGTTTTGATCTAGGCTTAAAGCTCATCACTAGAGAATCGAGATGCTTGCAGTAAGTCCTGCACCCCCAAGGAACGAGGACCAGCATCCGCTTGTGGCCTTGCGGCCTTATGGCCTTTAGGGCAGACAGTGGCAGTGCGGTTGCTACAGTCACATGACTACGATGTGGCTCTCTCATGCCTCATGCAGTAGATAGTCTATCTACATCTACACCACCACACCTTCATCAGCGTCATCGCCCTGCTAGAGCTAACCTCCCACTTCCCATCAACCATTTAACCGCACATAATCACCAAGCGCAGACCCCATCAGCAATCAAAGCACCTCCCGTATCAAACAACCACCACGCCCAAGCGCCATCTCTACCACCCCAAACCCCATAAACTCACCCGATCCCAACCCAGCCAGTTGAAACCGCCATACCAAGCTCGCTCGCCCAAGCTTGCTACACAGTACATCACCCAGCAAACCCCCGTATTGATAGAAGGTTTTTCTCGAGGCACAGTGCATACCATACCGACCGATAATCCCACTGAACAAAAACAAAACAAAGCCCCTCCACCACCACCCACATAGACTATCAAGGTATCACCGGGCAATGGGCAATGGGCAAATGGGCAAATGGGCAATGGGGCAACAGACAGTGAACAAAACAGTCCGTGGAGACCCTAGCTCTTACCGCATACAGAAAAAAGTTGGTCCCCTTCTGCGCACACCTGAAACACTCTAACTCGCCCAGACGGGGCCGTGTATCCGTCTAGCCAGATGCGGTCTTCCAGCCTTGCCTAAAGGCTTGGCTGGGTTTTCTTGGCGGTTTTGTCTCCGCCCTGTTCTTGCCTTGCTTTCCTGAGGGTTCAAACTTCAGTCTGGACTGGACTGGCTGGCTGTCTAGACTCTGGTCTGGAAGTGGGCGGGAGGTGATGATAGTACCTAGATACGGGCCGCTCACAGGGTCTTTGGTAGGAGGTACGGCGGGTGGAATCTACAGATAGATCTGTCCCTTACTTCCGGTTCTAGAGCAGGGCAGCAGCTCTTTGCGTATCTACAAGGTTGTTCATTCGGAGGAAAGTAATGGATCACAGGCAGACCTTCTAATTTTATTAGATGATAATTAACCACTACTGATACAATAACCAATCACCAAAGGAATCGAAAAGTCGGGATCACCCGTCACACCCATCTCTACCATCATCGAGATTCAATCAGTCCAGAGCGCATAGCGTTAGACGTCTTGCTGATAGCCGAGAAGCATCTAGCAAGAAGCACCCTGGGGGATGTTCTTGCACTGCTTCTTCTCCTTGCCACCGTGGATATCAACGCCCTTCCAGGTCCAGTTGGAGCAGGAGCCGGAGCCGCACAGGATGTAGACGGGCTGGGCGCCGCTCTTGACAGAGCCGGTGACGCGGTCGATGGTCACGTCCTTGATGGGGATGCCGTTGGAGGGGTTACCAGTGGGGGAGCCGTTCTTGTAGTCCTGCTCGATGACAATACCGTACTTGGCGATGTTCTCCAGCTGGATGTTGGAGTAGGTGACGTCGCTGACGGAGCCGGTCTCCTTGTAGATGGTCTTGATGCGGACACCGTTGTCGGAGTTGACGATGTGGCTGTCGGTGATGTGCACGCCCTTGACGACGTTGTTGGAACGGCCGCCGATCGAGCCGATCGACAGACCGTGGCCGCCGGAGCAGTAGCCGTTCGAGAAGTTGATGTTCTATTGTGCGTTAGTTGGGGGGGGTGCGTCAAGGACAAAGCGCGATACACACCTCGCCGGAGTTGATGGCCAAGCAGTCGTCCTGGTTGTAGACCTTGGCGCCGCTGATGTAGACGCCATTGGACTCGTTGACGTCGAAGGCGTCGGTGTTGTGGCCACCCTTGTGGTCACCAAGGGAGTTGTCGATGGTCACGCCCTCGATGTGCACATCGTTACCCTGAACGGAGATGGCCTGCACGGGGGTGTTCTTGATGTTCAGGTTCCGGATGTACGAGCTCTGCAGCTTGTGGGCGTACATGAACTTGGGCTTGGTCTTGCCACCGTTGGTGCCTCTGCCGTCCCACCAGCGCTCACCCTGGCCGTCGATAACGGCGCCGTTGGCAGCGGTGAAGGTAACGCCCTTACCACCGAGGCGGATCAGGGGACCCTTCCATTGCTTGTAGCCGAAGGTGGTGGTGCCCTCGAAGGTGACCTATGAATCGGAGTATTTAGTTTAACCTGGTGGTTTGCATGGTGAGATAGGGCAGACGTACGGTGGAGCCCTCCTTGGCGTGGGACAGATCAAGGGTCTCACCGGCGGGGACATTGATGTTCCTCAGCACCGAGTGGGAGCACTTCTTGACACCCGCCTTGGCGGCCGCAGCATCGGTGAAGATGCAGGAGGATCTCTCGACGAGCTCTCTCTCAGCGACATCGACGGGAGCAGGGGCCGCAACGGCGAGGGAGCCGAGTGCGGCCAGAGTAAGGAGATCGAAACGCATGGTGATGGATTAGTGGGATTTCTGATCAACAGAAACGAGTGAAGAAAGAATGACTGAAGGTCTGATCTGATCAACAGAAAGGAAAGAGTGAATGAGGGAGAAAGAGGGAATGTGTGTGTGATGAGAAGGAAAAGCCATGCAGGGGTTCTTGCACCGCTTTATACCCAGCGCCAGGGTGTAGCAACATCTGATGCAGGGGAGAGGATGATGATATCCCTCCCCCACCAGGGTGTCAGTCTCTAACGGTGGCGTGAAGAACGAGCCCTGCTTCTGGCAACCCGACCGTTCATCAGATCCAAATTGCCCATCCCGCAGACGCTCGTCGGGCGACATCGTCATTGCCGGATTATGATTATTTCCTGTTCCTGTTCCTGTTCCTGTGGTGGGTGGGGGGGGGAAGAGCTCGGCAGCTTTCTTTTCGCAGCTTGACCTCGTTCTCCACTGTGGGGCAGCCAAGCGTGAAGTCTCCAAACGGTGCTCGACCAAGCCTAGCAGCTGCCTCGCTTATTTGTCAAGTTTTGAATTCGAATCTATCTCAAGCACAAATGCCAAGGGTCCGAGTCTCCGCAATCCAGGCTACCTCCTGAATTTACCTAATATCGAATGTTCGAATGTTCGACAGCACGGTTCGGCAGAGAGGTCCAAACACGAGAGTCGCAGTCCCCTTCGTCCTGACGCAGTTTCTGTTCCCAACTCCGACACGTCTTACGCATTTTCCCTGCTGCGATGTAATAATCAACTGATCGACCAACCTAACTCGACAACCACCAACAGACAACCACAATCATACCAACCCAATAAATAGCTCGGCTAAAGCGCAGGGTCGGCGGGGCAGATGCAATTTCCGCGGCCCCACGAGCGCCGTCTGAAGCCTCAAGCCACTAAAAAGCTTGTCTGCGCGCGATTGTCGGGAGACCTGCTTGTTCGGGTTATCGCCATTTTGGCCTGACACCCACAGCCCCACGATCCCACAAGCCTGGCTAATTCGGACCAGCGAGCCTGAACCCCTGATTCACAATCGCCCAGCCTGGTGTCCCTTGCTCCGGATGTCCCCGGCAGGGAGGGGGGCAAGCAAACAAGCAAACAAGATCACACAAGCATGATTGCCCAGCAATACCGACGGAGACGTGCCGTGGCATTTCCGGCAACGATAGCCCGATCCCCTTCTTCTTCCGGCTCTTGTCCTCTGGGCACAGCATACCAAGCTCATGCACCGAGTCCTGACTGGATGGAGATGTTCGTCTCCATGCATCCAGACCCTGATGGCACCACTACCAGGTATAACATCCGTCGATATAAGGTTATCCCGGCGGATTGGCGGAAAAAGATCACGGCTTTGCAAATGCGAGGGTGATAGCACACAGCAGGGGCTCGGGCCCCATTGAATAAATTAAAGGTATATTAATTGCCCACCACACAGTGGCACACACACACAGTCTCTTCACTTGTACGGAGAACTACCGACCTGCTAATGTTGCTTCCATCCCAACGTGTCCTCGCATCCCTTGCCTGTCTAAGACAGGAGCAAATGCCGTAGCCTCCGCTCTCTCCGGAACGAGCAGCTACGAATCAGTTCACTTATTTTTGAAGTCACTGCAATTAAACTAGTCTCAGGAATGAGACATCAAGGTAGATGTTGCGGTGTAACTCGGATGCGTGGGATCGCTGACATGTGCCAAGCTGTCTGGACCGGTGGGATTACCCTGACAACCTTGCTGCGATTCCCTGTACTGTACTGTACATAACTAGATAACTACATGAGAAACGGACCTTCATCCCGCTACAGCATCATCCTAGTTACACTGCCAACTCAGCAACACCAAACAGAGCAATCAAACCATCTATAGAGCGTCCCGGGGGAGAACCCCCGGACCCCCCTTTCTTTCAACTTCCTGGTGCACCTCAACCTAAATAAACCAGAGTATAATCCCATCGCCTCGTAACCCAACCCCAACCCTTCCCCAACCTACAACCTATTTATATATTTATTGGCACACTCGCCCACCAAGCCTTAGCGGCCCCCTCATCACGCACGCCAAACGACGTCCTCCCCAGATAACAAAACGGCATGGCCCCCGCCTTCCCCTCCTCGCGCATCTCAAGGAAGAACCGGATCTCGCCGTCGCACGCGATCGACCCGCCGAACGGCGCGGCGTGCGGCTGCTTCGCGCGCTGCTGGCAGAACAGCGTGAGTAGGTGGTCTAGGGCGGCGTCCCAGTCGAAGATCGAGGCGAGGCCTGCGTAGTGGAGGTAGGTTAGGGTTGTGGTGGCGTTTAGGAGGCTGTAGGTGACTTTTGGGGGGCGGTGGGTTGGGGTTGTCGGGCGGTTGGTCGGGGTGATGGTGGTGGTGTAGCTGGTTGGGGTCATTGTGATCTTACCTGTGGTTCTGGATTGTGTGGTTTGGGTTTAGGAGGAAGGGTGTGGTTACAGAGTGGGAGGTGGGGTGGGGGGGAGCGAAGGTGGTTTATATGGATTGTGTGCTTTGTTGGTTCTCGTGGAATAAATTGTGTCTCTTGCTCTAGGGATTGTTGCGTTATTTAGTAATGGCTCTGCGTTCTTTCATCTAGGAATGTGCTTTGTGCTGAGGCTTTGTATCTGATATCACTCATGCATGACTATGCATTTTTTGTAGAAGTCATTGTTCCTGGTATCAACCTACCGGAATATATATATCCCTGAGTGAATCATGAACCAGGACTCAGTACCCCAGCCCTAGTCAGTCTTTCAGACCATGCAGAGCCAGTCTATTACACAATACAGTAGATACAGAATTAACACAACCAGACTACACAATAAAATCAAGTAAACCTACCTCCACGCCAAATTCTCCCTCACCTCAACCCGGAACCCACAAAGCGCCCCAAGCGCCTCAACGGTAGCCCGCCTCACAAATGCCGACCACTACGGCCGCGCCGTGTCGTGATTAAACCGGCACGTCACCTGCCCATCGGGCCAGCAGAACTCCAACAGTGCCTGGCCATGTTTCGGATGGGAACGAGGATACTCACAGTACTGGCGACACCAATCGTTGCAGAAGATCGTGCCGCTGAAGCCGATGGCGTCGGGGTCCTCGACGCGTCGCTCCCGGAACGCTGCTAGCAGGTAGAGCTTGGCGCCTTCCCAATCGAAGGGGACGTCCGGGTCGTTGTGACAGTAGGCTATGCGCGTGTTGATGAGGCCGTAGGGGAGCACGTCGATCACGCGCATATACGGGATGAGCGCTCCCTTCGGGAGAGGGGAGGGGTGGGCGACCACCCGGTAGGGCCCCAGTTCGGGGATGATGGAGGGCATGACTTTATTCTTGGCGAACGGGTGAGGGGTGTATGCTCTGGATATGGAGGTGTCGAGGATGCTGATGTGAGCGGGTTGGCGCAGCAGATGGCTAGATGTTTGGGGAGTATTTATATGCGAACGGTTGCACGGGAAGGTCCCATTGTAGTTCTCCTGGCTTTGGTGCTGTATCCTGAGTTCAAGGTCATAGTGGTGTCTGCCCTGGAACTTTTGTGGTTGTCCCGACTTGTTTGGTTCAATGGGCTGCCCACAAAGAAAGGTTTCGTCTTTGACGGCCAGTCTATGGGAGCTTTCCATCAACTGCTGGAGAGTCTCCGCCCAGCATTACAGATGCATTGCCCATGTTGATATATATTCACGTGTGAGTAGTCTGAGTAATACCCCGATAGATCAGCCATTGTCGTAAGACAACCCCGACAGCACAAGAATGTGCTTTTCTGGACAATGATAGAAAGAGGATACTCGGCGTAGACAGCCCCTTAATAAGACTGCCATAATCATGAATCTTGATGCAGAGGCAACGCAGAGTAACTCGAAGGAGAGAGATCACTTGAAATGTGTAAAAGAATCAAAGGTCAGCTTGCAATGCGAAGGCATCGTGCCAAGAAATCGAGAATCCTATGGGCAGACACCGTTCTGCCACTCCCTACCGCCTGTTCGCGGCGGCACTCAAAGTCGTTGTCAAAGCGGCTCCCTTGCCGCTTTTGTGGTGTCGCTCCTAGGCTGACAGGTTGCAGGCAGCAAGGCCTTGAAAAGAATATATACCTAAGTATGGCGCAGTATCTACTTTCCAATGGAGCTCTACTACTCCTCTTACTCATGTTGTTCGCGTGTAAGAAGAAATTAAGATTTTCTTTATTTCTATCAAGATGACTGCTGGCGGTCTATTGCAATGCCAGAGCACCCGCGGTTAGATACATTCAACTAGAATGGGTAAGCGCACTTGTATCCGTGTATTATCTGTTGTGCGCTTCAAAAATAGATAGCGTCCGTTTGTCTGAATTGCTCGCGAACCTCCATTGATAGTGGGCGTAGAGAAAGACCAGGGCTAGGTAGCCAGGTGCGCGTAAGTCAATTGTGCCCAGCGAAGAGTGTTGTAATATAAAGAGCCTTGTATGCCGCCGAGAGAACGAGGATGCGTGGAAACTGATTGGCCTCGGGTTTCGAGTGTGCTCAACGAGCAGTTTCTGACCGTTGAGGTCGATGACCATTTCCACTCATTAGGAGGCATGGTAAGCAGCTATTCGCTACGCTCCATCTCACTTGCACCGCGAGTCTGGAAGAGTTGTATCCGACCATCGCAGGCCTAATGTAGCACGGTCGTCAGGAGCAGCGCTGTGCAGACTCCGAGGCACTCGTCACGCAAGAAGGCAAGCACCAAAAATGGTTCGGCCGCGTGAAATGGTGCCAAAAAAGAAAGATCACAGAGAGCGACCTCGTATATGAAATCACCCCTTTGAATGTTCCATCAACTGCATAACTTTCTTCAGAGAAACCGGCTTCGTGACAAAGACATCAACACCAGCTGCGTAGGCCTTCGCAACATCCTCCTTCGACCCCAAACCAGTAAGCGCAATAATCTTAGCAGGAGAGGTAGTCTTGCGCTCTGTTTCAATCACGCGAATCGCTCTGGTAGCCTCGAATCCGTCCATAACGGGCATCGAGATATCTATTTGAGGTTAGAAGTTGCTCTCCGACCGGCTGAGGAGACGAGGAGCGGATGACACTCACCCATAAATATGTAATGATAGCCCTCGGGCATTGACCCAACAGCGTCGACGGCCTCTTTGCCGTTCATAGCTTCGTGTACGTGGATCGGTTGTCTCCGACCCACAATCCGCCGTAGAAGCGACATGTTCACCGGGTTGTCTTCGACTAGCAAGACCCGGGGTATCTCTTCGGAGGGATCAGAGGGTGTTGTTGGTGTAAAGGAAGAGTTTCCATTTTGATCTGTTTGTGCGTCGGCTTTTAACTGAGAGATGTAAGGTCCAATTTCCAGACGCGGCCTTGACAACGGCTCGGAGGGCTTCATCGTAGATGCTGAAGTTGATGATGTTGCTGGACGTAAAGCAAGGTCTTGTTGATTGTACGGGTCAGGGGGTGCCTCAATGCCGATACCAATCTCACATGCGATCGGTGACGACGATGCATCCTCGTTGCTATGTGGTTGATGTGAGGCCTGCAAACAGCACTGAATCGTTCTGGCTAATCGGTAGGGGCCACAAGGGAGACTCAGCAGCTCGATACGTGCACGGATATGACTTAACATAGTAGATTTTAAGTATGTAGGACGCCTCTCACGATGCAGAACGAGCAAGGTCGATCGTTCAGATAGCCCGCTGATGCGGTGCAATTCTGCCTCGTCGACAATTACCAAATCCGCAGCGAGATCGGGTGACCATGGGTGGAGCGGTATCCCATACCAATCCGTTAAGTAATTTGTGATCGCGCGCGCAGAAGCTGCATCTTCTGGCTGTACGAAACAAACTGTTTTGCCCGCTATTTCTTTCTTCACGCCATCGATAATGCCTTCGGAGTTGTGGAGTAGTGGGTCGTCAAGCGCAGCTGCTGTCTCCGTGCGCTCATGTGGCTCGGGTCGCGTGAGAGGGATCGAGATCTTAACTACCGTGCCCGCCCCCAATTGACTCTTGATCTTGATCTTGCCTTTCAACGAACGCACGATGCTGTTCACGAGGGACAAACCAAGACCGGTTCCGGGGGATAGAGGGTCTTCTTGCATGAAGGGTGTAAAGAGGTGATACCGTAGATAATCACTAGAAATGCCCCGACCGGTATCGGATACGGTGAGAAGCAGGGTGTCGAGTCCATCACGAGAAGAATTTTTGCTTTCCTTCTGGATCTCCAAATGCACGGAGATAGACCCAGTTCGGGTATATTTAAGAGCATTGCCAAAGACGTTCATGACAATGCGCCGCAAGGCCCCAGGCTCTAGAACGAAAATCCAGTCATTCATGCTGACATCCAGGGTAATATCCACAGGCTCGAAGTTGCCACCGGAGATTTCCTCTGAAGGGGTGGCCGGCTTAGACGTTGACGAATCGCCTGAGTGGGCCATGTTGAGGTGATTGGCTCCGGCGCAGATACTCTCGATCGCATCCTCGACGATCGTTACAACGTCAGCCACTTTCAAAATGAAGAGCGATCGTGGACCTGCATGCGTGGTAGCGGTTACCCTGTCCTCGTGTGACAATGCCGGACCGCCAACACGAGCTTTCCGCCTGAAGGAGTTGATTTTGCTAAAATCGAGAATCTGTTCAAATGTATCTAAAAGAGTTTGACTACACGCACGAATGGTGTCCAAGAGCAACCTCGCTGAGTTGGACATCGACTGTTCCGCGAGAAACTCGACTGCGGCTAGAATTCCATGTAAAGGGCTTCGCAGTTCATGCCTAGATTTTATCTAGTCAGTCAGAGAATTCGGAAGTCGCTGAAGGTAACACTCACGAGATGCTGCTTATGAAATCACCCTTCTTCTTGTCTGCTTCTTGACTCCGGATACGACTGTCCTCGGTCATCAACGAAGAACAAAACCCAAGCACACCACCCAGTTCTACATGGGGGCTGAAAATTCGGGTCTCCACGGAACTCCAGCAGAAACATCCGCCGAACCATCGTGAGTTCGTTGCATCCCACAGAGGAGCAAATATAATGCGTGTGGCTCTAGGAAAGTAGGTCTGCAAAAGATCTAAGTCCCTTCGGTTTAGTGAACCTTGACCCCGCGGATGAAGCATTGATGGCATTTGAAAAGCCGATTGGGTACTTGTCTGCGAAGCAGTCTCGTCGTCAGACGAGAAAGCTGTTCCATCGCGGTGAAAATACCACAGGGCTCCTTTACAAAAGCGCTGAATCATCCGCCGTAGGAACCGGCGACTCATCTGCTGTGCGGGAATCAAATCGTGCTCATTTCCCCAAGCCGAGCCATGACAGTCTCGTGTCGAAATGGCCCAGGTAGTAGCTTCAAGTCGTGGTGCCCCGGAAACTTCTGCGGGTGTTTCTTCCTCCTCGTCAACGTCAAAGCTGTCTCTGGCAGAGAAGATAACGACGCCTCCTTCTTCTCCAAGAATAAGACTCTCACGCATGATATTCGCAGCGCGTTGGAAGGTCTCGTGCCTCTTGCCGGGCGATGAAGTATGTGATTTTGAGTTCGGCTGAGGAGATGAGTCCCCGTGTCTATTGGACTTCGGCGACACGGAATCCGAGGATGAGAGGAGATTGTCTTGCACCGGACTTATTGCCCTTGGAGAAGACTTTGCATGTCGCGAGAGAAGCTTGACATCAACTTTCGGAGATAGGTTGGGCGGAGGGCTGGGAGTGCGCGATCGATCCATGTCGGAAGGGCTCGCGCTTCTTGGAATGGCTGCGGTGGAAGACTCCTCGTGACCATGGTTCTGAACAAACGAGTTGAGGCCGGAGAGGACTTTCATCAAACGAGTGCTTTCGAGCGATTGGCGTGATGTCTCCAAGTACTCCATGACTGCGGTGGCTATGACCCCTAAGTTTTCCTTGTGAGAAGCCGTCAACGTGAGATTTGGGCGTGGATCGATGACATATAAGCTCCCAATGTTGATGCCATTGCTCGTCGTCAAGGGTGTGCCGGCATAGTAGCGGAAGAACGGTGAACCATAGACACAAGGTATCTGGCAGTACTTGGGATGCTGTTGCAGGTCATCGACAACGAAGAAAGGATACTTATCCTGCGTAGTTGGGTACAGGGTTATCGTTTTCTAGTGCAGGTCAATGGGAGTGTTCAAGCCAAGAGAAATGAATCGCGTGGATAAATACCTCGCATAGGGTGCCAGCCAGAGGACCCCGAGAGCAACCCATCCAAAGTCCATCGCCATCATCTTCATAGAGGGCGTTGTCCCCGAGATTCAACGAGCGAGAGGCCTCAGCGACGACATATAGCGTTTCGCGATCAATCAAGCTGGGGAAAAGGTTAGCGCCGTAATCACATGCGCAGCAGGCACTTGCGATAATCTCAAGTCACGGCATGAGAACAAGCAGCGTGAACTTGAAGAAGCTGAAAAGAGGGGAATGCCTTTCAACGTACCTGATAATCGCGCGTTGAACGCCTACTTTGACCGCGGCCAACTGGGTCAGGGCAGTAAGGACGAGGTTTGGACTGGTTCCACCTAGCACACATGGCGAGCTGAGTGGATCAGTGCTGGCGGTCGCAGGAAGCAGGGCTGGGTTGTCAGGCTGGAAATAATGAAATAATTCCCTGGCGCGACGGTCTGCTTCGTGCTCTTCCTGCTGGGAAGAAGCTGGGGAGGCCAAATCCTCCATCGCGTCGACAGCTCAGGCCGGGGTCAACCTGCGGCTGGCTGGGCGATACTGCGATACTTCAAGCTTCTGTCTGGCTGTCCGTCTCGTAAGATTTCTTTATTGTTCCCGTTCCCTTCAGTCCATTTTGTTCTGCGGGTTCTGTCATGCGCGGGTGGTAAAACTCAGAGAGGATCATTTCACGACGCAGTCACCATTGAGAAATGGAAACTGGAATAATTGCAGTGTGGGGCGAGAAATCCGCCTCCCCAACTTCCAAGTTTTTTCGCCATCGATGAAGTTTCAAGCGGCGGGCAGTTGCGTCACATGCTGTCCTGCAAAGGCTAGCACGTCCCTATCGGGCATAAGCGCGCTTGGTCCACAGGTGTGTGGCGGAGTTCTAGAACCTGTTGAGCCCGATCACCGCCTCCCCGCATGGGGCCATTCTGCCGGTCTTATCTCTGCCCTGCAAATCATCCTGTAGATCTGATCTTCATGCATCTAATTCGAGGCTTAGATCAACATCCTCTGCTGTCCTGCGAGAATGAGTGCGGATACATCAGGACTCTCTCAGTCTCATTGCATCAACCTTTGCCTGCTGATAGACCCCCTTTGATCTCATATTTGCTTGTTTGTCATATCCGAGCAGCAGGCGGTGCGGGAAACCTAGCCACCTACCTCATAGGGTCTTGCATCCGTGGGATCACATCGTCCCTCGCGCTGATCGAAGTTCTAGATCAATCCCCGATATAAGCTTAATGTATTTTGGGAAGAAAGGCATGCTTTGACACGCAGGGTAAGCGGTGAGATGACTTCTTCCCCTTCCGCCAGAAAACATTCCTCCATTGTATGGCTGTGGAGTATCGCTAACGCCTTTCAAGTTATTCGCGTTTGCGACAGCACAAACCCATACGCAGTGGTAGTACGCCTGTATCGGGTTTATAAAGTTGAAGTATCTCTCGCACTGTGAGAATACACTCCGTCAAATTCGATATCCTTCGTGGCGAAATATTCTCTTCCGCGCTATCGCCGAAGGATCCGCTGGATACTTAACAATCCCAATTATAACTGAGCTATAGCGATCTCGACCAGCTCCACTGCCGAAATGACCCCCTCTCTCTTCCACTCGGACTTTCCCCAGCCCGCACTTTGGTGACCAATCTCCTGGCGGCAGCACCACTGTTATCATCTACAGTTCTGTCCCCCGCAGATCGGACCAATCACATCGCGTCGCTTCAAAGTGCAGATCGCTCGCCGATGCCGGAAGCACCGACCATCGAACCCACAGCTACAACATCAGTGTGGAGCAAATTCGATAGTTCGTCGTCCATCTTGCCTCTCTGTAAGTCGAGTCTAATGCGGAAATATGGCCTTTGCATGTCACTCTCGCAGTTCGAGGCGTCGCGCTCGGGAATATGATCCGTCTCGATCGTTCTAGCCCGTCTTCGGGTTGTTTTGCGCCGGTTCAGTGCGGCTGGTGTCTTTGACGGCACGGACAGAGAACGAGCACGGTTTGAGATAGCCAAAGCATGAGTTCTGGAGCGGGAACGTGGCGCAGGGTTCCGACGACATATCCAGACGGAAGGATCGGGCTCATGGTCATCGGAATCGCGTGGTTCGAACAGGAGATGGCACCATGCATCTTTCGGCCGAAGCAGCGGCGCCGCTATTGAACCTTCGGGTATTTTTAGCCACTGATCCAGTGCTTTACAAGTAACATACAATTCAGAAGATGGAAGAGTTGGAAAACAAGAATCGTGTATGATACCCAAAGCGGGGTCTAAGTTATGGCTGAACGCTTCATGGAACTACAAGTGCGGCTTCAATGACAATGGAGGGGAGTGGGTTACCTGGATTTCCGGCATCTGGCTTCAAGAACCATCTTCCATAGCCTCGCAGTTCGTTTTACGGTCCGACGCCTTGCAGTTCCCGCAGATGCCTCGGAACTTGTTCGGCACATGGATAGACACGGGGAACTTGCGCTCCTCGGATGGGATCTGCGTGCAGGGGCGCACAGGCCGGATCCCTCTCGATTGGATCAGGATGGCCTCGATGATCGGCTTGTGGTTGACGTTGTCGGGACGAATGCGGCCCTGAATGAACTCCACGCCGTCTCCTTTCATGCTGCATAGTGGCTCGCCCACACCCGTCACTCGTGGGCATATGTATTTGTCCACCTTACACTTAGATATCACCGGATTGCTACCACCTCCCGCTGACAAGCCAGGGTTGACCTGCTCGAGGGCGGCGCTAATCTCGGTAAAAAGTTCGGCGCTCTCGGACTCGGACATCGTGGTACTGTGGTGTCAAAGTGTGTTGTCGTGGATACCAATGGCCCGGGGTGGGGGGGAGGGGTTGGCGAGGGCTACCAAGGCAGGTACTGTGCGCCTTAAATAGTCGACCTTTGGCCTTAGTCCTGAGAATTCTAGAAGAGATAAGAGCATCGTGAAACTATCAGGGACAAAGACATCGAGCACAAAGCATCGTTTGCTTCTAGCGAAGAAGAGCAGAAAGGTTACCCTGGCATAATTAAGCACTTTCCGTCAGAAGAGTAGTCCCGCATCAGACAATTAACGGTGGTTAAGTAATCCGAGAGACCAGAGCGCAATGACTTTCATTCTCTTGGGGACAGAAAAAGACAATGAGCTATGTCGATTCCTGCGACATTCTTGAGCGTGGGGCCCCTGGATCTTCCATAGGAAAGGATGAAGTAGCGAGAGAGTCATTCATCCTACCGGCTTAACAAAGCCATTGTGCGCGTTCGAGCAAGAAAGAAGACGGACGTCGCTTTGTTCTTCCGAGGTCAGCATGAGCGACCGTGGGTCATGGTTTGGCATGCAGGCGCTAGCACTTGGGTTCGACACCTGATATCTCAGGCGTACCAGAAATGGCTCGGCATGAGGGTGGAAAAATAATGTCACCACAATTGGCGTGAGGACTCTTTGTGTACCTCGCTCAGATGATGACAGCACCTAGATGATTGAATATGGCGGACAAGGCGCATATATAGAATTGACGAATATGTAGTTAGACTATGAGCAAAGATGACAAGGCCACCAGATCAACTGCACTACGCATCATGCACAGCAATACCGCCACCTAGCCTCAAAATGTTACTCACAGCCTCGCCACATTCTGCCCCATTGCCCAAGCCAATAGCGGATCACCAAGAAACCGCTGCATATCCTCCCTCTCCATGGAGACGCGAAATTCCCAGGGCGCCATCCTCGTCGGTGCCGGCAGCACCCAGCACTGTCCGTTTGTCCGGAAATCAGGCACGTCAAATCCCACAATACGTCCAAGCACTTTCCCAAAGTCAATATCCGACAGATTCATCAACCGCATGTTGCTGTAGCCGAATTGGTTGTCACTGGGATAATCAGATCGCCAGTCGGGGCTGATTTGTTTCTCGCGGATAAGATCGCGGATGTATCTATCGTCTACCTTAGTGTAAGTCTTGTAAGCACGGAAGGTGAGGTCGGCGAGAAGAGCGAGGTCGTAGGTGCTTATTCCGGGGATTCGTCTGTACATTTCTGGGGAATTGTCCTGGGAGTCGGCGGCCACAGTCTTTACGGGTGAGTTGATGACGGGAGAGAGGGGGGCCGATGCGGCGACGGGGGCGAGGGCGTTTCCGATGTATTCCAGAGGCAGAAGGCCTCGTGACTTATGTCGGAGCTCGATCATCATCACCATTGAGGTCTCATGTGGTTGGGGTGAGTGCTGGGGTTGGTGGTAGTGAGATCGCATCCAACAGAGCCACATCAAGGCTGCGGCTACATCGTTATCTGAGAAGATCGGAGGCGCTTGACTCTTCTCCGGGGAGCCTGGGTCGACGTTTCGAGCCACAGATCCGAGCATATCTGCTGTGATAGCTATGCAAGCCTCTTTAAGACGACAGATTGCCTCAAAGGGAATCGTTATGAGCTCAACCGCAATTCTATCGCCAGTGATATCGACTGTCTTCTTTGGGCTGGAGAAAATTTCAACCCGTCTTCCAGTTCCTGGCATGCTCCCCACTTGTTTTCCCAGTTTGATAATCCGTTGGCGACAGTCGGTGTCAACGGATTGAAGTGAGACCTGCCCAGTAAGTTTCGGGCTCTGACAACAGGCCGCCAGAGCACGGAGGATAATGTACAATCCGATCGCATCGTGGAACAAATGGTGATGGCAGACGCCCAGCACGATCCCATCGTCAAAGACGTTCGCCTGCCAGCGAAGCCCGGGTGTGCGTTCCCTGTCGACTGCATCTAGCGGGACGGGTCGGTACTTGGCTTGTGACAAGTCGCGGCCTGTCACACGGCGCGAGCGGGCGCTCTTCGGGCGATAGAAATACTCTCCAGTATGCATGCATATCAGGAAAAGAGGATAGTCTTCGAGACTCGTAGCTGTCGGCGGTCGCACTTCGAATCTGTTGGCTTTTCCGTTTGATTGCGAGGCAGGACAGACATCTCCCGCAAGGATGGGGTTCTGTGCGATTAACAAGTCTAATCCATTCTCGAGGATCGAAACATCTGTGATTGGTGATCTGGTTGCAAAGTAGAAAAAACACGTCATATGAAGCCGTGGCAACAGGTGGTCTAACGGAGTCAGCGGGAAGGGGTTAAAGGCTGGAGGTACTATATCGCCGCATTCGAGCATATTGAAGATATTTCCAAGGCGTATGTCTGTCTATAAAACAGTTAATAAGGTCTTCTGCGGAGTAGTTGCAGATTCTGAACATCCATGGATTGCACCTTCCAACGACTTATAAGCATATAAGCGTTGAGGCGCCATGCTGTTATCACAGTTCAAAAACGCTCCTTGCTTTCCTGTCAGTCGGCTGATGAGGTGTCGGGTAGTTTTTTGAAGGTATTACTAAAGCATAGTGGTGTTGACAGTACACTGCATCGGTATGTGCAGTGGATAAATGCTCCTTTTGTCAAGGATCAGCTCGACCTTGTGACAAGTGACGACCATATTCTGACATCTCTGCTATGTGTGACTTGGAAAGTATCACGGCGGAGTATTCTATACCATGCGCAACCTACTAGCACTTAGGATCTCGCCTGGTTTTTATATCTTTTTAAAGATGGAGCACGAGTATATATTCATCAAGAAAAACTTGGAACGACAGGACGGAGTTGAATTTGATTTGATTTCTGACCAGCAAGGTTAACTGAAATTGGAATCGCGCGCTCAACAATTCTAGCTGAGTACAAGAGGAATCTTCATTATCCTGCCTGTAATAAGGGTCTTTATCTCCGAACCAGTTTTCTGGACCTGCACAATGATAGAAGGCTGAATTGTTGATGCCAAGCAGCTGAGGCAGTGATGTTTGTTGTCTTTGTTGCGGCTAGAAGGCGGTCGGAGTCCTGCCGCTCGGTTACGGCCACGACAGCTTTGGAAAATCCTGCACCAGAAACGGGATGAATAGACCAGACTCCCTCAATAAGGAACTGTTCAATTCTCCAGGCTGAAGCAATGCAGGGACTCGTGATGGGTTTTCGTCTGTATTTTCGCCTAGGTTCCTACTTGGATGCTATAGGAAATGATTCTGTTCGTGCTATGTGATGCTATGATGTCTTTTAGCTGAATTAATATCATTTTCTTGCAGTCACCAAGTAGTGCACTAACAGGGTACCAATTGACCATTATGCAATTTGTTGACAGCTAGATCTGCTTCTACCCAAGGTCCTTACAAACAGCCTTGGTAGATAGGACCACTTGACAGGGAATCGCCGGTGTCGTTGGTCTCTCTGTTCGGCTGGTCAATGAGTGAGTACCTGATCAGCTTACCAGGGCATGCATGCATTTTGATATCCAGATACTAATACTTTCCTCAGCCCCAGCACAGTGCTCGAGTAATACCTCATGAACTATCCCTTGCTGGATACAGCCTATACACCGACTGAGCATGTTGCTTGCTCCTCATTACAGCTTGTATCGCAGTGTTCAGCTTCAAGAGATGACCCCGTCCCCAGCCACAGACCTTCCAATAAGTGACAATACCATCACAGGTTTGCAGCGGCGCAGCCTGCGCCGCAGGCAGCCACCGCAGGCAGCCGGCTCCCTCAGGCCTCAACTTCAGGCCACCACTTTGGCGGCCTAAGGCAATAACGTCGGGTCCGTTATCATCAAGCATTTGCTATCTGGCACTTCCAACTAGATACCTACGATGGCCGAACGGCCTAGGCCCATGTCCTCTCACGTTGCTCGCAGTAGCTTGGGACACTCGTGGACCTCGCTCGTTCGAATCTCGCTCAGACCGCTATCTGTTCGAGATTCTGATGCCGGCAGTGCAGCCTTCCTAGTAGTACGGCCTTGCTGATTCAATTCAGTGGGTTAGACGCGGTCCGCCAGCCCGTTGTCGCAGATGTACGGAGGCGGTTTGACACAGACATAATGGGATCTCCCTAAACTGGTTCTGGCACCTTTTTTTCTGATTTTGGCTATTACTCCTCTAGGCGGGCATAAAGCTATACAGAAGAGGTTCCAGCGCGTTTCTGAGGATGGTTGAGGAGTTGCATTCTTGTTGACTTACGATCGTCAGCATCTCGATGCGTGAAGTGCGGTTTCGATTGCCGGGGTCAACTTGAAGCTATTCTGGAACGCTTGTTTTTCTATATCAGGTGAGATACTGGATGATGAAGCTGTGGGTGTTCGAGGCAGCGTGGCCATCTCTGTCCGACTATGCCTGAAGCCATTCATCGCGTCCTGATCAAGGCCAATCCATCGCTTTACCGTAGTCTCCATGTTGAGAAGCGCAACTTTCCATTCTCCACCTACCACCACATTCACCCATCCAGATTCCTCCCACTCCACCACTTCCTCTTTCAGCTCGCTCTGAAGCTATTCCAGATCATTCGCAATTCTCTAGCACCCACGCTTTGAAGCCTTCCAAAGGCCAAGATACCCATCGTTCCCCTCTTTTGAATCACCACCGAATTCAGAGCACACCGCACCAAACCATTATTCTACATTAATCTCGAGGGAATTACAACCGACCATAAATGATCTAAATGTTCGTCACTCAGTAGTTTGCTTCATTTGTTTTACGTGCACTCTTCGACCTAGGATTGGGTACACATCTTCGCCCCATCTGTTGGCAGTCACGTGTCAGTGTAAGCGTTGCTCTCCTGCTTCCGTGTCTCCCATAGCCGACCGACAAGGTAAGCAAGAGCTTCTTTCAGTACATCTCCCACACCAACCCCGTTGCTGGTCGTCATCGAAATGTTATGAACTCCTGACGTTTTCGCAACAATGCTTATCTTATCGCTCCTTTATACGCCCCGCATACCGCGTCATTCTGCCCGCAGTTACGATAAGATAACCGCCGACCCCGCATTCCCCTGGCGCAGCGGCGCTGTACCACAGATCGCCCGAAGCTTCATATCTTATCGAATGGGGAACCAGACAGTTGCTGTGATGTCGATATGACCGAGCCAAGCTTCCAGGCTTCTGTATGCGTCGATGCGACCGTGCGCTTAGGCAGTGTTCATGATTCCGTGGCCGGCTTGCTGACCTCAGGATGCGTGGTTCACAATACTGAGGCATTCGACTGGCTCGACTGTGCCCTTCCAAGTTTGACCAATTTCTTGCTAAAATGTTCTTGGTATTCCACTCCCGTGCTATCATGCTGTTAGATGTTTGCGCATTGCAAAATTATGGCTGTGCAGCCTCAGCCTCTTCGACGCGCAGGTGATTAGCGGCTAAGTCAGCGCTTGCAGGGGATGTTTCAGTGTCGCGCTCTGACTTGCATCTCCTCAAAAGTCTAGCCTTCTCTCATCGATGTCGCCCCCTATCTGACCCTTCTCCTTGTCACACACCTATACTGAGGTGTCCAGTTCAATATGGCCGACCCCTTCTCTACCGCGGTCAACGCGTTCGGTGTTATCTCGCTTGGCATCACGGTTTGCCAGAGTCTCATATCATACTACGGCCCCTACAAAGCTTTCGATGAGGAGATCTCTGACTTTATTACAAGGGTAGAGAGCTTGTCTGGTACTTTGGAGACACTCGACCATCAGTTCAAAGACGGAAAGAATCCGGGTCTGGAAGAGACAACCAAGAATGTCAGCCTCGTGAACGACAGTATCTTGCGCTGTGGTCAGGGTCTACACAAACTGAAGATCATGTTAGCAAAGTGTAGGCGTGTTACTGAGCCAGCAGAGGAGTCAATTGCAGATAAGCTCCACCTGAAGAGAATGCTTTACCCCCTTCGACGAGACACAATCAAAGATATGGTTTGCACGGTCGCAGGATTGCAGGACAACCTGACGATGGCGTTACAGTCGCAAACAATGCAAGTCTTCTCTGATACAAGTATCATTAGTATTGAGCTAATTCCGTCGTTCCCTGCTAGAGCGATGATGAGCGTACAGATTGCGCAACTAAAGGTGCTCGAACGAACGTCCAAAGCTACCGCTGTTGAGACGCGCAGTCTGCTAGATAGCAACGATCGCCTCCAATGTGGGCAGCACTCGATTGAGAGCTGGATTACATCAATCGACAGAAGGCTACAGTCCATGGTACAAGATGACTCCACTCATACTATAAGCGAGCTGGGCTAACATGCTCAGGAATCGACCTTGGTCAAATTCAGGACAAGGCCGGTTCTGGAACCTGCGCTTTTGAGCTCACTGCTCGATACGGACAAGAAAGTTGGGGAGAGGCTGCAACAGGTTTCGCAAATGACACCAAATCGGAGGCGATTACAGCGTCGAGGTTGTACCTGCAGAAGCCCGGGTCAGAGCTCGTGGCCTATAAGGTCATTGGACGTTACAATTCGCTCAGCAATTTGTTCTCTTCATGGAACAGGCACCAAGGTTTTCCAGCTAGAGATCCGTCGAGCATTTTGCAATACTTTCTTGAACTTTGCTGTTCAAGTCAGTCTCCAAGTTGTTCATGGTGCTGGGGGCGCTTCCATCAATCCATGCATCCGCTACCGCGCAGTGGTGCCAAACAACTCTCCAGCCTTCAAGGCTCTGTCAGAAGCTGAGCACGAGCTACGCCAAAGACCTACTGCAAATGTACTAGATGATACCGCCAAGATCTTATTCCAGCTTTTTAGAGATCTCAAAGCATCACCCTCGGACACCCTAATGAACGGTGATAGTATTTCACATGTGCGTGCTACTATTATTTGAACCGGGCTTTACCTTCGACCACTGATAACTTCTAGGTCTTGCTTAGATGGGTAAGGCACATAGTCTACCTGCAAGGTGGCTCAATTTGGCAGAGCTATCGTGCAATAATCGACAGACTCGTCGAAGCTGGTGCCCCGCTCGCTACCCTTAACGATGACGGGCGCACACCTTTGGATGCGTTGACTGCGTGGACAATCTACTCCAGCCCTCCCAATGGACATCAAATCATATCCATCTCACGCAAATTGATGGAGCAAGGAGGAAGTATAACGGCTTCTGGGCTCTGTCTGGATATGAGGCTCGGGCATGATGATACCTACCTGGCGATTGAGTTCGCGAGACGTCTCGCTGAAGCTGCTGGCACTGAGAGTAAGTTGTGGACTGCTCGAATACAAATAGAGACTTGCTCAAACATCACCAGGTTTTGAATTTGATGAGTCTTTCCTAGCAGTAATAACACAATCGAAAGAGACACTTGCTGTTGCTGCAGAATCTTATCCTGATTTGGATCTACTACTGCAGAAATGTATGAGATGGCCCGCCGGAGTCTCTATCCTCTTAAAAGCTGGGTACGAACCAAACCGTGACTCGCTTGGATATGCATGTTTTTCGGGCTGTCCTGAATCTGTCAGACTACTCCTGAAGAGAAGGAAATTCTGTCTGGGAAGATATGAGCTACAACAAGCAGCAGAATGCGGCAATCTTGAAATACAACGAGAAATAGTTTCAAACTTCAGTGAGCAAAGGCGGCAGCTTCGGGGTATGGCACAGGTGCATCTACCCAGCAAGACATTACACAGGTTAGGTGTCAGGTCAGGTTGTCTGCCTGGCTACAATGCTGCCTCTGTGTGCTCGGAGCTGAACGCAGTGTCCATTGAGATACCACCCCTGCTTGCAGAGCCTAGCGAATGGCTCATTTACGCAGCCATTGAGGGAAGCTGTGATATGGCCCAGTTGCTATGGGACGAGGGTTTTCGCGAAGTCAATGAGACAGATCGGGAGGTGCACGACGCCATCATGATAACTAATCCATATCCTTCGCCGGACTTGCAGACTCCAATAACTTTCGCCAACTGGCTCATAGCACATGGAGCAGACATCTCCCGCTGTTGCTCTCTGGGCCGGTCTGGACTTCATCACCTAGCCAAGTACTTCGGTAACGAGTTGGCGGTAACGATAGGCATCAGCAGTCTGGCATCACCTTTCTCTTATAGACCTCATTCTACTTCTGGTCCTGATCTCACTTCTCTGGCGACCGTTCTCGGTGGACTAGATTCGCACGGTGCTAAGATTCTCCATACTATGCTCTTTAGCCACGAAACCGACGAGTGTTATTGCCCGTGCTCAGCCTTCAACGGATGCACTCCAGTCACCGAGCTATTGCGCGGCCTAATTGCTGATTTCGAGCTACTGAAGATCGGGGGCCTACAAGTAATTGTATCGGCAATCGAGCTCCTTGTGAAGGCGGCTGCACCCGCAACCGAAGACTCCCTCCTCAACCACGTAGCCCTGCCGACCATTCGACTATGCACATTCTCCACGCTGGAGATCTCTCATACTTGCATTGGAAACTGTGAGCAGGAAGTCATGTGCGAAGCGGAGGTAACCGAGATCCACGACGAAGAGAAAGAGCGTATCGATTTGCTGGAGCAACTGCAGGTAGAATTTGAGGCCGAGTATCGTCAGCGGGGTCAACGACTGCCCCAGTTCATGATGGGTTACTGGTTCGCGCGAATGACGGCGGTACTTGAGGCTCAGGACGCTCCTGACGAGGGGTATATCGAGCGGGTCCAGGAGCTGGGGGTTGTTTTGGTGCAGTGATTATTGGAATTTATTGTGCTTCGCGGTTAGAATTTCTAACATATTGGACCTTATTCGATTTATGACCAGGGTATGGCCGGGGATCTGACTGAAGATGTCATATCAGCACCTGGATTTCGGGCAACAGGGCCTCAGGAGCATGCTCGTCGCCAGTGGGCTACAGTCGCGGGTCGTTACCGCTTCCGCACGTATGTCATGTCCGAGTCAGCGGGGCGGGGCTGAGTGTGTACTTGAAGTATGGGTTTTCGGTCGTGGAGATGGTAGGACGGATTATTCCGCTTTTCGGTAAGGGAGCGGGAGGAGTGTTAGTCTCGGGATTTACGGGTTGTGGTTTTGAAGTTCTGGACTTATTGGTGGGTTGGATTATATTGTCTTTGGGGGTTATTTTAGATTGATTGAGGGAATTGAAGTGCTAGATATAGAGATGATGGAGGTAGTGGGAAGGGAAGCCCGTTCTACAGTTATAAGTAGTCCAGTTCTATAATGAGAATATCTGATGCATTGAACAGTGGTGTACAATACTTTTTTACATGAGGATCGCTGATCCTTGCAGACATTAAGGAGCGTACGTCCATAGTCTGGGTTAGAGATGCTATTGTCTATTAAAAATCTGTCTCCAACCAGGAGCACGCCAAGTTGATGAAGTGAGCAACGGAGATAGCTGTCAGCAAAGTCGAATGACAGCCACTGTGGCGGTGGTGGCTGGCGCCCGGCAAAGGATCGGGGTTCGATCGGCGGCACCAACAATGCCGACAGTGCCGAAGTCGATCTGGTGGCGGTCCCGAAAATTTGTGCAGAACTCCTGTCACAGCATGATATTTCCGAGTCATCAGGGGCACACGGCCAACGTGACGTCACAGCCAAATCCCCCAATCGAGGAGAGCTTTCTAGAAGCTTAGCAGGAATGTCCCCGATGGGGCTACCGTTACGGTGAATCCTTGCCCGCGCGACCGTCAGCATCTTATTTTCTCCTTAACTCCGGCGGTGGGGCGTCAGCAAGTCGCAGGCTTGGAACCGCCTTTCCCTGGTTGATGACAGCACGATTTCTGGTAGTGTTCCAGAGACCGCGTGTGCCGTGTCCAATGATGGTCCTGTTCTGGGATTGCCGCGCCCCAGCAGAAATCGCTCGGTTTCCTGACTGACGATGACCCGCGAGGCGAATAGGCACTTGCTGACTCCGGCGGTTGGAGATGGCTTACGGCTTACAGACGGGTTACAGAACCTGAATCATGGTGTGCCTCGGCCCAGTCGGGGTCCTGGTGCCACCAGGTTGTTGCTCCCGCCCTTATCCACTCTGTGTGAAGTCTGGGAGGGAGGTTGCTGAATGTCTTCCACAACAGATCTTCGCAGCCCCACAACATGGGCGAAACCACGTACTCAGTAGAGAGACACAGAACCACTTTTCCGCTGGAATTTCTAAGCAGTTTCCCTGGGTTACCCCGACCTGAATTGGAAAATGCAAATATAAATGCTGCGAGGACCCGCGGGGAATCGTACATCTAGACAAATAATCATCATCTCACACAAACACATCATTCACAATGGCTTCCACCGATTACAAGTTCGAGGGCTGGATGGGTCTCGACCCCAAGGCCGCCGAGGGCAACATGGTCTGGCAGGAGTTCGAGCCCAAGCCCTGGGAGGAGACCGATGTTGACATCAAGATCACCCACTGCGGTATCTGCGGTTCTGACATGCACACCTTGAGAAGCGGTTGGGTATGTTCACCAGTCTCGATTAGATGGTGTCCGGTTGCTAACTTGGTTTAGGGTCCCTCTAATTACCCCTGCTGTGTCGGTCACGAGATCGTCGGTGTTGCCGTCCGCGTCGGCTCCAAGGCCGAGGGCGGTATCAAGGTCGGAGACCGTGTCGGTGTTGGTGCTCAGAGCGAGTCCTGCATGGGCCGCAACGGCGATTGTGAGGCTTGTGCCTCTGGCCTCGAGCAGTACTGCCCCAAGTCCATGGTTGGCACATACAACGGCGTGTACGCCAACGGCGGCAAGTCGTACGGTGGTTATGCTCGCTACCACCGCGCTCCCTCCCGCTTCGTCGTCAAGATCCCCGATGCCATCCCCTCCGCTCACGCTGCCCCCATGCTTTGCGGTGGTATTACCACCTACTCTCCCCTGAAGCACTTCGGCTGCGGTCCCGGCAAGCGCGTCGGTATCATCGGTGTTGGCGGTCTCGGTCACTTCGGTATCATGTTCGCCAAGGCCCTCGGTGCCGACAAGGTCATCGCCATCTCCCGCAAGGGCAACAAGAGAGAGGATGCTCTCAAGCTCGGAGCCGATGCTTACATCGCCACCGACGAGGATGCTGAATGGGCCCAGAAGAACGCTCGTTCTCTCGACCTGATTATCTCCACCGTTTCCTCCTCCAAGGTATGTCTTTTTCGATGGCTCGCACTGGTGAATCACTCGCTGACCTGCGTAGATGCCCATCACCGATTACGTCCAGCTCCTTGACCGTGACGGCGCTTTCGTTCAGCTCGGTGTTCCCGAGGACGGAGCTCTCTCCATCCCCGCCCCTGCCCTGATCTTCAAGCGCGTCAAGTTCAGCGGTTCCCTCGTTGGTTCCCCCAGCGAGATCCGAGAGATGCTGCAGCTGGCTGCGGAGAAGAACGTCCGCACCTGGATCGAGGAGCGTCCCATGAAGGACGCCAACGCCGCCATCATCGACATGGATGCCGGCAAGGCCCGATACCGTTACGTGCTCTGCAACGAGCAGTAAACTGACGAACCATGTTGTATATAGACAGACCACCATAGACTTAATGACTCGATGTGAATAGACAACCATACCATTCATGCAGTGGTTTCCTCGAAAGCGCGTACCGTATACTCCACTCCAGCGATCGTGACTGTCTGGCCCGTAGTCCAAGCTTGTGGTTCTGGCATATCCTTCATGGAGGGCAGCTTGTCCACTTCCGTGGATAGGTTGTATCTGGTGCACCATCCTCGACTGGAATCCCATTCCTCCCGAAGGGCGCTGACTTCCCCTCCGTCCTTAACAACCGTAGCATTCGACCCCGGAGACCGAACCTGTCTCTGCACCTGCCGCAAAGCGAGGTAAGTTCCCCAGACCCGACCGAGAAAGGTGCGAGTCACCTCGCCCTTCTCCCCGTCCTTGAAATCAAGTATATCCTTAGACTCCAAAACCCACGAAACACCCTTACCCGCCCCCTCAGGCCCCGCTCGGAACTCCAGCTCCCGCCATACCTCCTCATACTCGCAGACAGGTCTTCCGGGTAGATCCGCCCGCGGCATCGACCCTTTCTCAAGATCGTCCCCGTTCGGCAGTGTGGAGAAAGTCCCGCAATCGACGTCATCGAAGGAATTGCGCGAGTCGACTTCGTGTGTGAATTGGACGCGGGCTGTCGAGGGGTTAGTTTGCTGCGGTGCAGTGCGGAAAACTGGGGAGGAGAGTTGCATACTGGAGTCTTTCGGATCCACGACGCGTTGGCCGGCGATGGCCCAGTCGATTGTGATTGTGGCGCGGTCGATGCGGAGGTCGACGTACCAGCCCGCTACGGACATGACGATTGTGTCGGTGTTTTCGAAGGCTGGGGCCGGGGGCCAGCGGAGGGAGATGCGCGTGGAGAGGCGGCTTTGGGACGGCGGAGGAGGTGTGGTGGGTGACATTTTTAGCAACCGAAGCGAGCGAGGGTGAGATGGATGCTGTTTATGGCCTGTGATTGTTGAGGAGGATGAGAAGGCGGAGGAGGAGTTGCTGCAGAGAAGAGGACCTTGCTGGCAGTTGCAGGTGACTTTCAACCTGTTATCCCCGCTTGCTGCAGCTGGCCGATAAGCGGTGCCGGTTAGTCCGCTTTGGGCTTAGCGGCTTGTGTACAGTGCTTGCTGTTATCTCGCACAAGCCAGCGACATCACTATCCAACTCTTCGGTTACATTGAATTTGTGAAGAACATACATGCTAAATGTTGATTGATTGATCCTGACTGCTACCTGTACAATCCGTACCACTGCGCCGGACATGTGCAACTGCCAAACAAAACGGTGACTGGTCGGCTTGATATTATGATGATCAGAACCCACCAGTTAACCGCATGAGATAATGACTCCAGCCATGTGAACATACAGAGCGAAGGGACTTACTTGATGTTCCATTGAGGATATCCTTTGACACGGTTCAGTTCGATCTCTTGCCGGAAGATGGCTAAAATCTGCTACGAGTGTCTCATAGATCAAACAGCAAAACGGTCCGAGGTACATGATTTTCTCCCGCAACATTTTCAGCTCCCACTGAACTAGATTTTTGCTACAGTCCTAGAAAAACTCACCGTGTGCATTATCAACCTATAAGCCCTGCAGTATTCCACGAATCGTAGTCAGCTTCCAGATGTACAATGAAGACGAAGGTGATACCGAGTCAGACAAGCCACATGCGGCTGCAACGGCTTTTATTCAAATGCGGATGTACTCAGTCGAGTGTATGTCTTTATGAGTTACCGAAACACATGCAGAAGTAGCACTGATTCTACTAAGGTCTCCAGGTATACATGCGTTTCCCACAAGCCCGGCGTTTACTGAGCGTTCGATCTGTCCTCTTTACACGTTGCGACAGTCAGCCCCTGAGATCACACTTGCAAGTACTGTAATCATCAGTCCCCTCCCCCTTGTTGTTGACGGCGAGAAGTTATTCAAAAACAAACACCGGCGGCAAGGTTGCGTCACAACGAAGCGGCAGAGACAAACGTACCGAGTCCAGGCCATGGACTCGAACAACAAGCTCGAAGAACAGTCCGGATCAGACGTCGTCGACAGAAATAGCAAACACGAACCGGTGGTTCCAATGGCCTCTCCATATTGCTGCGAGCCGGTAGCTATTGTGGGGATGGCCATGCGGCTCCCGGGAGGAGTAAGGACTGCTGATGATTTCTGGAATATGCTTATCAACAAACGGACCGGACATTGTGAGATTCCCAGCAGCCGGTTCTCTATTGATGCATTCTGCAGTGAGAAACGGCCGCATGCTGTTAGGACCAAATATGGAAACTTTCTCCATGAGGATCCTGCTGACTTCGATACCTTTTTCTTTTCAATTCCACCGTATGAAGCTGCACGCATGGATCCGCAGCAGCGCAAACTACTGGAAGTTGTGTGGGAATGCCTGGAAAATGCCGGAGAGACACATTGGAGGGGTAAAGATATTGGCTGCTACGTTGGCGTCTTCGGTAGCGATTGGCTCTGTTTAGTAGACAAAGATCATCAGGCAACGGACCGATACTATGTTCTCGGAACGGGAAACTTCACACTGTCAAATCGAGTGTCCTACGAGTACGATTTTCGTGGACCAAGGTATGTGTTCATTTCTTCAATGGTCAAGGGTATTTTTCCGGGGTTACCTTTCGCGGGTAGTGTCTATATCCTTCCGCCATACATCTCTTTCATTTTGCTAGGCTACTGGAACTGATCGGGACCAAACTCAGTATGACAATCGAAACAGGCTGTTCAGGATCAATGGTGGCCCTGCATGAGGCATGCCAAGCGCTATCTTCCGGCCAGTGCTCATCAGCAATTGTCGCTGGAACAAATCTGATCCTATCACCGACCATGATGACATCAATGTCGGAGAACATGGTCATTTCCCCGAGTGGAATGTGCCGCACTTTCGACGAAGAGGCTGATGGTTATGGAAGGGGGGAAGCTATCAATGCCCTCTATATAAAGCCCCTGAGCCATGCTATTAGAGACAACGATCCCATTCGAGCTGTGATCCGAGCGACTGCGACGAATAGCGATGGCAAGACCCCAATCATCACTGCCCCAGGGATGAACTCTCAGAAAAGCCTTATAGAAGCAACATACAGAAGAGCAGGTATTGAAAATCTTTCACAAACTGCATACTTCGAATGTCATGGTACGGGGACACAGGCGGGTGATGAAGCTGAGGTCTCGGTCGTTGCTGAGCTCTTCAGAGCAAAGGGGATTACAATTGGTTCAGTAAGTGATTTTCACTGGGTCAGGGAATAGCACCGTCAAGCTGACAAATGACAGGTCAAAACCAATGTAGGTCACTCGGAGGGTGCGTCCGGCGTCACGAGCATTATCAAAAGTGTGCTTTGCCTGGAGCAAAAAGTTATTCCCCCGACTATATACCAAACCCTGCACCCCGACATACCGTTTGCCAAAAGTAATCTTAGTGTGCCATCAGAACCGACCAGCTGGCCTCAGGATCACCTTGAGAGAATAAGTGTCAACAGCTTCGGCATTGGGGGGACGAATGTCCACGCAATCCTGGAGTCATACTCGCCTAATACTGAAGTCGATGTAGAAGCTGATGTAGCTTCGGTCGCGCACTGCCCGAATAGAGCCGAGCTTCTAATCGTGTCTGCCAGCACAGAAAAAAGCTTAGAGGAGCGTACCTCAGCTATTGTCGAGTTTGCAAATAAATATCCCGAGGCACTTTCAGACCTTGCTTATACCCTACGAATACGACGTGAACACATGGCAAATCGAGCTTTTGGTGTAGTACGCCCAGATAGCCCAATCGATGTATCTGCGTTCAAGAGCTATAAAGCGCAGGATCACCCCGTGATTCTTGCGTTCTCTGGACAAGGCGTTCAGTGGCCCGGGATGGGCAAGGCTTTAATGAAGATGTTTGTGGAGTTTCGGGCCGCCATCGAGGAGATGGAAAGGATCCTTCAAAGCCTGCCGGATGGTCCCAATTGGTCTCTGGCAGAAGAGATCACGAAGGAGACCGACTCTCACATCCACGAAGCACACATGACACAGCCTCTGTGCATCGCCTTCCAGATTGCTTTATTTCATGTGCTAGCGAGCCTTGACCTGAAGGTCCAATGTTTGGTAGGGCATTCCAGCGGAGAGATAGCTGCAGCATATGCGGCGGGAGCCATTACATTGAGATGTGCCATTATATTGGCATACTATCGCGGTGTAGCCATTGGGCCTGAGCAGGGATGTGGATCAATGTTTGCCGTCAGTCTCGGCTCGCAAGAAATCAGCCCCTACCTGCGGGAAGGTGTTGCCGTCGCTTGCATTAATGGTCCACAGAGTGTGACACTCTCTGGATACATCGAACAACTAGAGAAAACCGTTCGGGAAATCAAGCTACAAAGACCTGAAGCCATTTGTAAACCGCTCAAAGTCAATGTGGCATATCATACACGTGGGTACTAGACTGCTGGAGTTTATGATCGGATCCTAACTCAGATACAGGTCAATTGGCACACTGTGGCCGAGTATACGAGTCCCTCATAGCACCGCACATTGAGCACCCCACGAGTCATATGCCGCCTCTCGCATCAGTAGTGACTTGCTCCATCATTGAAGATCCTTCTGAGCTCGGCGCCTCATACTGGCGTCGGCACCTTGAATGCCCGGTGTTATTCCAAGGGGCTGTAGAGCTAATCATGAAGGCTGAGACCAGGCCACACGTGGTCTTTGAGCTTGGCCCCCACCCTGCGCTGTCAGCTCCATTGAAGCAAATATGGAGGAATCAGGCGGCTGGCGTGAATCATGTGTATATCCCAACCATTACAAGAGGTGACAATGACCCCGAGGCCCAAATCCTCAAGGCCATTGGCCTTCTTCATAGCAATGGCGTTTCCGTCAACCTCAAACCTGGAGAATTTCATAGAGAAGGTAAGGTCCTGACAACCGTGCCACTATATCCCTGGCAGAGGGACAAACCTCTATGGAGCGAGAGTCGAGCGGTACGCGAGTGGAGACAAAGCTCAATGCCACATCACGAGCTCTTGGGTTGTCGCGTTACAGAAACATCTGAGCTCGAGCCGACATGGAGAAACTTGCTATCTATCTACAGTGTCGCATGGATTTGTGATCATGTTCTGGAAGGGAGTGTGGTATTTCCCGCCGCAGGTTATATTGCCATGGCAGGAGAAGCCATACGGCAGTTATTTCCCACCACAAAAGGATTCACTATCAGAAATCTCATGCTCAAGTCCGCCTGGATACTGGAACACAAGAAAACTTTCGAAGTTATCACAAGTCTGAAGCCTATCAAGTATACCGATGTGGAAGACTCAGAGTGGTATTCAATGTCCGTTATTGTTCACGATGGTACATCCTGGACCAAGCATTGTCAAGGGCAAGTGAGGTCAGAAGATCACGAACGTCAACACATCGAGCAATCAAACGCCTATATTCGCTCTGTCGACTCTAAAACATGGTACGAAGCTTTAAGCAAGAAAGGAATCACCTATGGCGCCTGTTTCCGTGGTCTAAAAACAATATCCGCAGACCCCGTAGCACCTACAGCGACCGCGTCGATCTGCGACGATGCACCTAAGCATGATAGCAGGTATTTCGTACATCCTACCGCGATAGACCAATGTCTGCAATTGTTGAGCGTCGCTCAGTCACATGGCCTGAAGCGTTGCTTAACGGGGCTGGGAATTCCGGCTTCTATAGCGGAGATATACATTGCCCAAGGAGAAAAGGAGATGACCGTCAAAGCCGCGCTCACAGGCGGTACTCCTCAAAAACGACTCGGGGAAGCAACTCTTTCAACAGATGGCCGCCTAATTGTGTCGCTGCGAAATGTCTTCTTTTTCTCCTTAGGGGATGATGCTCTCTATAGCGGCTCCGTTGTTCCATTGGTTGCGCAAATGAAGTTGACTAAAGATATAGACTTCATGCCCTGTGATGAACTTCTCGCGGGAAGGGCACAGATCTACTCTGAACCCAGAGTAACCGGAGCGCTCCATGGAATAGCCAAACTATCCATTCTTTATGTTCTCAATGCTGCAGAAATTATGACTCCTATAGAGCCCTGTTCTGAACATATGAGGAAATGGAAAGAACATATCATGAGTTTGGCTCGAAGTGTCGATGAAAATGTCTTTACAGAATCGAGAAACTGGGCGTCCATGAGGCTCGACGACAGAAAAGACCTCATCCAGAAATTCCGTGAAAGTGTCAGGGACCCATTGCCAGAAGGGTGGACTGTTATGCCTCGACTGCTCCAGAAAGTCTATGACCACTGTAGGCAGTTCTTGCTCGGTACAGCCTCTCCTCTTGAGGTCCTCCTTGAGGAAAATATGCTTGAAAGTCTCTATACTACTCACTCGCCGCAACAATCAGGAGTCTTTCTGTACTCGCTGGGTAGTACGAAACCAGGGATTCGCATCCTTGAAGTCGGTGCAGGAACTGGATGTGCCACATTCGAAGCATTAAAATGCCTTCAAACGTCGGATGGTGTTAGACTCTACTCGTCATACACATTTACAGATATAACACCTGGGTTCTTTGCCCCTGCCGCGGAGAAATTCAAGGGGTACCGTGGTCTGGAATTCAAAACCCTCGATATAACCAAGCCACCGTCCGAGCAAGGGTTTGAGCTACATAGCTATGACCTGATCATTGCATCTAATGTTTGTTATATCTCATTACTTTGCATTTAAGTTTCGAATCTGGCACTCACGATTTGACGATTGCACAGGCTCTACATATCACCCCAAATTTGAAAACCTCTTTGCAAAGTGTTCACGACCTGCTACGGCCAAACGGGCGTTTGTTGCTACATGAGCTCCACCCTAGTATGACAATTTCATCTCCCTGGGATATTACATGATGACTGACTTTCAGTAGCAGCACTCTGGATTGTGGATTTCTTGATGGTATGCACAAGGCATTTTCCGCTTTTTTACGTGAATTCGTATTCTGTTTGGCTGATATCCCTATCATCTAGGGTGTCTTTCCAGGCTGGTGGCTTGGTGAAGAGATTGAGAGACAGTGCCGACCGTATGTTTCGCCGGAGATATGGGATAAAGAGCTCAGGCAAGCCGGATTTATCGGAAACGAAGCTATGGTATATGACAATGAACGCCCGCTTCAGACGAATTTCACGATGCTATCGAGACCTGTGGAATGCAGGCCAACACAACGGAGCCCTGTGCATTTGCTACATAGTGAGACTCAGAGCAGCTGGACACGGGGCTTGGAAAGTTTTTTTGCGCAGCGAGGTTACTCTGTGACATCCGGAGTTCTGGGCGAAGAACACCCTCGCGAAGCTTTCGTTATTTCTCTTCTTGACTTTGACACACCTTTCCTTTACAGCAGCACAAATGAGTCTTTCGAGGCACTTCGACGGCTCATACAAGGCGTTGTTGGAGGCACATTGCTATGGATTACACATCCATCCCAGTTGACCTGCACGGATCCTCGGTTTGGGCTAATCCACGGCTTCTCGCGGACCATAAAACAGGAAATGAATATACAATTCACAATCTTGGAGATAGACCATTTCGACTCTGCAGCATACACCTGCATTCAGCGCTTGATCGAGAAAATCAGCCAGGCACGGCAGCTTGCTTGCGTGAGAATCGACCAGGAGTATATCCTTCATCAGGGTGATGTTTACGTGGGCCGTTGTCACTGGCCTGTGAACGATACGGCAGCCCCGATGGCAGAGCAAGGCGAAACAACGTGCAAGATACTCGATATTTCCTCATACGGCTTATTGGACTCACTGAATTGGTGCGATACGACGCTTCCCTCGCTGAGGGATGACGAGCTAGAGGTGGATGTCAGTTACGTGGGACTGAACTTCAGGGTAAGAGGCCACAATGTTGGTTTTCCAGTGCTCATACTCATTCTACCGCAGGACCTAATGGTTGCTATGGGCTTATTCGGTGATCGAAGTCAACTAGGATTTGAAGCGAATGGTGTTGTCCGTCAAGTTGGACCTAAAGTGGTAGGAATTCAGGCTGGAGATAGAATAGGTTTCACCAAAACAGGCGTCTTTGCAACAAAAGTTGTGGTACAGCAGCGTTACTGTGTCAAGATCCCAGATGGCTTATCGTTAGACGAGGCAGCCGCTTTGTTGTCGGTCTATGCCACTGTTTTCTACTGCTTCCTTCGTCTTGGGACGCTCCACGCAGGCCAGGTAAGTGAACAACTACGCACAATGCAGACGTCAATAACAAGTACCCTGTTTAGAGTGTCTTAATTCATTCAGCATGTGGTGGTGTTGGCCAAGCTGCGATTCATGTTTGCAGAGCTTTGGGGGCAAAGGTGGGAGCACACTCGAGCCAAGAGCCGTCGCTACTAACACTGCAGCTAGATATACGCCACAGTTGGAAACGAGGAGAAGGTCCAGTACCTGGTTGATCATTTCGGACTTGAGAAAACGCATATTTTTCATTCACGAGACGAATCATTTGTGGCCGACCTAATGCGCGAGACGAGCGGACGTGGCGTTGATGTTGTTCTCAACTCCTTGGCAGGAAAACTTCTTCATGCGTCTTGGAGATGTGTCGCCCCCTTCGGAAAGATGATTGAACTCGGAAAGCGAGACTTTTTGATGAATGGGGTTCTCGATATGGCGCCATTCCTTGAGAACCGCTCATTTATTGCGGTCGACCTGCTTCAGGTGCTCAAAGAAGATCCCGACACTTGGGAATGGTGAGCAGCGTCTGAGCACTTGCTTGGCCAAATTTTTAGGCGCTAACAAAGCGATAGGCTTAGAGGCGAATTTGAAGGGTGGTTCAAGGAAGGCATTATTGGATCCATCCACCCTGTCAAGATCTTCAACGCTGCAGATGTTACGAGCGCATTTAGGTACTTGCAGAAGGGCACCCATATAGGGAAGATTGTGGTCAGGATGCCTAGTTCTTCTGAGAAACTACCGTCGACACGATCATTCGCCGGCTGCAGATTCTCGGCAAGGTCGTCATATCTGTTAGTTGGAGGATTAGGTGGACTTGGACGATCTGTGTCTAGTTGGATGGTTGAGCAAGGTGCTCGCGAAATTGTCTATCTTTCGCGTTCAGCGGGTCAGTCAGAAAATGATCAAAGATTCAAGGAAGAACTTAAAGTTCAGGGTTGCGAGGCTACGTTTGTTGCTGGAAGTGTGGCGGTGCTTGAAGACGTACAAAAGGCGGTTGCAACATGCACGAAGCCTTTGGCGGGTGTCATGCTTCTGTCTATGGTTTTGCGGGTAAGTGGGCCCGGGTCCCCCCTGATGTCCTGGGAAGTGCGACTCCTATTCATGCTTATCATAATTTCCTAGGACCAAATGTACGTCAACATGAGCTATGAGGAGTGGACCACATGTTTAGAGCCCAAGGTGCAAGGGGCCTGGAACCTCCATCATGCTGTGCAGAACCAAAACCTCGACTTCTTCGTCGTTTTCAGTTCGATTTCGGGGACCAATGGCTTCGCCGGCCAGACGAACTATTCGGCCGCCAACTCTTTCCTGGCGTCCTTTACCAAGTATCGCCGCCAGCTCCGATTACCATCGTCTGTCCTTGATCTCGGTCCGGTTGAAGGCGTGGGAACAATCAGCACGAACCCTAAATTCCTCAATACTCTTCGCCGTGCCGCCGTACGTGTGCTGGATGAGAGGGAGTTCATTCGGGGCTTGGAAGTCGCCATCTGGCAATCCAGCATCACCGGTGACTCCACAGATCCGGACTTCTACACGTCGAACCCGGCCATGGTGGGTCTCGGCAATAATAAGCCCATTGCCGATCCGACGACACGAACAACTTGGCGCAGAGATGACCTGCGCTTCGCGCTGTACGCGAACATGGACCTCAAAGGGTCGCGCAACGAGATCGAAAACAACGAGCTTAGGATAATCGTGGACAGGATCAAGAAAGATCTCGCCTTGGCCGACGATCCCAGGACGAAGAGTCTCATGATGTTTGAATTGGGAAGGATGATTCTCCCGCACGTCTCTCAAGATAGCGAGGTTGCTGTCACGCAATGCGGGAACATCCAGATTGACTCGCTCATAGCAATCGAGATCAAGGCGTGGGTGACTCGTGTGCTGGGTGTGGATATCAGTCTGGTAGAGGTCGGAAAGGCGGGGACGATTGGCGGATTGGTGTATCTGTGCCTGGAGTTGCTCAAGGCTCAACATGCGAAGGAGTAGATTAGGCTTTTAGGCTGTTCTGTGATTTCTCTGTGCTGGGTCGGGTCTGGGTGTCCTTCTTTCTGCTTCTTGCCGTGTGGTTAAGCCTATCAGAATGACAAATGTGATGTTTCCGCGTTATGCTTGCTTGCATTTGAGAGTGATTCCTAGAGCTTTCTCTATCAAACCTCTTATGATGGGCTAGAGTGTTGTAAAGGCAATTGTGGAGAATCGACTGTAGCTTTAGCGAGCTTTTGTACATTCTGCTTCATACCGGAAGATTGAGGGAATCGGCTGGCTACACTATCCACTAACTTGATATAATGATGCCTTCCGAGTATGAAAAATCACCATTAAAGTTACCTCAATATACTTTACAGAGCTTGCCTAGTAACACTCCTGCCATAGGAATAAGCAACAAGAAGTCAGTCTTCATTTATACAACCACAGTTTAATCAAGGCACGTAGCCCAGAGTCCACACAATCATACCATCGCTCAGCTCTCTTGCACAAAACCATACATTACACATTATTTACAATTCATGCCTATGCACCTGTGCCATAAAGCATTTGCGTCTCCAAGTAGCACTACTTCTCCTCTTCAAATCCTCCTCTCCCGCTTGCTCATCACCAGCAAATCAATCACTTCATCAACACCCGAAACCCACCCTCCATCCCAACATCCAACCCCAAAAACTCCGCCACAAGCCCCAAATGATCCACGCCCCAGAACCCCTCCCTCTCCCCAGCGGGACTCGTACACATCAACCAAGGCAACCCAAACGCCCCCTCTTCAATAGCACGTAGCGTATTCGCCTCCAACAAAGCCTGTCCCTCAGCCCGCTTCTCCTGTTTTTATTATCAAGAAGTCAGCATACCCCAGTCCACTGACCCACCACCACCCCAGCCCCAAAACCCACAGAAAAATGACAAGAAAGGAGAGAACAAACCTCACGCCCCAAAGCCTCCAGCACCTCCTTCCCGAGCGTCTCCATAATCACAGCCCGATACCGCTCCGCATCCGTCACACAAGCGGAATCCCCCTCGGCCCACACGGAGGTATATAGTCGCTCAACGATCTCCACTAGTTTCTCTGGGTACGTGTCCGAGATAAGGCACAGGAGAGCCTGGATCTCGGCTGTTGGGAAGGGGAAGTCCGATGGTACGGTTTCTGTCATTGGGATGCGCAGACGGCGGGACCACGCGAGGCGGTGGTGGTTTATGTAGGTTTGTTTGTCTATTTTTTGTTAGCTTTCGGTATGGGGGAGGGAAAACGGTGTTTAAGATTTGGCTGGGGATATACTCTTTATCATGATGGGTGGCGGATTCCCGCAGGCTGTCAGTAGGGTGCGGAGGGAGACGGGCGTGTAGGTTATTTTGCAGGAGCGGAAGATTGTGGAGTTCTGTCTGGAGTATTAGCTTTGTGTATATTGGAGTATCGATTTTTGGTATTGGGGTAATGGGTGGAAGTACCCTCAAGACTTGGAAGGCGATATAGCTGAATGGGCTGACGAGGTCGAAGTACAGCGTTATCTCGGGAATTGTATTGTTGGTTGTCATTTTGGATTGTAGCTGTTAGCTCGTTGGGAGTATTGCTTGTGGTGTATATAGGATAGGCTTGTATTTAGAGACTGATAGCTGTGTATGAGTATTCTTTGGGTGAGGTCGTGTTTATATAGTTGCTGGACGATGATTGAAGCCATACTCTGCCTGTAGCTGCTGTGGCTGCTGTGGCTGTGGCTGTGGCTGTATGCTTGGGGCGTGAGTGGTGACTCAGGCACCATTTTGCAATGGTTGAGACGCGCCGGTCGGCCCCAACCTAACCTGTTTGAGTTCCCCTGCCGCTTTGAGATTGCTGAGGCGCTCAACCGCGATTTTTGATTATTCTATCATTCCGACTGATTTGCCCAACTGTTTTCTCGTGCGGGTGTATGGTGTTAATGTGCTTGGGGTTCGTTGCTCTGGGTTGATTCCGTATTTCGTGGCTGGAGATTTACGAGGTTGACTGTTAAGGATACACTGGTCTTCAATTCATGTAGCGTTCTGCCTCAGGCAGACTCAGGCTGCGATTCTCGGGTTCGGATTTCCACCGTGCGGAATAACCATCCGCTGAGGCTTATACCTCGTGCTGTTGAATGGCAGCCAAGCTTCGATCTGCAGTCTCATGTTGAAGGCAACTTGTTGTCAACATCGAAGCCGGTAAGTCAAGCTTTTTCCACGCTGCGGAGTTCGTCTTATGTCTTGTGTCCTGGCCATGTTAATCAATTGCGGATGGCGAGCCAAAGCTTGATGTTACCAATTTGCAGGGAGAATGTTCCACAGATGCTGAACTATAAGTTCCAGAATCTCAAAAGAGCCCGTATACACTACATTCACTTGGTGGTATGTGGTTGGCAGCTGCAAAGTTCAATGCTTGTTGTGAACTTCAGCTGCTGGCAATGTTTATAGCTGGGCCAGCCTATTGACCACACCAGATACCGCATCTCTGACTATAAAATGCCCCATGAATGACCGCTAGAAATTGCACGTAAGTGTTGCTAGGCCTTGGAAGGAGACTACGAAGGTCTCAACACTATTCTTGGGGTCTGAGTTGAATCTTCACAGCAAAGCACGAGATCCAGTTCCAGTGTATCATGGATATAGACAAGAACGGTTATTGCGCCCCCTTACGCTTGAATGCTGCTCGGACCTCGGTAGCATTTTACGCCGTCTTGAGGATGTAAGCTCGGCGGTTTCAATATCACTTATTTCAAGACAGAAACAACTTCATCATTCCATGGGAATGTAGCCCTGCGCCATTTACCGATGTAAGCGAGGGGTACTGGAAGACCACGCATTCGAGGACGTCTTTTCGCTCGTCTTAAGTGATTAGGCGGTAGACAGTAACCAAAGCAAGTCAGTCTGTGTACAGTACCATGAATCTTAACTTGGAGCTGTAACGAGAGAACATTTGTGCTTAAAGGGCGAGGGAGACCACCGGGATATATGACTCTAAAGGTATCTTCCCATTGAATCTTCGAGCAGCTCTGGATAGCTGCAGACAATGGCGCGCCGAGACTTCATATGGATTATGCGGAATGAAAGAGGTCTGAATTAGAGTGTTAAGTGATAGTTAGTGGGTCACGGTTCTGAGCTACCTTCCCTTTTTGTCTTCTCCATAAATGATCATGCCAACCCCTTCATCTCCAGCCGTGCAACTAACAACGCAATCCTTCCCAATGGCTCATGGAGCGATGACCCTCAAGCAATGGATAGGAGTCAGCATTCTTATCGTCGCTATGATAAGAATTGCACTGATTGATTACAGAGTAGCAGCACTACCCCACCAATCCCTCGTCACGAGACCAGACCCATCCTCATGAGAACGCCCCGGACGCTAATAAAGCTCCAATGACTCGTTTCTCCTGACTCCTGGCTCTATCATCATTAGGGTTAGTCTTTTCCATGTGTGTGATATCCCTTAGTTACGGCACTCTGATTGATATGATTTCCGAATTGTCGCGTTCGCTCTACAGACATGTCCACGTCAGCTTATCAATTCCGCAAATTGGCCTTGCTTGGCAGCTTGTGAGTGTCCTGTCTGCGCACTAGAAGAGCTCTAATGTCAAGTGGGAATGCCTCGGTATACGCTCTTCCAAAACCAATCGTCGATCGATATCTCTTGCCGGTCGTATTCTCCATGACCGAGATACGTCAGCTCATCTTAATGTCAAGTCATATAATCCGGGAATCGGAGACTCGGAACACTCGGGTTGCAGTCTCCAAATGCATATCCACAAGTGAGGGTCAGGGGTGCGACCGAGTAAATTACACTATCAACTATACTGGCGTATCCCACGATCGTCCCATGGGTGCAATCAATGCGATGGAAGGCACAAAATTCTTCCGGAACACGGTCTGAATGTGCCGAAGGTGCGGATTTCTTCAGCAGCAGCAGGGCTTGTTCGCCGGACGACCCATCTGAATCAGCACCTACGGTCGGATGCTTGACCAAACTTAAATTCCGATCTTCCAATTATACCAGCATGTGCCGCCTCCCGTTCAAGAGTACTCGCGGAAAAAGTGTTCAACATGTGGCATAACTATCCTGCGGCAACGGTCCAGGCGTGACCTGCATGAGACTTTCGGTGCTTGATTTGGATAATTCCGTCAATCAAAAAATTCCAAGCAAGATCGCTGTCTCAGGTGACGATGAACAGGAACAGGGGCAGAATGGCGCTTTGACACGGCCATAGTCCGAGAAGAGTAAACGTAACAGCCTTGCCCCTGGACAACATTGCATCAATCTGGTGTGGTCTCAGCACCCCTCCATGAGCGGTACGAACATGCTTCTGTCCATGCAAGACCCTGCTAGATTGTTTGAGCAACCCCTGGATGTCCCCCACAAGCCGACCGTCGGAGATCGGCGTTTCTGAGCAGCCCGAAAGCTCTCCTGTCTCGAACTGATGTGGGTCAAGGTCGACCCTTCAATTCATCACCATTTTCACTTGACCCGTTTCTCATGCCATGTCGTGGTTATCATTAAGCTTAATCATTGGAGGTTAAATATTGATATTAACCAAAGACAGGGAGCGCTGTGATTGCACCATCATAAATGAAGCACCCACCAAAAACGAAGAAAACCGGGCCATGATAGGTTCCACTAGACTAGAGAAGCATTAGAAGCTTCTTTGAATGCCTCCAGCCGACTTGCCCTTGCCCGAATCTTCCTAGTGATTTCAGATATAGTTATCTTGACTCGACTGGGGGTCTGCAGATATTCCGCTGCAACCCCACCTTAAACTCCTGACGGATATGAGACAAATGCCGGCCCAAGATGGAAATGGCGCACTCTAACAATCACCATCTTGCTAGAAAGAAATATAAAAGGTCTTTCTTGTCTCTACATTGAGCCTTACCTCGCCGATCCAGTCGATCTTACACTCACGTACACCGCAAAAATGGTTAAATCAGTCTTGGCTTCCGCTCTCTTCGCCGTGTCCGCACTGGCTGCCAGCCGTACCACGGCTCCTGCCGGCTCGATCGTCGTCGCCAAGTCCGGAGGTGACTATGATACGGTGAGAATATCCGCATGAATCATATGTTAGAGGTTTACTGATGCCTTTCCAGATCGGAGCTGCCATTGACGCTCTGAGCACCACCTCCACCGAGACTCAGACCATCTTCATCAAGGAAGGTGTTTACAATGAGCAGGTCTACCTTCCCGCCATGAAGGGCAAGGTGATCATCTACGGTGAAACCGAGAAGTATGTTGTTATCCTTTCTCCTCTTGAAAAGACGCTAACATCTTCTTAGCACTGACACCTACGAGGACAACCTTGTCACCGTCACCCACGCCATCTCTTATACGGACGCTGGTGAGAACGATGACCTGACTGGTAAGTTTCCTCTGGTAATCATTACCGGCATGAACTAAACAGGAACAGCGACTTTCCGCAACAAGGCTGCTGGATCCCAGGTCTACAACCTCAACATTGCCAACACTTGTGGCCAGGCTTGCCACCAGGCCTTGGCCCTGAGCGCGTGGGCTACCGAGCAGGGCTACTATGCCTGCAACTTCACTGGCTACCAGGATACTCTCCTTGCCCAGACCGGTAACCAGATCTACGCCAAGTCTTACATCGAGGGTGCCGTGTAAGTGTTTTCCAGGTCCTGAGAAAAGCACGTACTAACCCGTCTAGCGACTTCATTTTCGGTCAGCACGCTCGTGCCTGGTTCCAGGAGTGTGACATCCGTGTTCTTGAGGGTCCCACTTCTGGTTACATCACCGCCAACGGGCGCTCCTCCGAGTCCGACACTTCTTACTATGTGATCAACAAGTCGACCGTCTCTGCTGCTGAGGGTAACGACGTTTCCGCAGGCACCTACTACCTTGGTAAGTTTTTAGAGTGTCTTTCGATCCGTGATGAGCTGTACAGCTGTACTGATATCGTTGTAGGCCGTCCCTGGTCCCAATACGCCCGTGTGGTCTTCCAGCAGACCAGCTTGACCAACGTGATCAACTCCCTCGGCTGGACCACCTGGTCCACCTCCACCCCCAACACCGAGAACGTCACTTTCGGCGAGTACGATAACACCGGTGCTGGAGCCAAGGGTACCCGTGCCACCTTTGCCGAGAAGCTGACTACCAAGCTCAACATCGCCGACATCTTGGGATCCGACTTCACCAGCTGGGTCGATACCAGCTACTTCTAAGCTGAACGCTTGGAGGGTGTTTCGCAGGGGTATTTAAGCAAACAGCTGAGCTGACGTATGCCGTGCATATAGCTTCTATTCTATAGTTAATCTTCTACCAATATAATTTGCGCCACTCATGCTCACAAGTTCGTCATTTTTACTGCGTAGACCGAGCATAAGCCGGTTGCATGCGTTTTAACTTACTTTCTGGCCCACCTCCACAATCACTTTATGCTAATATCGGCAACTTTCAATCAGCCCCTTTCTTAACCCGGCAGAGCACCCACAACCACCTCATCATCTCGACACTAACCCGGCTCTTGAACCCCTCAAGCTCCGCATGGGCATAAGGATATGTGCGGGGTAAACCCTCCTAACACCCTCTGAAAGTCGGAATCAGATCCCCTATGATGGTTCTTCATTCATTGTAGCAGGGGAGACCTATCTCATGGCTGAAGGCGATACTCATTGAAATGGTGCACTCTCAATTAAGTTTGTTGGTGGTTAGTAACATCGGTTGATGTTGTCCGGGCTAGTGAAGATATATATATCTGCGTCGAGTCGGAGCTGGTAACCACACTCTCTGCATCGAGAGTCCAAGGAAAGGTATGTGGTGTGGATGGCATATTGGGTCTCCTCTCATCCCGTCACTACTACCTAGCTCTATTGCCTTGTATTGCTTTGCGAAGGAAACATTGAGGGATGGATGAACTACTTGTAGGTGACGGACTACACATTACCAACGACGCGGTCGGTATCCGACACAAACACCAGACCAATTGCGCTCGTGCATGTTCCGCGTACTACACCCACACACTTACATATTCACCGCACTCACAGTTGACTCCCATAGTCAACTCACAGAACAAGAAACAATCAGCACGACCTGGACCCCCATCTCCTCCATACATCAAGGATATAATAAGGTTCAACCTCCCCGCCGTCTAATACGCCGGAGACAATCGCCGAAGACAAAGGGCAGCTTGAACCCCCGTAAAGAGGTTCAACTTACACTCAATTCAATACGCCGGAGAAAAGCACCGGACACAATCGACAAACAGTGAGGTTCAACTTACACTCAATCCAATACGCCGGAGAAAAGCACCGGGCACAAGCGACAAACAGTGAGGTTCAGCTTACACTCAATCTAATACGCCGGAGAAAAGCACCGGACACAATCGATAAACAGTGAGGTTCAACTTACACTCAATACAACACGCCGGAGAAATGCACCGGGCACATCAACAAACAGTAAGGTTCAGCTTACACTCAATCCAATACACCGGAGAAAAGCACCGGACACATCAACAAACAGTAAGGTTCAGCTTACACTCAATCCAATACACCGGAGAAAAGCACCGGACACATCGACAAATAGTGCGGTTCAACTTTTCCAAGCCCTGATACGCAGGACAAAGAAACCGGGTTCATAGCTGCTGTTGAAAGTTGAAACCACCCCCCCACTTCCGCCAATGGATTTGCATTCGCTGGAAAGTGTTTGCCACGGTCTGTTTGCTTCGGCCGAAAGGTGTGAGGGGTTGAGGCATCTATTGTTGCCTGATTGCTCCTTTTGCATGTTGTTGCTGGGTTCTGGGCTTCTGATTGATTCGGTTGGGAAGAATGAGGATCCGCTTTTGGTTGGTCTGTCTGGGACGGACCCGTGACGGATTCCGGGTTTGTTCGGGCGCGGGTGAAGGTTCCCGCCAATGGGGGCTTGGTGGTGGGTGTTCTGGGGTTCTGTGATTGGGTGGTTGTGTGGCCCGACGCCGCGGTGTTTGGCCGCTGCTTTTGAAACGCGGAGTTGATGGCCGTGTCGCCGGCCGCAGAGGTTGAACCTTTGCTTGCGTTGGAAGGTCAACAGCTTTGTGATATAAAGGAGAGTATGTACGATATCTATATGGTGTCTACATGTATTGATTGAGGGTAGATGAGGCGACTGGCGACACCAAAGCCAAGCTAGATCTCACCGTAGAGATACCTGGCCATACACTCCACCGCCTCTTTCAACTCGCCCCGATCATTGCAAGCTGCGAAGACAAACCTGTCCGGTCGGACAACCACGAATGTTCCCTGCACTCTCTTGCGAATTAGGAACGGATTATACGATAAAGGTACAGGGCGTTGGCTGCATAGCGGTGACCTGGAGAACTCCTCTGCGCTGGCGATCTGGAACACGTTGGACATCTGAATAATGTCTGTCGAGGCCATATTTTCCACGATTATGGGGATGTTGTGACTGTCGAACTCTCCTCGAGACCAGCACTCAATGCCGTGCAATGCCTCCGTCGCGGAAGCAATTTCAGCACTGCTCTGGAGGTAGATAAACACGCGAAACAGAGATCTGCTGCCAGCACGGTAGATAGCGTCATCGGTAAAGCAGATCCTGCCGGTAGCGGTTCGGCAGTATACCTGAGGCATGTAGATTCCTCCGTTCAGATCGGGGATGAAGGGCATGCCTTCAGAATGTCTGAGTTGAAATGTTGCCGTCTTGCGACCGCCACGTTGTAGCCGATCTCGATACATTGGGAAGAGCTGCATGAACCAAAGAGCCCAGTCGCGGAGGAGGGTCTTCAGCAGATTTCTTTCGCATACCAGTTCGCCGTTGCGGACCGTCGTGGCCAGGGATACTCTGAGTTGCTGCTTGCGTTCAAGGTACCATGCGGCTAATACCCTCTCGTGGTTGCGCTTGTATGGTTGATATCGGCAGAGCACCACAAGGCGCCATGATAGGGAGATTGCATCGCGGAAGCCTGATACTATTCCCTGACCACCGACTGATTGAAGCGTGAGACTAAAGAATATCCATCAAGAAAGAAGACCTTACAAGGTGGAAAGACATGCGCTGCATCACCGCACAGAATCACCCGTTCCTTAGCCCATACATTGCATGTGCGGGACGAGAACTTGAAAGGGCGACAACGAAGAACAGTGATGCAGTCCTCAGGGAATTGCACGTCTTGATCGAGGCTATGAACGAGTCAATCGGCGGCAGCGAGTAAGAATAAGCGACTTACTTGTATCGACTGCCTCTGTGCGTCAGGTAAGGAAGCACGATCCGCCTCATCTCCTCTGGTTCAGCCATACGATCTCCATTTTCACTGCGATCGACAAGATACTCGAATCTCCATAGTCTGTCTTCTGGAAGACCAAAGCGACCACAAACCGCCGGTCTCTCCCGGTTGCATAGAAAGCGGAACTCCGATGGGAAGAACAAGTCGTATACCTGCTTAGGTTTGTATCCTAATTCCCACAAAGGGAAGCTGGGATGTGTCTCGGGTGTCGGGAGGGTCATCTTCCAGTTCAGTGCGACCCATGTCTCTTCGTAAAAAGCCCTGCACTCCACAGTAAGCAGCTGACTCACCTCACTCAGTAGCAAGCTACGTACTCATGAAACTTCTCCATCATGACCCCTCGTGGCTCAAGGTATTGTTTGCGTGTGTACCCCGTCTTGCCGTCTGCACCAACCAGATACCGGGCGCGCACGTTATGGTCCTTTCCATCCGCGTTGTGGTACGTGCAGTATACCCAGTCCTTGTCCTCCTTGATGCCGACAATCGTGGATCCACATCGCAGGGAACAGCACGTGGGAGAGATGGCGCTCCTCAGCTTGCTCTCGAGCACCGGCTGCTTGTGGCCAATGTACCCGACATGTCCTGAGGTACCAGCGGGCTAGTCACAATGAGAATCGACTATCGATCGGAGACGACTGACTGACCGCATTGTGCACGATTTCGAGAATAGGAGGCTTGTGTAGGTCCTTTTCGGTGCCGCTGATGAACTTGAATTCTCCCATGCCTTCGTAGGTCAGCTCGGGTCGGGTCGGTGATAGAAGAAAGACGGACATGTTCCGATTTCCGTGTAGATCCAGTCATACAAACCTAATCCCTGGACCAAGCGTATTCCATCTTCGTCCAATGCAATACCTCGAGGATCGGTGGTGATATTAGCCTCTTTCTCGATCACGATGTTGCGGATGCCCATGCGACCGAGATACGCGGATAGCATCGCCCCTGTAGGACCGCAGCCGCAGATGATCACCTCGGTGGTCTCCCAAATCTTTCTGCTAGACATATTGAATTGAGCAGGCTTGATTCAGGTTCGAAAAGTGAACCGTCCTCGATAATTGATAAAGAAGCCCAGAGAAGAGGTGGGAATGGCAGTAGTGCGCTCATGCGGGACGCTGCGACTAACTCATTACGGGACAGCGCATTAAACCTTGTTGAATGCATATTCCTTGTTCATTTGATCAGATTGATGAGACTGTGATGTATCGGGCTCACTGTTGGTGTGAAGACATGCGTTGGGGATGTTGGGGAAGGTTGAGAGCTAAAGAGGGGGAAGCGGAGAAAGAACTGACAGGGGTGGGGGCAGAATCCCTTCTGTCTTCTGGACAACACTTTGCAACCCAGTATAGCGTACAACTGCCCTTGTGCACTACACAGTGTGCATTACTTGAGAAGCCAATGAGTTTTGTTGAGGTCGATGTGTTACATCTCTTGCTATGTGAGCGTTGTGAACATCTTCAATACTCGTTCCTGAAGCGCTTCAGCTTCAGAGAATTCAGCAGTCTTGTTCATTCTCGTTATGCAAAGGAACAGACGAATGCTGCTAACATATGAATCAACTATTCTAGATGCTGCAAGTATCCTAAAACGTGGCTTGCTACCGATGACTCGGATACGATTGCGATGAAGCGTTAATCGCGGTGAAACAAATGCTCTGAGCTTTCACAAACTCACTTGAGGTATGGCAAAGTCGACTGGGACTTATGTGAAAGCACGACGAAGTCTAAGTCGCCCTTGTTCAACGACCAGAAAGACCAAACACATGGACAGACCCTGGTCGCATTCAACATAAGGCTTGTGTCTTGATGTGGTGAGCCACAAATCAAGCCCACAAGCCATCATACTCGGGTACGCGCTTATTTACCAAGATGCTATCAGCTTCCTCCTCGAGATTTAAGCACTCTGATGGCGCGATAGCCCAAGCTTCCGGAAAATCGCAGTTGAGAAGCAATGTCGAGTATCTTATTGCGATCGCCCGTGTAGGGTCGAATTAAGCGAAGACATCAATTCATATGATAACGTGCTCATCGGCAAGTCAGCTCCACCGGCCAGTGGCGTGATTTTTTGCAGACGTCTAGGCCTCATTCTAACACACACGAAAGTTGGGCTGTACCTCAGGACACGGAACGATCGAGATCTGCTACTATGCTTTCGTGTATCATGTCGCTCTTTCCGGCGACCCTTTTGCCGAAACAGTTAGGTTTCTTCTGAAAGGTATTCGGGAATACATGCCATATGCGTCATGGGCGAACACCGCAAGTGACTATTGGTCGAGGCCATTATTGCAGCTTAGAGCTCTCTGTCACTAGCATGAATACCCACAGTCTACATTCTCCGGAACATGAGATCTGGAGACAAGACAAGAACAGACGGTCCAGCCTTCCTGGAACCGAATGCCTAACGGTGATGCAAGCTTAGCAATTGATTCGGTTTGCCGCCCGACTGAAGAGGGAATTTTGAACCTCAATCCTCTTGCGCATCGGCCTACTCAATTATTTTGTGCAAAGTGCTTTGATGAGAAAACTCTGTCACCGGCTTTTGTGGACGGGATCTGACCATCCCGAGGGGCCCGGATAAGATTACATCTTAAGCAACACCCTACAAAAGCGACAACCTGAAGAGCCTGACAATTCAGTCATAACGATGTACATTTAGGCAGCGATGGCTCAGGGGCATCCGGCATCGTTCGACCGCGTCGTGCGTTTTAGCCCCAGAATGACCTCTGCGGCGCAGGCATTTCTCGACCATTTTCCTCGACCGGCCAATGACACCACGCATCCGAAGAACCAATAATGGAACACATTATACATTTCAGGTGGGCCATGGTGATCTGGCCGAATCTGGGGAAAGGCCAGTTTGTGAGTGGCGGGCGGAATTTGAGGCGTTGGAATTAATCAAATGCAGGACACGGATCGGGATCAGTCGATGTCTGTCCGGGATCCGGAGTGGTGTGTCCGATCAGACCATCCGGATATCCACCAGAGCTACCGGTCACCACAACCGAGAAAAAAAAAGTACATATACTCAAATGCTCACTCAATGTATGAGTCTCCAACGAATTAACAGCGTGACGGAATGCGCTGACGATCATCATGGACTACAACTTCAACACCACGCTCGCCGCACCGGCGACGGGCTCCTATCATGAGCTCTACGATATCGCCAGCCTGAACCCTAAATTATCCTTCCTCGAGAAGCTCTGGTGGACACATTACGCCTATTGGGACAACGACATTCTCGCTACAGGTATGGTTCTCGCTCTCCCATTCACCACAAACACGACAATTAACCCCCGTGCCCAGGCATCATCACCTTTCTCGCACACGAGCTCCTCTACTTCAGTCGCTGCATCCCCTGGATCATCGCCGACGCCTTCCCCAGCCTCTTCCAACGCTACAAGATCCAAGACAAGAAAGCACCGCCTTCCGCGCGCGAACAATGGAACTGCGTCAAATACATCCTTGCAATCCACTTCATCGTCGAGCTTCCGCTCATCGTCCTCTTCCACCCGATGATGGAATTCTGCGGGCTACAATATACCGTTCCCTTCCCCGATCTTAAGACCCTCGCCATCCAGACGACTATTTTCTTCTTTGTCGAAGACACCTACCACTACTGGCTCCACCGCGCCTTTCACTGGGGCCCGCTGTACCGTGCCGTCCATCGCGTCCACCACCAATATGCCACCCCATTCGGCCTGACTGCTGAATATGCGAGTCCGTGGGAGACAATGCTATTGGGCTTCGGAACCATCGGGCCTCCCTTGGTGCTGGGCTGGTTCACGGGCGAGGTTCATCTGATGACCGTGTTGGTGTGGGTGGCGCTCCGGCAGTTCCAGGCCATCGACTCGCATTCCGGGTATGATTTCCCCTGGAGTCTGCGGAGGATTTTCCCGCTGTGGGGCGGCTCGGATTGGCACGATGATCACCATCGGTATTTCCGGGGGAACTATTCGAGCTCGTTCAAGCATTGGGATGGTGAGTTTCCTTTTCCCTCCGGTCTGGGTCCAAAGCACTAACGTTGGGGCAGTCTTGATGGGCACCGTTGCTGGGCCTCGGGGGAAGAAGATGCAGAAGAGTGAGTAGGATGATGTGCTTAGGGATGGAGTTCAGTTCGGGTAGATGATATTGTTATTGATATTACTTATTACTTAATCATAATTGATGGATGTGTATGAGACTGAGTCGTTCCTTCCTTCCACGTAGTGACAATCATTTCTCGGTCTAATCCTCCCACTGCTCCTAACTTTGTCGACAGTTATCACTCACGAGGCTTCGCCAGGATAACCGTTGAACACTCGCCCAGCCAGCCAGCCAGACTCTACACCGATTCACTTCAGCTCAAATTGCCTATGAACGGGTCCTTCACAAACACTTTGACACTCATAAGGGTTATCCACTCCTATCAAAGCTCGAAAGAAGTCGAAGGAATGACCAGTTACAGTCTCCTCGAAACAACAGGAATCCATGATGCACCTAAGATTTGCCGCACAAAGTTTGATGGAACTGGTGGAACACCTCTGAGAGACGTGGAAACGGTGATATCCGAGGCTATCGAGGAACTCAGGGAAACGAGGCTATCAACATGGCGACGAGGGCGGTGAGCGGACCTCTGAGAGGCCTCAGGCTCGTCCAAGTTAGTGCAGGAGTCGGAGCTCGAGTATTTCCGGTCTCTCAATGTGTGAGAGGGGGCATCATGTGACTTTGGCGGTAGAAGCACTCTGGGAGCACTGAGGTACTGTGCGTCTCCTCCTCACATCTTTGGTCTTGTGTTTTCTGTGATGAATACGCCATTGGAAACTTGACAGGTAAAATATTCTCAATATCCACTTATTTGGCTCAAGGCTCCCTATGAAATTCTCTTTTCTCCCATCCTCCGATCGTGGATTGATCCGCTCGAACAAGCATGTTTGCCTATGTATCTGTCTTTGAAACGACGCACCTCGCCATACTTTCGCTTTGTCTCATCTTGACCTAAAATCTAATTCATGAGGTTACAGAAAATAATTGAATTCGCTACATAGACGCGTCACGATATCAGCAAAGATGACGGCCCTTCCTCTAGAGGTCATAGACATTGTGAGTTGCGCTTCTATCGATCTGTAATCATGGCTTGTGCCTGAATTGGCTCCATAGATCTTGTCGTACATCGCAGAAGAAGACTACGCGTATCAAGTCTCTAGGAGAGTAGAACGCATGAAGACCGGAAAACGGTGCCCTCCCGCCAACACCATAGCCTGTTTACGACTGGTGAACAAGAGCTTCTGCACCTTGATGTCCCGGCACCTGTTTCGCAACGTGATGGTCGAGATCCCTAAATACGAGCGCCTGGCCAAGATCTGCAGCAGTGAGTACGCTGGCTATGTTCGCCAGCTCGAAATTGGATTCGGAAGCCGTGATGAGGGCCTGCTTGAGCATATCGATCTCCTCGCGACGTCCATAACAAAACTGCGTAACATCGAGGCTTTGCAAGTGACCTTGGGCGCCAGCATAGATTACCCGGACTCGAAGATCCAATTGCTCCTCCACAGCATCCTACAATGTGCTGCTACAACACCGAGATTGACGAGCTTGAAGCTGACACTCCCCACCCTTGACATGTTCACGGGATCGGTCCTTTACACTTTGCAAGAGCCACTGGAACAAGTCCTGCGACAGCTCCGTCATCTGCAGATTGGCTCTTGGTACAGTGGACGGGTGTTTATGCATGGTGGGAGCCCGGCTTCTCCTCGTCTAAACTTCACAACTTGGTTCCTCGGCTTAGTCGAGTCAGCCGTGCATGATCAGGCGACGCGGTTTGTGCCGCTCGAGCGACCAGTCTCGCCTGCTCTGCATCTCGAAACCCTTCATCTTGAGGCGAGCAGCGTCTCTTTTCAAACTTTGGTCTCCGTCTTAGAGCAGGTTAAGCACTTAATTTGTCTCCTTAATTTCAGGAATGTCACACTCATTGACGGGGCGTGGCACGACATTTTGTCCCTGGCAATTCAGATGCCCAAGCTGACGGAATTCACCTTCATCGATTGCAAATCCCCGGCACCCTTTTCCACACACTTCACACGCACAAACTTCACTTTCCCCCTGTTAACCCCCCTACATCTTAAGCCGCAAATATTGAAATCGTATCTATTGTCATGGTGTAAGGTAGCAGCTGCTGCCCCTCTCGATTTCATCCGCCAGCATACAGATCCCAGGAATTTCTGGGCCATCAAACCGGCGTCAGCCGACAGGAATGGGCAAAGTTGGCAAGATCAAGTCCGTGCCATGTACAAGCAATTCGAGATACAATACCAGCACCACCACCACAACAACAACTTTCCCATGACCACGACCACGATTGACATAGTTGAGAAGAGGGCGAGAAGCCTAGCTAAGTTTGCAATCCTTCCAAAAGAGCTTAAACCCGTTTGTCGGACGCTTCTGCGTCATGTCGATGCCAACCGGAAAGCCCGCGGCATGAAGCCAATGCTGGACCTCGGGCCGGATTTGTACGCGTGGAATACGGTGGGGTTGGAGGGATGATCTTGTGGACTTGGCATTCCCGAAGAGCTGGGGACGGAGGGGAGATATACACCTGCTTGGACGCTGGCATTTCGGGAGGCTAACCGCCATCGGCTCTTTCCAATACACCTCCAAATGTTCTAGTTCCATGCACCTGATTGCGCTCTCCGCCATGTAGACGCGCCCCCTTCGCGAAACTTAGCAGGAACCGGTCGCAAGCAGTAATTCGCGCAAGCAATCATACCCGTAGTTGTCCCACAGGCAAGTCCACCAGAGACTCGATTCTGCTTATGATAGCATCACCCCTCCCAATTCTCGGTTAAGCTCAGACATTGAACCCGTAAACTAGCTAGGTACAGTACAACCCCTATTCTTCATCTCTACCCCGCTGTGAGGGGTGAATAAATATCCGGCCTAAGTTGTGCTTTTGCACCATGGGATGAGGTCTTTCGAAGGCCTATCGATGGGCTGTTGCTGCTTGGATTGTCTATCCTATCCTATCTTTTTTTTGAGCGGGAGTTATGGGTAGTGTTGATGTGGGTGGTCTACTTGTGGTACTATTTTCATGACATGGAGGGTGCTATTTGCTATTCGGAAATGACAGGTCGGTCTTATAGTCTGGTCCGGTTCCATGGGACTGGTCTCTGTTTGTCTTTTGGGGTTGGTCTGGTTACTTGGTTTGCGAAAGGGGGTTGCAGGGTTGGCTTGTGACCTACCTAAGCGAGGGTACTTTCTGTAGCTTGTCGCTACGGACCGAGGGAGAGGAGGTCGGCACGGCATAGTAGGATTTGTTTACCTGGATTCATACCTCAACAGCTGAATTGAGTTACGGGCTGAGGACTGCACTGAGTACAAGAGGAGAAGTGAGTGAAGGCAATGTAATGTACATGAAGGGAGCGATGGTGAAATGAATGAATGAGTGACTGGTGAATACTGTATAGCGTCAAGTTCTTCTAAGATGACATGGATCTACTATCCGTGCACGCACCGCTTACAACAGGATCATACCCAGACCGGCGGCGACGGCGGTAACCACGTACGCACCCAGCTGGAGAGAGCCGACGCCCACCATGGCGGAGCCGGTGATGTGGCCGGCGGAGGAGCTGGAGTCGGAGCTGGAGGTCGAGCTGCTGGAGGACGAGTCGCCGGTGGCCGTGGCGGTGGACGAGACCGAGCCGGTGCCGGCGGTGCCGGCCTCCGAGAGCATGGCGCTGCAGGTGCTGGCGGTGGTGGCGGCGGTGGTGGTGGCGTAGCCGCCGAAGCTGCAGGCCGAGACCCCCTTGTTCTGGCTCTCCCAGTAGCGGTTCAGCGCCCAGTTGAGCTGCTGCTTGGGCTCGCACATGCCGAAGTCGCCGTAGCTACCGGTCGTGCCGTTGTGGAAGACGCCCGTGCACGAGATGTAGCCGCAGACTTCGGAGAACAGGGTCGCGTACTTCGTGCTGGAGACCGAGTCCTTGACCACGCACCCGGCCGCGGCGTTCATGCAGGAGCACAGCTCGCTGTTGGGCGTCGGCGGCAGCGGCGACGCCTTGGCCTGCCACTTGCTGCCGACCGTGGGACAGCTCTGGAGTGCTGTGTTGGTGGGCGTGTAGGACGCCTTGTTGGTGCCGGTCGGCGTGGCGCTCTGGATCTGCTCCGAGTAGTAGGTGAAGTCCTTCAGCTTGCTGACGCTCGTGCTGTCGATGGCGGAGACCAAGCCTGGGAGGGATTAGTTGCTGCTGTCATACATGTGTCCGCGGTCCACCTACCGTAGTCGTTGTCAGTCTGGAAGTACATGTAGACGATACCGCCGGACCACACGTCGTTCATCTCGTCGCCGAAAAGAGCCTGGATCTCGGTGAAGTGGCGGGGCGACGGAGTGTTGCAGCCGTACTCGGCGAAGAAGACCGGGACGGAGTAGTTGCTGAACTGCTCGGTGCGAGTCTTGTAGCCGGACTCCTCGTAGGTGGAGTTGCCGCACCAGGAGTAGATATTGTAGCCCCAGAAGTCGACACCCACGTCTTCGCTTTCACAGTTGAAGTAGTCGGCCATGTTGACACGGATGTCGGAGTCGTCGTTGGTGGCGTACCCAACACCCATGGAGCGGTAGCCCTTGGCCTTGATGTAGGCCTTCATGTCGCGGACGGCGGCCTTGACGAAAGCGCTGGCATCGGTCGTGTCGATGGTGTTGGAGACCTCGTTACCAGCGAAGAAGCCGATGGTATTGTTGTACTGAGACAGATCGTCAATCACGTTCTTGTACCGAGTGTATAAGCTGGTCTCCCAGGTCGGATCGTCCCGATCGATGGACTCGGACGGGTCCGACAGATCGGAGATGACATAGATACCGGCTTCGGCAAGCATGTTCATGCATTCGGTGTGGTTCTTTGTCGGGTCGACAGCATAAGTACGAATGACATTGGTCCTGATCTCCTGCAGGATAGGGATGTCACGCTTGCAGAGGGTGGCGTCGGCCAGAGGGTCGACATAGCTGCTGGAGCTGCTGTCGGTGGAGTTGGAGTCATAATCGGCTGCAGGAGATTAGGCTTTGCATTGGCGAAAGTGGTCGAATAACATACCCTGATAGGCAACACCACGGATATAGCTTGAGAATGTCAGCGAGATCAAAACAAAACAGCCTGAGATCCGTACAATTGGGTGTTGTTGCTGCTGTAGAAGAATTTGGAACCCTGATGTCTATCAGCAAGTGCCCAAGACAGTTGAATGCAGGCCTCCCACCTTGATGACGATAGGATCAATATCTGCCAGAGCAGATCCCACAAAGACTGCCGCTCCAAGAGCGAGGGAGAGCTTCATGATGCCCAGAGTTTATTCAAATCAAGTATACGATAGGAAGAAAACGCGAGAACAAGAGGGCGGATAAATGAACGAGTGAAATAGAAAGATAAAAACGAATGGCAAGTATATCAAGACCTGAGTGCGCGCACAACAGGGAACTGAGAGCGTAACATATAGCCATCTTCCAAGGAAAACCTGGCACCGGCTATTTTAAGAGGACAGCGTATAATTAGCAACCATTGGTTTCTCTCCTGATATGAGCTCCCAGATCTGTGGCCTCTCAAGTCTCCTGGCCGGGGCCCGCTATACAGGCGAACGCGTCACCCACCACCATGGGCCATTGACGGTGGTAGTGGACATGATGGTGCTAACAAGGGACTAGCGATTAGAGTTGCTTGGGAGCGTCCACTCGCGGTAAAGGACAAAGCCATTAGACTGAGAACTCGGTAGCCAGAGTGGAAGAGCGTGTCAAGAAAGGACAGCGAAGTGGGACGCTGGCCAAACTGGTGGGTGGAGGATGGCGTCGTCGTAGTGCCAAAGTGGATGCCTGATTTTAGAGAAGAATCTTTTTCCCTCGAGTGGGAACGGCCGTCGCGGTGGCTATAAGTACCAGTAATTTGCGCATATTACCGCGGAGGAGGACGAGTCAATATCATATTCAATTGAGGATGACTTGGGGGCGATAGGAAGTTGGGGGTTGATCTTGAAGAAAGAAAAACAATAAATAAAGTGCAGAAGTTAAGATCTGTCGATCCTCTCGCGGCCTGAGGCAGCGGTTCGACGGAGTTCGGCAAACCCCAGACTGACTCCCGACCGGACATTTATTTACTCGTTACAACAACAATCCAGAACAGATCAGATCAGAGCAGAGCAGTCAAAGTCGACTATCGCTTCCAATACATCATTAACGCCATTCAATAATACAAGCCCCAAGAATTGAAACACGAACGACTTAAATCATACACTTTGGCCATTTTCGCCCGTGCACTCTGCCTCCCCTACAAGCCTGCATTTTCCCGCCTGCGTCGCTCGATCGCAGCCTCGAAAGACCGAATTGTGTCCAGAGGTCGCTCGAACCGATAGCGGGTAGGATTCGACACGTCGGGTTCCGCTGAAGAGTTGGTTAGATTGAGCTTCGATGCTGGGAGATAGGGGAACGCACTGATCACTTTGCCCTCGCGGTCGCGATGCTGCATTGCGCGTAGGGAGAAACCGCTCGACCCGACGCTGTCCACTACATCGGCACCAGTTAGTTCGGCACTGGTGGCAAACTATAAACCATGCAATCTCCTCTACATCCACCTACTTGCACGCTCCCCATTTAGGGCCTGATTCGGGTCGGCGCTGCTCGAAAGCGAGGTCTTGTGGTTGCTCTCCGCCGAGCGCCCGGACTCGGGCCGGTTGTCATTAGACGAGGCGATCGAAGGTGCCATGTTTGTTGCCTGAGACGGTGCCTGGATCGTGCGTGATTAAAAACAAGGAACCACGGCTGCGAGGAAAGATAAAGCAGAATGCTGATGCTGACGTTGGAGCAGCAGGACTGGGCGGGCGTCTAATAACCCTCCCCCTCGGAGTGAGAGGTCGAGTCATCACGCCTCTACGTATGCAGTCAGCAAGTTATGCCTGGGTGGTTTAACCAATGGCGAACCCTGTCTCTGGCGAAACAGTATCAGCCTTTCTACTGTTTTTAGAAGCGGCATGGAAGGAGCATCGCCCATCTGCAACGTCAGATCACGCAAGGGGCGCCAATGATGACACTTGATGCCTGCGTGCCTGCGTGCCGGGCTTGTGACGCGGCCGGTCGGAGGGTCCGTGACGTGTTCTCGCCCTTTTCCCGCCCTCGGTTGGTGCAACAACCCCAGGCCAAGCTTCCACTAAACCTCCAAACCCAAGGCTTATCACCCCGGTGAGCCAACAGGAGCCAACATTGGGGGATCCGCCTACGTTAGGGGCCACGCAAGCACACTGCCCTGCTGTGTGATTCTAGGCAACCACAATCTCACCCTCCGTCTGCAAATGCTCCTGTACCTGACGAGGTGAGATCTCTGGTCCAGAGGTTACTGAGCCAGAATGAAAGTTTAGCTTTTCTACAAGAGGGGTCGCCTCAGGTACAGTACCATCGCATCAGCCCAAAAATGTGATAGGGGTGGCCAAATGCGGACGATCATACCTCCTTCCAGTTCCGGAATGCTGGGGGCGCATCATTTTTTTCCTCTTTTTGCACCTCGGCTCTTCCCCACCCACGGAATAGGAATTATCAGATAGGACTAATATTCTTCCCTCGCAGGAGTGCCATCCCGCAGAGCCTACCCACATCCCGTCATGCCAGAAGATGCACCCACGAACACACTCGAGTGCATCAATTTAGTGAGCTTACTATCCAGGCGACTGTCATGGTGGCATCTGAAACATGCTGTCGCATGTTTGGTCTGCGTAAATCCGCCAAGACTTCGTTCGGATCGGTTGTAAGTTGCGAGCAGCCAAGCCGCGTTGCGTACACTGGTTACTTTTGTATTTCGCCGCTATTGTCGCGAGTCACGTTGACTTCTTTGATGATTCAGATTCGGTCATCCAGGTTCGGCAGCTCTACACTGCTCCCAGAACGGTACCGTAGCAATCCACAGAAGACCTAGCCCGGTAACGCGTTTACCTTAATGAATAGAGATCGATCGCATAGCTAGCCAAGGCCAATGCCTCTGCTACGGTTCCTCAAATCAGCTAGGGTGTCTCACGTGGAGAAATATCAAACCAGAGGGTAAGATCAGTGCCGGCCAGCTTGCTCTCTTTTTTCATATCCTTTCTCCCAAGCAGTCCACGGAGTTCCCTATAGACCATCGCACCTCCAATCTCAAAGAACCCGGAAAACCAAATTTCAGGACGAGTCTATATGCCCTACCGGTGCCAATAAAACCACCAGTCTAAAACCAGCCTTCCCTCCCATTCCCTTCCATTCCCTTCCCACCCTCCCACTGACACAGCCAACGCCGAAGAGCATAAACCCCTCCAGAAGAACAAATTAACCAACCTCTAACCTAGTCCCACCGCGACTTCAAGAATACACTAAATAAATGTAATTTTGGCGCACTCCACCCCGAGTACCCCACCGCCACATTCTACTTAATACTTAGTACCTCCGCGGCAGTCGGAGATGCTTACCGAATGGAGTATAACCATCTTCACTGCACTGCACTACACCCAGGGAGTTCAATGATGGCGAGGGCAGGGCTGTCGAATATCACCTCTACTGAGACTTTTATTCTGCTGCCTTCGGGTGATCTAAGACATTTTTCTGAGGTGTAAGTGTGGATGTGGATATAATTAAGCTGGGCTGTAGGGGATGACTCTTGTAAGTCGCCTTCTGGGGCTAATGTGCCAGGTTTGGGCATTGGAGTTGGGTGTCCCGGGCTCGGAAGGTAGGCACTGGGGATTGTCTTGCGAGGGATAAGTTATTTGGAGATGGGAAGAAATGGGATGGGGCTACTGGGTTTATTGCTGTGAAAGAGGCTTTCGATGGCAGGGAGGGTGGGCGATGTTTCTACCGTGGAATCGATGAAGTCGTAGGTGGGTGGATTGATCGACGGGTTACTCAAATTGTACTTTCGTGATAAGGACCAACTGACACGCTGACAGAAGCCTCGAGCATGGTCTGCTCATACTGAGCCATACAGCGCATCTGATAGCCACGCTATGCAAAAACAGACCTACACCAGTTAGCATCCCAAAACCCCCTCCAACTCAATCGCAACCCCCCATTCTCGACCATCACCACCACGAACCCTACCGCTCCCAAGCAAACAACCCCCTGCACCACCTTCCACGCACACTCCCGCAGATTCAGCTTCATACACGCCTGATGCCGGGCCAGCATATCCGCCCTGGTATTCCCCCTCGGCACAGGGACATCGGGCACCGGCTGCCCCAGGAACTCGCACAGCGGCTCCCACCCCTCCTTCACATGATAGAGCAACAGTCTCTCCTTGGGCACCAGCTCCTGGATCCTCGCCACGTGATTCCGATAGGTATCGCGGGCGTCGTTGCGGATATTCGTTCCGAAGAAATACAAGCCCGCTTTCTCGAATGTCTCGGGCACGATGCGGTAGCGCGAACGGAAGATCGTGTTGATGGCGGTGAGGATGGGTACGAATAGGTACTTGTTGACCGGGGTGTCGATCGCGGCGACGAGAGCCATCATTGATCTGTCGTGTCAGTGTCGCCATCTATACTAGGTAGATGGGAGGTGGACGTACTCATACCACTCGTCCACATCGCGGACTGTGACTATGACTTTCGCTTCAGGGTATGCCTCGATCAGATCTTCTGCGAAGCAAAGAGCCGGGAGGTCCGAAACAGCCTATAGGGTGTTAGCCATAGTTGACACTGCACCCCTGATTACCCAGACCCTTCCCTTGCGAGACATCCAGCAGCAGCGAAGCGAAGCGAACCCACCTGACAATGCCCAAGCAGCCGATCCCACTCCGCCCGCCCAAACCGCTTCCCCACCCCCTCATACTTCGCCCGCAAAGCCTTCCGCCACATCTCGCAGTCGCGCGGGTTCGAGATCATGGCCTGGTACCCGTGGTACGCTTCGTAGTAGCCGAGAATGCGAAGCGCATCCATCATCGCTGCAGTCTCTATATCAGCACTTGCCTGGATCATCCCGTCCCGTGAGACCTGCAACGAACTCACACTCCGATCCCGTCCTCGTTAGCCCCAATGAAAGCACCCGCATAGGCACGATCCGTGTGCATTGTTCGCGATCGACGTCCGTGACGTGAAACACGCGACCGCCGGCTTTGATTGTTGGCATTTTGTCTGTGGGTGTTGCGGTTTGGTGCTGGGGATGTTGTCGCTAGCCGATCGGTGAACGGGGTGCGGTCGTGCGATCGGATCGGTGGGTTTGTGTAACGGACGATGGGTCTTTGCGACGTAGGATTTGAGAGCGAGGACGTTGAGCTTAGGCTATCGTGGGATGCTGCTGGGAGTTGGAGCAGATGTTGAAAGTGAAAGGCTCAAGTGAAGGGCTCCGTGGGGGTTTTAAAGTCACCCAGACACGTCTTTCGTGTTGGTGATGGACAGCGCGTTTGTCGATCACTGCGGTGCGATCCCGGGATGTGACCGCTCATCGGGGATGTCAGCTCGTGACCGAGGACAGCCATGCACTACACCACGATGTCGAGTATAACAAATACCTGGTATAGACAACAACCGGACTGTGCTTCTAAGGTCATTGGTTTTACCGGGCACCCATCGGAAGGTTTAGGCCATCCTTTGTCATAGTGAGAAAAATTATATTGTCACCTCTAAACGCGAATCGCGCTAGAAGATGAAGTTGATCGCCGCTAAGATATACATTTCAGGGGCGTAGCTCGACTCCCTCATTCTTCCCGTTGAGACATAGCCCGTCACATGCTTTCTTCCTATTCGGGCAAGGCCCCCCTTCCCCGGGCCCGGCCCCGGGCTTGGCAGAGTCGCTCAGGCACTGCAGTATACATAGCAGACCCAGGCAGGATAAATAGACGGAGACCAATCGAGGTCGTCTCTCTTCACATATCCAGGCACTCGCTAGAGCACTGAATCTCTGGGTAAGACACCGATCTGTGTTGATTGCAGTCTGGTATGGCTTAACGTGGCATGCGATGCGTGACCGCAGCAACTGCACAGACAAATGATTACAATCAACCTTTCTTCCAATGTGATCATGACATATCTTGACACATTCCGGCAATAAGGCAGTACATCCTATACATCATATATACCTACTCAATCACACAAACAGTCACACCCACTAACCAACCAAACCCACAGCATCCTACCCCAAATAAATCTTACTCAACTGCACATCATTCCTCTCTTCATTAAACGCCATATCCAGCTGATACACCCTGCGGTTGAGCAACAACACCCGCGACGGATGCCACACGGCCATGACCACCATACCCAGAAACATCGGCAGCGCGTCGAACACATACGCGAACGCCTCATGCCTACCCAAATACCCCTCGCCGGTGGCGCCGGCGCTCGCATACTCCGCCAGCCGGTATACCGAGCGCACCAGGATCAGCGCGCCGGCCACGTACAGGCCCAACAGGGTCGTCTCCCAGGTGGCGTGGAACCAGCCGTCGGTTGCGATGCATGACGAGATGGACTGCGAGGAGGGGCTGCGGTGGATCCGGTAGTGGAAGGTGATCGCTGCCAGCAGGAAGACTGTGAAGAAAAGGAGCTGGATGACTAGGCCTGCGATGATGATGTTTTGGCCCGTCGTGAGGGCGGAGGCGTCTGTTGATGTGTGCGTGAGGATCGCGCCGCCTTCGGAGGTTAGTTTGGGAGATTATTTGAGGGGGTTTGGAGCGGGATGCGTACCGGCGCCTTGGATTAGGAAGGAGATGATGTCCCCCGCGACGAAGATCACGGTTAGCCATCGCGTCGGGACGATGCTCAGGGACTCTTTGTCGAGGTAGAAGACGAGACGGCCTAGTGTCATGTACAGGGTTGCTGCGTAGAGAGGCGGCGCTAGGAGAATCAGTAGCGTTTGGAGCGTGAAGATCGTCTGGCTGCTGGTGTTGTTATGCGCCGAGGCGCGCGCAATGTAGCCGATTACTTCTACTGCCGTTCAGGGTCGAGGTTAGTGGGGATGGCTTTATTGCGGAGTTCTGGACACTCACAGATACCACCCAGCACGAAGCAGGTGAAGTACCAGGCGTGCGCTCGGGCCAGCTGGTAGACATGGTGGACCGTTATCGCGAGGAAGAGCAGGACGAAGATGACGGCGGCGGCGACGGAGGGATTGTAGTTGTAGAGCTCGTAGGAGCCATCCGCGCTCGATGAGCTCATGTTATCATGGGTCTGTCTGATTGTTGAGTCTCTTTCGCCAAGTATAGGTCAATTGACCGCGAAGGGATTGTTGCGAGCGACGCGCGGGCCTGGATTTGGCGAGAGCGGTATTTACACGTAGAGAGGCGGCGCGGTTGACGACACCAGCATGATGACAGAAGAACAGCCCGAATCTGCAAGGCAGAACGATGGCCTGCATGTGTCGCATCCTGAAACTCCGCTTTGTCTTGTTTTGTGTTGGTCTGAGTCAGATCTGCAGTCTTCAGACAAGATGCCCCCAAACTGCCGCGCAGGCCCCATCTTCATCCTTCCAAATTGGGGCCAAATCACGTATCTCATTGGTTCGCATGCAGACGTCTGGCATTATGCATGAATAGATTGCAGTTATGAGGCTCTTCGTCAGGTACCTCGGTCGCGATCGGCGTCTGGCCACAGTGTTGTGCGATGGTGGTCAGGGGCCGTTGTTATAAGGGTCAACCAGCTGGGCTGTGCACTGCATCCTGGGGAATTGTCAACACAATCTCAAGATCAGCAGCTAGGACCCTCACACCGGAGGTGGACTTTGGGTCGATCGATGAAACTGCATATTCTGCATTAGGGAGATCTCGTTTCTTCTTGGTCTTTGGCGTCGTCATCAGGCCCATGCGTCTATCTCTCGATCATACTCCCGCATGGATCCTCGCTACCTGGTCATGAAACGAATATGGTAGGGAAAGACTTCCACAACCGCGGGCAAATAGAGCACATAGACCTGTATTCAATATGGAGTCGAGAAAATTCACTGCAATGCGAAACATCTCGATCAATCATTCTGCTCTCTTCCCGACTTTAGATCACATGCTGTACTCCTTCCCTGCCAGAAAGTACTCCACTGGTGGCCCCCACCGCTTCCCTCGCACTTTCCAAACACAGCCGCAACACCAACTCCACAACACTCTATCGTCCAAAAGCTTCCGTTCCTTCGCCAAATCCTCTCCTCGGTCAACAGCCCACCGACCTCAGTAGCATCCTTGCTTGATTTCCTGGATTCATTCCAAGTTCCCCCTCAAGAGAAGGAAGGCCTTCAGCCCTTCTTCCCACTGTGAGTTTTCCACCACTTCTGGGATTTAGATAAACCTGCTCACACTGATCAGGTGGCCGGGGCCTGCCTCAATGAAACGAAGCCTTCAGACCTTCTTCCCAGCGTAAGGCGACTATCCCTCCTCGACATCTGCACGACCTGCTCATACATACTAGGTGGCTGGGGCCTACCTTGAAAAAGAGAAGACCTTCAGACCTTCTTCCCACCGTAAGTCCCCTCTCTCTTAAAGCAATCTGCAGGCTCACGCTTACTAGGTGGGTGGGGCTCGCCCCGGCCCCAGACTATCGGTGCGGTGGTTGTCTCACGATCGCTCTTCTATACAATGTAAGCTATCCAATCTGGAAGCAAGGGACGGGCGTCTGCTGGACACGCGGGAACTAAATGATTCATCACCAGGTGCTTGTGCCACAATTCGACTGATACAGCCTGCTTTCCCGCGTACCGGAGATACCACACGGTTGTGGCGACCCTGGTAATGGGTTGGTCGAGATGAATCGTATGTGCTTCTCATCGGAGAAAGGGCACGCACCACACAACCTCGGATGCGGTGTCCCGAATGTGGGCATTTTACAAGATTGATCATCGACTCGGATCTGGCAGCCACTGTTAGTAGGATATGGGATCTCTTGATTGTAACAAGCGACTAACATATCTTAAGTACTCTCGAGATGCTGAAGTTTGATTTCTGACAACCACTTCATCCCGAAGCAAGCGCAGTTCGACAGACGCACTGTTTACAACGATCTATTCAGCCATCATGTAGCAGTACATCCCGGAACCATAAATTAACACTCGCATAAGTTCAGAAGAGAGGATTTCCAAATGTCTCACGTCTACGGACCCGACACTGCAATCGTAGCTTGAAACATGACGTCAATCGCTCAGCATGCCACTCATTACTCCTCGATTGAAGTGGACAAATAGAGACACTGCTATCACAGAGCCATCTCCAGCTTGGCGTCTGCAGCATATACATGCAGCTTGACGGTTCATTGTCTCAGTCGCTCCGTTTGAGCCAGCCGTGCGGGTACGTCGGTGGTAACTTTCTTCCATCAGGATGAGCTTGGGGAGACAATTTGCTCAAGGTTGGAACATGTAGCTGCATTCGACATTCCCGTCAAGATAATTTTCCTCGACGACGTTTCCTTTCCGGCTCCGCTCATACGGAGATTCAGCCTTGAAGAACAGGCGGCGAAAGAAAGTGCTAATGGACGATGCTGCTTGCACTCTGCACCGTTTCCTTTCTCAGACTCGAGCCCAGCTATATACTTCCTTAAGCCCCAGCGTGCTTTGTGGGAGCTGTACGTCGGAAAATGATACTTGGCTGCTCGGGTTCCTTGCGCATTTATGGAAATGCTCATGTGCGAGCAATATACCTGTGTCACATCGGCAAGGACCCTGCTGGCAAACCCATGTCCTAATACAGGAAAGAGACTGAAATCATGGCCTGAATGTCTGATGAATAAATCATTCAGTCACAAAGGTCAGTTGTTTAAGAGCCGGTCTTTACTTTTCTTTCTATCAATGTCTACTTAAGAAGAAAAAGCTTTATATATTACAACTATATCAATCATTATTCATAATTTCCATCACCCATCAACACCTGCTCCTTCAATAGAACTAGTTATAGATATCCAGAGTGCCAACAGCAGAACCATTGCCACAGGCGCCTCCAAAGTCCCCATACAACTCCTCACGCTCCTGGATGAACTTGCTGAACGCGGCGCGGGAGCAGCTCTCACCAGGCCCGTCGCGACAGCCCACCAACGGCTGCGGGGCCGAGTTGACCAGTACACGGTAGTACTCGGGGTCCTCGTAGCCAGGGACGTCGCACTCGAGCCGCTCGATGGCGATGTTCCCGAGGAAAGGGAGGATATGACTACTCTTCCAGGCGCGGTTATAGTTGATCTGATCGAGGGGCATGGTCCCGTTGAGGTCGGCCGCGCCCGTGTAAGCGCTGTTGTTGAACAGGCCCAACGCCGTGACGACCGTGGGCGGCAGCTCGCGGTGCGTGAACGAGACATACAGCGTGTCACTCGTGTTGGTGTTACCCGACACCATGGCCCAGCTGGCATTGACCCAGGGAAGTCCGATGTGCGGCGTCAGCGGCCGCCCGTAGCCCGTGTTGTAGAAATACATGATGTCGTTGGCGTATTCGAAGGCCAGCCATTCTGCGGAGCTGAATATGCTCAGCGAGCAGAATGGTGAGAATCCCCGGATCACGGTCTCGTAGCCGCAGAGCTCGAACATCGCGGTCACGTCGTCAGATGTGAAGTTGAATTTTGGTGCGAGGGTGTCCAGACGGGCGATGATGGGGGCTGTGTAGTGTTCGATGAATTCCTGTTTTCTTGGTGTTAGGATCGGAGGGTCTTCGGAAGGGGGGTGGAGGTGTGGGAGGGGACTGGGTGCTGCGGGCATACCTTCGACTGGTCGCTGCCGTAGCTCGAGCTGTAGGCCGGGCAGGCCTTGTATGGTGTCAAAGAGTCTGCGCCCGTCGACTTGGACTCGGCGATTTGCACGAGATCCACGGTCGAGGACTGGTTGTGGGTGTACCCGTTGATGAATCCCTCTGCGGACTTGACGGTGCGTTCGGCAGTCGACGACCACACTTTGTTTGCTTGGAGCGTGGGGTAGTGCTGATGCAATTTTATACCGAGGGTGGTCGCTTCCTGGAGGCCGACGCGGGTCAGTTTCTCGAGGTGCTCGTCGTCGATCGGGGCGGTCCAGTTCCGGAGAAACGAGAGCGCGCCAGTCGATTTCCAGTCCTGCGTCGTGTTGCGCAGCTTCTCGACGAAGGGCTCGATGTACGACTCGTAGTCGAAGTCGTTGGCGTAGATCGCGGCATGGCGCACAAGGTATGCTGCGCGGGTCACGTTGCACCCCGGGTGTGGCTTGGGATCAATGGGAGGGTCCTGGGGAGCGTAGTATGGTGTGATGCCGGCCAGGTGATGCAGCGGGTTGAAACCGATCCCCGTGGTGGTTGTAGCAAGGGTGCTGAGCGCGAGGAGGGAGGTGAAGGTCTTCATCGTGGACGGCTTGGACAACCCTGGTAGGGCTGATCTGATGCTCTGTACTGCGGGATGGTTACTGCTGCACTTCACCGTAGTTGAGCGCGAGGTCTGCCACCTATATATGTTTTTGGATTTCAACGGTGTGCCTTGTGGATCAGGGTGAAAACCAGAACCACGTAGGGCAGTTTACCTATTACATCATTGACAGGCACCAGAATATGCCCCAGACTGCAAAAAAAACGATGCAGTCATTGTCAGCTCCATACGTCACTGATCTGCCGGACATCCTTGGAGAAGCAACAGGGTATGGTGGAGTCCATCCGGCCAATCCGAGCCGCGGTGCGGCATTAAGGGTCGCCCCGGCAAGAATTCAATCGGGGAGAACGCAAATCGCTGCAGGAGCTGCGGAGCGATAAATTTAGCTCACAAGCCATGTCGTGGCCGACCACCTTTACCCAAAAAGTCATCCGTCGTGTGTGGTGAGACGCAGAAGATGAGAGTCCTGCGGCCTTCCTCCCTTCGGTCGCTATGTCATCGGACACAAAGCTTGTCACCGACAAGTTATTGGAGCGGTGCGGCTCGCCAAGTTCTGCCGGTGTCTGGGCATCCTCCTAACGGAAAATGATCGTCATCTAGTCAGGACCATGACATAAGGCCATAAACAATCCACATCACCGTCACTCCCTGTCTCTGTCTAGACCCTGATCGAGGGTGAGTTCATGCAACGTGAGCCGAGAGCCGTCTTAGCTGCGTATATCAACATACAGCATCTTGAGTAGGATGCCTGAGACTTAGTATTTGTGCTTGGCACAAAGGGCCCAGCTCAACTCAACCTCGGCGAATCTTTCTTGATGATGCTCCCACATAAACTGTCTCGTTCGATGCGCATCAGCATCGACCTTGTATCACAGGAATAGCATCAACTTTGTCTATGGTTGCAAAAAGTTTGTCAGTTAGTCACTGCAAGGAATATGCTTTGGTCTAACATATGACACTTGTGGAGCTGTAGGACGACTTGCCGTCAATCGGGAGACCCAAGTCCACCTCAAAGACAAATGTCGTCAATTTCCTCACGGCGTTGCGGGTTTGAAATAGTTTGCACTGCTGGGGACCAGATTTCACAAGATTCAAGCAAGAATTGATGAGTCAGTGAGAAATGAATGAAGAGCGGTTATCGTACGGCTCGGGAAGAAAGAGAGGTCTACCTGGTCGTGGGCGGGGAACTCAAGCACAACACATCTCGTGACTTCAACCTTCAATTCTGCCTGAGTCCGCCACATACATTATTGAGAACATATTTTCGTAAGAGAACAGACGCCTGATGCCTGCTACTATGCGCCAGAAACAACCTTGTCCAAACACAACAAAATTATTATACAAGGAACCAGGTGCAGTACGGTCAAGGAATCGTCATTGTAAGGCTCATGCACGCTTCCAGGGAGATTTAGACTTACTTTGGCGCAGATAGTGTCCTATATTCCAGACTATTAAGACCAGTATGACAAGTCATAGCCCTCAAGAACGTCAGAGTCGACGTGCACTCCAGCCAATTGCGACAGGCCAACAAAATCTTTTGCGCGCGTGCTTCCGAGCATCTTTTCCGAATGCCATCCACCAGGGATGAGTACTAGAACGACCTCCGCTAGAGCCCAAATGCCATGCATGTCCGAAGGGGGGAGCTATATACCGATCATCCAAGTTGCAACCACTGGAGCTATATCGAAAACCCCTGTCGAAACACCATACGTAGTTTCCCGTCTACCTAACACAGAAGGCCCGGTTTTCTACTATTAGGCCTCTTGTGTCTCTGATCATTGTGACCATCCTCAAACCCAGATTGTTACCCAACAAGCCAGCCTCACGTCTCGAAGGTCCTTCCGCTCATCAGACTGGGCAGCAGCAGCCTCATGATTGTGCTTAATAGTCCCGATGGGTAGTTATACTCAGTATGTTCTTATGAAAACAGATCAACACATCCAAGGAGCAGGTATCGCGCATTTTGCGACGTATATGCGACTTGTCCATTGAGACGTCCCCGGATCGGTCATGGCCCGCCCGCCGCCGCCGACTTTGCGCTCTGACTAACTGGCTACAGAGTGGCCTTCTCTTGTTAACGCAATAGCTCTTGCGGAGATACAGAACACTGGGGGAGATGTGAACTACAGTACATATGAGATTTACTGCAAGATTGCTTGCACGATTCCACGAACGGCGACGCAATCCAAGATAAATTAAGGCGAGAATAGCCACTTACGCACGCCCACAGAGACCCCTGTGCTAAGACTACTAGTTTACTGACGAAGCACAATCGTACTAAAAGGCAAAGAAAAATAAGGATTCCCGAAAGATGATACCAAGCTACATATGCAACGCCTCCTTGTTCAACAACCACCGGCTATTCCGCAGCAGGGGCCTCTTGCCGAGAGCCTTCCGGTTCGCTTCGACGCGACGGAGGAGCGTACTACAGGCCGGGACAAGCTCCTCCGGGATGGTATCCAGCTCGCCGGAGATGAAAGAGTAGATCGAGGCGTTCTCGCCCTCCAACGAGTCGTCCGAGTCGACCGAGCTATCGTCGGTCATGACCGAGCCCTCAGCGTCAAGAAGCATTGGCTGGATGTTGGCCTGGGTCAGGAAGCTCGGCACCGGCACCGTCATGATGACGTTCGTCATCACCGTCACCTGCACATCTGCCACGGTCATTCCGGGGGGCGCGACCAGGAGTGCGTCGGGTAGTGGTAGTGATTGTGGTGGTGGACCGCCGCCATACTCGTCGTCGCTGGCCGAGGTATCTGTTTCGCTTTCGGACACGCTCAGATCGTCCGCCTCGGCTACCGCGCCGGGCGGTGGTGCCCATGGAGGTGGATAGTCGTCGTCTGCTGAGATCTCTGTTCCGCTGGACATGTCCTCCTCCTCGGTACCGAAGCCGAGGGAGTCGTCGTCGTTGTCGAGCGACGGGAGGCTGTCGCTGTCGTAGTCGGAGGACGGGGGCGCCTCCAGCGGGAAGCTGAAGTACGCGTATCGGGTGTCGGAGTTGTGGGACGGGAAGCTGCAGTCGTCGAACCGGCAATACTCCAGATTCGGCATCTGCGCCATGATCGCCAGGATGTCCTGCCAGCCGCCGTCGATGAGTCGCACGTCCTCAAACACGATATGCCAGATCAAGTGCTTGCTCTGTGCGAGCAGGAACGCGAGGCTCCGCGCAGAGATGCTCACGGAGCCGAGGTCAATGGTCTGGAGACAGGGCGGGGAGGGCCCCGCCGGAATATCTTGCAGCCTTAACTGGGCGGAAGCGCGGGTCACTCGGCTGGGCGGGCGCTGAGCTCGACGCCTGTTATTCGGATTCGCGGCTGCAGCGATCAGGCCGAAGACCCAGGTGGCGAAGCTCGGTTGGGACAGGGGCCGTTTGTTGTGCTCCTCCTGCCAGATCTCGAACTCGGTCAAGCGTGGCAGGATCGGCTCCAGATGCTTTTCTGTGTCTCGGAACTCGGGCGTGAGGTGTGCGGTGTCGATGGGGATGAAGGGGACGTCCATGCACAAGGAGATCAGCTTGGGCGAGACGCCTTGGAGGATGCTGTGAAAGATTCTTAGCGCGCGTCGCTTGTCTTGCTCGCCGTTGACAGGGAGGCCGCTCATGATCTCCATGTGGCCGATGTTGCAGAGCCGGCTCAATGAAGTCGTGAGTGATTGGGCATCTTGCTTGGTGAACCGCCGGCGGCCACCACAGTTGCAACTGGAGTCTCCAATTCGGATGTTGATTGCACGAACGTAAGTCGCGTAAGGACTGTTGCTGATGGTTGCTAATCGCGGGGAGAATTCCTCCCGGGGCATGATCTGGATAGCGACACTGTGAAACACGCGAGGGGAAGCCCAGGTGCAGAAGGTCTTGTTGACAAGTCGTAAGCGAGGCAGGGTCGCGGGGTTAGTACGCTCAAACACCGGCACCTCTGGAGGGGGACGCCCTCGCTTCAGAGCCCGTTGCTCTGCTTCTCGTGCTGCACGGAGGTCGTTTTTCAGGTCTAAATCTACTTGGCGTTCGTCTTCGGCTTGGACGTACGACACAATCTACGCCGTTGCGATTAGACTTCAGCGCTTGTTTGAGACCCGCCCGGGACTCACCATGTCGATGAGCTCGCGAGGGAGTTTCTCCATCTTCACAGCTTCTCGCGTTGTGCCTCTCTGGTACCAACGGGAGGAAGATGACCTGCCGATAGATGAGTTAGAGTGGTTCTCGTGAGGTATGGCAAAACAGTGGGGTGCACGCTTATCATCAGGCGGTAAGGTTGATCGACAAATTACCTTTCTATCTTCAGTGGGAGCAGGCCAGCCAAGGTACGACATACAAGGCACCGGGTTAGTCAAGAAGAGAGCACCTGAAGTGAGGAGGACAGGGCGGGGAGTATAAGAATAGATGGCGAATGAGAGCCAGCTCCAGCGCCCTGACAAGAGTTTGCTTCCCCTCAGGGACGTGGAGATCGCCGGGCTCGGTGACCGCCTTCTCCGAGTGATTTCTGCTGGTCATTGCATATCGCGCTCTGCCATAAGAAGAGGGCGGTCTAGCCTGGGCTTATCAATGAGGCTGGGTGCATTTTAGTGGTCTTTTCCGCGCTACTGTCTATAATGGAACATCACCACAACTCCACTTCCTTTCCTTGGTGGTCTAGCAGCCTGACTTCCTTGATATGACCGAGACGTGAGCTGATCGCTGATCAGTGCTGTATTGCTATAATATTATAATGCTCAGATCCAAGTGACAGTGCCAGACTCAACCAACGCCAATGTCAATCAGGTCTGAAGTATACTGGATAGGTAGTGCAGCCATACCGTACAGCCTGACATCAGTTCACTTTGGGTTTCACGGTCGCTACAGACTCTAATCTTGGAAAAAGTTACATGGCCTTACTGTCTCAAAGATCAAGGTTCAGTCTCTATTCATCTACTTGTACTAGACATCACCCAAGCCAACCAATTCCACTCTCAAAGCAAATCGATGCACATTGGCGCTACAAACCACCGCAGTAGTGGTAAGTGAAAGAAAGAGAAGAAGTTTGTGCACTTTAATAGCTGTCTCTATAGTCAACGCTATGGTGTTGTGCCTGTGTTTACTTTATCAGGTACAAAGTCTTCAAAATTGCTAAGTACTCACTTTTTCAGATAGGGGCAGTCCGATAATTTTGGGCATGCTTTACTCACTTCTCTATTAGATTGTATTGTACCAAATGGCTATGGAGTACCGAGTAAGTCTAGATTTTATAGTAACGATGGTAAGAGTGGATCATTAGGGGTCCGATTTGTATACTCCAAAAGCTACGCCAGGCAGTTCCACAAACCACTATACACAACCCCTGAAAACCAGCAGAATCAAGAAGATATACTCAAGCGAGATATACAGACAACAAACAATCCGACAAAGTCCCAGTAAAGTCCACCGAAATAACATGCATGCACTACAACTTACCACAACTAAGCACAGATACAGATATCTACTATGTACATAATTCCCGCTGACTAACAATACACCAGCACAGCCGAAAAGGTCCAGACTCTCGCCGCACGGCCTCACACGATAGCGCTCTAGGGATACTCCGCGATCCCTCCTCAAAATCTCACTCCACGTACCAGCTCGGAGGCATCACAGAGAATGGCGGACCCGTTCACCTCCTACCTCATCACACCATCGGAATACCACCATGTAGTCTCGACGAAAACAACAGAGCGGCGGATCGTACCACTGGCCGCTGGCCGGCCGGCGCTGCTCCCCGCGTTCGAAGCGCGGCATCTCCCTGGTTCGAAGTACGCTCTCCTACCTCCCTTGCTACAGGCGCTGCGATGAGTCGCTATGCTATGGTGTCGGCACCGTCTACTACAGTATCTAGCACCGTCAACTACAGTGTCAACTACTTCAGACGACCGCTCGTATCTCCACACAGCTTTACTACCCACCTATCCACCTACCTCAAACCTGACCTCCCTATCACCGCGTACACCCCACACCCACAAGACCAAAAAACCACGTACCAACACGCTATGCCTAGATTCTTCGACCAGTCCCTCATCCGCGACACCACCTCGCCCTACCCCCTCATGCTCCCTTCCGCCGCCGCCTTCGCCGCCGCCATGACGGCGCTCGACATCCGGCCCTCCGACATCCTAGTCGTCTACGACGCCTACGAGATCGGCACGTACAGCGCACCGCGCGTGGCGTGGATGTGCACGTTTTTCGGGCGCGCCGGCGTGCACATCCTGAATAATTTCCGCGTGTATGTGGATTGTGGGTTTCCTATCTCAGGGGGATTTTCTCTAGCGGGTGGGGTGGGGATTGGGGTTGGGGTTGAATGGGGGGAGGGGGAGGGGAAGGGGTATCCTATTCCGACCATCGCGGAGCCGGATAGGGTGATTGTGTATGAGGAGGTTAGGGGGTTAGTCGGGGATGAGGATGTCAGGATTGTGGATGCTAGGATCGCGGGCCGGTTTAGTGGGCTGCAACCTGAAGACGATAACAGCTTGCGGTCGGGTCATATCCCTGGTGCGATTAATGTGCCGTTGGCGAGACTATTGGATGAGACCTCCAAGGTGATTCTGCCGGCGGCGAAACTCAGGACTGTCTTTGAGGAGGCGGGCCTTTCGGTTGCGAGTGAGGCTCCGCGCTCGTGGATCTTAACCTGTAACTCTGGCGTTACTGCCGCTGCGCTCGATCTGGCGCTCGCGGAGATAGGTGCGAAGGGTCCTAGAAGGTTATATGATGGTAGTTGGATGGAGTGGACGAGGCGCGCGGAGGATGGGCTGGTCATTGCGGACACGGACGCACACAGCTGAGGCCGCTGTTCTGCTCATGATTGTTAGCCCACAATAACATCATTGATCCCCGCGATGGCTACTGGTGGTCTACTGGGCCAGCGCGCATGGGTCCTGCCACGCAGCCGGCCAATTTAATTCGGTCAGCCAATAAACCCAGCGAGCTGTAGTAGGTCTGCCACTCAAGCAGTTCCGGCAGACTTCTCAAAATTGTTGAAGGCCGTATGATTTCGTGTTCTATCGATAACCGTTTTCTCGGTGGGTAATATGTGATGATGGCGTGAGTCGTGTATTCTCATCGCTCATTCATGGTCATGCATCGTGTCTGACATGACGAAAAACAAAAACAATAAAGAAACGCAGAAAGGCTCCCTCGTGTATCTAGTGAGGCGTATGCAGAATTGTATCGTATGACTGTATCAGGCTGCGCTCACGCTCACGCTTACTTGATCGTCCGCTGTGCTTAGTTTATCGAAAGCCCGAATCAGGTTCTCCAGGCTTTCCCCTTGGAAACTGCTGCCCGGTGGTGTGCCTTCTCGCGTCGGATGATGGTGGACCACGTAATTCGCGGCCAGGGATTGGATCTCTTCTTGAGTCCAGAGTTTCTCGTTGAATTCCTGCAGGATGGCCTGCGCCTCGGCGGGGATCAACGTTGCGTCTGCGCTGTTGCTGAGCACCAGCTGGATTGTTCGCAGGAAGGGTCGGCATATTCGCCACGCGAGTCCCATGTGCCAGAGTCCCGACACGCAGCTTACCAGCGCTTCGCGCCATTTCGATGACCGCAGATTCGACGCTGCGTGCAGCCCGATCACGAAAAAGTAGTGGACCATGACCACTGGTATTGACTTCCATCCGTGGCAGACACGATACAATAAAATGATCGTCGCCATCGCGTCCATGGCGTCTTCCAATACTTGCTGTGGGTTGAATTGCGTCGCCGCAATGATTATATCTTTCGCTGTGGTGGCTTCGCGGGAATTGAACAACCCGCATAGGTTGACTACGGCCATATGGTAGTATAGGCTGCAGCAGTCAGCGGTCTGCAGATCTGAAGAGGAAAGGCCACCTACTGAAGGCAGAGATTGTGGGGGGTTTTATTCCTGCCTATCCCCAGTACCATCGGCAAAGTGCGTTCGAATGTGACTAATTTCCCGTGGATGATGGTGCCTTTTTGCCAACTTGGGAGGTCGACTCGGGATGGCAGCTCTGCTTCGAAACTGGAAATATCGTTGATGAGGATGAGAAGATTGCGGCGGACGCAGATCCCTGTACTTGGGTAGGGCTTGAATGTGGGAAATGTGAACGGGTAAGGTGCCCATTGCTGATTGACGTCGGAGAGAAGGGCTTCTTCCGGCGACAAGAAGTTCTCCGGAGGAGCTCGCCAGGGTGAAGGTTTGCGCGACAATTGCATGGTTATTCTATTCAGCGTCAGCGCCTTCCACACCTACTCACACTGGAGATCGACACTCACGATTGCACGTCGTAGATGCCGCAGGCGATGAATTTATGTGCCCAGTTGTTTCGCTGTGCCTCCGTGACGGAGTCACTGTGGAAGACCGCCGACGAAGAAAGATGCAACCCGAGCTGCAATGCCATCTGGCCCCCATAGTAGATGTATTGCACCCCGATCTTGTCCTTCCCCGTGGCGTTGAAGAATAGCCCTAGAATCAGGCTGGCTTGAACGGTGGTTAAACATACTTTGTCTTTGTCCCGTTGCCAGAGACGTCCGATCTCTCGAAACAGTCGCTTGGCAATGGACATCTCTTCCCTCCTGTCCCATGGTTTCTCTAGGTCGTATGAATAGTGCTACCTTGGTCAGAATAAGCAGACCAGGGGATAGCAATACATACACACGCAAAGAAGAGGATGGCGTGCACCAGCAGGGAGGAGCAAAACTGCGTCCGTCCCGACTGGAAGTCATCGAGGAACACACGCGGCTCGATCAAATGCCAGGTGGGGTTGTCCCAGACGAAGAACAGCGAGAAGAGGTGCGAAGCCACCGGACTGTCGACGACGGTCGTCCATTTCTCCGCCGCAGTGACCGTGTATGGCGGATGTCGACTGATCAGCTCCGCTTTGCCCGAGAGCCGATTCAACCAGGCGCGCTGCACTCTGCTGAGGGTGACGCCGGGCCGTTGCGTTGACACCTGCCGGTCGAGGTGCATGGCGGCATCATGGACCGATGAGCTACGGCGGATGGTATCCACCACGGCCGGCAAGGCGGCGGGATCACAATCGTGGATCACCTGGTAGATCTGATGCAATTCCCGGAGCTGCCCCTGAAGCACCGACAGAGCTTGATCTAGACTTTTAGGATACTGAAGCTCCGCGGATGGGGGCTCTTCCTCCTGAGACTGTGGAGCCCCAGGGACGACCTGTGAATAGACTAGTTCAGCACAGCATCACGGGTCAGTGACGACAGAAGTCAAGTCACATGGGGATTGAGGACTCACTTCCATGTTGTTCTCCACTGGCGCCGACTCTGTGGGAAGCTGATCGGTGGTTTCATCGTTCTGGTTCGCGGGTCGGGAGGAGATGAGTTGGAACATGCGCTCATGGCGTCGGATGGTGCTCCGCAGCAGGGTAAGCTCCTTCTGTTCGAGGGTGCGTTTCTGCTCGGAATAGGTACATTCCAGGGCCAAGCCATCGCACTGGACACAAGTAGGCTTCCCACCATTGCACTTGGCTTTGCGTTGTCTACACGGATCGCAGGCACGTGAGGTGCGTATGCGGGAGCTAGATAGTACGATCCGGGACCGATCTCGCGGGATCAGGACTTTGGCCCGGGAAACTCGATCGGACGCCCCAGCTGGTTGGCCAGAGGGCCCAGTGAGAGCGGGGATAGGGCCCCTCTTGGTGCGCATGTCCAAGGTCTTCGAGTGAAAGATGAAGCCCCGATCGACTTAGACAGTCATGATCGATAAGATCGGAGAAATGCAATTGGCAATCGGCTGGTTGGAAGGTGTTCGTGAGTTGAGTGAGGGGGGGGGGGGGGGGGAAGGGAGGGATGGGGATTTGAAGCGGCTGGAAGATTTTTGTGGAAAGGGAAGATACTTCCACCATGTTGGACTCAACCCGAGAAAAGGATGTGGGGCACACAGAATATTTATCTTAATACTCGAGGTGGTGTGCCAATTCGGAATCCTGGGGGTGATCGGGGGGGAGGGAGAGAGAAGGAGAGGGAGAGGGAGAGGGAGGGGAAAGGAGGATCTATTGTTGCGGTCAAACCTCTCACACATTTGCTTTCAGTTGGTTCACCTCATTAGTACTAGGGTGATGAATGAACAGGGTGTAAACTGACTGATCAGGTGAGAAGAAGCCGAGGTAGGACGGAAAAGTTTCATCCTGTTGATCGCCTGGTCATTGGTTGCCTGCCGGTCGCGCCTCGTCACGCCTTGCAGATGCCTCAGGCAGACACTGATCCAGGGAGTCAGAGACAGGGACAAGGGGCACATGAGGTAGATAGACTACATTCGTACGGAGTACCTAGTTTCATCTTTTGCCTTATAGAGCTGACTACAGCGAGCTATTGTCCTTTGGGTCATTTTCATCTTGTGTCTTTTCGTGCACTTCCCCTTCGTCGACGACGTTTCTGAAGATCTGTTCCACGAGTTCCACAAGCAAAGCAAGTCCCTTGATCTTTCACCCTCCAGGGTAAGCTCTTGCTTTCATTTTCCATTCATACTAGCCAAGCAACCTTCACTTCATCGTAAAAGCCAGGTATGGCTCCTTAGACCGCAGTTTGTCGATTTATCATAAATGATGCGATCGAGAGAGGACGGATGCGTCATGGGACTGCGGAGTACCTATATTCCCCGCCATCGAAATCTTCTTATGCCTGCACAAGCACGCTGACTAATTTTTTGTGACCATCCAGCATCCTCAATAACTACTGGCTGATCTGCAAGGGCGATCCATCCCTCCCTTCTGATGCCATCAACACAGTCTCACCGCCACTGATTGGAACACGCCCCTGTCCATTGTTCGAGCACCAGCAATGCCTTTCAACAAATGATCTTGGCTGGATGAACAATCCAGAGTCGCAATCTATAAGAGAGGTCTTTACTAGATTGATATTTACTTGCCGTTAACGGCCCGCGACCACCTGTCAACACTACTTGGGCCGGCAAACTGGTCGACCGACAAAGTGACACACCTTGCTCGTGGTATAAGCCAAGCGTTCCTCTTGCTTGTCCGGGCTTGCCTGTCATCAACATGTCACCACAATCATGGTCGGGATGGGCTCCCAGTAGGTATTCAAACATCACCGGCTTCCATACTCCTAACACCTCGCCCGCCGAACTGCGAGGAGACTGCGGTACTGCCAGCCAGCAAATAGAGGATTTGACAGCCACCTGCGCCGCCCGCATTCCTCAAAGACCCCTTGCGTGACGCCTGAGGAACGTTGCACCTGGTGAAGCAAGCAACCGCGTTGACCGCTGGGCGTTCCCCATGAAAGCTTGGATCACCCGGGGAACATTACTCTCGTCGCGCCCACTTCTTGAGTCGTCCAGACAGCAAGCGCCCTCGTGATAATGGAACAGAAGCCCCTGAGCTTCCACAGAGCAAGCACCACATGTCGCGGCAGGAGGCAAAGAGAAGAGACAGAATGGGATCCGGCCCGCGAGCAGAGGCTCTTGCGCAAGATGGACCTGCATCTCATGCCCATGCTGACTCTTCTCTATCTGTTCTGCTTTCTCGACCGGGGTAACATTGGCAATGCCAGGATCGAAGGCATGGAGGAGGACCTTCACCTAGTTGGTGCACAGTATAACTGGGCGCGTATGTGTTAGCATCGGATCACTCTACTCTTAGCTAACCTCTCAGTTACCGTGTTTTTCTTCACGTATGCTGTGTTTGAGCTTCCGTCTAATCTGATCTTGAAAAAGATCCGCCCATCGATATGGATACCAACGATTATGGTCGCCTGGGGAGTTGTCATGGTTAGTCGCCAATTGCTTTATAGCTTACTTGTCTGACGGGTTCAAGACTTTGACGGGCGTGGTTTCAAGCTACTCTGGGCTTCTCATTGCGCGGCTTTTTCTCGGCATCACAGGTATGGGAGTCGTCGTGTCCGTTTCAGTTTTGTACAATCTAACGATCCTGCAGAAGCGGGTCTTTACCCTGGAGTAGCCTACTACATCACGATGTGGTACTCGCGTCATGAGGCGCAGTTGCGACAGGCCATGTTCTTCAGCGCAGCAAGTTTCGCGGGTGCTTTCTCAGGAATTCTGGCATTTGCGATCGGAGTATGTTGAGTATCTCCGTTTTCCTCGACTAAGCTCTAATCGTATGCCAGAAAATGGATGGGCTGAGTGGCTACTCTGGTTGGCGATGGATCTTTATCATCGAGGGTATCGCCACGGTTGTCGTTGCGATTGGGGCCTACTTCCTTCTCTATGACTACCCGGATACTGCGTCGTTTCTCACGGACGATGAGAGGGCGTGGGTTCTGCATCGCCTGCAGTTGCAGTGGTCGGACAACGGCAACGTCGTTCCAGACACCATCGAGTTCAGGTGGAAGTATGTTTGGGATGCGGTGAGCGATTGGCAGGTCTATCTGGGGACTCTCAGTAATTCTACCTGACACCGTCTCTGAAATGATCACTACTGACCATTCCAGTCTACCTGGCGATGGTGTGCCCTTTGTACGGCATTTCCTTCTTCCTTCCCACGATTATCAAAGACCTCGGCTTCACATCTTCGACTGCACAACTGCTGACGGTATGCATCCTTACTCCATGGTTTATGTCATCTCAGTACTCAGCGTGCAGGTTCCTCCGTACGTCGCCGCTGCCGTCGCAGCTGTCGTATCCGCCTGGTTTTCCGACCGCATGGGGCAGCGCTCCCCGCTCTTACTGTTCCATATCTCCTGCATCGTATGTGGGTTCCTCGTGTGTCTAGCTGGATCTTTGACTTGGGTGCCGGGTGTGATCTACTTTGGAGTATTTCTTGCAGTCCTCGGTATTCGTCTCTCTCCTATGAATCCCAGCGCAATGACTTACCGCGTCTCAGGAGTCTACCCTGCAATCCCAGGGCTTGTCACCTGGCTCAGCACCAACCTCGCTGCCAGTCATAAACGTGCCGCAGGAATGGCCATGTACATTGGCATCGGTAATTTCGCGGGAGGTCGGTCGATCTTCCTTACGCCATATGGAATCCTCATACAGTCCATGGATACTGACCGGTTATATAGCAATATCATCGCACTTCTACCGTAAACAAAATGCTCCGCGATACATCCTCGGACACTCCCTCGAGCTGGGGTTCGCTCTGATGGGCGTGATCTGTGTGGTATGTATGAGAGTGGCGTATCAGCGCATCAATGCGCGACGGGTGGATAAATTAGTAGAGTTGAGACCGGACTATACGGTTGACGAGTTGAGGGCAATGGGTGACAAATCGCCGACGTTTCGGTATACGTTCTAGCTTGAGGGGCATATGCCTGGATGGTGGCGCTATTAATATGAAAATAATGTTGTTTGTCGTCGGCCCGCTCAAACATTTCTTGCAGCACGGTCGGCGATGTTATCTACCTCCTTATCGAAGTCCTCTCGTTCTCAATCGTCGCATTACCTTCCTCTCAAAATATGAATCTCTTATGCGCCTTGCTCTCTGAATTGTTTCAATCGATCTTCACTCGAGATGTTCTTGCGTGGTTTTGCCATTCAAGTATGTTTTGTCATAGATACGACCGATTCATTGCATACCGCCCATGGTGTCTGAAGGTGCGAGCGGGCGTGGTGTCATTATTCCGCACAGCGTCTTATAACTTGACAGTTTCCTCCAGTCCCTTCACCACCTCAATGGCTCGACTTCTCTTTCACTAAAAGCACTAATTCAGACGAATAGTCTTTCAACCTTCACTTCAATACCAAACTGCTAGACGCTTATCAGCCTGGTTTACTCCGAGGCACCAGGGCTCGACCGTGCTTGCGGCTACTCGCTTATCGACTTCTTCCATTCTCATACGACAATATGCTCACTATCCATATTTATCATGAATCCCCAGCCTCCAGAATCAGAACGCGCTTTCTCATTTTCGCAGATACGCACGGCGACGACTCACCCCAGAGTCACTACAATCACCCTGCGGATGTTCTGATTCACTGCGGTGATAGGACAGACTCTTCCTTTCTTACGGAGTATGAGACGGCGATCGAGCAGCTTCAACATCTCAAAGCACCCCTCAAGCTCGTCATTGCCGGCAAACATGATTTTACCATAGACAATGAAGCCTTCAACAGAGAATAGAAAGTGAAAACCTGAAAAACGATATGCATCTGTTCCGGATACTATGCGGTGACAAACTGGGGTCAGGGAGCGTTTTACTAGTCCAAATCCAAGCGGGATCGATTTCTAGACAAGGGGACACCTTTCAGTTTCCAAAACGGGGCGTGACTCGAGATCGCTGGCCCTAACCGAGCATGAAGAAAAGTCTCATCCCCAATCAAGCAACCTCACACTCAATCAAACTTTCTACTCCCCTTCGAGCCGTCCAGATCTTTACCACTTTCAGTCCCACTGACTCAATTAATGCACGCCACTGGCTCTCCGTCCGCTCCCTTGACGCGAAGTCTGCCATCATGATGATATCCAGACTAGTCGTCTCCCAATACGCATTGGTACTTGGAATTACGTTTTCATTGATCAGCAACTTACTGTATCCCTCGCGCATAGCAGGGACCAGGCTCCGCAGGATCCGGCGACAATCGTCGTCCGTCCAGTCGTGCAGAGCGGAGTGCATGTAGTATGCTCTTGCCCCTATCACCCTTATCAACATCTCAGGTAGAATGCGAGGGCGACGACAAAAACCTACCGATAATAACCTGCTCATCGAAGAAATCATGCACCATCAACTCAATCCTAGGATCCAGGTTCAATTCGCGCGCCTGCGCAACAACATCAGGGAGCTCCTGCACGATCAGTCGGCCCGCGAGATCGGGCCACTTGCGGCGGAACTCAGATAGGTCGTGGCCCATGCCGCCGCCCATGTCGACCAAGAGCACATCTTCCGTGGAAACGGTGATTTCCTCGACGAGCCTCCGTACAGGGTAGAACCCTGGGTCCATCCAGCTCGGACGACCCTGGCGGTAGGCGGACATGTGGTTGTTGAATTCGCTCGCGTGTTGCGGGTGCTGCTTGAGGAAGTCGAAGAAGTGGAGGTCCGTGTCGAAGCCTCGCTGGAAGGCGCTCTTGGTGCCGTCGTTGGGCGTGGTGTAGTTGGTTGCTTTGAGGTGGGCTGGGAGGGCGAGGACACCCGCGGTGATGCAGCCGGTCCTTTTTGTCCGAGGGTATAGAGGTTAGATGGTTGGGTTAGGTGAGTTTGCTTGTGGACTTTGTGTGGGAGGTGCCTACATGCAGGGGTACGCGTCGCTGTACCGGGCGGATTGCATGGAGATGGAGAACCCCGTCCGCCGGTATTCGTCCGGTCCGGTTTCTTTGATCACCCCCATCGCGGCAAGGTGTTTGAGGATGCGTGCTGGGTGGAGAGAAGCAGATCAGTCTGGGTTCACGTCGGACGTATAGCGCGCGTTGCGTGTACCAAGCATCACCGGATTCACACCCGTTGCCAATGCAAGCTCGGCTGCAGACTTGGGCTTTGCGTCCCGCGACAGCGCCCTGAAGAGGTCTAGGTCCACTGCTGTTTCGATCGCTGCATAGAGAGTACTCTGGTTTCTATGAGCATACTAACTGCGACGAGTGGCTCTCGGGAAAAAAGACAGGAAGGGAATACCTGCGACCAACAGTGTCGGATGATCGCCTCGCGCGGCGTCTCCAAGGCATAGACCAGAGACCTGGCCGAATCGAGGATCTTGCTTCGCTCGAGCTCATCATTTTCGGTCAAGTACGCTTCCCCGTGCAATGTGATCCTCTTCAATAGTGCGGGGACTTCTTCCGGATCGTTTGGAGCGATCGCGACATTGCCGTCCACGAAAGCCTCTTGGATCGGTTTCTTGATGTGTCCATTGTTGTGACCGTTCACTGTTCCATTGATTGCACCTGCCATTGTGTGTATGCGATTAGTAGGAGATAGGATTAATGGGAGGACAATTGAGTCGAAAGGGATAGTTCACATCAGACCCATCCAGTGCGGATAGGCCCTGATATAACAGACAGGAGACCGGCGCTCAACACGGTAAGCCATTGGAACCAAAAAGGAAGAGATAAATCTATCTTCCTCCACGCCAGAGTGTGCCAGCATTATTCTCTAGTGGGCGTCCAGATGCCGGGGTAATTTGTTGTCTGAGCGGTTGTGGAGATGAAAGCGCCATGGTTCGGACGGAGAACCGCATTCCATCGACATGTGCTTCCCTCCCGTCTGCTCCGTCTGTCCCTCTCCCCTCAATACCCAACGTTGCATCGAGGATCTCATCCACGAAGACCGCGAGAGACACACTCTCTTTGATTCAGACTTTAAAGCATTGTCTTGCACGAAGATCATCTTGAGGATTTCGAGCCACAGTCCATGAGTTGTTTCCCACGAGGCCCAACCCTCGCTGAACGCCAGGCTCCGTACGACCGTGCTAACGTCCTCCCCGTTCATAGGCATCCTTGCAATTGCAACCCCTGACAGGGTATCTTCCTCTTGATGTACTATATTCACCATCTCCTGACACATTGCTCCGGGCTAGTCGAGACTCTTGAGCATGGCATACTTACGAGACAAAGACCGATGCGTCGACGCAAATAGCTCAGACTCCGAATACTCCAGGCAGCACTGGCAAGCAATGCACTGATGTCAGGCAATATAAGCGCCATTCATATAAGAGAAACCAGGCAAACAAAGAAACCAAGCTTTAGTGGATTTCCGGCTCCACAAGGCGGGCTGTCACTCGGCTCAACGGCTTTCTTTCGATCCAGTCACACAAGCCACGGTTAAATCATCCCTGTCATGTCGTCCCTCTAGTCTCGCACTACCTTGGGGTTGTTGACTCGTGGCTCAAATTGCTTCCTTGACAATTACGAACCCCTGCTCGATAGTCGGAGCCATTACCTGACTTGATGATGGTCGGACGCTATCTGTTGCGTAGCGACCAGGAGAACGGTCGAATTGGGTGTACCGATGGTAAAGTACGAGCATATGAGTTTGTCTGTGCGATGATCCATGAACGAGATGGCAGGTCGGTGGGACTTTCCCAAAAGTGCGAGTTCCTGTCATTGCCCCTTGAGATGGTGCGTGTACAAATTGCGCAGGGCGAAGCGATGATTTGAAAGCTCGTGGTGCTGCCGTGTTCAGCTTATTCTTGTCAATCGTTCCTATCGAGCTTGCAACAGCTCCCAGCCATGAACTCACCTCGCGCAGCTCCGACCGACGACAAAGGGCCGACCATCCTGATAGTGTTGTGGACTTTGACGGGTCTCACGACAGTTTTAGTGACCGCGCGCATCTACATCCGGGCAGGCTTGCTGCACAACCTCGGTGTAGATGATTGGGTCATTGCGTTATCACTGGTAAGTAAAACTTATCCCGCCAACCAGATCATCACTTAACAATGCCACAGCTCATGGGAGTTGTGTACTGCATTTTAACTACCATAAACGTCCAGCTTGGCTTCGGGAAGCATGCATGGCTGTTAAGCACCACTGCAATCGAGACTGCGACCTTCCTTAACTGTCTCAGTTTCCTCTTCGGCATCATCTCTTTTACGCTCCCCAAGCTAGCGGTGACCGCAATGCTGAATCGCATCTTGAACGCGAGCCACATCCAGCGTGTCTGCCTGTGGGCTCTCAGCACGTTGACAACGATAGTGTCCGGAGTATGCATCATATTCCTGTTCACCATGTGTGACCCACCTCGAGCTCTGTGGCAAACCAGGCTTGCCATCGAGGGAAAGGCCACCTGCAAGAATGTGTGGTTGTTGATCGACTACGCTATCTTTACTGGAGGTTGGTCTTTTTCTTCTAGCTTCGGACCACGTGCAGCACGAGCTAAGTAATCAGCTCTCTCCGGCTTTGTCGATCTGGTCTTAGCAATTTATCCCAGCACCGTGCTGATGAAACTGCATATGTCACTGCGGAAGCGCCTCGCTTTGTGCGCGGCCTTAGGTCTCGGCTCCGTGTATGTTCATTAATCATCGCTCGAGACACGGACTGATGAATTTTTTCCAGCGCATCTGCTATGGCGATTATCAAATGCACCCAACTGAAAAGTTTGGCAGACCAAGAAGACTACACATGTGCGCTTTTCCTCCCGTTGCAGTTTTCCGGTAACTGACCGAGAACAGACGGAACCGCAGATCTCATCATCTGGACAAAGTATATTAACCTCTAGCCTTTGCCACCTACTAATCAAGATACAAGGCTGACGTGAAACGAGATGCTAGTATCGAATCCAATATCGTGATCATCGCCTCGTGTATTCCCACCCTCCAACCATTTCTTGAACTCCTCCTCGGAAACCGCACCGCTAGCTCATACAGCAACAGTCGCAAACGAAACAAATGTGGTTCGAGCTTCCCCGACGACTCTCACGACAGCCGCAGTAAGGGGGCCAAAGCACAGAAGAGGAACCTCACCATTGCGACCGTCGAAAGTCAGGAGCACATCATTCCGAACCATGATGGAGACCAGAGGTTGAAGGAGAGCCACATGCTGGGGATGATTCGGCGGACGGATAACGTGACCGTTGAGTTTGAGCAAAGACAGGTTGAGAACGAGGTGGCGCGGTCACTGACTGCGTGGTGACCAATCTTTGACCATGTGTATTCCTTTTGTGCTGTTTGTCCTGGCTTGCAGGCTTGCAATCGCAGCTGATATTCAGGAGGTTTAGACCGTGGAAACAGGACGTACACGGATGACACCGATGGATAATCTCTTTCTCTTGTACTGCGTATGAGAGGGCATTGGAGCCATGGTCTAGATCAACTCTCTCGTTAAACTTCCCGGGGCCATCGAACCTAATTAGGTCGCAGGATTGTCGCGGATGATCTCATCGTTTGAAGTTTCCAAACCTGGAATCACAGAATTCAACAACTCAATTTACATCTGCTCGGCAGAATCTTGGAACCTCTCGCCGCGTCGCGGGTCCTGCTATAAATAATAACCCTCAACTTTACCCCTTTTACTAGAATCTGACACGCCGGATCATCTTCCCCGGATTGTCTTAGGCTTCCAGTCGAGTGGATGCGATATGAACAGAATAAACCTTGGTGGGAATCAGCCTTCTCTGCTGTTTAACCTCCCCTTCTATACTCTTGGTAACATACTCTCCGAACACCGTCAGACTTATTCGAATCCGCACTTACGACTGTCAATAATGCTGACACGAAACATCAACCCCGAATCCCCCCCTCGCCCCGAACCAGAAGAATACCTCCTCCTCATCCCCACCGGCCTCCTCCTCTTTGACCGGACAGGCTGCCCCACAATCCACTGGATAACCAGTCTCCTCGGCGCAGGCCTCTACTCCGCCGACGTCTGGATCATCCTAGAATGCATGTGCCTGTACCTACCAGCCACATACCCGCGCTACGCCGCGAGCCTCTTCGCGGCAAACGACTTCTGCAGCTCGGCCCTGGCCGCCGGGGCCGTGCATTACGGCGTGCTGCTGTATCGCAATCTGGGCGTGGACCGGGGCTCGACTGTTCTCGCCGGACTGGGCGTGCTCGGCGTGCTGGGCATGGCTTTGATCTGGCTGTACGGCGGGATGTGGAGACGACATTCGCGGTTTGGCGATTCTGGCCTCATCTAGAACCCCCACACTATCCTTTACTGTGAAGTGGAGTATAAGCGTCCCGAGGGAGAACCCCCGGACCCCCCTTTCTTTCAGCTTCCTGGGCACCTCAATTTAATATGGAAATCTCAAAGAGGATAGAATACCATACCAACCTTAGCAGTTCGATAACAAACCTTTATTAAATACCTAGTAAACAGCGCAACCCATCCCCCTCCCCCATCCACCATCGAGACCTAGAACCCAAACTCACAAATAAATCACAGCAACTCCCAACCCCACCAAAACAACCCCCACAAAACCGCCCTGCCCCCACACCCGGCCCCACGATTTCCGCTGGAGCGCACACCCCTCCCTTACCGCAGCACACGGCTGCACCATCCCTGCTCCCTTCCCATCCCCCTTGTCGAGGACTTCCAACCCAGCCTTCCGCTCCGGAAACAAGGGGGGATATACAAGATGAAGAACAGGCTCCGCCAAACTCAGCACAACGAGGTACGTGATATGCAGCAGCGGGGGATAAACCATCCCCGTCAAGACCTTCCCCTCTGGGTTTTTGAATGCGGAGGTCACGCCGTAACACAATGCGACGAGGGTGGTGGTGAGGAGCGCGAGGCTGGGCGCCATGCTTGCGTGCCATTTCTGGGCCGTGCGGGTGGTCGTGTTGGTTTCGGCCCCTGTTATGAAGGATCTGTTCTTGGGTTTGGGGGTAATCAAATGGAAGCGCAGGATACTCCATATATGGCCTATTCTCTATCAGTATATTTTCTGTGAAGAATGAGGGGGTGGGTGAGAGGTGGAAAGGGGGTCCTGTATCTCTTTCATTTCATTTCTCTGGGATTGAGGTGTGCCAGGGGGCTGAAAGGAAGGGGGGTCCGGGGGTTCTCCCCCGGGAGAAGCTCATATCTGGTTCATAGAATGAGGTGTGCCAGGGGGCTGAAAGGAAGGGGGGTCCGGGGGTTCTCCCCCGGGAGAAGCTCATATTTGGTTTGATGGTGGAAGTGGGGAATGGGGAAAGGGCTTACAGGGGGCGAGCCAGGTATTTTCGAGGTGGGCGAAGGGGGCGGTCTGGAAATCGGTGTGCGCGGACTGGAGACAGGCGAAGAGCCAGGCGAGGGCAACGTGGAGCAGGGCGAGGGCGAGCTGGAGGCGGACGTAGGCGTGGGTGGGGATGAGGGAGCCGGGGTTGAGCAGCAGGGCGGGCACGGCGACGAAGATGGCCAGCAGGCCGACGAGACGGCCGGTGATGCCGAGGCCGTTGAGCACGATGGCCCACTGCATGCGCGCGGACATGGTGGCGTTTGTGGGGGCGCGCAGCACGCGGGTCTGCTGCGTGTGGCCGATGTGCCAGCGGTTCTGCTGGGCGACGTGGCCGGCCAGCGAGGTGGGCACGAGGCCGAACTGCAGCGGCTCCTGCACCTGGACGGTCTCGTGGCCCAGGCCACGCAGAACCAGCGACAGCTGCCAGTCCTCGGAGAACGAATAGGTCGGGTAGCCGCCGGCGTCGACGACGGGCTGGCGGCGGAACAGCGCGCCGGACCCGGCGTCGATGGCGCAGCCCTGCCGGTCCAGCTCGGCGTTCTGGCACGTGTAGAAGTGCAGCCGCGACTGCGAGAACGGGTCGCCCGTCGGCAGGTTGTAGAAGTACTGGCGCGTGGTCACCAGCACCGCCTCCGGGTTGGCCAACAGGTGCGGCAGCGTGGCGCGCAAGAACTCGGGCGCCGCGATCGAGTCCGCGTCGAAGATCGCGCAGAACTCCGGCCGCGTCTTCTCCTGCAGCGTTAGCAGCGCGTAGTTCAGGTTGCCCGACTTGGCGAACACCTGCCCGCTCTGCCGCCCGCGCGAGTGGTACGACAAATGCGGCCATTCAGCCTGCAGCCCCGTCACCGCCGCACGCAGCGCCGCAGACCCGCCGTCGTCCAGCACCCGCACGCGGAACTGCGACATCGGATAGTCCAGCGTGCACGCCGCGCGCACCGTATCGAGAATCACTTCCACCGGCTCGCCGCAGCACGGCAGCAGCACCTCCACCACCGGCAGGTCCGCGTCGCCGTGCAGTCGCAGCCGCGCGCGGGCTGAGTTGCGCGGCGCGCGCCCGGACGCCGCTATCAGCAGCTGGTCTTGTCGCGACAGCACTACAGCGGTCAGTCTGTGCATCTTGGGATGAGGTGCTCCAGGAAGCTGAAAGAAAAGGGGGGCCCGGGGGTTCTCCCCCGGGATCGCTCGGGCCCCTGGAGGTTTCCGGGGAAGAACCCCCGGACCCCCCTTTTCTTTCAGCTTCCTGGCACGGGTGTCTGGTTACTTACGCGCGAAGATGCCCTCGATGGCCAGCGTCAGCCACATCTGCCATGTCTGCGCGGGCGAGGTGAGAAGCAGGACCAGACGCAGCACGAAGTACACCTGGAACGTGTGGATGGCTGCCTGGGCGACGTAGTAAAGAGCGCCGCGGTACCTCAGTCCGGCGACGATGCGCGGGTCAGGAGGCAGCTCCTGAATGTTGAAGCCAGACGCCATTTGCGGGAGTGAATGGACTGGAAGTGTTGCTAGACGTGTCCCTGATCCGATCCGAGGACTGTACGAATCTGCGGCTGACAGAATCCGCGCGAGACTCGACAGTGGTCAGTCGCAAGCGGCGCGCATGGGGAAGGCAGAGTGCGTTGCGAGGAATACAAGGGGAAGAGAAAGTTGCTGGAGGCCAACGGCCAGGACAGGAGGTTTTGTGCGCGGCCAGCGTCGAATTTAGTTCTAGAATTTACCACCAAGACGGTCCACTTATTGCCGGATGGGGGAATGCTGTAAACATTCGGTTCCAGGTTCGGGACTCTGGCAGACTGCGGGGGAGAACCGATTGGCAGGCTGTCATTCTTCACCGCTTGGTGGTGATGTTGGCAGTGGCGTTCTATTGTAGGCTCCAATGTAGATACAGTAAACGTCGGCATGTCGGTCTAGACTGGGGTCGGAGGGCGATGAACCTCATCCCTTCCTTCGTGCACGGGTGATCGTCCAGGAGTGTTTCCACCGCTGATCTTGGGGCCATCTCTGCCTGTCAGTCATTCACTGCTGCGCGAGATCCCAACCCGCAGTCTACCCCTATTCCAGCCAGAGTCACCGCACGTGGTTAGACGAGAGGCATTCCCGCCACAGTTGGGTCCCCTTTTCTGTGGGTTGCAGACCGCCTCGTCCCGTTCTGTCATTGTCCGGGCCGAAGTTAGCGGCTGGCTTCTGTTGCTTCCGACAGAGAGGGGGTGGGACTTGTGGCTGCTGGACAGGATGTGTGGACTGTTTGGCAGGGTTGAGTACTCGAATGAGTGAGTAAGTGATCACTCATTGGCATCTCGCTGGGAACAGTGAGGTCTGCGTCTCGCAGTTGTGCAGAAAGGAGGAGATGCACGGAGCATTCCAAGTTGTGGATGCCACCTAGTATGGTTTGCCCCCGCGCAAATCGGCTAGTCCCGTTTGCATTAGCGTCGCGAGCTTAGTGTGTCAGGTGACCTTTCCACCAATGAAAGAACTGATGGTGATTCCAGACTTTCTGACTCAGCGGATAGGCGGCGGCTGGTAAAGGTTTCTCCGCGCCGGCTTAACATCGGTATCGACTCTTGGAACCTGAAGGGTTGCTGATGGCGTCAATTAGGTTAGTCTTCTGTATCTGCTTAGGGAGTAGCTCTGAGTAATCTTGGATTCGATCGGAGATTGGTCTGCTCGTCTGCATTTGCCATCTCTTCCTCTGTCTATACGTCTGTCTACTGGTACTCATAAGAAGTATTATGAGTAGCACTCACCTAGTGGAAATATACTGACTCCACTTTGTAAGATAACAGCCACAAATGTATATTTGCGAGCACACCTACTATCTTATTGGTTAAATGCTTCAAGATATGCATCCTGGTTATCAGTCCACCATAAAATCCTATAACCTATCACTGCTATAGCTGGGGTGAAACCTTCCCCTCACCATGACGTGGGACGATTCCAGACCCACGGCGGGATTCAGTCAGCGACGCGGTTCGCTCTCTCGTCTGTCCGAAGCTGACCAACGCAGCCCCCATTTCATAACTACACTATGCTGACAATATAAACAACCAGCAGCGACGCGTTCCAAGTCAGCTCACGCTCGCGCAGATACAGCACTACGCTCATCCCAGACAGTTACCGCCGCAGCTTCCAAGCCATTCACCCAAGATGCCGTCGCTACTTCTGCAAAACGCAACAATCCTAGTCCCCACCGGCGACAAGAATGACTATGTCGTTCCTCTGCGCAACCACTCCTTGCTCATCGAGGGGAAGAAGATCGCGCAGATTGCACCAGACATCAAACCACCTTCGCAATCGACTCAGATCATCGACTGTACCGGGAAGATCATCTCCCCCGGCTTCATCGACACGCACCACCATCTCTGGCAGACTCAACTGAAGGGCCGCCATGCCGATCACACACTGATCGAGTATATGCCAACGGGTGCGTCGTGCCGCCCTCACGCAATGCAAGCATACTGAAACAAAGACAGGAAACCTGCAGCAGGTCAACTACACAGCGGAGGATATCTTCTGGGGTCAGCTCGGGGGCTGCCTCGAGGCCTTGGATGCGGGCACCACCACCGTGGTCGACCATGCGCATATGAATGTCACTCCGGTGCACTGTAGGTCTTGCTCACTCATATGGATTTGGCCCACAGACTAACACGCACGATCAGCATCGAATGGTCTCGCGGCCACCGTCTCCTCAGGCATCCGCTCCATCTTCTGCTACACCCCCACCGCGACGGTCAAGACCTGGAAGCCCGAAATCGAGATGAACACCAACATGCTCGATGACTGGGTCGTCGAGCAGCTTGAGGAGCTGGCGACAGCTGCCCCCTTCGGCGACGGTCGCGTACACATAGGTCTTGCTTTCGACGGGCTCTTTCTACCGAAAGAGGTGGTCGTCGCGTTGTATGACCGAGCCCGCAAAGCTGGCGTCAAAACAATCACCACCCATTATGTGGGTCAATATCTCAGTAAGCCCGACCTTGGACTTTCGTACATGACAGGTACTGACGAAGCAGGCGACCAATCGCTAATTGACACCCTCGACGACTATGGTCTCCTGGGCCCCGACATCCTCCTCTCGCACGGCAACAATCTTACACCCAGCGACATCGACAAACTCGCCAAAGCAAAATCCTGGATCTCCGCCACCCCTGACACAGAGATGCAGATGGGCCACGGAAACCCCGTCTGCTTCCAAGACGGCTGCACAAACCTCTGCGCGCTCGGCATCGACTGCCACAGTAACAACTCGGGCGACATTGTCACGCAGATGCGACTCGCGTTGCAGAGCGAGCGCGCCCGCCGGAACGAGAAGCTCCTCGCGCAGGGTAAACATATGCGGTCGCTGGACGTGTCGGTTCAGGATGTCTTCCGGCTCGGGACGATCCAAGGCGCCCGCGCGATCGGCATGGGAGATCAGCTTGGCTCGATCGAAGTCGGTAAGCTTGCTGATCTCGTTATCTTCGAGGGTGACAGCCCGGCGATGATCTGCGCTGCGGAAAAACATCCCATAGCCGCCATCGTGCTCCACTCGTCTGTGCGTGATGTGGATACTGTTATTGTGGATGGGCAGATTCGCAAGCGCGCAGGACGGTTGGTGCCTGTGGATATTGATTCCTCGTTCCCAGACGTAAGCATCGCAAAGAAGAGCGTGGAATGGAAGGACGTGGCGAGGGAATTGATGGACAGTCAGGAAAGGATCGAAGTTGCGGGGATGCAAGCTGGGGCTATGGGCGATCGGTTGACGGAGGCGATGAAATTATTTCATATCGACTCCAGCAAGTTTGTGTGAGCCGAGCGATAGATCAGCCTGCAACGAAGAGGGGAAATGATTACCCATAGTAGCCTCAATACTCCCTATCTCCGTTCCCTTTCAAGCACGGTCTGCTTATCCGATCAGCTCGTCTTTTAATATGGCGACTCGGACCGATAGCCGCTGATATTTTATAGATGGAGTGGAAATAGGCTTGGACAGCGAAATGGCGTCATCTACAGAAACCCACATTCATCAAGCACGAGTTTCATCCAACCACCTGATGTTCCTGGCAAGTCTGACTGACTGTTCAGGTACCGTGCGGAGCGGCACGTGGAATGACTAGCAGGGGTGAGCAGGGATCTTTCTCTCGTCATCTCGTCCTCTCTACTTCTTCACCCTCTCATTCCCCCTCCCAAGCCTACCCCTGCATGAAGGAGTGAACACCATCCTGCAAGTGATGACTTGCCTTAGATTGCGGAGCATTTCCGCCGGCATTTATCCATATTACCCCTGATCAACAGGGGATTCAACTCCCGCCTTCACGTGTATAATGAGTACCGCCGGAGATCCGTCCGTGGACAATCCGTTCATTCGGCTCTTGGCTCATTCCGAACGCCTTCCGCTGCACGGTGCGCGCTTGACCCATGTCACACGATGTCTGTAAGATTTGATTAGCTGACAACCTAGGTTAATTCGCGAATTGTAGATGTAGTCTGTCCGCACGTCCCCCCCGCGAGAATGACCGCGCCATGACTCTGTAAGGCGCAATATGGTGGAGCAGCGGGCGGAGGCTTCTCCGAAGGAGGATGGCGTATCGGAGGTTAGTGGGCTGCCAAGGACGAGCATGAGACTTTGACATCAAGTTTGTCTCGTTAAAGGCAGTGAAGTTAAATAGGACTTGCATTGCTCTTCGTCCCACCACGATACTGAGCCAGCGACCAGCACCACCACCATGGCCCGTACCAGTCTGGCCTTGCTTTTTGCAGCCCTCTTGGGTGAATTTGCAGACGCTGCGGCGTCGCAGGCGTATACTTGGAAGAATGTCGTCACGGGTGGTACGTTCCAGAATTGCTTGCCATGGTCAACACGTGCTAACTTCAATAGGTGGAGGAGGCTTCACGCCCGGCATTGTCTTCAATCCCTCCGCTAAAGGGTTAGCCTACGCGCGCACTGATATCGGAGGCGCGTACCGGCTCAACTCTGACGATTCGTGGACTCCGCTGATGGACTGGGTGGGGAATTCCAGCTGGTGAGTTCCTTGCTTGATGGTAGAAGGCCGAGCTGACTGAGTAGGCATGACTGGGGCATCGATGCCATTGCCACCGACCCCGTGGACACGAATCGTGTCTATGTCGCGGTCGGAATGTATACCAATGAATGGGACCCGAATGCGGGATCGATCCTGCGTTCGACGGATCAGGGCGATACCTGGGCGGAGACGGTGTTGCCGTTCAAGGTTGGAGGCAACATGCCTGGTCGTGGGATGGGAGAAGTGAGTCGATTGACCCTTATGCCAAATGGATGGAGCTGATGCGATGTAGAGATTGGCGGTAGATCCACACAAGAATAACATTTTGTACTTCGGTGCGCGCAGTGGACATGGCTTGTGGAAGAGCACGGACTATGGAGCGACCTGGACCAATGTCACTTCGTTTACCTGGACTGGTAGGGCACTCTTGTCCGCGGTTTGGATTGAGCTAAAAGTATGCAGGGACATTTTTCCAGAATTCGAGCTCGACATACACTTCGGACCCGGTTGGTATCGCTTGGGTGACCTTCGATTCGACTTCGGGTAGTTCGGGGTCTGCGACTCCGCGAATCTTTGTTGGTGAGTAATTTGTGTGTGGTCTTTGTTGTGTCTAACCGGTCGATAGGCGTCGCCGATGCGGGCAAGTCCGTCTTCAAGTCGGAGGATGCGGGTGCTACTTGTAAGTTTCAGCCTTGTGATTACGAGCAAAGCTGACTTGTCAGGGGCTTGGGTGTCTGGAGAGCCTCAGTACGGTTTCCTTCCGCACAAGGGAGTTTTGTCTCCCAAGGAGAATACACTCTACGTCTCTTATTCCAACGGAGTCGGTCCATACGACGGCACAAACGGAACAGTCCACAAGTATAACATCACCAGCGGAGTGTGGACTGACATCAGCCCCACCTCCCTGACGAGCACCTACTACGGGTACGGTGGTCTGTCCGTCGACCTCCAGGTTCCTGGCACCTTGATGGTTGCTGCGTTGAACTGCTGGTGGCCGGACGAGCTCATCTGGCGCAGTGTTGACTCTGGAAAGACCTGGTCGCCTATCTGGGAGTGGAACGGCTATCCGAGCATAAATTACTACTACAGCTATGATATCAGTAACGCCCCGTGGGTGCAAGACACTACTTCGACTGCTCAATTTCCTGTCCGTGTCGGATGGATGGTGGAAGTCCTGGCTATTGATCCTTTTGACTCCAACCACTGGCTCTACGGCACGGGTCTGACCGTGTACGGTGGCCACGATTTAACTAATTGGGACTCAAAACACAATGTGACCGTGAAGTCACTAGCGGTGGGAATTGAGGAGATGGCTGTGCTTGGACTCATCACGCCACCTGGAGGGCCAGCGCTGTTGTCTGCTGTTGGCGACGACGGCGGGTTCTACCACTCGGACCTGGATAAGGCGCCAAACCAGGCATTCCATACCCCGACCTATGGCACGACCAACGGCATCGACTATGCAGGCAACAAGCCTTCTAATATTGTTCGATCCGGAGCCAGTGATGACTACCCCACCCTTGCCCAGTCGTCCAACTTTGGATCGACCTGGTACGCTGATTATGCCGCCACCTCGAGCACCGGTACCGGAGCGGTGGCTCTGTCCGCCGACGGAGACACTGTACTTCTCATGTCCAGCACCGCTGGCGCATTGGTATCGAAATCGCAGGGTACCCTGACTGCCGTCTCCTCCCTACCGTCCGGGGCAGTCATCGCTTCGGACAAATCCGACAACACGGTCTTCTACGGTGGATCCGCGGGCGCAATCTACGTGTCGAAGAATACCGCGACCTCTTTCACTAAGACTGTATCCCTGGGATCCAGCACAACGGTGAACGCCATCCGCGCCCACCCCTCCATTGCGGGAGATGTCTGGGCGTCGACCGACAAGGGACTCTGGCATTCGACCGATTACGGTAGCACTTTCACGCAGATCGGCAGCGGCGTTACAGCTGGCTGGAGCTTCGGGTTCGGCAAGGCCTCCTCGACCGGGAGCTACGTGGTGATCTATGGATTCTTCACCATCGACGGTGCGGCCGGACTATTCAAGAGCGAGGACGCTGGCACGAACTGGCAGGTGATCTCAGACGCGTCCCACGGGTTTGGGTCCGCGTCTGCCAACGTGGTCAACGGCGATCTGCAGACGTACGGACGGGTCTTCGTAGGCACGAACGGACGAGGAATTTTTTACGGCAATCCCAGCGGAAGCTTGCCGGCGGCGACAGCTACCGCATCGGGGTCGAAGACTTCGACGTCGTCGACCACGTCGAAGGCCACCAGCACGTCAACCTCATCGGGCAGTACCACTTTGAAGACGACCACCTCCTCGTCCAGCACGACCTCGAAGGCGAGCACGACTACATCGTCTAAGACGACCACCACGTCGAGCGGAAGCACGGCGACGGCGGCGGCGTACGCACAGTGCGGCGGCAGTGGATGGACGGGGGCGACGGTCTGCGCCAGCGGATACACATGCACCTATGCCAATGAGTTTTACTCCCAATGTGAGTTTTCGGCGGGCGACTGATGTTATCATAACTGACCGTCACAGGTGTTCCATCGTCATGAGTGAAGGTGGGAGTGTGGAAGGATGGGTGTTGTGTAAGAAGGATCTTGCCTGTTGCAGACTTTATTTATAGTTACCAGAGAGATCGTTATCTGTATTTGTTGATATTTGATGTCGTTATTTCCTAATATGATCTTGTAATTTGAATAATGGTCCTCGGAGAATGAGATGCTCGGTTGTCGGCGTTGGAGATCAAGACCGAGACCGGTCGGCGGAGCGGAATTACTAAGATCCAAGCGATGTGTGGCGAGTTGGGCGATTCTTAACTGTTTCAGATGGAAGATGTTCGTTGGAGAAAGTACTAGGTAGTTATGAGAGATACTAGGAGGATTTCACTGGGAATATCATCTGGGCATATGGCTGTATCTGATCGTTGGTGCTCCTGTGCATCGAGTCACGTGATGTGTGCTCTTTCAAGAAGAACTGGTGGTATTTTCAATTATCCGAGGTTTTGCCATTCAATCAGCGTTAATTGTATCGGGAATGACCGCATCGACTAAACTCATCTTGAAAGACCTTGCTTGGTCATCCGCTTGGTGGGATAACTCCAGGCTGGAGACAAGCCGGATGTTCCGGCATAAGCTCCACTGACTTTTCCATCCGTCTGATGCTGCGTTGCTTCGTACTGAGATATCTTTCTTGAGAAATGATCCCACCTTAGACAAAAGGTTGCAGCAACGAATGCTACCAACAACCCACTCGACAGCCAATATAAGCCCAAATATCCCATACCTGAGCTCGATGCCACCATCCAAAACAGGCAGCCGAGCACGCGACCACCTGTAACAAGCGCGGAACCAACGGAACCACCACCATCCATGCTCTAGCGTCGCGGAAGCCCCGGACTTCCAACGCAGTACTCCGTACGCAATCTTATTTCGTATGACTATAATCTGAAACAAAGTAAGATAGGCAGAACCCGGCACGGAAACGGATGCCCCGTAACCCTGACATCCCGAGTGTCGACTAGTGTAGTCTAAGAGGGATATGATGGATGGATGTGTCCACTGTCTGCACCATGCCACGCAGAACCCGGCCAGGAACGGTTGGATCATGCAGGGTACGGGATGGGGATTGGTTTGGTGTGGAAGATTTCGTTGTTAAGAGGTTTCTTCACTGCTGCTGCTTCTGTCAGTGCCGGGTATTGGTTTCGGTCTTGGGTCAACTCCGGTGGGAGAGTCGGGTATGTGCATGGTGTTGGATAGCATTTGCGGTATTCGCATAAACATGCTGTGTTTCCTAAGCCTTGTCCTCTCCATGAGATTAAACTCGCATAGTTATGCACTGCATTCGTATCCAACGCAAAGCAAGGAACGCATTCAGACCGATAAACATAGACAGCATCGGAAGCACGTTCTGGCCATAGGCATAGACTTTATCTGCTGAATATCCGGCTTGATTGGCCGCTTAAACCCCGGACAAAAAGAATTTGCCAATGGCAATTGTAGTCTTCCAGGAACCCGAGGCAAAGCTTCTTTATCTCGGCAAAAGTCTAAACGACTCCACCAGATCCGGGGTCTGATGGGTCGGATTGCCGAGCCAATCCTTGCGGGCGCTGCTCCGTTTCGTCCCGGTAGGTACTGACCATCATGAACCCCGATGGGCATGATCATGGTGGTGATGATGGTGATTCTGGTCTGATCCCAAGCGAGGTCTGTGTGTCTGTCTTTTATCTGCTGCCCTATCTTTCTTATCATTCTCGCTTGACACATCCCTTCCCTGTCATTATCGCCAACTTCACACCTCCACGGAGGGTGATAACGACACCATAACCATGACCATGGCGTATCTCCCCGAGTACGAGCAGGACGAAACCCTCGCCACGACGCCCGGCTCCCAGCACGCCCACACACATGGCCACGCGCTCGAGCCCGCCACCACGCCGTTCGCCGGCCGCATCGGCGGCAACCAGGACTTCGTGCTCGACCGCAGCGACCCCAAGAACATCGACGTCCTGCACCGCGTGCCCGATGCCGCCCCTTGCATGACCCTGCCCGAGATCTTCGACCTGCGCGGTTTCCTCGCCCCCGAGCTGTGGAAGTTCGCCATGCTCGAATGTGTCGGTGCGTTCCACCCTCTCCCCCGGTCCCTGCACTGCGGTGCACCAGGAAGTTGAAAGGAAAGGGGGGTCCGGGGGTTCTCCCCCGGAACGCCTCCCCTCTGTTGTAAGGATATCCGGGGGAGAACCCCCGGACCCCCCTTTCTTTCAGCTTCCTGGCCACCTCAAGCCACCCCCACTAACTGACAAGCACAATAATGTAGCAAGCATGCTAAACACCTTCCTCTCGGTGTGGGTCACAACCCACCCAATGGCCAAAAGCACCGCACCCACAAGCGCCTCAGGCGTCTACAGCACGATAACCTTCTTCTCGCCGACCTTCGGCGGCCTCACCAACCTGCTGCTCACGCCCCTCCTAATCTACACCTTCTCCCCCAGCTCAGGAGGCCACATCAATCCGCTGATAACCCTCGCCACGCTCTTCGCGCGCATCATCTCGTTCCCCCGCGCGGTGCTGTACATCCTCGCCCAGACGCTGGGCGGCGCCCTCGCCGGCTTCGCTCTGCACGCCGCCTACGGCGACCGGAATATCACGGTCGGCGGCTGCTACATCGACACGGCGCTGGTGCCCGTGTCCAGCGGGCTAGTCGTCGAGTTTTTTTCGTGTCTGATCGTCGTGTGGCTGTGTTTCGGTGTTGCGCTGGACCCCCGTCAGGCCAAGGTGTTTGGGCCGAGTGTTGCGCCGTGGTTGGTTGGTGTTGTTGTGGGCGTTGTGACCTGGGGTACCGCTTGGACCCGCGTCGGGTATATTGGTGCTAGTATGTTCTCCTTTCTCATTCAGGGTCTTAGGAGTGAGGGGGGTAGAATGTGGATGCTAACGGCTTAGGCGTCAATCCTGCGCGGTGCTTCGGCGCGTATGTTGCGTCCGAGTTTCCCGGGTATCATTGGATTCATTGGGTATGTTTTCCCTCCCTTTGCCTTTGGATTGAAGAATCACGGGGGCGTTATGTTGGAATAGTTGCTGATGGTTTAGGTCGGTCCGCTGGCGGCTGCGGTGGCGCATGGGTTGGTGTATTTCGTTGATCCGTTGTGGACGGATCCCGTTCGGAATTGATTCTTGGCTGTCTTGTATATATTGGATTAGCGTATGCATTTGGTTTTTGTTCTTTGTATTCTGGTTTGGGATTAGGTGGCCAGGGAGCTGAAAGGAAGTGGGGTCCGGGGGTTCTCCCCCGGAAATGCCTATATTCTGGTTTAGGATTGAGGTGGCCAGGAAGTTGAAAGAGATGGGGGTCCGGGGATTCTCCCCCGGATACACCTAGGAATAATATGTTGGTTAAGTTGGACCAGGAAGCTGAAAAGAAAGGGGGGTCCGGGGGTTCTCCCCCGGAACGCTTTATATCTGGTTTAGGATTGAGGTAGGGTGGGGCGCTGTAGGAAAGCGGGGAACGGGGGTTCTCCCCCGGATACACCTAGAAATAATATGTTGGTTGAGTTGGGCCTTTATATTCTGGTTTAAGATTGCGGTAGGGTGGGAAGTTGAAAAGAATTGCATTGGCTGGCTAGAGAGTAGATACTAACAATCGCAGCATGTCTGTCCTCCCGCCGGTGCATTTACCGCAGTCAGGCGACAGTAGCAGGAGGCCACGATGGGCACGTCTGCTGCGGCGACCGCGAGGTCGCGGTACGGCTCGATGAGTCTAGCCTCGTCCAGCTTGCGCTGTCGGACGAGACACTCGTGCAGGCCGTGCAGGCCCCAGACGTTGTTCAAGCGGCCCTTGCGGCGCGGGAAGCCCTCGGCCATGCCCAGGTCCTCGCGGAAGACGCGCTCCGCCTCGGCCGGGCGGTTCTGCTCCAGCAGCAAGCCGCCCAGTGCATGGCGCACGGGCTGCATCCACGGGGGCGGGTCGCCGTAGGGGAGATTGTCTTCTAGTTCGATGCCCTGCTTGAGCGTCTCGAAGGCCGCGTCCACCTCGCCCCGGCGGTACTGCAGCTCGCCGTGCAGCATCTTGGCCCCGACGGCCAGCACGTCGACCTGCTTACTGGGCAGACTGGCGATGCGGGACACGGGCACGTTCTTCCTGGCGGCCTCGAAGCGCGTCTGCATCTCCTCCGCCTCCTGCACGCGGCCTAGGGCACTATAGGCCACGCCCTTAGCATACAGCACCGTAGCAAACGTCGAGCAATACACCTCCGTATCCTCCGGCTCCGGCAACGCCAACACCTCGTCCCACCGCCCAAACCTAACCAGAACATGCGCGCGATTGCCCAGGAACGCCTCGATCCAGTCCGCGACAGGCGGACTCTTGATCCTAAGCGTGTCCTCATCCACCACAGCCTCGAGTTGGTGTACCGCCTCCATACAAATCGCAAACTGTCCCGCAATGAACGCGGAATATAGCTTCGCGCAAACATTATGCACCCGGTACGCAACATACAGCGCCCCGCCGACGGCCCTCCCCGTGCGTCCCTCCGCCACACACCCCGCCACGTATTTCTCGTCCGCGAGGATCGCCGCCGAGTTACTCTCGATCGACTTCCGGTAGTCGCCGACCGCCATGTCGATGTGCGTCGGCATGTGCAGCAGGTGCGCGGCGTCACGGGTCAATCCGCGCAGCGTGTCGGCTGCCCGCTGCGCGATCTCGGGGTACGGGGACATCTCCATGAGGTGGATGTAGAGGTGGCAGAGCGTGGGGTTGTTTTGGGCGGACGGCTGGGTGGTGAAGGCGTGTTCGATGAGTGTTCGTGCTTCGACCGTGTGCGGGCCGCTTGGTTCGCCGGTCTCGAGGTTCCAGAGTCCCCTGGGGGATATGCACATTAGGGCTTCGGCGAGGAGGGCTGTTATGTCTTGGTCGGTGGGGTGGGCGGCGTGGGCGGTTCGCATGGCGGTTGCGTATGCGCGGTTGAGGGCTGGGAAGTCGTAGGCGTTGTCTGCGGCGGTGGTGCTGCTGGTGGTGGGGAACCGCGCGAACAGAGCCACGATCAGCGCCTTCTCGGCCTCTGTGGTGTTGGTGGATGGGTCGTTGGCGAGCGAAAGTGCCGTCTCCAGCGCTGCGTGCGCCCCCACGATGCTCGTTGCTAGGTCCGCCCGGTCGTACAACACCCACGCTTTGTTGTAGTTCGGTCCCAGCGCGTATGCCACTCCCCAGTGTGCTAGTGCACAGCACGCGTCGTGGTCCACGGCCAGGCGGAAGCAGCGCAGTGCTTCTTCGTGGTTGAAGCTGTAGGCCCATTGCCAGCCGCGCGTAAACCAGGTTTGTGCTTCGGGTGAGGTGGTGGTTACTGTTCGGGTGTACGTGCCGAGATCGTAGTAGCTTGTGTCGCTGGTTCATTCAGTTGGTAGTTAGAGTTAGTGATGTTGCAGATAGGGGCAGAAGACGTACGCCATGTTGTCGGAGTGAGCATGGATGGATGAGTGGGTGGATGGACGGAGGGTGTTGCTGTGTTGTCTTGCGGTGGAATGAGGACGAGCGCGGTTATAAGCTGGGAGTCGAAGCGGGGTATGGAAATCACCTCGCCGAGTTGCGGGGCTTCAATGTTCTCTCCTCCTCCTTGCATCGGCGATAGCAGGGGTGCAAATGCAGATCCCGGAACTATTGGATGGTTGCATAGTTGGGGATCCGTGCGTGGTGTATGTCTCATGTGATTGGGATGTATGCAGGACGTGCAGGTTTTCGGCGAGGACATCCTTGTTGGTATACTGGTATGTACATAGTTTGTGAGAGTGCAGTCGGCGATATGGATTTGCTTTTTTGGATGCATGGCTGTGGAGATGGGTTTGTGGTGGTGTGTGTTGTGCTATTCGCGCTGATGGCGTGATATGATTCTAGTTTGGGTACATAGTTCTGTCCATTACGTGATGGGTTCGGGGGTTTTAGGAGGTATACTGATCAAGGGAATACTATGTACAGTATCCTGGGGTGCTTATGTACGCTAGGGCAGTGCAGCAACAGCACTTCGATCGAGATGCATTAGCTGTGAGCATGACGAGAGATATCACAATATGTCCAGCGTGGACAAACACCACCCTGCGACAAGGGATGTTTTGCTACTACTGCAGACTACTAATAGAAATCACACGACCGTGTCTCGCTTATAGAGGTCGGATAATAGGCAGAATGCTCTAATATGCCGGGGGCTATGCTCTGCAAACACTATACTAGCTCATCATGGCTTGTAGGGCAACTGGTGAATGCACTGTAAATACAGGGAATGAATTCTTTATCCCGAGGAAGTATTCATGCAGGTAATACTATTGAATGACTCAAAACGTGTGAATGGTTATCGCCATTGAATGGTCCCCTGCCTGGAGGTATCCTCCTCTACACTTCCGGGATCTGTTCTTTCTTCCTTTTTTCTCCATCTTCCATCCACACCCGGAGTCTGACTTTTCACACCTTCCTTCCATACTGGCCTTTCTTCTACATACCTTCTCTCATCAAACAGTACCTGGTTGTTCATACTCCCACCATCACTGTTCTTTCCTCTTTTGTACTGGAGCCCATAGCTGTATCTTTCTTTTCCGTACACCTCGGAGCTTGACTGTTAATACTCCTATCCTCAATAAAACCCAGGCTGTTCAAGAAATTTATAGAATCGGTTTGATGTACCGCGCTCGTGACTTTGAGTTTCAGCCCGGTTTGATTGAAGACTATGTTCATCTCTACCCCAGTTGAGGTACAAGCCATTTCCCGTTACTCTTTTATTGGATTGGTTGCGAAAGGACGAGTCTGAAGTCTTGATGGATCCTGCTTCTGCCAAAAATATCCCACTCAACCCCCATCCCACTATCCGATATGTGTCGCTCAAGGAACTCGGTCTGGCTTGAGGCCAGCCAAGATGGAAGACTAGAGGTATAGTTATCAAGGAGAGTTGTCACCGTGAGTCACCCCAGTCTATACACCTATCCCTGCTTGTCTTTCCTAGCTCTCAGATGGAGTTTCCTGACTTGAGATTCTGTTGGGATACTTCGTTCACTTCGATACTTTCTCTTTGAAACTTCTACTAATAATGTTCTAGTGAGTAAGGCTCAGGCTGATGTTCTCTGCCAATAGGGGCGGGGAGACCAAACCTGATTGAATCAATCCTGGAGAAAACACCTTACAGACCCTCTCGTGTCTTGCTAGCCATTCCTCGCGGTTCTTGCTGACAGACAGGGCGGATTTTCAAAGTTTTCCAACACTAGCAGGAATCCTTCCGCCGTGCTGGTATCGACGAAGGGCTGTGTAGCAGACCTAGCAATTTGAGCTGCAGCTCGTCATGCAGATGTGTGCATCGAGAGGACATGAGACCGTAGACAAGCGCCGAAAGTCGTGCGGGATGATTACACCAACCGGAATATCATGCAACTCTACCTCGAGAAGATGCCGATACTCGCATTATTGGGGCTGGATGAGATAATAGAAGAACGGAGATTTGCGGTGAGGGTCCGACACAGACAACGCTTTGTGCGCCCATGGAGGCTCACTGCCACTTCGTGGATACACCACGGGCAAAGACTACGAACCATTAGAGTCCCACGAGAATTGCGAAAACATGTTGTTCCGGCTGTCATGATGCGCCGAACTCTTGAGTCTTCGAGGGTTTGTTCTTTCAGGCTTACACCTGGACTTTCAATTGCTGGTGTTGGCTGAAGGTTTGTGCCTTCTTAGGCTCGGGTTACTGACCACAGACTGACAATAACTTCTATCTCAAACAAGGTATGTGACCAAAATGAAAAGACATGTAGGATCGGCCTGCGTAGGAGATTTCTATTGACATACTCATTCAGCATCGGATCCTCATTTGCCAGAATGCGCGTCGGTATACTCAATGCATATGGCAGCAATGAGTAGCGACCCGCTCTGTATTACGGCGAATTACGAATGGGAGTGAAGCACTCTTCCTGGAATCTCAGTATCGATCGACACTTCGTAGGGTACAATATTCTCCTTGGTGGTTCCACGGCTCATGCGCCAAGTGTCATATGATGCGTCGAGCGCACCAGGTGACCCACGCCAAAGGTAAACCATACTCCAGCTTCTTGAGGTTCTATTTACCAAGCTAGCATGTTTGCAGCGATGTCGGGGTTATTGAGATTGTTCGCGTGCGCGCTTGGATTGTCGCAGCCCATCGCGCGATTCTTCTATCTGGATAATAGTCGCATGCAGGAATCAAAGCAGTACAGCATTGGGGATTTATCACTGGCTTTTGAAAGCCTCCTATATGGGTACATGCTTTCATTCCTCTATGGTCAAGCCCAGTTGCGAGATGAGAAAGCACCGACTCGAACATAATACTCAATTTAAACCCATATGCGCCGGTAACAGGTTTCCTACGTCCAGATAATGCTTTCATCTTGGTCTACGAGAAAATGCTATAATTGCGGCAGATTCCACTAGAAAGTTGGATAAGCTAATAAGCCTCGTGCTATTGGCCTGGACCGAAGGCACTTGATCAGATCTCAAAGGTTCTGTCGAAATATCCACCTTATAAGGTGCCTCCGTCTCAAGCAAACGAATCTGGGCAAGGAAAACGAGCTTCAGCTTGGCCGAAATAACACCTCGCTCTAATATCAATTGGAGAAAACTCTTTCAATGACGCAGGATAAGCCACCAGGCAAGACGATCATTTACGATGCTTGTCCTCATACCCTCGAAGAAAAAGTACCTACACAATCCAGTTTCGAATTGGCGTTACTTCAATGTTCATGTGGAGGCGATTCCACTCCACAGTGGCCCCCTTTGGGTTGGTGAAGATGACGGCCACATTGGTAGCATGTCCTGATGTCCGGCTCCGCCAGTGTCCGAATCAAGTATATCAGACCTCAATGTCAAGCACGCAGCTGACCAAACTGGGATCGAATCATACAGACATTAAGGTGCAAGAAGCATCATGGAGTGACGCGCGGTCGGCCGCCGTTCATCCTCCTGCATCACGGAGTGTTTCCATTCAAACTCTCGGAAGTGCTGGCAATCCGTTCAGCAGTAGCGGGTTGCGTGGTAGATTGAAATCTCCGACGATTGTGGTACAGGACTTGCGCTTCGGGCTGTAAGTTCTACCTTGCTCCTGCAAGATCAGATCAGCATACTAATGCACAATTAATAGTTTTCTCTCTGCGTATTGGTGAATTCTTGTGTGGCCTTATTATTACTATTGCACTGAACAGCAAAATCATTACGAAGACGGTGTTGCAGAGCGATGTCCTGTTTACGGCCCGATGGACCTGGACCATCGTATGCTCCATGTGCTATCAGTTCAGATGGAGACAGTCCAGTTGAGGAACACGAGCAGAACAGAAAGACTTGAGATAGAACTGTAACACCAAGAGTACTAAAATGCTAATGTTTTCACATCTCAAGATACCCTCTCTAGGGTCTATATTATCTGCAAGGTTATATCAAGCGCGATCGCATTATTTGCTAGGCGAATGTGGTTTGTTGGCCAGCATCATGCGCTATCGAAGCTCGCACAAATGGGCCCTGAATGGCAGCACACAGTGCAATGAGAGGACCATCAAAGCTCACCCTGACCCTGAAAGAACCGCTTAAGCGAAGTCTCCTTTTACCCAGCCGTCATTTCAGTATCCATGGCTGTAAGGCAACGACATGCCCCTGGCAATCGCCTCTCATACCCATACCAGACCTCGCGCGGCGAGTCCAGTGCAACGGGCTGTGTCTGCGATCAAGGTACCAAGCACAAAGAGCCTTATTTATATCAATGCCATGCCATGATATCTGAGTCCAGAAACCTGGGGTAACCGCAAAAATTATATACAAGTGAATCATCTTGCAAAAACTGAGAGCCTGAAGAATTCCTAAGGGCACGCTGAAGCGGAAGGTTCCTTCCTCATGCCACAACCACAACACCGGCCAGTAGGTCAGAGCCGTTCAGACTTATACAGATCCGAGCCTAATACAGTCTGTAATTGAGCCAACCGCAATCGACACAATTACCACCACCACCAGTACTACAATCACCATTACCATTGCCACCCGCGCCGCTTCAATTTCGGCTCGCCAGAAGGAGTTCTCTGGGCGAAACCTATGGTCTCATGCGATGTTATGGGATCTCTATGAGACAGACGTGGAGAGGACGGACAAGAAGGAGCAGAAGGAGGTAAAGAAGGAAGAGTAGGAGAAAGATAAGTAGAAGAAAGACGAATAGGAGAAAGACGAGAAGGAGAAGGAAGAATAAAAAAAGGAAGAAGGGAAAGACAAAAGAACGCTCGAAGAACAGCAATCTAATTCCAGGCCACAGCCGCAGCCGTCTGGTGCCTCTGTGCCCCTGAGCACATCCCCCGTTCTCCCGGCCATCGCACAATTTCTCCGTCCGAAGACACAGCCGGGGCTCAAAGGGATCGTACCACCACGTACGGTGGTGGCCTCTTCTCAGCTGCCGAGCCCCACGGCGCCGCCTAAGGTAGGAGAACACACATATCTAAGAGATATGTTCTCTGTCCCTCTCGTCGACGCCCTGTGGAATCCCTCCATGATGGGGAATGACCTCTCACTTCCCTTTACACGGCTATGCGATGCATGAGTTCATTATTGCGTCAAAGCAATTAAGGCGACCAAATTGGCCATGATGTTTCTCTATGACTTCGATACACGTGGGGATATTAGCAAGGAAAGAATCCCGACGAGCCCAACAACTCCCTTTGACCCCAAGTTGGCCTTGATGGGCGGAGGTTGAATTGTTTCCTTCCCACTGAGTTGTAAACGGTTCAGGCAGCGTGCCGTGGGTTCTGCCGGGACTCCTCCTCGAATGAGAGCGCAGCCCTAATCATCCCGTCGTTTCACCCGGCCCGCCTCCCCAGAGACCACCAGTACGTTACAGAATAGGCCTGTGAAGCAGGAGAGCGAGCTAATACGGTCCGTAGAAACCCTCGCCGCCCCCACCCCCCCCGTCCGCGAGCCTGTCCCCCGCCACGTCAAATGGGGAGGCGACCCGGTGTACGGCGGTCCGCCAGTCAATCTACTCTGACCCTCCATGGGACTGAGTGGCGACGATGAAAGAAAGCTTCTCGCAAAGTCCTGCGTCAGAATTCTCGTGTTTACAGCTGGGGGAGATAACATCACGCAGTGGGATAAGGCGCGTATTGGAACAATTCGGGCCTTTTGAGCGTTGTGCTTTGCGTCAGTACCAACACTTTCACACCAATCTTGTATCGCAACTTCCAGTCCCAATGAATTTCTCAATGACGAAAGATATTCGCTCAGGGCCAACATGGCAGACAAACAGGACTGATGAACAACGTCAGACTGAGCGGCAACCGGTGCACGCAATGTTGAAAGAGAACAAAGGCCATGTAACCGACCCCAAACGTCATGACTCGTCCATGCGAAGCTGATATGGCATCGGAGGCCATAGCTTTGCAAACTCATTATGCCCTAGCAGCGCGTTCTGTTACTCTTGAAGATCATAGTTAGACGAATTGAAAATCAATGCAACCCAATCCCACGCAACGCTTCTCACAACCGCCTTGAGACATATGGATGGGACATGGAAGCGGGTCTGGGATAATGCGGTGGAAGAGACAAGGAGGAAGGTTAGCTCACATTCGTCCCAGCGTCATCTTGCAAATGGCCGATTAAAGCACCAGTTGATCATCACAGGCTGCATCAACGAGCAAGTGACCATCCTCTGGCTATCACCGGCATGCTGTGCAAGATCTGCATTTGGATCTGACATGTGAAGGGTTGTTCTGACCTAGGGTGGCTTATAGCATACATTCTCGGGCCGTAGCGTCTTCATGTTCCCACCTCGAGGATATGGAGGAACGTCCCACACAGCGTCCTGCAATAGAATTATCCGAACAGAGAACACGCTTCGCGCAATGTAGCCGCGATATAAGGCACATGCACGCAGTTGCAGGCCTACTCCACATCGTCTAAGCAGGCATCAGCTCAAGCATCGCCGCCACGTCGGTCAACGGAGTTGACCTTCCTACGGGGTCAAGGCTCGTCCAGTCAACAATAACGGAAAGAAACAATACGTGCTGTTCACTAGCTAAAACTAGCCAACAAAGCATGGCAGTCAGCTCAGCTAGATATGAAGCCTTCCTACAGTCACGGCTGCGTTGCGGATAGTGTTGCAGATGACATCGAACACCAGGGCGCGCGAGGCTCTTTTTCGATGTCGAGACCAGAAATGTTACCATTTATTTCTCTTACTGATAAAGGAACTGCCGACTTCCTGTTTTCCGGTTGGATTGATTGATTGAGGAATCTCATTGATTGAGTGCTACTCAGCATATCAACCCCTCGAGACGCCAAGATTATGTCGCAGCATGCAAGCGATGGGCATCTCAGATGGCTATCGAGTAAACGCAAGGCAATCTTTTTGACGTTCTGAAGATGGCTTGGAATACCCAGGCTAATTGATAGGATTGTCATTCGGCACGTCTAGCAGGAGAGGGAGATACTTTAGCTGCTGAAAGCTGAAATAGCAAATTGCCGCTTGATCCGAAGTTCATATTGCAACCGCAGCTACAGATGACGCAGATGCTGGGATTTCGTGACTCGATTAAAGCCTTCGCTCTTAAAAACATCGTTTACTAGCAGAACCACTTCTACTAACACTTAAAATGAGCGCCCCATCCCGGCTTACCAACCCGAGTACAAGTACTGGAAGTTAGTGGAGGGCGTATGAATTGATCGTCGCCGCGAGCACTGTGTCGCTAATCATATACGAGTTCCATGCCAGGCGCGCTGAGACAAGGGAAGACAATCTTGGGGCAACTTAATTTGCATTCAATCTAATCATTGGCTTTTCGTCTTGTGTGCTGTGATAGAGCAGCCACCCAAGTTCAGATGCAAAAGATGGCCACCATAACATTCTTCATGTTTATGATCGAAATCAGGTCATTTGAAGCCATTCTTCTTCATCGCTATAGTCCTGGGCCGATAGCAATTGACAGATTCAAAGGAATGGAAGGAGTGGCTGCAGTCAAACTTCGTGAAACCTTACTTTGTCGAGTTTTGGAATGACTACCTTAAGACAAGCGTGAAACCCGGGCAAAGAAACGCCGGCCTTGCAACAATTCAGGAGCACCTAGCAGCCGGGGAGGCAGGTGATATACAAAAGAATTCAGCAATCCATGACGTGGATTTAGCAATGTGGAGACTGAAAAACATACTGCAAGATATGTGCAGGGCTCTAGTCATGTGGTTCCGATCCCTGCAAGCTGATCCCAGCACTACTTTTCGCAGGGAACATAATCAAGTGGCAAATGGAGCGGACTACACAATCCGGTACCAAGTTCAAGGATGCGCCATTGGCCAACCTGCCATGAATTGAGGCCACGTTGAGGCTGAAGAGCGACAGAAACGGTTCTACCAGGCTGACTCACGTATTAACAATCTCGATGTACTGTGTCTACGCGCATGGTGCCTACCTCTACCCCTTTTCCAAAGGCGGATATGTACATTGCGGAGGCGGAGATGTAGACCAAGCAAGCATCGCTTGGCTGAGAAGCAGAGAGACAATAAGGGAGCACCCATGCGTCGTTCGATACTGCGCGAGCCGCGCAGACGAGCGACCTACTGGACAGAGTCCGAACCGAGGGATAATTCTATGCGAGCTCATCTCTCCGCCTTCGTTGTTCCTTTGAAGCCCGCCCTTGGAGGAGGTCCAAGTGAGTAGTCGAAAATCTCTGACCTATCACGCTGGGTAGAGAGCAAGCGTACTTACTGAATGCCACTCGAACAAGAAAACGAAGAGTCTCGGACAGATTAGCGATAGACGAACACAAGTTCGTCTCGCTCCCGTATCCGCTTCAGACCCAGAGGCGCAACACGGGATAGGGTAAACCTGGGAATCGGTTAAAGGGCTAACTATCATTTGCATATCACCCTACGACCAACTCTCCCCTTTCTGAATATTGAGGCATTTTGTTCTGAGCCCAAAGATGATACCAATGTTTCAAGGGCAGTTTCTCAATACCTGAAACCAGAGAAAAGGGGGCAGTACTACCGATCACTCTTTCACAGATCTATAGAACCCTATGAGGAACCCTCTGACGGCATATATTAGCTGTCGACCGGTAGACTAGTTCTTCTGAAGAGCATGGCCCATGAATTGGTTATATCATTTTACTAACTTAGCCACAAGCATCAGCGTGCAATCGACCGTAGCTTCCAAATCTGCAGGAATTTGATAGCGCTACACATGCCTGGAGACAAAATGTCATTAAGTGGGAGGTTTTTCTAGTTGTGGTGACCAAACCAATGATACCTTTGCTGGCGACCTGGTCACACTTGATGCAATCACGATAAGGTATCGCATGCAGCTAATCAATCTGACGAGATATTAACTAGACTTCTGAAACCGTCTCTCCTATGCCCCTTATCTTTACTCGAGTTGATTCAAAAGCTTTTGATCAGGTCATAATGCCGGAAAGAACTTTGCTATAAGGGCAAGCCGAGGAAAGGCTGCTAGCGCGCATGCACAACGTCTGAAGGATGATGTCTTCTTGCCATGGGTTGGGTTCTGCTGAATGAAATCCCCCTATACTACCCTTTGAACTGCGTCGACATAACGAAGATAAGTTGGTGTACGAAGTTTTCAGTCTCCACGGCCTTGTTGAATCTACTTCATACTATGAAGCCCGCGTCCCAGCTTGATGCTGCCTGGTTGTCGAAGAGAATCATAAGAAGGCATGAGACAGATTATCATTTATCTGTGCTTGTCTGCTTCCCCTTCTTTGCGGAATACTTCAAACGCATACCTTAGCAGGTTACGAATACCCTCGTCTGCCCATTGATCAGCCTTATTTTCCACCAAGGATTCCTTCTCAAGCATTTGCGATCCCTCGAACTATAGCCAGGTGCTCTACGTCCGTTTACTTCGACGCACGACGTGCACTTGCCAACTTCAAGTTCAGTTGCATCCGATGAGTTACAGAGCATCGCCAAGGGCAGCGGAGTCAAAGCAGAACATTACCCTGGACCAAGTCAACAGCCGTGGCGCTGAATCTGGTGACAATATATATCAGCTACGCTAGCTGCAAGTGTTGTCACCTATGACCGATGTTGTTAGCCGGCTAATTCGATGCGATCAAGGATTAAATTCTACTTACACTCAAGTGGAAACCGAGGCTGTTCCCTTCGTTGACAAGACTGACACGTCAGAACTTCAAGTTGCCGCGGGCGCCTACGGAAGAATGCCAACCCTTAGATCCTGGAACTCATCTCAATTCGAGGCCTTTCTGCTTTGGGCCCACTTGTTCCAATTCATCTACAGCGGTATCGTAAAATGATTCTAGAGATTTGATTTGCTGACACGTTGGTTGCGGACCGTCGACCATTTAAACTATGATACGCCCGACTGAGGCTTTGTATCTCGAATTTACGTTTCCAGTTCGGCGACTTCGGACCTGTCTGCCGTCGAAGCCCCTGGGGCGATGTCCCGGGCTCAAGACTGATGCAGATTGAAAGCTATTGCAGTAACATTGGACAAGAACAATTCAGGTGTTTACATTCATGATCTGAATTCTGATACCAGTTTCGGAAAGCTTGCAGATGGGTTTACTATACTGCCGGAGAAAGTGGAACCTAACACAAGCCGTGGCAGGGCTCAGGTTGTTCTTCGGCCAGGAACCGCGTTGGAGAAGCGCTAGGTCAATGAATATTCAGTTTCATTGATTATATATCATATTACTAGTGTTGTTCCATAACTTTTGGTACACAGCTCTGTAGTTGCCGCATACCCATGATGCGCACGGGCCAGTCTGGTGCGGCGGCCCGGATTGACTCCTGATCATGGCGGGGATAACCCTCAGGAGAGCCAGTCAATTGCTGTTTTTGGGAGTCTTCGCCCTTCGAGGATTAGGACCCCGTTGCTATGCTTTTCCGGTGGAGCGCCTGCCGACTCGCCCACAGGGCGGACTGGGTGAGGGGCCTTTCGTTTTGGATGGATAGACATGTTTACCCGCCCAGGTGGTTAGCTGCATCCCCAATTGGCTGTACGTATTTCTTCGTCTTCTGATGATGATTGAGAAATTCGCGGGTAACAATAAGAATCGTAAACTCTGTACTGTAAAGGATAATTGACGCAATGCTGTCATTTCTAATGCGGTGGAGCCGCGGGGCTTATGGTTGACTATGGATCTGTGGATTTCCGGTCCCTTGATTGGCATTTCACCAGTTCAATTAAGACCAGGCTCGCGATTCTGATCGGAAGCAATCTTGCAATCTACAGGAGAAAGAACAAGAATTCAAAAGAAGAGAGAAGATCAGAAATGCCGCCTTGATATGTGTAGCCGGCCGTACTAGGCATGCATAGCGAGGGGTTTGGGACCAGATTTCTACCCATGTCACAAATCTGTACTATGAACTTGGATAGTGACATTGGAAATAATAACTAAAACATAGTAGTATTAGTTACTCCTCATCACTATCATGATATGTAGATTCACTAGAAATACTAAATTGATATGTATTTCGTACGCTCCTCGCCGAACAAGATTAAAAAACGCCTAGGCCTAGAATTAGGAAGAAATTAATATCATGTCTATTACTCTACAAGATAACTAGCTTATACTAAACATGTATGTCAGATAAAAGAGTATTAGGTGCCTCCGACAACACTTTGACAGCATCTATAAGTCTTTCAGCCAGGCGAGTCGCCGACGGGCGATCCATCAGCGAACTCGCCGTCAAAACCTGAATGTCCAACTTCTCCGGCCCAGAAACACACCGGAAAAGCAACTGACACGGCAAATCAAGATATACTGACTTGCTAAACGTCAAACATTCCACGCCATCAAGAGCCAGAGGTGGGGGCCCGATATCCGGCCGTAGATGGTTAAGCATACAGCCAATCTGGGTACCTGTAGGCCAATCTGTACAATACTTTGCAATATCTGGTAGGTCCCAAGCCGCTGCATGACGTGCCACCCCCGCATATTGCTCACTGAGAGAGTGGCAGAGATCTGCGAACGTCGTGCTCTGTCGGGATTTCAGGCGTGCGCGCAGGGGGCTTATATTCAGACATGGGCCCAGCGTGGTTTCGATGCCAGGTAATGCGACCATGCTGCGTGTGTCAATGACATTTCCAAAGACGACATCATCGCTACCTGCCAGACTGGCTAGTAGAAGACTGCATACTGCATTAACTAGGGTTGGCACCGTAACGTTGCCGAAGACTGTAGGCAGAAGCCCACTGATGGGTGCGGTTATGACGCGAGTTGCTGGCTCTATGCCTTTTGGGCGTTGCGTAAGTGACGGAGTCAGAGTCGTCATGGATGCCCCTCGCATATTTTCACGCCAGAATTGCATTGCCTGGTCATTTTCAGGGGAAGACCTGCTCGCATCTCGCGCGTACAGATAATGCTGAAACGGCGTTGCTGCTGGAAGGCGATGGGTGGTACCGTTTTTGCTGGAATAACAATTGTTGTACGCCAGTGATATGTCCTGGAAGAGGACAGGAGAGGTGTTGCCGTCATACTGTGCGTGAGAAATTCGGACTATAAAGGCGTGCTGTGTATCCGACCGCGATAAGAGAATGAAGCGTGGCAGCAGGTTTCCGGATGCGGGAGCAGTCTCTGTGATTATTTCCGTGACAGTCCTGGAACAAACATCTTCCAGCCTTTCAGCACCAATTCTATGATATTCCAGAGTGGGGTTGACACTTTTCAAGACAACCTGCACGAACTCATGCTCCGACAGCTGTTTGAATACCGTTCGTAGAATGCTGTGACGGCAGACCACAGCTTTGCATGCGGCTCTGAGCCGGTCGAGATCAATAGGTCCGTTGAGCATGCAATAGTAGCCGGTCAGGGTCCATTGAGTAAGGAAAAAATTCTGACTTGCTGTCGTGGGGAGGATATCAAGAATGCCATATTCGGTCTCGAGATGCGCAAGTTGTTTACGAACAGTGCGGATTGTGTTCATGTCGCATAGTGAGAATAGCTCGGGAATTATAGGCGCATTCGAGACTTTGGGCCGCATAAGGACAAGATCAGCCAGTTCGATGAGACTTTTACTCTCAAGAAGATCCGCAGCTGACAAGTCTAGCCCCTCAGACCGCGCCTGAATCGCTACCTGAATTGCCATGACTGAATCACCCCCAAGACGTAGGAAGCTATCTTGCCCCCGCACAGATGATGTATCGACTCCAAGCGCGGCAGCCAGTATATCTATCAAGAGGCGAGATGAAGAGGTATTCAATCTGTGATCTGGAGGTTCACTAGGATGAGTTGGATGGCGGGATGCGTGTGTCAGGGCTTCCAAGGTATACGTAGCGCCGAGTCGCCGGAGCTCTTGTCGATGTGTTTTTCCCGTTGCAGTAGTTGGAATACTTTGTATCGGAAGATAAATTCTTGGAATCATGTATGGTGGCAGGTTTTGCGGTAGTGACTGATCGAGGCACCGAGCCAGCTCTGGGATAGTCTTTTGCAAAACGTCCAGTGTTACTGAATGGTTCTGCTTGGGGGCACAGAATGCCACCAGCACCGCGGTTTCGCGACCTATTGGCACGACTGAATCGACCACAATGATGGCTTGGGTATCAGGTGGAAGTGACTGCTGAATCCAATGCTCGATTTCGCCAAGATCCACTCGCTGGCCGTTGATCTTGATCTGTCCATCCTTACGCCCAAAAAAGAGCAGAGTACCATCAGCGGCATACTGAACCAGATCGCCGGTCTTGTACAGATAGTTGGGGTTGGGCTGTGCACGAAATTGGGAGAGCCAGGCCGTTGTGTTGAGAAATGAAGAGGCTGTCTCTGCGGGGCGGTTGAGATACCCCCGGCCCACACTGGGGCTTTCGATCACCAATTCCCCCACAGCACCCACCGGCACCAAGCGGTCATGATTAGCTGGATCAACAATCCAGAGTGCACTTCCAGATCCTTTGCCAATGTTCATGGGCATAGAAGATCGTGTGACAGTGGCCATAGAACTGACTGTTGTCGCCTCTGATGGGCCGTATGCATTGATCAAGTGGAGACGGTCTGCCCATCTGGCTACTAAGCTAGTATTCATCGGCTCACCACAGAGAACCAATGTTCGCAGAGTGGGGACATCGTTTGGATCCAGAATCCTGATGGCTGATGGGGTTATACTGGCCCAATTAACTTGTTGCTTGTTAATGAAGGCCGCGAGCTCGTTGGACCGCTGCCAATCAGACGGGATACAGATGCAGCCTGCATACAATAGCGTGTAGAGAATGTCGCGATTGGCGACGTCAAACACGAAACTGGCAAACTGAAGAATACGGCTGTCTTCTGACAATGATAGTGTCGGGCCGTTAGCCATGGCTCGTTGGTAAAAGCCTCCATGTTCGATGACCGCGCCTTTAGGTCTGCCTGTTGAGCCTGATGTGAAGGCCACATATACAGGATCATTGAGCTCGACTACCGCGTCGTTCGATGTTGTATCATTGAATACAATTGGCTCCTCCACAGCATCTTCCACAGCAATCACTTGATGGACCAATCGGCTGGCCTTGTCTAGACAGTTTTTAGAACAGACTATCAAGCTTGCCTTGACGTCGTCACAGACGCTCGTTATTCGTGCCATTGGAGACGATGGATCCACAATCGCATATGCCGCGCCCGCGCGAAGAACACCCAAAACAGCCACAATGACCCATTTGCTTTTCTCAAAGCAAAGGGGGATTATGGTCCCAGGAGACAGGTTCAATGCGCGAATTTGTTGAGACAACCGGCACGATAACTCGTCCAGTTCACCATATGTGAAATTGCCGTCCCATGCGCTGACGGCCGGCTTATGCGGAAATTTCGAGCAGTTATCCAAAATGGCGGTATGAACACACCTAGCAGGCTGACTGGGAGGAGACGTATTCCAACTCCCAAGTAACGATTTGTCGTCCTCTGTGATCAAGCTTAAACTTGATAGCTTCAGATGCGGCTTCTGAAGAATTTGGCTCAATGCATGCTTGAAAGTTCTTGCGATATTGCTACTTGAAGCCTCGTTTGAGAATGGAGACACGGTTGTGTCGACCAATATGCTCATTTTTGAGCCTCCAATACTCGTTTGGAACACGTGCTGAAACCCCTGATTTCAATCAACAGTCTGCATATATTCGAATGGGCAACTAAACTTACCGGAATCTTAGCGACCGTGGGTAACCTTTCTGTCACCATGATACTCCTTAGGCTTCCCAAAATGCTTTCCTCGCAGGACTGGGTCTGTCTAACCAGTCGACGTATTGGGGATCTCTCATTCAGATGCACAGTACAAGTATATGTCTTCACAGGGGTCTCAGTATCAATCAATCCAAATATGGGGCAGTCGGTGGCTGCAAAGACGCCCAAAACAATGCCCCAAGCTATTTGGAAGATACTATGCAGGTCTTGACCATTTTCCTTTGAGTTGGAGAGTGTCCAACTCGCGGAAAGTGATGGCTCGACTTGAGATGCCCCCATAGATACAGTCATGACAGCGATGGTGCTCCCAGGAATGTTGGACCTCCGAAGATTGTGTCAACGCCACGACGTGCTCAAACTTGAACAAAAGTCTATCCGGATTCACTCGTATTTATTTGTTATACATCGATCTCCCATTCGGAAGCAGGAACCAGCAAGGCAGGGTTTACTGGAATCTCACACGGCGTCGTCATCCAGCATAATTACATACTCCACAAAAGACTTGGCGAAAAATAACCCCTTACCGGCACTTTGTGGAAGAAATTACACCGTGTTTTAGCCCTTGCATTGGATCTGTCGGCGTTGTGACGCGCAGAGCCGTGAGAGTTTGGAGATCGGAATGTGGATACCACCACAAAAGCTATTCAAAAGTTAACCCGACAATGTTTACCGGAGGCGCACATGCGAGATACAGTGGCTGAAACTTTATCGCTGAGCCGAAGAAAAGAGACGTGGTAAATATTTATATCCTCCAATGTAGCGTGCCTATCGCTTTTGAATGCATCTTCGGTGTACCGCCTGAGGTTAGTCTGCCCAGTAAGCCTAAAGAATTGATTCTTCAAAAGATGCGACTACTAGCAGGTTATACTCAGTATATTTTGTATATGTAGCTCAATATCTTATTTAAAGTGCTTGTGGAATTATATATTAGGGCAGTAGTGATTTGGTGGGATCCCAATGCTCCACTCGTTACTGTAACCCAGCCCAGTCCCATGCTTTTGTAGGCTCATTCTGCCCTTTTGTATGTGGTGCACACGTTTCAACATTCTTAGCAGCGCTGCCTATGAAGTACGTTGCTAAAGCATCCTTCTTGTTGACCTTACCAGTAGCGGTTCGGGGCACGGTCTCTCCCTCGTGTAGGATTCGCAATTTGGTGGGAAGAGTGTATGCTGGAAGTGAATTGGCGAGATCTGCACGCAACTGAGACAATGAGAGCTGGTTATCTCCTTGCCTGAGCCGTAATAAGGCCCCCAGCTGGTTTGCGCATGCGCTATCTGGTACTGCCACAATGACAGCCTCGGCCACGTATGGAAGATTCAAGAGCCCATTCTCAACCGGGATAACAGGCACGCGGTATGCGTACACTTGGACGACTTTTCATTGGGTGAGAGTCAGTATCTTGCTTTTGCTTGCGTTCTTTGAGCGCATTAGCTTGCTTACAGTCTGAAGAAGCGCGACCTTCGAATATGAACTCATCGCCTTCCATGTGTGCCAGGTCGCCTGTCCGGAAATATCCCTTGTCATCAAATGCAGCCTTGGTAGCCTTTTCATTGTTCAGATAGCTGTAATAGAGTTGATAAGTTATCAAGAGCGTCTGTTGACTGGCTGTAATAGATTATTAGACTCACTATAACATGACTCGAGGGCCCTTGATGAGGATCTCTCCATTTTTGCCTTCGGATAGCTTCATATCTACCCCTGGAAGCGGCCGACCAATGGAGGGCTATGTAGAGTGAGGAATTAGCTATCAAGGGGGATAAAAGCCACTCAATAATAAATTGATCTCTCACCTTCGAGGGAATAACCTTTGACAGTGTACTGATAAGACCTCCAGACTCAGTTGAAGCATAACGCATCACAAGTGGTGCATCAACCAAGCTCTCCCAGAACTTCTGCAAAGAAGCAGTTGGCATAGCGGAGCCTATGCACATTTCTTGGATTGCACGAGCCCCACTTACATATGGCTCGATTTCTGTGCTTGTCAAATCTTTGAAGTTGTCATCATAATACTGCTTTAGCTTGGCTAAAGCCATAGGACCCCAGACCACCTTGGTAACTCGTTGTTGTTTGATAAGCTCCCAATATTCCTCCGCTGATGAGCCGGGCTTGAGGACTTGGATGATATGCCCCTCTAGCAGGGGCGGCAAAGTGCAGATCACCCCTCCAATCCAATGCACCATGCGGTCGCTAAGATGCACTCGACGGTTCGCTTCTGTGCACGACTCTCTGGGATGCAAGGCATGCCGCGGTAGTACCGCACCTTTAGGTGGACCGGTTGTTCCGGAAGTGAAGAGAATGAGGCCAGGTCGGTTTGAGGGGATCTTCAGAGTTTCATCAATTTGCAAATGCGCTCTATCATCAGCACATTGATCGGCATGACTGCATGTAATAGCCACACTTTGGATATGGCGGTGTGCTTTTTCGGGAGTTGGCTCTCGAATCTGGTGACCTTTTGTCGCAGATTTAGATGGTGTCAGTAGCAGAGCACACTTAGTCTGCTCAAGAAAGTGATCCACTTCCTCTTGGAGAATGCCGATCGCAATAGGCATAACAGCCCCGCCAACCGAGAGAATTGCGAGACAGCCAACAACGAAATCTTCTGAAAGTGGTGCCTGGAGTCCAATCCATATTGACTTGTCGAGGAGCTGTCCGCGATTGTCAAAGTGACTTGCGGGCAACGCATCTCGGATGCTTTTTCGCGTAGCCACGATGTTTTGGATCAATTGAGTATAGCTGGTCGATATTCCGTTTGACGAATTGTTAATACAAGTTCCAGGAAATCGTTCAGCACACGAACGAAGACTTGAGAAGATATCGTCGTTTGGAAATACATTGGAAGCCATCTCAACTTTGTCGGCCTCAAGGTCAGATGGGGTCGTGGGGTTTGAAATTCTCTTAGGTGTCAACAAACTCGCTATAAATAGTTGCAGATTCATCACCCCTCCGGGTGCATCATTAGAGCTCCATCCTGGCCATGCAAGGTCTTTTCGCCCTGTAGGGAATGATTGTGCTTCTGCTTCCGCCTTTCCCTGTACACCGCTACACTTGCACCCCTTGCATCGAGATGCCGCGATGAATAGGTATCTTTGCTTGGCGACGTCTCATCTTCCACGAGAGAATTCAATTTCTTCTTCAGCGAGGCTCCTTCCAAAGCGAACTGGCCATAGCACACACGTTCACACAATGGCTGTAAACTTCAGTGAAATTCCTGTCATTGACTACACGCTGTCAAAGTCCCCAGCCACCGCCCCAAAGTTCTTAGGCCAGCTTCGCGATGCACTCATCCAAGTGGGATTTTTTTATCTCGAAAACCATCCAATCTCATCTACTTTGCAATGGGACTTGAAAGACCAGTCACGGCAATTTTTCGACTTGTCATCGGAGAAGAAGAATCAACTTGGAATGAATAAGCACTTTGTGGGATACGTGGGGATGGCAGTATCCACAACTGCTAACCACAAGGATCATCGCGAATCACTAACGGTATGTTTAATCCCTTATCCCTTAGAGTTTCAAGGATTAACAGACTAGAAGCTCGGTTATGAATGCCTCCCACCTGGTGCCGACGAGCCGCTGTATCGCAACCTACGAGGTCCCAATCCAGTATGTATTCCATTCTTATACTATCAATAGTAGTATTGATGGCTAGCACACGCTTTAGATATTGATGATGTGAATTCTATAGTGGCCGGATCATGAAGCGCTTCCTCATTTCAAACAAACCATAGAACAGTACATGACTGCGGCAAAGACATTGAGCGAGGAGTTCAAGGTCACAGTCGCCCAGGCGCTGGATATTGAACCTATGGAAATAATGAAGTTATTTGATGACACGCCTTTTGACCGACTTATGTTGGCTAAGTACTCTCCACCACCTTCGTCTACAATCGACCACAGCGGAAGATGCAAGGATGCACCAGATACTCAGGGCAAAGGACCCCACAAGGACGCTAGCTGGCTGACCTTTCTTCTGCCTGGATCACCACATGGTGGTCTAGAGGCCATGAATGCGGCTGGTGACTGGATTCCAGTCCCTCCTCGGCCTGGGGCAATCATTGTCAATGTAGGGATGCAGTTGGAAGCAATGACGGATGGTGTTTGTTGTGCTGCATTACACCGAGTGGTGACTCGATTGCAAGACTTCGTTGATGACAATGGTAATGACCGCGGGCCTCGGTTTTCATTCCCTTTCTTCCACAACATCGGTCTCGATTTGAGACGGGAGGAACCCCTGAGTATTCCGCCACATATTTCTGCCCTGGTTACCAGTGATGAGGCTAGGCGAAACGCACGACTCTTTGTGCGCCGCCTATTTCAACGGGGATGCCCTGGAGAGGGGATCTTCGCGACTCGTTTGATGGTGTATCAGGAAGTAGCAAAGGAGTGGTATCCGCATCGTCTAGCTGAGATACAGCAGCCGACATCAAGCGAATCAGCGTCCAATCCCCAGTGAGAAATGAGAAGCTGGGAATGAGACCCGCGGGCCACGGCGCTGAGCTGGGCGTGCCGGCGCTTCATGCGATGGGAGCGGTGGGATGAGAGATGTCGATTTGCGCGTGCGTTCAGCAAGCGTATAGTGTGGTGACGATTTTCGGGTTTCATAGGTTCGAAGTTCGGCTCGTGGTCTATGGGATCTTCTAGTTCGGGAGAAAGACGAACAGTCGGAGTGGGGGCCTGGGCTTTCTCAGGTTCTAAACTTGGATTCAAAGATTCGGGGTATGTGGGGTGTTGAGACGTCTCGTGCTTTACTGGCGATGACGGGGTTTGCTTGAGTATCTGTCGTACGTTGTAGGTGCTGATGAATTGAGATATTCAGTTGAAATCTGACCTCTGTTTCTTGTGTGTTTTCCATTCATGCGGGCGACTGCCTCATTTACAGTCGAACTAAACGACCTGTCATCGCCTCTCAGAGCCCGTCTTCAATCTGCAGGTTGCCGTACAATTTTGGAGATGCTTGCTACTGTCAGAGGCTGGTCATCTCTGAAGAGTAGACGGGTTTCTTGAGACTCTGCCCCGACAGCAGTCCCCGTAGCACCACACTCTTTGCGGAACGAATCGTTGAACTCTTGCCATCTACGCAACCGACTGCGAAGCCGTAACACCCGTCTCAAGATCAAGAACCAAGTCTTGTTTAGCACCACCACTGAGGCTATTCACCGAGGACTTGGTAGCTGTTGCCCAGGCCTACGAAAATGGAAGCTTTAGGGACGAATCTGAAGTACTCTGCGCCACTCCATCGAGCAAAGCAGAAGCACATTCCTCACTGCCCATCCAATTGGCCCGAAGCTTACGCCCCAGAGTTTCAGAATCAACTTGCGCATGGCTTACAGTATCCGCCGAATTGCTTTTCGCGCGCTCTCCAAGCTCGATCTATTAATCATCCAATAGTCGCGAAAATTGATCATAGACATCATGTATTCGTGCCCGACGTTCCCCTGCTGCTTTGAGTGATAATTTGTGGGCGACTATAAGCGGTATCATATTTTGATCGTCCACTGTAGATATAGATGTGGCAGTTGACAGCTTCATTGCAGTACTCCATTGCATATCTGACGCGGACCACTGCGAGGAGTTTGCGCAAAACAGCGGTGTAGAAGACAGCAAGCAAGTCGTCAAATTTCTGTCGCCTTTGCAATCATCCAGCATTGCCTTGGGAAAAATTGTTTCTCGCCCGAGATCTCCATTCCTTTTTTAAATCGGTTAACGCACGGAAAAGCGTGGCGTGGAGGTTGACAGACTGTGGCGTAGAGTGGCTTAACCTGACCGTTATACCTTAACCTTAACCTGACCTTAACCTGGCGGTCAGGTTAAGGTATAAAAATCAGATTAACCGCAGGTATAACGGTTAACCGCGGTTAACCGTTATACCTGAATCAGGCAGAATCAGGCAGAAA